GATGAATCGGTGAGGGGCAGAGCACTGCCACTAATCTGCACCATAGCACATTGAACTTTTTGCCAAATAACCGGTTGGCTCTCCAGTGCAGGGCCTGAGAACTTGAACGAAATCCCTATGATGGACATTACTGAAATTAGGGAAATCAGCGAATTCCAGGCCTAGGCTATCTCGCGCTGACATCGTAGCGGGGAGTGGACGAGGGAATGGGGAGCTAGTATCGATACCTGCCCCACCTTGATGGGTCGTATAGTGTAGTATCGTCTTGTTCCTGTTCGCTTTGCGCCTTCTCAATGTGTTGAAGAGCTTGACTCAGTTGAACCTATCCTGCTGCTGCTGTTGAGCATGAGACCCAGCAGAAAGCGCAAGCAATTACTCAGAATGCCTTTGTCCCATCCTTTTGTTCAACCAAGAGTGCAAGTTCTCGGTTTGGCTAGAGGCCTCATCAAAAAGGGTTCAATAGTACCAGCCTAGGCAGGTAGCAGGTACCTCGTATCTATGGGTGAGATTGAAGCCAAATTTGATCTAGACAGGGCTTCTCACGTCAGGAGTGTACCTCAGAGTACATGAAAGTACATTATGCGTGTCAAGATCCTTTAAACAACGTACCTGCACCTCTGGAAGCAGATATCATCTATGGAACATATATAGGTCTTCCCTTCCTGAGTGATGGTTTTGAATGTGCACGTGACTTGCTTACCTTCGACTCCTAGGTATTTCAGCCTTTGGGCTTATGTAAGGTCATCTGCCACTACGGTCACTAGGTAGCCACTTCTGTGGCTTGAACTTGCTTAGTAACTATTGCGTTGCCCCCTGCCCCGTCTTCCAGCTCACTACTCTTGAATTTGGAACGGACGTCTGGGAAGGCATTAGCCTGATTTCGAGGCCCTAGAGGAGGCTCTGTGAGCTATTCATGCCCCATGAGTAATTGGTGTATGTTGCATTCTTGGCTAGGATGGTATTTAAAGGTTGCATATCTGGAGCTAGAATGAACAACCTTAGGATAGGATAGAAATTCAAAGGGAAGGAATCTGAAGCACATGTTCGCTTCTCTGAACTTAATGCTTAGGAAAAAAAAACACTCGAGCAGTTAGACGTCACATATAATAACCGTGTGGCCGGAAAATCCACTTCCGACAATGTGGGATTCGAGCCTCGCGCCCAGACTGCATGGGATGTTAAATAGCATCTCGGTCTGTTAGGATGGCTCTCTAAGGTCGTCAGACATCGGTGTGTACCTTAGTAATGGGCTGAGGGCTGTTATGTACTGCCAAGGCAAGTAATTGATGTATACTATGAGGTGCCACGTTTAGCTGAATTAGTTGTGATTGAGCAAAGCCCTTCATGTGACCATGCCCATTCATTCAAGTAAGGATCGGAGCGGGCCGTGTAAGCTCGCTGGAGCAGCTACGGAGGCTCAACTCTTGGCTGGTTGCGTGGACAGATAAGTACTGATTTTTCGAAATCCCATTTGAACAAGGGACAGCAACGGGCCAGACCCTGCATTCCAGTTGGCATGGTGAACTGGCTGACGCGAGTGCCACTTGTAGTTGCCAAGAGTTGAGTACTACTCTAACCATTGATTCTCATGACCCTCGAAAATGATGTGGCGAAATGTCAGACATACTCCCTGCCCAAGGGTTAAAATGTTCGAAGTTGTGTTGTCCTCGTAGGTTAGGTATTTAAGGCATGATGGCATTTGAGATGCCATATACTATTGCCTCATTGTTCTCCTAGAGAGAGTGCCAGAGTGCAATTAAGGTTGGCAATCCACCGCCTCACAACATTGACAGGGATCAAACGGGTGGCCGCGGCCTGCCGGAACTACATTGACGTGAATATGACTAGAATCAATTGACTCGTCCATAGGAGATATGAGAATATGTGGTGCGCGATAACCCATTAGCAAATGCCAAAGTTTGGCGCATGGAGGACGCGTAATCGTTTGCTTCTTGGAAAATCTTGGCTGCGTCTCAGGCTGAAAGTCGAAATTAAAAAGCAACATGGGCTGGTCTGACTCCGTTAGTGGACAGGCCGGCGTACCGCCCTGTACCACAGAGGCAGTTCATGAGCGCTGGGACCAATGATACCGCCGATCGCGCGCTGACGTCAATTGCAACTCGGCCTTGTTGGTTGCGACGGCAGACCATCGTTCCCCCAAGAAAGCCCGCCAAGAGAGCTCGGGCCGGGGCCGCAGTCGAGGCCTTCCAAGGGAGCTGTCCTTTTATTACTCTGAGATTGTGGTGTTCGTTAGCCCCGTGGCCCAGCCACACTTCCTACTGTGCCGTTTCATCCGGATCATCAGCATGAGCTTTTGTCCTAATTATTACCGTGCTGGTGGCATCCGTTGAGATTGCCGTCTCCCAATGCGACCGTCTCGTCATCCATATATATCCTGATGTGGCGTCTGGCTGGTTGAGGCACATCCTCTGTCCATCACCAACTCTCCCCTCACTCCACCATCGAGATCCATCACCAGCCTGAACTTGCGCGCAAATGGCGGAGCAAAACAATGCCATAAACGGCGCAAACGGCGCAAACGGCACCAATGAATCGCCAGCCGAGCAGGTCTCTGCCCCTGAACCAGCTACTTCCAACGGGCCCTCCAACGGGCCCAGCAACGAGAAGGTCGCATTCGCCAACGGTAATACCAATGGCGGCGACGGTAAGCCAGCGCCGCGCAAAACCCATACGTTCGGCCGCCCTCTTCGGGCGCTGACCCATAGAGGTCCTCCTGGTGGATATGATGATACTCCACTCCCCGACGTTCCCCAAGGCTATACACTCAAATTCATCTTCCACCGGGCATCAAACTTGCCCCCGTCGGATCTCTCGTCCATGTCCTCAGACCCGTTTCTTGTGGCTACGTTGAAGACTTCAAGCCCCAAACGACACAAGGAGGACCCCGACTTAACTCACCGGACACGCACCCTTAGAAGGACAACTGAGCCTGAGTGGGAAGACGAATGGATTGTCGCCAACGTTCCTCCTTCAGGCTTCCAACTCAAGTGCCGAATTTATGATGAGGATTACCCTGATAGTGATGACAGACTGGGCAATGTCACCATCAAGGTCCCAAAAATTGAGGATCAAGGGGACCCCATCCCATTACCAGGAAAGGAGTTCCAAGCAAAGCGCCACATGATCAGCAAACGAGCCTTCTTATTCAAAGGCATCACTGGCATTCTCACCCAGAATTTTCATATGACGCCCCATCTCTGGATCAGCATTGAGATCCTGGGCAAGTCAGACCCTCCCTATGCTCAGATGTGCACTCTCGGCCCTACCACCTACTTCAAACACTTCAGTCCTATGATTGGTCGCCTTGTTGGTACAAAAGTTGATGTTGAAGATGACGAGAACCCGGGTGCTGAGGGAGAGCAACCGACACCAAAGAAGACCGAAAGGAAGACAGAGAAATACGAGTGAGTACACATTCTGGGTGACTGTTCCCATAATCTATTTACTGAACAATGTCTATAGTTTCCAAGCCGTTGAAATGCAGCTTCAGGGACCAGTTCCGTCGCGGCTGTATCATCGCTATGTAGAGTTTCGGCCGATTATCAGCTCCATGTTCATGTCAAAGGGTCTCCGCGGCAAGATTCTTAACGCCGCTTTACACAAGCAGCACCGCAGAGTCTATAATTTTGATTCATCTACCGAGTACGGTGCATTCGAGGCCCGTTCGGAAGAGGCAGCGATGCAGCTGTTGAAATTCGCACAGTTCGGCGAAGGCAATCGGATCTTTACCTACGTGATCACCCTAGACGCCTTGATGCGTTTCACCGAAACTGGCCATGAATTCGGAATCGACATGCTCAGCAAACATACCATGCATTCCAACGTGGCAACGTATGTGGCCTGCTCGGGCGAATTCTTCGTCCAAAAGCTTCGCCACAACCACCGAGAGGAATCAAGGTTACATGAAGAGGACAGGATTGATGTTCCACGGCCCAGTACCAGTTCACGAAGACCTTCGCCTGTGCGAGACGTGTCCCAGTACGAGCTGGTTATTGATAACGACTCCGGAACCTATCGCCCCGACAAGCGCATTCTCCCTGACTTGCAACAATTTCTGGAGGAAAACCTGCCTGGCTTGAAAATAACCACCAAATCAAGCGACGATGAGGAACTGCAAGCGATTAAGGAGGCCCGACGCAAGGCAAAGAAGCAATCGGGCCGAATTATGAATGTTGTGATGAACGTCAGCGATAGCAGTCTCAGCTCGGCCGTGAGCGACCTGGATGATCGCGAGAATTGGGAGTCAGGACAGCCGAGCAAGCGCGAAGCTGCACTGGCAGCGGTGGAAAATCCTGCCTTGGCGAAGCAGGCTTTCAAGCGATACATGCCGAGACATGGGACTGGCGCCGTTCCCAAGGCAGCGAACGGCGAGAAGAGTTAACATGGAGAAAGTCCCGCTTGGAGTTACAAGGATTAATACCCTTGATATCAAATTCTTTGGGACAAAGTTTGGGATGCTCGCTTCTAGTGCGATCACCCTGTGACGGCCGCTCTACTCATGAATGCTAATGACCAAGATACCTACTACCGACGATACCACCTAATTTCTCCTTTCCATAGTCTAGGCAATAAAAGCTTCACAAATATCTAAAATATATCCTTTGTGACTTACCTGAGCGTCCAAAGTATAGTCACAGGGATTCCCAACTTCGGTGACTGGCTTGTGCAGATTGGAGCCGAATTGCTACCCAATTACTGGCCACAGCTGATTTCATATCATAAAATCCTCAAATGGTGAGTGTTTAAAAGAAGGCGAAGTTTCCATACGTCAATTGTATTAGCAAGGCACAGTAGTTATAGGGCGAATCTGACACCGAAGTCCGTGCGGGGAATCCGGGGTTCATCTGGAGGCCAAATTAAATAAGAATAAAGCGCCTCGGCACTCTCCAACGCAGTTCAACTTGACTTCTTCTTCTTTCACCACAGGGCAATAACAAACTGAGCACACTGGATCCGACGAGAAGCAGATAACACTGACCATGTCTGCCTTCGGAAATCGCATGATCTGTCCAGCCTTGAACTGGATCCCTGCTCACGCACCCCCAGATCTTTTCTCGTCAGCACTCGCTCATTTTCAGGGAGTTCCTTGGACAGCGGCACTTCTATCCAAACCAAACGTCACCCCTTTCATCCCCAATTGCCGCAATCCATCAACACCTGATCTTGACCAGTTTCTCGGCAATACACTCCGTACAGATAATGCTCTGCGCCACATGCTCTGCTTCTTCGAGAAGGATGAGCATTTCGCGGACCCAAATAAGCCCATCACCAAGCTTACTACCCTTTTCAATCTCGGCCCAGGGCTCTCAGGCGTACCACATGTGCTCCATGGTGGCATGACCATGTCTATGGCCGATGAGGCTATGGGCGCTCTTACGGAGCTCAATGCAGAGCTGGCCAAGCAGGGGGAAGCATTTCAAACGGGGAGCGTCACTGGGACACTTGAAATCAAGTTTCTGCGTGCCATACCTGTTGGGACAGACATCGTGGCGACGGCGTGGATAGAGTCGGTGGAGCGCCGCAAGACTACAATCAAATGTGAATTTAGGGATGAAGATGGCGAGGAGCTTGCTCGGTGCCAAAGCATTTGGGTTGCTGTTAAAAGTAATCTGTGAGGTCGAAGCGAGTGAAACCCATGCCCAAGGAGCCAGGCGCCAGGCAATATATGCCCCGGGAATGGCTACAATCGACAAAGATACTTCTTTTTTGAGATAGACCTGAATTTCCAATCCCTTTGTACAAGCTTAGCCGCACATTGCGTTACGCGCCGTGCTCGTGCTGCAGGAAGCAAGGATGCGGCACCAAAAGTGGACAGGCATGGATCATCATTCATGTCCTATTCCTGCGCCATGTTGTCTATCATATCGGCATCAACAATAAATAGATCATTAAATAATTCATTTATTCTGAATATATGAATTTAACTGCGTTTTAATATATCATTTTCTGATATCTCATTGGGCACGATGCTCATAATTGCCCCTGTTGTCTGGCGCCTCGATTTCAATGTCACCCACCACGGCGCTTAACTGCCCCTGCATGACATCAACTTGAGGCACCTGTACGAGAGTCCTTTTCTCCTTCGACTTTTCTTCGATTTACATCAAATTGGGTTTTTTTTATAGACGCAAATGCCTCCTCAACTATGGCGAACCCCCTTTCCGTCGCCGGCTCGGCCGTTGCCGTGGTATCTCTGGGTCTTCGAGTGACCGGGGGGATCACGGAATACATCGACGCTCTTCATTCCCGTGACCAGTACATTACATCGGTTAGACAGAAGAATGATACATTACGAAAGACCCTTCAAGTTGTCGAGGCCTCGCTCTCTCGGCTTCAGTTGCAGGGAGATCATCAAGCGGCCGCCCAGGTAGTGCGAGAATGTCTGGATACGTCGATGAAAGAGCTGAAGGCTTTGGAGGATCTCATCACGGAACTTACCATCGGCGATCCATCGTTGCCTCGCCGGCAAAGTAAAATCAAGACTCAGGGCAGAAAGCTGATGTATCCGTTCAGTCGTCCAAAACTCGAACAGCTCGGGACGAGACTAGGGCACATAAACGCGGCACTTCAACTGGCGTTGCAGACTCTAGGCCTGTAAGTAAACATAAATATCCCCAATCCGTTGCAGATCAATTTTTAAACAAAGCTTCTTTTCAGTTCCATATCACAGTTGAGCACTGAGAAATTAGTTACGCTTGAGGCAGCCTCTATTGCCTTGTCTACCGATCTTCTGACGGTCCAGTCCGAAGTCTCGGCCATCGGTAACCCCCTCAAGGACATGCACAAAACTTTATCCGGAATTGAGTCACGCTTTGGAAGCCTTGAGAATTTATGTAAACGCCTGCTTGAAAGCCCGGCGATGCCCCGATCCACGCCAGAGGTGGGGAACTTCTGCCTAGAGCTTGTCATGTCATACTCATGCTTACCGCAAGTCTTAGGCCAATCCGAACATGATCACTAGCCGACTTCTTAGCAAGCCCGCGGTTTTGAGAGACATGTGTGATGCTTCTGGAGCTCGGGAATTCTACAAGTCAAATCAGTCCCCGTCCATAATGAATCATGGCTCAGCACAAACCAGCATGGTGTCAAGGTATCCCGGTGGAAGATTTTCATGTGTATGCCACCACCTACAACACCTACAACGGAACGATTCTGTCTGGGGCGCTATCAATGTGTCCATTGAGACCATCACGGAGAAGCATTTGCCTGGGTGTCCAGCCGGTCGAATGATATTAGACACCAATCAAAGTCGAAAGATTAGCTTCACGTACACAGGACTGCGAAATCTGCTCAACTCGGCTGTCCAGCTTTCGTTTATGATGCCCTCGGGTGCAGGAGGTTGGAGTCTCAGTTCTAACATCGCCGTCTATCCTATTGTCGACTCAAGAACTGCTCCGGTCTTCAAATTATTGACTATGGTTGAAACCGCTCAGAGGCATATGACGGATGAGACGAAACTGACAGAAACTTTGTACCCATCGGTGGTATCGTCAATACTGAGGCTGTTTCAAGCCCAGAAGGCATCCCCTCGAGCAGTTGACGATGAGAATAGGTCTCTCGTTCATTACTTGATTAAATGTGTGAGTGTCAAGTTATTTCCAATGAAACAGGGTGTCCACTCAACGTTCTGAAACACATCATACCATAACCATATCTGTTGAGTGGTATTATCTGGACAAAGAGTCTCAATGATGATCAATACTTCGAGTCCCAAACCTACCCTAAACATCTCACACCTTGTCACTTCGTTCCTTAGGCATCTACTAATCTTGGGATTCAGATTAGAAACTTGAGCCTTAATTTTTTAGGCCCATTGCCGAGCCAGGCAGAACCCAGTGTATTTCTTGAACTTCTCCAATATCTTCTCGTCAACAAGGCACCAGCATATAATTATGATGATTGGGGCAAGTATGTTGCTATTGCCTGCCCCCTTACCAAGTGCTTGCTTTATCGTCTTGCTGACATGTCATCCAGTACGCCTATCGCTACCATGTTTACGTCTTACTATTATTCTGCTGTCACCGATCCGATGTACTCTGCTGTTACGGAACTGATTCTTCGACATAATACTGAGGATGATGTAGTCTGCATATCAGGACCCCCGACTTCACCAGCAGCGGCGACAATTCTTGATCGGTCAGGGCGGAAGTATCGTGCAGAACCCTTCGTATTATTGCACCATTTTCTGTCAAGTTCGACTAAGTTGGCTGAAGGTTCGTAGTCCCTGAAATTCGGAGGGCCAGTGCTAAATACTCATTTTTTGTATTCGCAGCCTATGGATGTGGTCCATTGAGCATAGCAATTTTATCCAACAGCATGGAACAAGTTGAGTATTTGGTGAAGAAGCATCCCGCCACTCTCGCTGAGCGAAATCTTTTCGGATACACTCCACTCCATCTCGCTGCGGACAAACCGCAATTCTTACGGCTTCTGGCGAAAGCCGCAGATGCTTTTGTTCTCAACCAAGCGGACAACAATTCCGGAATCTCTCCGGTAGAAGCCGCCCTCATGCTCGGCAGCTTGAAGTGTCAAGAGCAAGAGAATAGTCCCCGCATGTGCCGGAGATGTAGATGCGCTGAGTGTGCCGTCATTCTTCTGAAAGCCGATTGCTCTGTTCCGGTGTCACCAAAATTGAGTTACGTACTAAGTTGTGCCTCCAAAAGATGTTGCCTGAAATATATACGACACATGAAGGCACGGAGAGACAGACTAAAGCGACTAGCTATTGACAACCTTTCTACAGCGGAATTAGAGCAGCTAGACCTATCTGCTGAGCATGTCCTTGATTCTCTTGCGCCACGAGCCATCCAACTCCTGCAGAATCGGGGTGTCTCTATCCCTGAGGCCCTCGAGATCGGTCCTTTGCCAGTATACCGAAATTTGAAAAATTTCCAATATGCTGAACTCTTCTTCCGGATTGGCTTTCATGACACAGACGCATGGATTGACGTTGAAAAGGCATCACTGGAGAGTATTCCTCCGCAACTGGATAGTTTTTCTACACAAGGCCCTTCCTATCTCCTCTGGCTGGGTGCACATGGGGCTACGTCTTGCCAATTCAAGTCCTTCGACTCACCTAAAAACATCTTCACCGCCCTTTTTCTATTCTTTGGAATTGGCCCGAAAATCAAAAAAGTCTTCTCTTCGTCTTGGAACTTACCCTTGGGCGCACTACCATTATCGCTAGAGGCTCGCAAAGACTGGTTTCGCACTGTGAATTCCGCGGTACTCTCAGCCGACATCCACGACGAATGTCGTTGCCTATGCTCCCCTGCGGGTTGTACCCCTATAACATCTCTTTTAAAAAGCGCTGTTGAACCCGCATCTTGGAAATATAATTTCGGAAATTCGGGGGGAGCTATTGTGGAGGAAATCACGCAGAGACCATCCATTTCAGGAATGATTAGTTCTTTTATTCATTATCTAGAAGATTTTTGGGTCCACTTCGAGGTCAGGCATTACACCGAAGCTCTCAGGTATCTGACCTTTGAGATCCTGGGGATCCCGCATTGCTGCTGTCAGGCTACGGCTCCGGTGTGCGATTCGCCAGACGAAATAGAAGATAAACACGGGTATGAACTGGCGCTGTTGGAAGAGCTCATGCACGAGTTTGGTGGAAAGCTCACCAACGTCCTTCAACATCCGAGCCTAAGCATTGATCATATAATCAAGTTCTGGACACATACCTTTGTCGATCGAATGGTTGAGGTTCTGGATAAGCTTGAAGGAGACAATTTAACAGTCGACGAGAAACGGGAAGCTGAAGAGATCGGGGTAGTCTGGAAGGCATTGGGACCTGAACCCCCGGAGCCCCCCACTCCTGAAATTCTGGACAACCCATACGATAAGAGCACCATAGATCACTGGATGTATGAGGTGTATAAGATTGAGGCAGCATGTTGAAACAAGCAATATGCAGGAATCTGCTTGAAGGAATGAGAGAATTTAGGAGTTCAGGGTAACAAGAGACTTTCGACATTAAGAATAGAGCCCACCTCTTAGAGATTACGTTCCTACATATTGTCACAGTAAACGGTCAAAGGATCATGAATGATTGGGTATCATATCAATTTCGCAAAAATGCTGTCCTATTGGTATTTATTACAGTTATGTCCATGGTGCCACCTCACATGATATCCACTAGTCTCACACAAAGCTTCTCTTTGGGCCTCAAGGTAAAACTTGGACTAGCAAGCTCGATTTGCGCCTGATCGTCGACGGCTTCTATCCGGAATTTAGTGACCATCTTAATCAGCATGACCTTCATCTCCACGATTGAGAGCTGCTTCCCGATACATACACGGGGCCCGTTGTGGAACGTCTCGAACGCATAGGCGTTTGCAGCAGCGCCTTGTAGGTTGTCCCACCGGTCTGGGTCGAACTCACTTGCTGTCGGACCCCAGACCTGCGGGTGGAGGTTGATCACGCCAGGGCAAGGATGGATGACTGTGCCTTTGGGGATGTGTACACCGGCGATTTCAACGTCTTCGATGGCCTCTCGGGGGACATAGGCGACTATTAGAGAGCAAATGCGTTAGTTATGGCCCCTTTTTTACTTTTGGGGCGAAGGGGTCAGAACTTACCTGGACAGTGTGTTCGCAACACTTCTCGAATAAAGTTGTCGAGGAACCGTAGGCGCTCAATCTGCTCATAGCCAAGTACCTCTGGATCTAGTCCCAGGTCTTCAAGCTCCTTGCGGATACGGTCTTGATGTTTAGGATCTCTTGATAAGATTGACACTGCCCACACCAAGCTACATGATGTAGTGTCGTGGCCCAATATCAGAAGGTTTAAAATCTAGAAGCCAGGGCAAGATGTCAGTCATGAGTCTGTGATATGTACGCTTGGGTTTGCTCACATATTCCACAATCTCTTCATCATTCCAAAGGGGCTCTTGCTCCATCATAAGACGGATCGCATTGGAAGTTCCCGTCTTGGTGCCGCTATTGATTTGACAACGACAGTCCCGAACATGGGCCCATATCAATTCTCTTATTTGTGCACAAGAACTCAGGAAGTTATTGTTCATCTCGATAGGCAGAAGTCTCCTCAGGGGCAAGTACGAGCTGAGGTAGTGGATAATATGCCCCGAGAGTGATTGCTTCATGGTTTCACCGACGAGTGTGTGAAGTTGCGAGTCATCGGACTCGACGTGGTTCAAGTCTACTCCTAGCGCCTTGATTCCAATTAGATCAAGGGATGCTTTCCACAGAAGGCTTTCCACTGTAGGCTGTTAGAAAAGTCCCCTTGGAACTGGCAGGAGGATGAATTGATGGAGCTAACTTGCCTTCAACCTCGTTGGATCTTTGCCGAGCTGACTCTAGACAACGAGAGAGAGCATCGGCTTTAGCATTTATTGTTGGAACGAAATTCTTGACGGATGGGATGGAAAAGGCTTCTGTGTCACAGGAAAGAGTGGTTAGTTCCATGTCACCCTAAGCTCCGATAAGCTGAGGACTTACTGAGCAGAACACCTTTGCGGCGGCGGTGCAAATCACCCTCTGCAAATGGAAGGCCATCGCCAATCACAACAGTAGCAGCCTTTCTCGTCAACGCTGGCTTGGAGAATGAACTATTCTTGGTCTGAAGAACTTCTTGATAGGCTTGAACCGAGTTAATGATAAGGTATTCTGAGTTGAAGAGCCCTAAAAAGCGAATGAAGGGGCTCTCGGGCCATCGATGGGACCACTCTTGATAGAGGTAAGGAACCCAGGCGGCCTTGAGGAACTTCTTGCATTGGCCAAAGATGAGATTATTATTCTATATTATGTATTAGTCCAGGTGAGAATTCCACATGGGAAAGAAAGAAAAAGAACTGGCATAGCTCACGCACCTTGGGTCCAGGAAGCTTCCTCAGAGGGGAGACGTAAAACGGGTATATGAAGACGAAGAAAAAGAGTTTGGATGCATGGTACAAAAAGAATGCAAGCAACAGTATGACTACTGAGGCTCTCACCAAAGTTGGGGTGACTGGTTGCACTGTGAACTGACTCATGGTTGGTTGCCTCAACTTGCAGGTGACAGTTGGTTGTGTTGCAGAGAGAGCAAATCAAGTGAAGCAGGATATTGGTTTATATAAAATCCCAACAGGAGCAAATTAACACTGGTGGCAGTGTTAGCCTGCGGGAGGGAGTCGTCCCCAAACGATGGAGCTCTTTGTCAACCCATAATTAATCTAGACCGGGTTTGTTTATGGTCACTTCAACAAGGATCGACATGGATCCGAAGCAATAACAAGGAGAAAGGAGGAAGTAGTTCTAGTTGTTTTCGGGAGACAGGGGATTGTTCTTTGGGTACAACGCGGGTGGCCGATGAATCCAGACGTGGCTCCCGAGGCCACCCATGTCAGGTACCAAGGTGGCTTTAGGGATTGTTGGAGCTAGAGTGTATCTACGAAGTCAAAGAGCCAGGGATCCATAGAAAACTTTGCTTGTTCGATCTTGTGTGTAAATGAGCGTGGCGGATATCAGCCCAATGACCTGCAGTGTGGTGATACCGATATGCGTGGCAGCCACCTTAGGATTTTGGGTTGCCAAGCCTTGGGTGACCTTTCCATGTCAATAACGTCTTCGGTACAAGTCATAGCTTTGCCGCAGGCTGACAGCGTATGATAATAGATCTGACATGTTTTGATAAGGGACTTGGGAGCCAGATTATCATCTGCGAAATCCTTCACCCCACAATGGTGAGGAAAGGGACCAACGACGACGGATCCATCTGCCTACGAGTCCACGCCCATGTAATTCTCCGTCCATTCATGCATCAAAGAATGACGAAAAACTGTTCCAACGGTGTGGCTACTGTGGGGATCGATCCTCCTGAACGGAGCCAGGAGTTCCCACATACGAAAAACGACAGTCGTATAGGGGCAACCATGCGCGAGCTGATCAAAGACACTTTAAGATGCAGAGAAGCAAAACAACTAGGATGAATTTTCGGAAGCTTTGGGGGCCTGACCGTTGCAAGTTCCACAGCATGGCAGCGGAATTATGGCAAGACATACATTGTATGTCTTGCCGGGAACTTGGGCGCAGTCAACGGCTAGGAGCAGCCGCGCATGACAGCTCATCGTGACGTGCCGTGATAGTATAAGCTACCGTCTGTTTCTTAATAGCAATTCCTAGTGTCTTATTTTCATGTGATCTTGTTTCAACCATTGTTGGGGGCGATAGACGCGCAAGCAAGCTGATTCCTTTGTGCAGCATCCGATCCATGTTGCAGCTATTATAGCACACAAAGGCGATTTCTAGATACGATCGAAGTGATCATACGTCTGTGCTTTTAGGCAAATCAGCGGGTATTCGATTGTCACACGCACTACTCTACCTCCTGCGATCCAGGGGGGGGCGGGGCAGGGGCTAGATGCAGTGCGGCTCTCAGTGAATGTTGGGCGTTGATTTGCCTGTTTTCATTTTCTGACCGCTTCATGGAAGACTGGAAATACATGCGAGAGATGGGCAGGTCTGCGGGAAAGTGACGCGGAAGCACCTATCAGCTGCCGGCGTGGCCAAGCCCAGCACGGCAGTACGTCCAGCGGCAGACTGGGGTCGAGCTGGGTCATCGGCTGATCATCTGCGGTGGAATGCATGCAGGGATCCTGTCCACAGACGTCAATCTCAAACGTCGTGCAAGCCCATGGGGTTCTGCTGTTGGCTTTTTGGCGGTTGCAATGGCGATGGTGACTGCGATCCCTTTGACACGGAGGACCGGGGACGAGATCAAACGAGCGTGATAGTAGCATCGCATCCATTCATGCGAGCCACGGAGGCAACCAACGGCGTTTAGGACGTAGTGGCATGTGAAAGCAACGCAAGACGGAGGCGTTACGAGTTTGCGAGCCAACACCCATCTGGTTGAGGCTGTCACCACATCATCATTGGATGGAGGATCTTATTATTAGACCGTCAGCCGTGGCTTGATGGCACCTTGGTGTGGCCCCCTGTAAACCCCCAGCCTCTAGGGCTGTTGTTAGCGGGTGGGAACCATCCTTAGGGGCGGTCGGGCCACTACAGATCAGTCCTAGCGCTGTCGCAGCGACGGGAGTGGCGGCCTTCGCGCTTATTCCTACCGCCTGCCATCACCAACAAGTGACATCGTCACCCACAGCCTTCCTTCAATGCAACCAAGCAGAAGCACTCGCCCTCGATCCGCGCTGTTGGCTCGGAGCAATATACTCAACGGGAGCCAGGAAGATAGCATCCTGTCAGGGGGCACCATTGTTCTGGCCCGGGACTTCCATGGCTTCCTGCGGGAGATAGGATAGCAACCACCCCTTACCACGGATACGGACGTGGGCGGCCGAACCGCACCTAACCCTTTTTTTTTTCCTTTTTTCCTTGCTATTGTGCATCCATTCTTAGGAGGATTTCTATTCAAACTCGGGTTCTTTCACCTCAAAGCATTGTCTTTCATTGCACGCATCCTTGGCCCCCAAGCCACTCCCACATGGACGGCTAGAGCGGCCAGCGCAGCAGAAACAACGGTGAATGTGTGCAACCCAAATTATCCGAATCGACCTGTCGAGAAGCATGCAGCAAGCTTAAGTTGACGCTGTCCACTGGTGACCAAGCCATTGGCCGTGTCACCCTGCCGCCACCCAATGGTGGGAAGCCCAGCCTAGCCAAGCGATCTTTTCCCTATCGCTCTCGGCCCAAGACATCCAAAACATTGTGGCTTGGTAGGGAAAATACATGAGATGCGGGGGGATAGACGCCTTGCCGTGGGTTTCGTGTGTATACGGACTCCGTCCGTAGCAAGAACCCATGCTGTGCGAAGTCTATGTACGACTATCCAGGCAGCTCATGGGCACAGCGCCCCGTGATTTTCATGCTCACTCTTCCGGCTCTTCGATCCGAAGAGAATAAAGGGAAGAAATGGGAGAATACTCCACCCCTGGCCCCTGCGAAGACCTAATATGGCAACCATGTCCTGCCATTTACCTTTTCTCTTTCGATTCACTTGGGGTGGGAGCCCAATCAAGCACGCAGCAGAATATATTTGGGTATCTGGGTGGGTGGTATATCACGTCACTTAGTGTAACATCGCATGGTCTGCCTAAGCATATGCATGGAAAAACTAGCCAACATGTAGCATTTACCAACTACATGGTTCAATGGAGTTATACATGCAGCTGTTTGTTTGCCAGTTGACCCTTATCCTCGGGCCCGACATGCTGACCACACACACTCGACGGAGAGACACGGTGTCTTATCACCAGCACTTTGCTTCCTCCTCGGTGTGGCTCTATTCTGAACGCAAATGCGGGCGTGCCCAAAGCAGGAGCTCGCCCCGAGGGGCGTAGAAGAGCCCGGCCAAACCCTTTGGGGTCCGACGTTCGTTGATTTCATCATGCGTTGCACCACATACTAGCACAAGATCATCATGATTCGAGGACAACATTGGATGGATATACGAACTTGTATCAGCACCAGCCTTTCCGCTCAGCTACTTTACACCAGACCGTTGATATCGTATCTGGGGCTGTCTATTGTCCGTAAATTGGCTTTTTTCTGCAACGGCTGCATGTGCCACCACGTTCCTCGTCCAGCGCCAAAGACATGGCGGACAAATCAAATAAGTTTCCGAAAACAGAAACGCAAATGAAACCGATCCCGTCTATACGGCAGCCTACCCACTGGTGCCAATTTCGAGATTGGGGGCTGTAGATTGGAGTGGGATAGTCTCGTTACAGCCACCAGATATGTCAACCCAATCATTTCCCGCCATCCAACTCACCGTTTCTTCCTTCGTCGACATGCCTTGTCAGCAATGTAACACACGCAAGTTTTAGCCGTTCCTTTGGTATCGACACACCTTGGCAGGGATACCTCCCCCTCCTCGCGCTGGGGACAATAGAAGTAACACAACTCATGTGGTGGACCAAGCTGTTCCATGAACTACCCGATGCCCTGACCGCTGCAAGAAGCCCAGGCAACGCGCCATGATTCACCTTGCCGTTGGGGGTGCCGATCAAGCCCTCCTTTTGCTTTTTTTTCCATTGGGGATGTCCCGCCAAAAGTCCTCCAATCGCCCGTCTTGTCGGAATCAGCATGCATGCGTTCGCGTTGGGGCCGGCCACCTCTCTAGCACTCCGCATCAGAGATATAATAGCAAGGACCCAACAGTGAGAGCCATTCCCCTCTTCACGTGGTATCTCCATGGTATCTCTCACCATTTGAAAAATATCGATTGCTGTCTCTTGCACACTGTCCTCTATCTTTTATCTACCCTCAAATCAACTCAAACCCACACAGGGCTGTCTCATCTTGAAAATGGAGAACGAACAAGCTCCAACTTCACCTGAGAGCAGCATTCAGCCATCTGGAGGCCCAAGGGGCTTTGCAGAATGGAAGTGGAAGGGCACTATTGCCGTGATATATATGACCAGCTTGATCAACGGTATGCCCCAGGTGACATCTTTCTCCAAAGAATAAATACCTAACTGATTTTAAATACAGGCTATGATGTCAGCAATGTTGCAAATATCCAGCCACGCCTCTATGAGGCGTTTGGTGGTATCGAGCTCCTACCTTGGATAGGCTTGTCCTATTCTCTCGCCAACTTCGCCGTCCTCTCTCTAGGAAGAAAGGCGACGTACTGTTTCGATCTCAGGATCATCTATCTCACTAGCTTGGCCATCTTTCTGGCTGGTTCTGCCGTCGCCGGCAGTGCCAAGAGTTTGACCACAGTCATCGTTGGTAGAGTGATCATGGGCGTTGGCGGTGCCATGGTCCAGCAAACGTATGTCCCACACCTTTCTATCCACAAGATCTCTATCGAGCAGCACATTCTAAGTCAAAATGCATTAGAAATATGTCGTACATGGCCGTTTTTGCTACTGCTGCCGAGACCCCTGGCCTCTTCGGCACCATGAGCGCCATGTGGGCAGTCGGGCTCGTCGTGGGAGGACCCATCGGAAGTGCCTTTGCTGAAAATGCTCATGCAACCTGGCGATGGGCCTTCTACCTGAACTTGCCCCTTGTCGGACTCGGCTTCCTCATCTCTGCCTTCTGCGTTCCTACGCACTCATTCGCGACCCAGATCCCCATTCTCACCCGTCTGAGGAAGGCTGATCCTCTAGGGATGCTGTTCAACATTGCCCTTCCCGTCATATTTGCCATTGCCCTGACTTTCTCCGGCCCCATCTGGGACTGGGGCTCTCCAAACTCGATCGCCGTCTGGGTCGTTTTCGGGGTCGGTCTCGTAGCCTGGTGGGCTCAACAGTACTTTTGCATCTTCACCACTCCAAAAGACCGTGCGTTCCCAATGCACATGCTCCGTCGACTCGACTTGATGCCTATCTGGCTGGCCTCCGGGTGCGCCGGTGCATCTTACGCAGTCACTCTTTACTACAGCCCCTTGTTCTTCGCCTTCGTCAAGGGCCATGATGCACTTGCCCAGACTGTGAGACTCCTGCCGTTCATCCTACCATTCATCGTGGTCGTCATGTGCACTGGCGCACTCCTGCCTCTTTTCGGACGATACAAGATCATCTATGTTCTTGCCGGCACCTTCACAGTCGCCGGAGCCGCTGCACTAAGCTCAACTCTGAAGGTTGACGTCTCCGAATCTCAGGTCATGGGCTTCGAGGCCCTGCTGGGGATTGGTCTTGGCCTGCAGTTCCAGCATGGTTTCGGCGTCTCCAATGTGATCAACAAGGACGCCCGTGACCGGGTCGACAGCACGGTCATCTGCAACATGTTCCAGATGGGAGCCATCTCCACCATTCTCTCCGTTGCCGGCTGCATCTTCCAAAATGTGGGCTACTCCCTTCTTTTAGATGCTGTCGGTGGAGAAGGGTTCTCCGGCCATGACATTCGCGAGGCTCTTGCTGGTGTATCCTCTCCCATCTGGCGGACAGGAGACCAAGCAGTGCTCAAGAGCGGCCTCGAGGCTGTGACCAAGGTCATCGCAAAGGAGTTCTACATTGTCATAGCTACGGGGGCCTTGTGCCTTGTTTGTGGAGCCCTCATGAAGTGGGAGAAGCTGGACTATGGAAGGAAGAAGCCTGCGAAGAAGCAGGAATCTGGAGACTCGAGCTGAGATGGCCGCGAGCCCCCTTCGGAGCTAAATTGAAGCATGTCGTAGAAGGCTCTCCTAAGAGGCCTTCTCATTGAGTGTATCGAATTTACTATGATGTTTTTTGCACAGCTAGCTACTAAGTAAGATTGCTTTCGTACCTCGTGATCGTAAATCTATCCAAACCGAGCTTCTTGACGAGTGAACATCTGCGGATCCTATACTACCTAGTCGTGATCAACCCCATCAATCGGAAGCCAACCCATGCTGCTCGCTGAACTCTTGCCTTTCTGAGAAAGGCAGTGCATCAGGCATCCCGTGTGGAACGAAAGTGAAGAGTATCTCAGCACTGATGCCCAACCTCAAAGAAAAAATACTACAAGGGGAATAAAGATGCGAATCGCTCAGGCCCTGTTGTCCGAGGGTGTGAGAATAGCAGGAACGTGCTCCAGCTCGACGCATTAACTCCTGTTCATCTGTAATTTAAAGCCGTTCCGTCTCAGCCGCAGGCCATTGTTACATCCCCTCCTGGGAGATCTGGTTTTTCGGTCTGCATGCACAGGGGCGATGCAGATGCAGATGGGATCGGGAACGCATGGACAGCGCACTTGCCGATCGGCCTGTGGCATTAAATGCCAAGCTATGCGGGCACCGGGAAACGGGTGGCTGGGACAACGAGGACGGGCGATTGTGTTACCTGCGGTGCAGGCAGAGCCCCGTGGGATATTGCAAAGGATAGATGCCTTAGATGAGGCCAGAGTGAGTGAGGTACGTACCTATAATTCCGCGATGCGGAAGCAGAGAGACCCACTGTACTAAGGTACGTCACTGTAGTGGTGGCCGCCAGCTGAACAGCACCGATCTTCAGTGGATGGGCGCTGTACCTATCCTAACCCTAACCCTGGAACCACGACTATAGGACTGTGCTACCTGATCGCAACCACGGCGATTATCATCAATTCTGTGAAATATGCGTAGATTTTCATTGTAGTCGTGACGAGGAGAGACACTGTGTTTTATTTAATAGTAGGAATAGACTGAATCATACAATCCGGAGCCTTCGGTTGCTGCGGACTGCGACAGCGGAAGTGGAAGCCTTCGGGGCCAGCGATCATTCCGCTCCGACTGACATCGCGGTATAATTACGTCCCAGGAAGGGGAGCCTCTCACGTGCTTTCACACACTGCCTTCCTCATCGTCCAAACATCACAATTCATCGTGCGCAAGGACGTTAGATTCATTAGGAACTGCTCGTGGGAGCTGTCACGATCACCATTCCGGGAGATCCGGCCTCAACTATCCTTCATCGTCGTCACAATGTTGGCGGAGATCACACGGCCCTGGGTCTTAATGGCCATATCCGCCGCATGCTTCTTCCTCACAATCTTCAAACTCATTGCGGCCTTTGACCTGCGGACGCTGGCCTCCTGGCCCAAGTTCAAGGAGACCTGGTTCGGCGTCCTCTGGACCTACGTGGCCCCCATCACCAAGAAGGCCGGGCTGCCCAAGGTCCTCCCCCTCGTCGAGGGCCGCGTCCGCAACGGCGAGGTCCACGACAAGGTCGTTAGCCAGCCCCTCCACGGCACCGTCCTCGAGGTCGGCGCGGGTAGCGGGCTCTGGACGGACGCGTACAAGAAGGTCGCCGACGAGGCAAAGCGCACGGGAAAGCCAGGTCCCACCAAGATCTACGGCGTCGAGCCGAACCACATGTCGGCGGCGACGCTGAGGCAGCACGTCAAGGAGATCGGCCTGGACCACGTCTACGAGGTCGTGCCCGTTGGGATCGAGGATCTGGGCAACCCCGATGCCTGGGGTGCGACCATCGAGCCCGAGAGCGTCGACTGCATCGTCACCGTCCAGTGCCTGTGCAGCATCCCCGAGCCTGAGAAGAACGTGGCTCTTCTGTACAACTACTTGAAGAAGGGGGGCAGGTGGTATGTCTACGAGCACGTTCGGAATGACCGTGGCGGTCTCTGGTATTTTTTCCAATGTAAGGAAGCAACTTCGAACCCCAGCCAGTTTAGTAACGAAGAATCCAGTTCTAACCTCTTGATGGCAGCTTTTACCGACTTTTTCTGGAAATACATGATGGGCGGGTGTCGTTTGTGTCTTAATACGGAGAAGACCCTGACCCATACCGCCATGTGGGATAAGATTGACCTCGCCCAGCCACCGGAGGAGCCTTCTTACCAAATGGTGCCCCATATATATGGCACACTGGTGAAATAGGCTTTTCATAACAATTCTAGGGAGTTAGTGTGTTTCAGGCGAGCTCGAAGCACTTGGTTGGATCGATTGCCAGCCAAGGATGGAAGAACTTCAAACACTTCGCCAGGTGAATTCCGAGGAATAGGCGTAGGTTTTCGAGAAAGGTGGGATGGGTGGTACCGTCAGGTCATCGAGTTCTCCTATAAACAAAAAAATATTGTGATTTTGAAGCCATAGACTCTCGTTAGTTGCTTGCCAAAAGGGGTAATGAGGCTGGGTGGGTGAAGTGGAAAGGAAGGCCCAAATCGCAAGAAGACGAAAGTGAACACTAATCTACCATCATGTATCATGTATCTACATCAGGATAGCTCCAACGTCAATAGACATAGTATTATCCAACGCTATCTTCATATTCTTGTGCTCGACTACTCAAACTTCTTTGGTGCAAGGATTGAAAGCTTGTCACTCTCACAAGCCGAGTACTCTTCGAATCTCCCTATCCCTATCATCGAGCATAGCAGGATCAGGCATCCCATAAGCCTCCTCCGTCTGCTTAACAATCTTATCAACCCAAGCACCCTCCTCTTCAGCCTTTCCTTGTCCTCCAAAGTTCACGCTTCCCAGGCCGTTCCAAACAGTCTGAATCGTAGAGCTTAGGTTCCCCAGGAAATGCCGTATGCCACCGGCTCCTCCGCCCATGTGGTATGACTTGAATGGTCCCTGGACAGCCCACCTCGGTCCCAGGCTCGCTTCCATGACTGTATCTAGATCCTTTGCGCTCACCACGTCATTCTCGACTAGGTGCACGGCCTCCCTCAGCAACGCAAATGCCAGCCTGTTGCCGACGAAACCTGGAATCTCCTTCTTCAGAACGACGGGACGGTGGCCCGAGCCAAGAGTCTCGAAGTACGTGCGGGCAAAGTCAGTTTCCTCAGCCTTCGTCTCCGGAGACGGGACAATCTCGATGAGGGGCATGATGTGAGGTGGGTTGAAAGGGTGCACGACGAGCAGACGGGTGCGGTCCTTCATGGACTGGTTCTGAGCGGATGCGAGGATCCCAGAGGTCGAGCTCCAGAAGTGGGTGTTAGGAGGGGCGGCAGCCTCGATAGCCGTCCACGTCTTCTGCTTGAACGAGATGTTCTCTGGGCCTTGCTCCTGGATGATGTCGGCGTCTGCACAGGCGTCCTCGAGGGAGTCACATATCACCAGGCGGCCGGCGGTGATGAGATTGGCTACGTCGAGGGGCGGGCTCTGCGGGTCGTTTGCGTAAAGGTATCCGGGGAGGACGGAAAGGAGGTGCTCTTTTAGATCTGGTCTTGGGTCAAAGGTTTTTACTGTGCCGTTTGTGAAGCGTAGGTGAAGGGCGGCGAAGGAGATGCCGATTGATCCCAGGCCGATGAGGGCAATGTTGTAACTCGGTGGTGATGGCATGATGGAGGAAATAGGAATGCCTGTAGATATGAAATTAGAAGAAGCTTTCAATTTCTATATGATTTGATCTGATTGTACCTTTTCTGAAAGTGTGATGGGATACTGAACGGCAAGAAGTGTTTCGGCGACGAGTTGTGATGACGAACGACGACGAACCTCCACCTCCCGCGGGGTTAATCGTGAGTCGTCTCCATTTCCAAATCCAGCTATAGCCGTGGGCTGAGGATCTACGAATTCATCACGGGGAGTGCATAGGCTCTTCCGAAGCATTTTTGGTGTTTTTCTGAAGCCGAAAATGTGTACGCAGGTAATTGTATGTATTTGTCACACCTTGGCCTCATCACGCATTTTCTAACTCATCACAGGCACAGATCAAGCATCCTCCTCCTCCATCTCGTCTCTATTATTTTGCCTCCTCTCGAACCAGATCAACTCCTTCAAGGCCGGCTCAAGATCTAATCCCATCCTCACAGCCACTCCTCTCTCGAACGAAAACTCGGCCGCGATAGGGTCTGCACCACCCTCGAGGTAATCACAAAGATATGCCGTGTATTTTGTCTGGCCCTCCCGATGCTCGAACTCCAAGGTAAAGCCAAAAGAGCGGTCTGTCGCATCAATGAATAACCTGCCGTCCTTAATTTCCACCCTCAGGCTGTGGTATCCCGCGTTGGAGTAATCCCCCGTATAGGCCGCAAGCGGTGTCACCTGCGCCTGCAGCTCGGTTTTGCCTCTCCCCCTGGTAGAACGGGGAGGCGGACCAGCCACGACCTTGGTGGCCCTTTTCTTGCCCTCCTTCTTCTTGCCTTTCTCCTGTGCTCGTCGTTCCCCCTGCGGTACCCCCAATGCATCGTCCAGGAGTTCCCGCATCAAGATTGAGCTAACAGCCATGGCACCAGATGCATTTCCGAGTACAACGGCCCCGACCTTGAGTTCAGGCACGAAGAAGAATCTACCGCTAAATCCCGCCGTGTTCCCATCATGCCATACCACCGCATGACCTCGATAATAGTAGATTTCAACCCCTGCAGCGTAGAACGAAGGAGAAGTCAGAGGCTTGAGTCTCTTGCCACTCGGGTCTCTGAACGAACGCAGTCGAACCATTCCCTCGTAGACGTCCTCGCAGATAGGCCCCTCTCGGTTCATCAGAGCCTTGACCCATAGAATCAGGTCGTTGGCACTCGATACCACCGATCCAGCCCCCTGGCCCTCTGGGCAGTCCTGTATTTCGAATCCATAGTAGGTTGAGTCCTCCTTCTCCCAGAGATAGCCTATGGATAGGCGTGAGCCCAAACCGTGATCTCTTGCCCTTTGAGGCTGCAAGTGCGTCGACGCCATCCCCAAGGGGGCGAAGATACGGCCATGCAGGAAGTCTGCAAAGGACTTCTTGCTCTTCTCTTCTACGAGGTATGTAGCTACTGTGTACATTGTATTCGAGTACAGGTATCTAGAACGCAAAGGGGCCGCGATGGATAGATTTCGCAGGTTTCTTGTGATGGAGCGTGGTGTATCAGGGGATTTAGCACGGACACCCAGGCAAGAATTATTATGTCTAGATAGATTCATTCTCATCAGCGGCTGGTCTATCTACCTTCCATAATGCTATACTTCGTAAGGATTTTGTCACTAACCCTGATAATCCCGTCCTGTGGCCCAAAACATCGTCGACCGTCACTCCCGCAGTATAAGTCTCATCGGACATAACAAAGTCCTCGGGCAGCAGAGTCGACATGGGCGTATCGAACTGCACCTCTGGATGGTTCTTGTTATCATTAACAAGCAGCACCACAGACGCAGCGGTCAGTGACTTTGACATTGAGGCGATATCGAAGATTGTGTCTGGAGTGCAGGGCGTCTCCGAGTCCAGGGATGCATAGCCATAGCCCGCAGAGGCAAGCTGATCACCGTGAACAATGGCCACAGCGAGACCAGGGACATGATTCTGCTGCATCAATGTCTCCACATGGATTGGAAAATCGTCTGAATGGAAAAGATTCATTTTGGCCCTCGTGAATAAGAGTCTCGAGTGCGGGTGCATGCAGAGAAAGCTAACAGCTGTCAGCATTTACTATAGTTGGAATAGATTCCGGGCGGTGAGTGTTATTTTGCCCCATTCAATAGATTGACGAATAGGCCCTCCCCTTATGTTCCTAATTGGAAGGCTATCTGTGGCAGCGAAAATCCGCTGTTGGCTGGCTGCCTCAACTCCGCCTCACCCTTCTGATATGGCTTATTGTGTCTGTTGGCACTCTTCTATATTCCACAAATCTACGTAGATATATAAACCAAATCACCAGTATTTCATTAGAATGGAATTAACTATTATTGACAAGATTTAAATAAGATCTAGATTATCCCAGTAGGTTTGAATGCAAATGTCTCTGGAGCCTGACCCTCGTTCGGATTCACAATGCTAAGCTGAATGCGCCTAATTTCTCAATGTATTCTCAAGTCTTTCTCAATAGGCTCTCACTATCATTCAACATGGCCTCTTTAGGAAAGCAGCTTCGTGAGGGTCCTCGGGGACCTATAAATATCGCCTCCTCCTCCCAGAGAACCTCTCCCTTTCTCTTCCTTTCATCCTCTCAACCCAACCATCACACTTCTCTCAGCGGTAAGTAACCGAACAATTCCTCCATTCCAAGAAGATTCTATCTTCCTTCATTGCCTTTCACTAACACATTCTCTTCCTAGCAACAGCCAACCCCCACCACCACCAACCACCAACGCCGCCGCCGCCGCCGTCACCACCAACATCTCAGCACAATGGCTGAGAACGCCGAGGTTTCCCTTCCGGTCGCCGAGGCGACCATCAACCCTCTCCCCAAGTTGGGGATCCACCGTCCGGTCCGAAAGGACCTTGGAAAGAAGCTTGCTTCTTTCCACATGTTCAACCAGCTCCCGCAGGAGCTGCAAGATGAGATTTGGACTGCCGCCGTCCAAACTCCAACTGTCCTCGCACCCGAGCGGGTGACAGAAGAAGGGCTTGTCCGCTGGGACAAGCAGGCCGTTTGGTCCTTCCAAGGGATGGACCCGCACACCCTCAGCCAGGTGTGCAGAGACTCAAGGGACGTGGTCAAGAAAAACTGCGTCACCATCCGGGGGAAGGCCGACACCCCCATCACGACCAAGGGGCCGGTCGTGTATGCGAACATCAACGCCACGATGTTCGTCCTTGGCGACCTTACCGTAGAAGGGCACTCCTTTTACGCGAACGACATCGCCAAAATGCAATATGTTACGATCGAGGGTCGTAACGCTGGCTTCTGTTGGGTCCCAGACCCGTACAACCTCCAACCTGGGCCAGCATCAGGAGCTTTGGCAATCCTTGCACCCTTGGCCAGGGACATCAAGGCCGTCTTCGTACATCATAAGCTATCTATCAGCGCCTCCGAGGACCCAGTGCGCATCGCCCAGGATCTCGACATGTTCGTCACCCCTGACCCGGCCTCCTTCGTCGACGGCATTCGACCGCTGAATGCAGATCTGTTCTCATATCTCTCGCGTTTTGTGGGCTATGATGGCCCTGAAATTAATGACGAGCGGCGCTGCACTTACGTGCAGCATAAAGAGAGAGAGCTGTCGAAGCTCCTCTTTGTCGCCGAGGATGCCTTCCCCAATGGGTCGCCACCAATTCATTTCTTGCCGCTCTTCTCCCCTTACCGGGAGTACTTTGCCGACGCAAGCCAGGATCGGCCCATTCAACATGCCGCTTGCCATCACGAGCTAAAAGCTCGTGACGAGGTTACCGATGACGAGGGTAACAAGATTTGCCGGCCCCCGTCAGCCATGACGGAAACTCAGGCGTTGCTGACTTCCCGGCAGGAGGAAATGGACGACTACGAGGCGGCGATGCTGGCCGCCTGGCCTGAAGAATGGATGTAGACTCTGCTCAGCAGCAGTCCATCCGACCGGTAATATCGCACTGGTCATTCTTACGAGTTCACCTTACCCTGGCGTCTCCGTCACATTCATTCCCTTTGGTGGTTTTTCAGCTCCGCTAACGTTTTCTCATTCACTCTGAAACACAGTCTTTACTGCCTCTTGTCGTCTTGTTTCTCTCTCTCTTGCAGATCTCATCGAACGAATTGGTTGCACTTTGCATTTGGTCATTTCCTCAGGTACGAACGGATCGGTTGCATTTTGCCTCGAGTCATTTTTTTCAGGTACGAACGGATTATTTTCACCTTTCCTTGAGAATCAGTTTTTCAGGTACAGACGGTTTAGTTTCACTTTGCCTTGAGACATCTTCTCAGTTACGAACGACTTGGGTCTCACTTTACCTTGAGCTCATGAACAGACCGAATCAGCTGGCACTCTGCCTTGAGTTCACATACTCAGGTATGATGAATATCACTCTCCACTTCTCGTCACAATCAGTCTCTCAACTTCTCGAATCCTGGGCCACAAGGAAGAAATCGAATACAAAACGAACAGATCTATTGCACTCTACCTAGAGTTCATTTTCTCAGGTATGATGACTATCATCTTCTACTCTCGTCACCATCATTCTCTCAACTTCTCGGGTCCTGGGCCACAAGGACAAACGGAATACAAGCAGAAACGGAATCAAGCACCAGATGTGCCCGTCTATCATATCTCCATCGACAACCGAACGAGCATGATGCCTCTCGCGTCGCTCCAGATTACTCATATTCATCGGTACGTTTCTTCGACTATCGGCACAAGAAGCCCAGGGAGTTCACCTTCACGAGGCATGTGTCATTCTCACATTTTGGTATTGGTACGTTCATCGACGATTGGCCTTCAAAGAACAAGGATTTTCGCCCACGAGGCATTGCTTACACGGACACATCCGGATTTTAAAAAACGGCGAGTGGAACACAAGGCAGTGGAATTGATTTGGCATTGGTATGTTCGTCGACGATTGGCACACAGAGCACGGGGATTTCCGCCCACAGGAGGCATTGCTGAAATGGACGCATGGAAGTTTTCTAAAAACTGCGAATGGAACACGATGGAACGGAATTGATTTGCTCAAACAGACACTGGATTTGGTTGGAATTGAAGGGTCAATGTTCTCAAGACAGGTTGGAATTGTTCGGCATTGTGATTAAGTTCAGGATGCACATTTCTCACGTATCATGTCTTCGGATGCGAATAGACTCATCTTCCTCCCACACTTTGATTAATTGTCCTACACTGTGTATGCGTTCAGCCTGAGAAACGGAGCTCACGCCGCCGTCTAAATTATCCAAGCAGATTCCAAATATCCATCGCGTATCACAAACTCCTAGTTCCTCTGGGAATTGATTATGCTTGGAGTTAAGTTAGAATAATACACGAGAGGTAGTGTACAGGAGCCGGTTAAATCGTTTAATCTAAGAAGAGAGTCCGCCCTTGCGTCCAGCCTCCTTGGCCTTCTCGCTACCAGGTTCAAACGACCCGGAGGATGCCTGCCCGCCCATGGAAGCAATCTCACGCTAAGTGTTGTCAGATTTCACGATCGATTTCACTTCTTCATTCACCTCCGGCTGGGATGAATCTCACCTGCTTATCGGGGTCCATGCTGGCAAATCCGCCCTTGTGGCTGGACTGGCCCCCCTTAGAGGCGATTTCCTTAACCTCCTCGGTGGGACTGTTAAAAGGGAGAGATGTTAGCTATTAGATTCCATTGGATATTTCTTTCCTCATGACAATTGGTGTGCTCACCGGTTGGCAAAGTTTCCGGGGTTCTGATTGTCGGTCATTGTTGCAGATGAACTCGGGAGAGCTAGTTCAAAGTGGTTTAGATGATTTCTTGAGTAGATTGAATGATTGAATAACTTGATGAGGAGAAATAGATTATCTTTTCGAGTTCAATCACGGGCTTTTATGGACGGTTGATGAACGCCCAAGCGACTCAATGCCGTCATTCATTCTAAGATCAATTCCATTCCATATCCACTCCGACAAGTGAATGACGCTGAGAAAGGTCACATTTATGTTCAATTCTCCCTTCTCTGACGTGTTGCTGCTTTCTTAGATCGATCCAAAATAACCAGTAGGCGGTCTAGGTTTCAAGATGGCCTAGTGAGTAATCGAGAGTGATGATCTGCGATGTAGATATACTCACGGACCTCCAGGGCAGCAGGAGAAAAAAAGAAACAACAAAAAGGAGCATCCTGCCCGCTGATTTAGAAATTGATTACGTAGGTGCTGCTAGACAGTAGGGGATAAGTCATATTTCATTCAGAATAGTCACGGATAGTTTTCCGTCTATGACGCCCTCTAACTGTCAACTCACGAAATCCCTAGGATGTCTGCATGTGTAGTATCTACCTAAAGATTCACGGTGACAGTGAAAGAGAGTGTAATAATGATGTTTCCCATTATTACAACCCCACGTGGGATTGACTGGGATGGCATCTGCATGTGCTTTACTCCGGGCATTGCAACATACCCAAAAAAGAGGAGTGAACTCAATCCAACATGGGATCGGACTACACTGCGACGCAATTACAGCACGAGGCTGGATTCGCTTATGCGATGCACCCAGAACATGAAATCCTTCGGGTCAGCAATCTACACGGTGGTGTCTCCCATCCGGCCATGTCCGGGCCGTCGACACACACACACACAACCTTAATCACCGGCTGGCTATGTAAATGGATCCGAAGGCAGCTGCGTGCGCAGTCACGAAACAGGCTTCGGACTCCGGCTAGGGCCCGGCTCCCAAAACCGGATACCTGGGCAGTATGGAATACCACCAGGTGATGGGAAGACGATAAGAGAACATGATAGGGCAGGCCAAGGTCAGATAGGAGGCACGCGCATACTCCAGTCAACATTAGCCGTGCCAAGGTCGTGTTGCATCATCTGGGGAGACTGGGAGATAGAGTGAGGCACCAGGCACGGTGAAGGTGCGAGGCCAAGCACATGCGGACGAGCGGGCCAAGGGGCCAAGGGGCCAAGGGCCCCAAGTCTATTGCTCATATGATACGCAAACCTTCCCCGAGGTTTTCCTTGCGGGATAACTTGTGCTGTTGAAGTATTGCCGAGAGGAGCAGCTTCAAGTCATCCGAGGAAATAAAAAAAAAAGGGAGAAAGAAGAAAAGGGTTCTACCCGAGCAACAGTATAGAAGAGGCCAGAAACGAGCCACCGCAGGCGGCCGCGCCTGGTCTAGATTAACAACAGAGGCCATCCATGAAAATGCGGAGGAGGCTTCCTCTTCCCCGCCCCCGCACCAGCAGCCATTCACATCTCAACCGTAACCATCACGCACCTGTAGCTAATCGGGCCAGCAACAGCCTGATATTGGCCGAGATTCCAGAGCAGCCCACTCCGACGTTTTCCCGCGGCCAACCAGCGTTGCAGCCCAGGCCTTAGGTAAACACCGTAACAGACGTTCCCGATCCAAATCCGCCAGTTGCAGCACAACCCCGCCACCAGCCTGTAGGAGCCCTGCCATTACGCACTCTCCGGGTTTTACCGAGCGCACCGACCGATCCAATCGACGTCAGTCTCTGCATCCTCTTGCGTACCCTGGACAGCCCTCACAATCCTCACCAACCAACACGCCGGCCTTCTTGGGTGCAAGCAAACCCCGGACACCCTTCCTTTGCTCCAGTCGACCATAGATCAATACAGACGCAACACCCAGAGCCTCTTCAATTTGATTGCAAGACGCGTGGGGGCCCTTCGGCAGGACAGCGCTTTATCATCGCTCGACCTCCCCGACTCACCCCGCCAACCCTCCATCCCATATCATATCATATCATATCATATCTATCGTCGCTCTAAGATCGGCACACATACATCACCCCACCAGCAGAGGAAAAACATCGACGACACTTCCAACAAGAATCCCAGAGACCACCTGGGCAGAGGGACGCACGAAACCAACCTATCAACCAAACCACACGATAACTCCTCCCACCATGCCGTCCCAACGACCCTTCTTCCTCGCCTCCGTCTTCGCTGCCCTGCGCCAGCAAGACCTCTCCATCACCCAGCAGCCCAACAAGTACGCCACACAAACCACCTCCTCCGCCACCTCATCGTCGCCAGTCAACGCCACCGCTACATCCACCGCCGCCGGCAGGACCGCAAACACCGGCAACACCCCCTCAGCAGGCAATAACCAAGCCGCCGACACACCAAGCCAGGCGCAGACCACCACCCGCTCGGCCAACATCCCCATCCAGTACCCCTCCTCCCGCCGCCGCGGCAGCGATAGTAGTAGCGAGGGCTTCAGAGACGTCATCGGCGCCGACAAGTGGTACATCGGCGGGAGGACCGCCGGCGGCGAGGAGAGGTTCTTCAAGCTCGGCGTCGTGAGGCGCGTGCGCAGTAACGACGGCCTGAGTCTAGATCGACTCAGCTTGTGAGAATCCGAACGGGAGAATCAAAGAGTAAAAAAATGTCAAAATCAAAAATTTACACACCGCTTTTTTGGTGTGTTTTTATCAAACGTTGAGATGAAGGGCTACGGGAATCGGTTATTTGGAACATCATGGCGTATCGTATCATGGCGTTTTTATGTTTTACATGATCGTGCTTGTCAGCGGGCTCTAGCATCCCCGCGTCGAGGGGCTGGATTCCACGACGGGTGCATATGGGGATATTTATGATTTTCCTGGATATTGGGGGAGGCGCTTACGAAACTTTATTGGGCGGCGTTCTGGACATGCTACTGTTATGTGATTATGAAAAAAACTTAAACAGTCGCGATGGGTTTGATGTTTAGCGGCAGAAAAGAAACAGAAACGCGGGATGACTTGACGAGTCTACAATACATATATCCTACATAACCATACATATTGACAAGTCTCTTGTAAGAACCCCTGAACTGGCCTACCACATGAACCGCTGCCAACGGCCCTCGTCGAGCAGGCTCCCGTCCTCTGCCTTCCACTGGAACGGTTTGAACAGGAAGATGTACCCTGTTACGACGTTGATGGCGACGAACCAGACCGTCTCCAGCACGAGCCGGAGGTCGTAGTGACGGAAGAACTCTAGCAGCTTACCGACTGGTCCGGTGGGTTGCACGGAGGCGAACAGTCCGCCAGTGGGGAGTCTCCAGGCCGGGACCATGAGCCGCCACATGACCCAGGGGATGATGAAATAACGAGGTTCAACTAGGGGTGCGGTGATGAGAGACAGGCTCGATGCCAGGAGAAGCACGATGGCCGTTGAAGACGACACTGATGCTGTAGAAAAGGCCAGTGGATCGTTGGCAAGAGCCCCCTCAACATCTAGCTGTGTCTTCTCTGAGGCCTGTGGATACTGTGCGTTCGTTGGTCGCTTGGCCTTCTCGTCCTGGCGTATACATAGGGGGTGGTTGACAAATAAGGGCTCCTTCGTTGGTGTAGGTCTGTCCAGATCCCCTGAGATGAATGTAAACGGCCAGGCTTCACTTCCCGCCAACGTTCCCCAGACCAACCATCGAGAGAGGGTATAAGGAACCACCAGCAGGAGGCGGATTGCTGCCCCGCGCCGAATCGTGTAGCGGAAGACGTAAAACATATAGTGTCGGTTGTCTGCGAGGGTAAATGGGTGGATGATGGTGTTGAATCGCACCACAACTAGCGATAAAATCACTGTGAGAGTGAGGTAGACGGGCCCGATAACGAACCGGCTAAGCAGGCAGGAGACAAGCTGGAGGGGTGTAGAGATTTGGGGAGACTTGGGTTGGGTGTTGTCTTGGCCCTTCCCTCTCTTCTTGCCTTCATCTGTATCCTTCCTGGATGACTCAGACTGCGCTGGCTCCGTTCTGGGAAAGATGAGGTTCCAGACGACATTGAGAGGGTATATGGCATATGGAAGTAATAGGGGTAGTGAAAAGAATGCGAAAAATGGCCAGATGTATAGCATCTGGGCCAAGTGAATCGTCGCTACATGGTTGGATTTATCACCTATTAACCTAGAGTCAGCAATGTTGATGGAACTTCGAGCTCATGATCAGACGTCTCGCTCACCAAGAACCACGCCGCCATTCCAGATGACGAATGCAACGAAAGATAGCAGCACGGTAATGTATGGCCAGACTTGCCTCAATACTCGTACGGGATTGCAAACAGCCGCGATCAAGATGCTAAGAACGGAGAACAGCCAATCTACATTTCGTCAGTCTCATCCTAAGACAACAAAGGGTTCGGCCGGAGAGTGTAGTAAATACCATCAGGCCAAGCTCTGTAAAGCGGGGGGTCATGAATATCCCCGATAGAATACCTCCAAGCGAAGAATTTCACCTGCTCAGATAGGGTGGTTATCACTGGTTGGTCAACTCGTTCTGGGCGAAGGGTCTTGATCGCATGGATGCCTTCTAGGCTGCCGATGAACGCTACGATCCAAAACACATTGGTCTGTCTCATGGACAGGGATAGGACCCCGAGGAACACTGCCAAAATATCGCTGAGAAATGAGGGCCGGTCGCCTCCCATACGATGCAAGGAGTTGAGGAACGCCGCCAAGACCACGGCAGTAGACACCAGATCCGTATAATACAATCCAGAGAAGAAGAACAGCAGAGGAAACAGGGCAATGTTCAGCGCAGTATGTCCAGCATATTGCGACTTGGTCCTCATTATCGACCCCGAGTTTCCTTGGTAAAGACGGGCCTCGATTTGCTGGCGCGCAAACATGGCCAGATAAGTTAGAGCCAGCAGCGCAAGCGCATTGAATGCACGTAAGCTCATGGCGTCACAGCCATAAATTGCGAACACCACAGCAAAAGGGTTATTGCGTGTAGCCAACATGCTCAAAATATAACTGTAGTTTCTAATTAGTCTCCGTTGTCGCAAAGTTGTGGAAAGCTTGCCCTGTGACGGGGAAAGACTGCAGTTGCTTACAGGCCCGGCGGCGTCGTGAGTTTGTCGTCCCATTCGTCGTATCTCCCTTGACAGTATTTCTGAGCCTGCGGAATATGGAAGATCTCATCCAAATAGGGCTCGGGCACATAATGAGAGCTGATATGAAGCCAGAGTCGGGCTGCGACAGCAGCACATACTGGGGCCACGGTGGCCCCAAGCGGCTGGATGAGTACGACGATTAATATCAACACCCCAGTAATGGCAGTGCTTCTGGCCGATTGGAGAGAGCTGGGGCGGGAAACCCAAGACTCAATCCAGCCATCTGCAGTGTCGCTTTCGCATTCCATGTCGGCTTGTGTGCGATCTGGGCTGCGAATGACGCGGTTGAGTGACGGTTGATGAAAGCTCGCGGTCCCACAATGATTGAAGGTGAGGAAGTGCTGAAGCTCTGTAACGTAGTTTCTCATCATCCCCAAGGGAAGCACTCCCACATGGAATATTTTCTATCGCCAAAATTCATCAATTTCATTGATAAAATAGGATTCTATTCTTTCTTTTTATCTTGACAATTTCCACTTCAGGAATGGAGGCCTGATGTTATCCTGATGCTTTTACGTGGGGCTTTGGCTTACACATTCAGAACGTATATTTGAACCAATTTCCATTGTTCCCCCATTGCTATCAATAGAGAAGGTATCTAATTTGCTTTCATGTGGTAAATGCCTGTCCTACCCCTCCAGTCTCATCAATTTGGATGTACTTACCTTGCTATATCTGCTTAGGATTTCCCGCGCGCATATGGCTCAGGCAATCAATCCATTGAAAGCAGTGGCAATTAACAACGGCATTTTCACTTGATGGAAATGGTACAAATCTATAAACAGAAGAAATTTCTATTGGAAGTATCTTGTACAAGCTGGGATTGTATTCTAATCCGCTCCAACCAGCCATCCTATCACACAAACCCCATGATTTTCGAGTTGTTTAGAAGGGCTACATGTACTGTTAGATGCACTCTTTGCTTCAGACAGGACATGTGTGAAACTTACGTTGTCGGCGGGATGGACCTCGGTGATGAAGTACTTTCCGAGGAAGGGAACCTTCTACGTGGTGGGTTAGCAGGGAAGCCTTCGAGACAGGTTCCTCATGGCGAACTAAACGTACCTGGAGGATATCGGTCTTCACACGAGGGATACCAGAGACGTAGAGGAGGACAGCGACACCAGCGGCGGCACCGAAGCCAGCAGACTTAGCACCACTGTCAAAGAAAATCAGCATTCCGTTGCAACAACCATTGCAATGCCAACAACAACCCAGTCTCAGAGTGCCGGGAGGTCTCTCCTAGCGAGACGCAAGTCGTAGGACCCCATCGAGCCGCCATGCTGAGAACTTCGACCCCCGGAGCAAAGGACTTCTTGCTGCTTGTTCGTCCATCCATTGCGTCCGCAAGCGCCCAACTACCCCAGGTTCCACTCGCTCGTCCTTGGGTTTGCGTCGATAATCGGGAAGTATAAAATTGCTACTTACAGTCGGAAAGCAGTCTTGGAGCTGATACCAGCAACGTGGGGCTGGAATTGGTACCTGTTGTTCTTCGGTCAGCCTCTGAACCGCTTCTTTTTTGTTGACTCTGACTCGATCGCCGGGACATTCGCAAGTTCGAAGATCGCTTCCAGTCGGTCGTGATTGCTATCGGGAGGAGGATAATCTCTGAACGTACTTAGGGCCGTAGGCGCTCCTGAATTCGGCAGCGCGGAAGGGAGTCTGTACGAGGAACGGTCAGATGGATATCTTGATTCGGGATTCGAGGTAGAGCAGAGGGCCAGAATTGGAGACTCTATGACTTGTTTCGACATACAGGAGAGACCATCTTGATTGTGAAGGCAGCTGAAGCCGTTCTTGTCGGTCAATTGCTGAGTCGTCGTCGGTATTCACAGTCAAAAATATCGCCAATTGCGCGAGTTTGGGAAGCTGAGTCTAGCCGTCGGCAGAAGCCGGAGTTTTGCCCCAGGCCAGGAACGGGGCCTGCTCAGCCAATAGGATGAGCCGAGATACTAACAGGAAGCAGCACTCATTGCTGGCCTTTCTATGATGAATTTTGCTATTATTTTTTATTCCACTTAGTTGATGAGTGAAAGTAAATCGGTTAACTTGAGTACCTACCTATGTTTAAGATTTGTATCTTTTTATCCTTGTGGCTCCTACCAATTTGCTCGTGGTCTTGTACTTGCCAAGTGGGTGACATTGAAATTGAGACACTCAAACATTAAGTATTATCAGATTATTGAGCCCCAATGATATATACTTCTGAGATAATACCGTATATATCATTGCTTTCTTTTATTTCTATACTACTGGATTTCTCTGTTTGTTACAGAAAGTACCTGTTGATTAATAACCACCTTTCCGTTAGGTATCTCAATTCCTTTGTCACGTACTTGCTTGCTCAAGAGGAAGTGGGAGAGGAGCGGATAACGAAGCAAGGCAAATAAGTGATAATCTAACGAACACAACCACTTACCAAGAAGGTGATATGAACCTACCCGTTCCATTAATCAGATATGAAAATTACAAATCATTTCCCCAGAGTTGAATTTACAGATTACTCCTGTGTATTAAAGGCCTTCAGCTGTTGACACCTTGACTATAGGGTAGTACAAATTTAGCGGGCCTGTTGAATTGGACGGGTTTTGGAGTCCAACAGCTCCAAGCTCCAATTGTCAGACGTGCACCAACAACTCTTTCTCGAGATAGAGAGAATTTCAACTCCAACTTTCTCCTGCAAAAATACCAACTGGCCAATCCCCGCGGATGGATAAATATATAGATGGTCGTTTTGAGCGACTTGAGAAGGCCCTGGCCGTTCTCGTCGACTCAGTCAATAAATATCATCCTTCCATAGCTCACGCCCGAGAGATTGAGCTTGCCGACAGCGAGTTGAGCAAAGGCCTGGAAGATGGTACGCGACCCCGTCAATCACCCCCCAATCTCTCGTACACACGTCACTGACATTATAACACCTAGTCCAAACCCATCAGAACAACTATCTCCGTATCCAGGAGCTGCGCAAGTCGTCCGCGGCCCTCGACTCCCAGATCCGCGACACCCTCTCCAGCCTCGCCTCAACCCGCAAGGACATCGTGACCACCCACGCCACGACCTTCCCCCCCGGGCCGAGCTACCCCTTCTCGTACGAGGAGCTCCTCAACTACGCCCGCCGCATCAGCAAGACCACCATGCCCTCGGCGTCCATGATCGCCGCTGCTGCTCCCGCCGCCGGCGCCACCTCCCCAGACATGACACAGACGCCGCTGGCGACCGAGTTCCAGACGGGGGCGACGCCATCCGCCGCCCCGACGCCCTCGCAGCCCCAGAGCCCTGCCATCATCAACGGCGCCCCGACCCCCATGCAGAGCCAGCTCCAGACCTCGCAGCAGACAACATCAACCCTGACCACCCTCCCCGAAAACTTCACGGAATACCTCAACCCCCAATCCGGGAAGCCCTTCTACCCGTGGCCGCAGGAGAACCAGATCCGCGGCGGCGCCCTGGCGTCCAACCAGGCCCTCTCCGAGCAGGGCATTGACCCCAAGGGGTACGACCCCGTGGAGGTGGAGAATCGCAAGCAGAAGGAGGAGGAGGAGCGCAGGGCCAAGGAGGAGCAGGAGAAGCAGGAGCACCAGAGGAGGCTGGAGGAGGAGCGGGAGAGGCAGCTGCGGCAGCAGGAGGAGTGGCGCAGGAACACGGCGGCCGGTTCTTCGCCTACCCAGTCCACCCAGCCGAATGCGCCGCCCGTCAAGAAGCAGTTCCAGTTCTCATCGTTGGATGATCTCGATGACGATGACGATGACTAGACTACGTTGGTTAAGGAGGACGCATATTTTTTTTTAAATACCTTTTTATTGGGGGCGCTTGTAGTTTAAAAAAAAATAAAAAAATTTCATCCAGTATCTAACTCTCCCGCGCGTTCATTCTATTCAGAGTGCCTCCATAAGAAGCAGATAGGAGAGCGATCTTGTTCTCTACCAGGTTTTTCTCCAGCTATTCCCAGAATGTTTTTTCCAGTAAAAGAAAAATCCCCTTTTCCTATTCGATGCCCAATAATGCAAACGCTGGTGATACAATGTAGTCTTACAAAAAGCAAAAGGTATATATCATGAGTCTGCCCCCGGCTCAAATACCGGTGATACTTGAGCCCGCTCCTCCAAAAAATTGAATTTTCGGTCTGTTCGGACTTAGTCAATCTTGATTGACTTGTAAATCCTCTGTACAAACCACCAACTGGCAAAGTAGCCGATGGAACCTATTTCATAATTATTAGCTGACTGCTTTTCGAATAATCAGATTCAGGGGTATAAATCAGACTTACCACAAAGAACAAAGAAGAGCATGGAGATCAAGGCACTGTAGCCGAGGTACAAGACTACTCCAGCCAAACCACCGAGTCTCACCTTTGTGATCAGGTTGAAGAGACAGTTAAGGAAGATGTAGCCACCGGTCATGCCGGCAGCCATGAACGACCGCCATTGCCAGTTGTAGTTTTCGGCACAGAGCAAGAAATAAGTCATGAGAATCGTGACGGCTGCGCAAACAATAACCATGAGAATGTAGCAGAGGAAAAGGAAACCAAACATGTAGTAGATCATGCTGAACCAAATGGAGCTCATGATGAAGTACAACTCGACGAAAATAGCGCCGAAAGGCAAAAGACCGACAATGAGCATACTGGGGGCTGGCTTCAACCATGTGCTCACAGGTGGGATCTGTCGAGGAATCTGGTTGGTGCGGACCGGGGCTTCAATAGCGGCGGATCGGAAGCCGAACCAGGAACCTGCCAGAGAGAGCGGGATGGAAATGACGAACCAGATACCAATAATCACGAGCATGGTCGTAAAAGGAACGGCACCAGAGGACTTTTTGGCCCACAGGAAGAGATCCAGGAAGAAGAAAGAGGAGAAAGTGATACCGGGGATTAGAGTTGGCGTGAGAACGATGTTCAGCTTCCACTGCTCTCCCTGGAACGACTTGTACACCCTTGCTGAGACATATCCGCCTACGAAGCTCAGAACGGTGTAGAGAAGGATCATGATTGTTCCCAGGGAACCACGGTTGGATGGAGAGAGGAAACCGAACAGGGCAAAGACGATGGTGCATGCAGTTATCACAAAGAGATGAGCACCGTTTCCGAGAAGAACTGAGAGAAGAAGTGGGCGTGACGGTGTTCGGAAGACGTCTCCATGGACCAGCTTCCAGCCTGAATCCTCCTGCACGCCCTCTTCCTCAAGAGCTGAGGTCGCACCGAAGTCATCAAGATTGATCTGGTCGAGACGGTTGTATCGTGCAATGTCCTTCTTCAGAGTTCGGACGAGAATGGATACAACAGTCATAACCAGGATGACCACGATGATGGCGGTGTCGATCAGCCAGAACCAGTGGATCTTGGGGTCGAAGACGTGCAGGTACTTGTCCCATCGTGTAGCCCAGGCAGTTCCAGACTTTCTCCAGTAGACGGCGTAGCTGAACTTGACAACCTCGGACTCTGCATTCTCCTTTAGAACCACAGTTGGGTGGGTATCGCCGCAGTCAGCAGTGTGAGAGTATCGCTTCGAGCTTGGTTCGACAGTAACGCCAACGACACGGAGCTGGTTAGGGTCCTTGTTGACTTCGTGGTAATCGACCCAAATATCGTAATGGTTGTTGAAGATAACTTCCGCAGTAGGGTCCACCTGTCCGAGAAGGAAACCGGGGCTGTAAAAGGAAGTTCCTGTCATCTCGTCCTCGATCTGCTGACCAGGGGGCAAACCGTCAACGAGCCAATTCAGAGTATAGCCCGCCTGAATCTTGGATCGGACGAATTGGATCGATTCCTTATCGTAGGTAACCTCGCAGAGAGACTTGCAGGTCTCGTTCTTGGCCATTGAGAGGTCGAAGGGGGAGGTCATGATTCGGTCGCCGAAAAGGATACTACCCAAGCTCTCCGACACGTATTTGGGTCCGCCCTCGGGCCTACAGAACTTGAACTCGTCATGGTAGTAGTCGTAGGGAACGATGGAGTGCAGTCGTTGATCGGAGGGGGAGGCGACGGGCGTGATACTGTTGACGAAGAGCGGCACTTTGTCGTTGACCTTGTAGGAAGTGGGTGCGACACCAGGAAGGTAGAAAGCCGACGCAGGTACAGCGGCAAGCAGAGTCGCAAAAAGCGCCGACGGCGCCATGTTGTTGCAGAGCATTGTGCTATTGACTACAGGTCATTCCAGGGATTTGGCGATTGCTTTGCCGCGAACAGGACGATGCAAGTTCAAGATGCGTGACGTATCCGAGTTGCGCGTCCCTTTTATAGGCGATCGTATCGCCTTTCTAAAATGAAGGTCTCCGCACGAATCGAGGCCGGCAACCCGTCCTGTTGATTTAGGGGGAGATTGAGACGGGCGATTTCGATGTCAGATCTGCCCCGAGCAAAGCAGTTGGTCGTATCCAAACTTGAAGATCGTATCGGGAGCCGCTGCCTGACTTTCAGGAGCTTCGTACAAGTGTCCTAAGTTTACGAGGAAGTGCTGAGTCAGCAGCCTCTGCCGCCTGCATTAGATTGACAGGGGCTCCACTAAAAAGTTCCAAATCTCCAAGCGCAAAAAGATCGATAACGGCTACCAACAAATTTCTTTCACAGCCGGCAGAAGACCGCAGCACAAGATGGCGGCACCTACGACACTTCCCGCTCTGCTGGAATCATTGACGCAGTCGCTGGCCTCGACTCACGAAGCTACTCACAAAGTCACTGAGTTGGAGAAGCCCAAAGATGGCATCTCTCTCCTCGACGTCAAAAATGAACTGCTTCTCTCATATCTTCAGAACCTCGTCTTCTTAATTCTCCTCAAAATCCGCAATGCCAAGAAAGAATCTTCAGAGAAATCCGGTGAAATAGACGAATCTGTCCGCTCTAAACTCGTCGAGCTGCGTCTATACCTCGAGAAGGGAGCTCGCCCACTCGAGGAGAAACTCCGATTCTCCATTGAACGTTTCCTTCGTACGGCCCAGGATGCACAAGCAAAGGAACTCAAAAAGTCTGAAAAGGGTGAGAAGGACAGCGATGATTCGGAATCAGCCTCAGACGAAGAAGAGTCCGAGGACTCTGAGGACGACAGTGGTGAGGGGGCCAAGACCAAGGCCAGACCAGCAGGACGTTCTGCGGCACCCAATCTAGGCGCCATGACGGACGATGTGACCGCCCGTGCCTCGAGACGAGACAAAAATGAACCCTCCGGCGTCTACCGACCACCCAAACGAGAGCGCCAGGTCATGGACAGCGGGAGTGGACGTCGTGATAAGTCCGAGCGTCGCCCCGCCAAGTCACACACCATGGACGAATTCATCGCCGACGAGCTGTCCACTGCACCGGTGGCTATGCCCAGCATTGGCACGACCATTGTTCAGGGCGGTCGTAGGATGAAGACGGCAGATGAGCGCAAGGAGGAGGCGGAGAGGACATTATACGAAGAGACCAACTTCGTACGTCTGCCCGCCGAGAGTAAGAAGGACCGTGCAAAGAAGAATAAGCAGCTTGGAAGAAGCAACCGCATGCAATTCGGTGGAGAGGAATGGCACGATTTGGGACAGGGCATTGACCGGATCGACCGATTGACGAAACGCAAGGAAGGTGGAAGAGGAGGCAATGTGCGCTCCATGCTGGAAAAGAGCCGCAAGAGAGGCATCGATACAACAGACGGTCCGAGGGGCAGTGGAATGGGTGATCGCTTCCAGAAGCGGGTCAAGGTGCTTGAGTCAGGACGCAGAGACCGTGGAAAGAATAGGTAGAAGGACATTCTCAACAATGGCATTTTACAGTATATACTTCTTGCATTGGTATAAAATTTGACCTCGGAGCGATCTGCTTCGGCCAGCCTGGGCTTCCTTTCCGCTTGATGTGCAGTTGCTGGCTAGGATGAGATACACGGAGTTTTGTCAAGCTCCCAGACGTATAGAAATCAATGGTGAATTGTAGCAAAATAACCAGTCTATATCACCCTCAGGATAAAATAAAACCTAATCACAATTTTATGCTCTTCACTTACACTGCTCCCGGAACTACGAACTCAAAGGATGTTAAGCTGCCCAGCGCTGATAAGATAAGCCAAAAAGTTTTGGTGATGTAACCCCACATTGACGACTCACACATCATCGATGACCAGACAGCTTCCTCCCAAACCACCTTCCCTTCGCCGCTCTGTGAAAACAAAAGAGCCCAATTGGGCATCATGTCGGTCAAAGATGATGACAAGATGGACACAACCGTCCCCGATGAGGAGAACGACCCGGTGACAGCCACCTACCGCGTGTTCCTCAACCCTGCCCTCCCCCTCGGCCGCCGCCTGCTCGTCCTCCAGCACCCCAACCGCACAGACGACACCGCTCGCCCCCCTCCCACAGAGCTCCGGTTGAAGGCCCGTACTGGCATGGTGGAGGTCGACATCCCCCTGGATGCCGGCTCGGCCGCCTACGACCGCGAGAAGGGCATGAAGTGGGGTCGAAACCTCAAGGCCTCCATGACGGCAAAGAGCGGCGGCAGCCACGGTCTCGCTGGCGGTTTCGGCGTCGGCGCCGTCCAGCAGCGAGGCGGGAAGAAGAAGGACCCGACGGAAGACGATGACATCTTCCTCGATTGGAACGAGGCCGTTCGGCAGCAGAAGGTTCTCGCGACGCAGACCCTGGGCGGGCAGTACCCAGACGTCACCGACGTCCAGTACATGGTTGGTGTCTTCCAAGGAAGTGCGTGGCCCCGCCTCCCGGTCCGATTTGTTTGACTGGCCTCGCATACTGACATGCATAATTATAGAGGATCTTCACTTGACGCCCGTCTCCGAGCTCGTCCACCTCCGACCCCAGCTTCACCACATCGACGCCACCGCCTACCTCGAGCGCCAGTCCGCCGCGAAGGATGCGCCAGGTTCAGGCGCAGGTGCCGGCGCCGGCGCCGCTGGGGGAGCAGCCGCCCAGGCCCGCGCCATCCACATGACGATCAAGAACACCGCCGAGGGCGACCGCGTCACCACCGAGACCATGGCCGACCGTCTCCGAAACGTCCAGTCCGAGCCATGGCGCAAGCTCCGCTACACGGACGAGAACGAGGAGGCCGCGTGGGACGTGTACAACGAGAGTCTCTTCCTGCGAGCAAAGGAGGACCCCAGCGAGGCGGACAAAGGAAAGGGCATCGAGGAGGAAGAGCCGGATCTGGAAACCGCCGTGCCCAAGTTCGCTACCAATTGGGGCGATGACGAGCTACTTGAGGCCGTGAGCGGGATCAAGAAAGCCGATCGGGAGGCTGAGGCTGCTCAAGCCGTCAAACCGGAGCCTACTGCGCCAGCAGTGCCGCCGCCGTCACTCCAGCCTACTACTCCAGCTGCTCGGGCTCCTCTAAGACCAAGAGGAGGAGCCGCTGCTGCTAGACGAGGTGGACGACCAAGGGCTCCCGCAAAGCCAGGACCTTCTACTACAGTGAATATCGATTAACTCTCTTTGTCTTCACGGGCTTGTCAAAGGGTTTTGTTTTTAATTGCATGGGGCGGCGCAAGAGGGTTTGGGGGAAATATTTCAGGCCATTATGAAGATTGATTCCTAGTGACGATATTTCGGTACAAAAGCAGGGCCTTAACTATAAGGCGCTATAGTAAACGTACTTGATCAACGCTCTAAGCTCCCATCGCATGCATATTCCTGCTCGGAATGTTTTCACTAGTCGCTCGCCGATCCCACCACATAATATACAGTGATCGCCCATGCGAACGAAAAGGGCCGTTGAAATCAAAACCCAAGATACGTCTCGGCCATGTTCGCATAGCGTGAGCGTACTGATAACCCCGACAAAGCTTTTCCTGAGCCGCCCGCAATAGCTCAGGATATACTAGCAAGATTAGTTGTCCCTGATCAAAAAGCCTAATTTTGTAATATGGTTTTCTTTATTTATTGCAGTAACTCCACATCCAAGCCGATGGAGCGCATGAAGAGATTGACACTGCTCAGGCGCTCGCTAGCCATAGCGGGCGGCAGTGTCTTTGCAAGAGACACGGTGTTCATGACGCGGTCCTTGACAGCAAGAACCAGCCTTGTTTGCTGGTCATGGTTTGCGCTGACTCCCATCGCAGCGAGGAGTTGCCAGACATAAACATCTTCGCCAGTATTGACGCTGCCGGGGAAAATATGCGGCAATGAAGGCTCTAATTTGTTGAACAGTGTCTCGAATGTATGGTCCCTGGCACATAGTTAGTAAATGTCTGTAGGACAGAAGTTCATCTTCCAGGGGTGCAACTCACCACTTCTCCCATTGCTCAGCATCCCCGGCGCCGGTCTGCTTAAGAAGAACGGCACGGCTGAGGATTAGGGTCAGCATGGACACACCGATCCGAGTTCCGGCAATCATATCAACTCGGAGTTTCATGGCGACGAGATTAAGCACTCCGTCAACAATGTCTAATCCGGTATCGTTGAAGTACTGCATCAACGAGGGCATAACAGTCGAAATGAAAAGTTCAATGTTTTCACGCATCTGTGAGTTTAGAATGGTATCGCCGCTGGTTACAGCGCCTTGGACAACATCCAACTGGTCCAAGTGATAGATGATCAAAGTCAAAATAGTCGTGCGCTTCTCGAAATCCAGATGAGGGAAGATGCGGGGGATTGCCTTCTTGCCCTTGGCGCAAGACAGAAAAGCGATAAAGGGGTGAGGAACGACAACATCAACCGGATGGTGAACCTGCAACTGGTCCCAAAGCCTGGCGTTGAGGGCGTCCAGGGTGGCCTTCCACTCCATATGCTTCTGGTGCAGTTCCTCGTCTACCTGGTCGGTGGGAGGTGGTGGGATCGTTCGAACATGATCCTCGATCTTCATGAGAGTGTCATAGACCTTCTCGGCGTTGCGTAGGGCAGCCCTTCGAGCGTGACCGTCACCACTAGAGTCCGTCTTTTTTCCACCACCAGGACGGCTGGTTTCAGCCTCGGTTCTCTTGATATTGAGAAGTGGCTTAGGGGTCTTGGCATTGCTAAATGAAATCTTGCCCAAGCTTCCTGCGATAACAAGCTGTGGGTTCTTGGGCTTATTCTTAGCGGCCTCCACGGCCCGTTGAACCTGCTGCTCCATGCGCTGGAAATGATTCTCAGCAGGTCTGCCGTGCCTGCGCATACCACCATGTCGGCTTCCAGTTTGGAAAAGATAGGTTTGAGCGAAGTTGCTGAGTGGCTGGCTAGGATTTTGACGTTGGCCAGCCCTGATGTGACTGTACACCTGATAGTAGAAGTCCTCGATAAGAGAGGTATCGGAGCTTTGCTCGGCAGGGTTTCCAGTAGCAGATACAAGCTGTTGAAGCTGAATACGAGTAATGAAATTCTTGTCCTGAGGGGTCATTAAACCGTTGTCCTTTGACAGAAGCCAGATCTTGTGGTTGCGCTTTGCTCTCTTGGTTTCCTGATCCAAGAAAGCAGCCTTGTCCTCCTCGGATAGTTGATTAAATTGCGGGTGGGACTGGAGGGACTGGAGAGGTCCCTGATGCTGACTTCCTTTGGGCAGGGATCCTGGGAGAGCAGTGGGCTGGGTACCAGCAAGCTCTGCCCTGATTACATCCCCGCCACCTCGGTTTGGATTTTGCAAAATCTGCGTCGGCTGAGGTTGCTGGCGCTGCTGAGTTGGAGCTGAGGCCTCTGTAACAGGAGGAGTGGGTTTCGATTGAATATTCTGCGGACGCTGTAGAATGGTAACCGGTTGACCATGTCCATGAGGAGCTTGAGCGGGTTGCTGAGATTGATAGCCTGGAGGAGGTGCCTGAGCATACGGGGGCGCCTCCTGCAGATGCGCTTGAGGTTGGGGGGTTACTTGCTTTGGTTGTTGACGCATAGCAGCCTCAACTTCCTCAAGACTCATCATTTTTCTGCTGGGTTGGACAGGTTGGACAGGCTTGGGGACAGAAGCAGTTTGGGCGGGTGACTTTGCGGGAGCCATGCCCCAAATGCTTCTATCCACGTTCAAATCAGGCATCTGCTCGGGTTCCTTGTACTTCTCATACCCAGTCCGCGCAGGTCGGGGGGCCGGCTGAACTGGCTGAGCGCCATAATAAGCCGCCTGAGATTGGTTTGCGCCTGAGCGGACGGTTGGTCCTTGACGATGAAACCGAAGATGCTCCTCCTCGATAGCCCCGGCGACCTTCGCAGTCTGCCCAAAGAAGTCGAAATCCTTGCCAACCTTGCTCACAGCTGGGCCGACATCACCGCCGCCAAAGGTATCGTCGTTGAAAGCATCGTCGGTTTCGTCGAGCTGGTCACCAAGGCCATCGTACGTATCTTCGAATTCGAGGACGTCATCGACGTTGTTTCCCGAGAGACCTGAAAAGGGATCCGCAGCCTGGGAAAACCCAGGTGCGGCCGAATCATGGCCGCGAGTGGGATCGAAGCCAAAGAACGACATGGTTTACCAAGACAAGCGAAGGAGATAAAATTAAAGAGTAAATCTAAACGATGTCAGAATAACAGCACAGGTATGGTGAGCCATAATCGAGCCAAGAAAATCAAGAGGGGATAATGCGCTGAAATAGCTCGAAATTAGAGCAACACAAAGGATGTCTGCAAGACTCTGGGTTTCGGACTCGTTTGGGGTGGCAGTCCTTGATCAAATAGACCAAGAGGTTGAGAACCCCGGACCTCGAGCTTTGTCGAATCCTCGAGTCCACGTCATTCGCCAATGTGGTGCGTACCATGCCAAATGGGCCCTCCGCAAAGCTGCGAGGTGCCAACGCCCGAAATCGGGTTCTTTTCCATTTGGATACCAGCGCGTGGCAATCGGGGAATGGTTTCGGGAGAAATGGCATAAACTCACCACTAGATTGAGGAGAGAACTGAAGTATAGACCAACGCGCACAACTCTATCATTGTGTCTCGTAGACTAGGAGCTGAAATCGGGTGCAGCAAAGGCTAATTAAGCCGGCGCAAGCAGCATGCGGAACACGGCTCCAAGAAGGTTGACCAAGACGAGGTTTGGATAATCCAGAAATCAAGAGCTGGCGGCGTACGCTGCAAAGCGCCTAAGTTGCTACAAGAGGAGGGCGGATGCTCACGAACGGCGTTGCTCGAGGTAAAGCCACGGTGGTGATGTGCTAATCGCTGTGAGGTTCTCCAACCAGCTGTTGCCCCACATCGACTTTCCATCCAACCTAACCCACCGGAACCAGAAAGTCACGTGGGGGGCAGGCGATGCATCTTCCGCTCTAGCAATCCTACCCTATAACATCAGGAGAATATGCGTGGCAGCAGAGTAAGTGAGGTACCTAGGTATTCTCCTAACATCAATTGAGGAAGCATATGACAAGTTTACCCTTTAGACGACAAAAACTTGTTTTCCATGGGTCAATTCTGGCTTTAGGGACAGATCCTTGATGGCACAATGGATAACTGATCACAACAAAAGTACGTAGAGTGTGACCCTTTTACAATGCTGCGAATTCGACGGATTGAATTGGTTGGACTCTAAGAAGTCACCACCATCAAAGGTTTTCATTTATTTGGTTTGCAAAACATTATCAAGTCAAGCCGACGATCTCCTCCCCTGAGGGTACCCTTTGAGTCCACATGTGCACTCTCACTGCCTGAAATAGTGGTTGCTGAAAGTGTTGTCGAGGGCAAATTGGATGAAAGCCGTAACAGAGAAACTTCAAACCGAAGACCACATGTCATGTGCATCGTTCAATCACCAAAACCGTCATCGTCATAATCAACAAAAAATGTCAAGTCATGTCAATCATCGCCGTCACCATCGGAAGCATTGTTGTCTTCACGGTCATCAAAACTCGAGACGATTTCACGGCATCAATCACGCACGCGGAGTTCACGACAGCACCTTGAGCACAACCATGCGAGCTCTTACCCCAGGACCACGACGATAGTCCTCCATCTCGGCGCTCACAAGCTTCACCTTGCCCTGGTTCTCGAGGCTCTCAATCTTGGCAGCGTAACCGCCGCTCTCGAAGATGGAGCCAAGGACAGTGGCGACAATGCTGCCGCCGGGCTTGGTAACGCGGACAAATTCATCAAGGGCGACAGGCCCGACATGAGCTTGGGTGAATGTACCCACGCAGACAAGAACATCATACTTGTTGTCCTCAAAAGCAAGAGGACGGGTGAGATCTGCCGTCTGGAGGTCACGGTAGGCACCAGTCTTGGCAGCTTCCTTGAGCATCCCTGGGCTCAGATCAACACCGTCAATCTTCTTACCACCGACTTGGGCAAGGTGAGTGCCGACAAGACCAGTGCCACAGCCAGCATCCAAGATTTGAGTCTCGGGAGCAAGGCTGGTGACACCTAGGTCCTTCAGAACATGGGCAACAGCGACAATTGGGCCGACATAGTCCTGCTCCTTGCTTGTAAGTTCCAAGTCGTAGTTGGCAGCCCACTCATCATAGAGAGTCCGGGTGTCATTGACATCAGTGAGACTGTAGGCCTTGGCGAGCTGAGACATGTTGAGTTGAATGTAAAAAGGGTATGTTGAAAGATGTTGTAGGTATTGTATGTAAGAAGAGTAGTGTAGGGTATGATCAATTGAATAGGGAAGTGAGGATGATGAAGGAAGGACAACTCCCATCTGAAGAAAGGCGATCAACCGAGCTATTTATCTTCATCAGCTCAGAGCAGCTCGGAGCAATTCAAGTTCTGGCTACGTCACAAAGTCTGCACTTGTGGATCTCATCGTGGTGTTTTAAGCGATGGTATTGGCGAAAAGTTCCATCCTACAGAAGAGCTCGACGAGTATACACAGCATAGCCGCGCAATGCCACTGTACATACAGAAAGGCGACATTCGACTGTATCCTTGATTCGCCCATGCGAGGCAGTGGGGAGACTAAAGACTAGACGGGCATTGGTGGTTCGGGGTGATGCTCTCCATGGGGGACCGTCAAGCTCAGCGATTGGATACTGAGCTCAAGGTTTACCCTCCATTCCACATTTATGTGAGAATGGCGAAACAATTCCAGAGCGCCATCTGCGGCTCAGTGTACTTTGCCAAAAGGCATTGATTACACCACCGGGACGGTGATACAGGAGCGGGGACATGAGAGCAATTCAATGCCTCCATGGAGGGGGAAGGGGATGATTTGGGGTGGGGGTCGTCAGCCTCTGCCCCCCAGGATTCCTTGAAGGAGGGTACGAGACTTAGAGGATGCGGGCCTAGAATATCCTATTTCACATTTCATCATGTCATGATAGGTACTGAGGTTGCGTTGATGGACAGAACGCAGTTGAGGAAGCATCTGGCAAAAGAGGGCTCACGACCATCTCTATGTCTCTCAACGAGGAGGAAGCGCATTCCTGGGAAACTTCTCAGCCTTCCGCTGCGTGCCTTGGACCAAGAGTTCATTCTTGACAAGGTAACAGCGGGAAAGGAAATCAAGGAAAGGTATGTGGCGCCACCCAAGCTCAATCAATTGGCTCTGTCCTTGATTCCCCCAGAGCTCTCTGAAAGGCAGCTCAACACAACACGATGCCGGTCAGGAACAATGAGGCAAAGTACTGCATGGCATGGCGTTCGGAGTGCAACATGACCCTTCCAGAGCCAACCAGCAGTCGCAGATGAACAGGCACATGGTGGGCACAAGTGCATACCATTCCACGATGGGCAAATGAAGAGAAAATCTCATCATCGTTCAGTGACGCCAATGGCTCCACGGCGAAAAGGAGGGTGAAACGCAGCGCGCGCAGTCTCTTTTCCATGTGCAAGGTAGCTATGGGCGGCTTTGACCAAGCCGCTACCTTGTTTCCCTACCCTACCTCCCTACGACCTGACGTACCTCATTGGTAGCACCCACGGACATGCAAGTCCCAGCCGGGTCCTCGGGAGGTACGTATTTTGTTCGCATGCAGGCGACGCCTGCTAGGGACGAGCGGCGACCGACTGGCAGTGAGGCAGCAGCTCTCGCCCAGGGGTAGGTGTTTCGGGGCTTGTTCGACTCGTAGAAATCTGCTGATGCTGATAGTGTTGATATCTTCCTCCGGATTGAGTTGACCGTGATCGTTCTTATCGGCGCCGTGTGTCCCTCCGTGCGGTGTTCTGCGGGGTTCCACATCGGCATGATGAACGGCTCCATCTCCATGATGGTGGCGGTATGGCAGGGGGGAGCCGATGCCGGTGCAAGCGAGAATGAGGGGCTTTTGTTCCTAGGTTCCTAGGGAGGGGGACTGCATGCTGACCGTGGGTGCAGTGCTTGCCTCCTAGCAGACCGATGTAGTGACCACGTCAGTCGGATCCCAAAGACGATATCCGAACAATAGCAGTGCATCTCGTGCTGCATTGATTCCCCATTCCAAACAAGAAAACCCCGCCTTGGCCATCTGTCTTGGCATCTTGGGCGGAGAGATGTTCTCTCGCAACCTCCACCAAACTGCTACCTGGTGGCGGAGAAGTTCCATTGAGTAACCCGCGAGTCCACCCAGTGAGTTATCGGTGACGTAGGCGAACCATGGCTTCTTCCTATTGAGGATGCTCCATTTGTGACCAACAATACGCTCAATCAATCGCCCAGCACCTACCAGCCTGGAGTCCTTGCTTCAGGCCGTGCTTATGTATGAGAGTCGAGACGGTGATATCCCCGCCTCTCTTTGAACTTGAAACGAATGGATCTCAGGTTGAATTGGATTGTCTTGACATTACATGGTAATTGAATGTCTAATACTAGATAGCCGTAGGATTTATCCTATGAAGTAGTGGTTCGATAAAACGGCTCTGCCGACCTTTGAGCCTAATAGGGCTGTCGGAAAATAGGCGCCGGAAGGCTGTTCCTTTGATATCTCGACTTTCTAATACGGGCCTCGATTGGGGCAAGAAGTACCACTCAAGCAAACTGGAATCTAAGTTAAGATGATTACTCGATGCTTCTTGAGCTGCTCATTAGCACGCTCTAACAATACCAGTGCTCGGGTGCCTTTCCAAACAATAGAATGAAAAACACGATCCCAGAGGCGACCGAAACTCTGCGAGTAGTAAGGGGGGTTTATTTCTTGGCATTATTGATTGCTTGTCGTCGTTTCGAGTTGCTTCGTTTACTTGCTCGGGTGAATGGATTGTGAATAACTCCTACGCCCTTAACACACCTATCTCTTGATGTTTGCAGTGGCTGGATGCACCTCCGATTCTTTGGAAGGGCTGAGCTTGCGCATCTTGAACGCTCGACCATCGCCATTGTCCTGGTACTTGGTGTTGCACATGTGCCGCACTGGAGTCGAGCCTCGAGAGGCAATAGCATTCCAGGTGGCACTCTGCCAAGCAGGAAAGGTGGCCTTTCATCGCTTATTGGAGCTGAGGCTTGCTAGCCCAGCTCTATTGTTACAGAGGCAGGCATGACAAGTGATACGAGGTTTGAAAGACGACCATTGGCTGGGACGTTATCCTGCCATTATTGGAGGTGCATTATTCCAAAAAAAAAAAAAGGAAGCCTGTCCCCTTGTGGTTTACACCAAGATAGCCCCCTATTGGCTTTGTGGGCCAGTACGGTGACAAGCTGCCCGCGCCTTCGTCAGGCCATTCAGAGGCCATTGACAAGCTATCGGCTGCCAATCTCTAGCAGATGGGGCGCTGGAGCCAGATGTCTGAATGTGCTGTGGGTGTGCAATCTTCAGGGGCACCTAAACTCTGGACCCGCCTGGGTCCAGTCTCGAAAGTCGATCCTAGCGCCACTCGGAGCCAAGGGTGAGCACCCCCAGCAGCTAGAGCCCCTGGAAGGTGCATCCATCCTATTGATCCTGCTGCGAATTGCTCTGGAAAAGACAGCAAAAATTCGTCCATTGCCCTGGAGGTCGATGCGGGAGGTACGTCTCGCTTTGATGCATCCCCTTTTCATCCAGTGATTCACTGTATCTTCCGCTCCCTATTCGTAGTTTATCCATGTGAAACCTCTCTCTGCATTCCATCTTTCCATACCTACTACTTAGCCCTAGCAGCATCTCTTGGTTGTCCGTGGCTTGCAGTTCTGGGTCCGTGGTTTCAGGGAAGCCATGCGCATCTAGACACCGGTGGCGAAGCTATTGTGTTGCGTACCAGATTGCGTACCATCTTTTATTGGTAGGGGCTTACCATCCCTGACAGTGGCCATCAAGCTCCACGCGCGTGGTCCCAAGATCCCAACTGCCACCGTCTTCTTCCATCTTGCCTGAGTTAACGATCACATCGTCAACCGTCGGCATCATGATGGCAACGGGAAATACGCGCCTTGTGCGCTACATTGCCATGACGGCATTTGTGAGTTTTTTGCCCCCCTAGCTTGATGTTCAGAAGGACCATCTTGGATTGGATCGCGATGGCTGACAGTCCATGGGAAGGCACTTTTCGTCTTCTATTTTGTCTCCCGCTCCAACATGTACACCCCAATCCCTGGGGCTGGGCAAATCGTCAAGCCAGCAGTGCAACCCGAGACGCCGTCGACTCCCAAGAACCCGAACCCCCAGGTTCCTTTGCAGCCGGCGCCCGGGTCTCCCGCTGACCCTCCTATCAAGAACCCTCCTAAGCAGCCGACTGTCAATACTGGAAAGGGCGACGACATGTCCTTTGCGAGGACTCCTAGCTCACCAGGCTGGGATGACCTCGTGAATATCAACGCCGGCCCTCGAATGAATGCCACTTTCGTCACTCTGGCCCGAAACACGGATGTCTGGGATATTGCCGATTCCATCAGACAGGTCGAGGATCGCTTCAACCGCCGCTTCAACTACGACTGGGTGTTCCTCAATGACCAGCCTTTCGACGAGACCTTCAAGAAGGTTACCACGTCGCTGGTATCTGGTACAACCCACTATGGTTTGATTCCCGTCGAGCACTGGTCTTTCCCCGACTGGATTGACCAAGAAAAGGCAAAGAAGGTCCGTGAGGATATGAAGGAGCGAAAGATCATCTACGGTGACTCTGTCAGCTACCGCCACATGTGCCGCTTCGAATCCGGATTCTTCTTCCGCCACGAGTTGATGCTCAACTACGAGTGGTACTGGCGTGTCGAGCCCTCCGTCAAGCTTTTCTGCGACGTCCATTATGATCCTTTCCGTGTCATGGCCGAGGAGAAGAAGAAGTACAGCTTTGTTCTGAGTCTCTACGAGTACCATGAGACTATTCCCACCCTCTGGGAGAGCACAAAGAAGTTTATGAAGAACCATCCCGAGCATATCGCCAAGGACAACTCGATGGCCTTCCTCAGTGACGATAAGGGTGAAAACTACAATCGATGCCACTTCGTACGTTTCTGCTGCTGAAAACTGATGCAATCTAGTGCTAAGCTAACATATTTCTAGTGGTCCAATTTTGAAGTCGGAAACTTGGAGTGGTTGCGAAGCAAGGCGTACATCGATTTCTTCGAATCACTGGACCAGGATGGTGGTTTCTTCTACGAGCGTTGGGGTGATGCACCTGTACACTCTATTGCAGCTGGTCTGCTTCTTGACAAGTCTGAGATTAAGTTCTTCAACGATATTGGGTACTGGCATGTGCCCTTCACTCACTGCCCCACTGGTGAGCAGACGCGCCTGGATCTTCGATGCCACTGCAACCCCAAGGACAACTTTGACTGGAAGGGTTATTCTTGTAAGTCACATATCCCAGCTGTTGTAAGAAATATCAGGTTTCTAACCGTGAATAGGCACCTCTCGATTCTATGAGCTCAATGGTCTGGAGAAGCCACTGGGCTGGGAGAACGAAAAGGACTAGAGTGTCTGAGGGCTAATGCAACAACCATTCTTGTACTCAATTTTCTTTTTGATCCCCTTTATTATCTTGATGGGCTGGGAGGGATGAACATCTGTTTTGCGGCATTGACGAAGAAGCCACAAAACCGGGAGCGGACTATGAAACAAAACAACGATCTTGTGCGAAATCTGAATTGGAACGGGGCGTCTGGATTGAAACACTTTGGACAGTATTTATGTGCACAACTGATATCTGAGAAAGACACCAGAAATGGCTGTTTTATATTTGTGACCAGCTCGCTCAGCTATTCGTCATTATGTTTTAATGTACAACAAAGATACACTCAGGGTAACAATACTATCGCGCTCCCTGACTTACTCTATACCACCAAGCAAGAAGAACTTCCCCACCTTTGATCTTCTCGGCTCCTGGTTTCGCTTTTATGGCAAAGACCTATCATATAACTTTATCTAACCCACGGTAGCCTTCTTGGGCTTCTTGGCTCCGTATTTACTTCGGCTCGTAGAACGATTGGCAACACCACCCTAGACGCAAAACGTAGTTAGTAATTGTAGCCAATGGTCCAATAGACGGGGTTAAAGGAGTGCTGTGTCCTACCAGGTCCAATGCTCCACGCACGAGATGGTACCGCACACCAGGGCAATCCTGTGATCGTCCACCTCTCACCAGAACGACACTGTGCTGCTGGATATTGTGGCCCTCTCCGGGGATGTATGCCGTCACGACGTAGCCAGAAGTCAGCTTCACACGAGCAATCTTGCGCTCGCCGGAGTTGGGCTTCTTCGGTCTCACGACGCCCACACGGAGGCAGACGCCCTTTTGAGCAGGACAGTGCGTCGCGGCGAGGGCGGGGGAGATGGCGTGGCGTGCTCGCTTGCCCTTGCGCGTGCCGCGGAGGACCTGGTTGAGGGTCGCGGGCCGTGGGAGCGTCGTGGAAAAGCTGCGGAAGGCAGGGAGCTGCTGGGTCGTGGCCGCCGTTCTGAAGGCGGAGGTGGTCAGATTGGTGGCCAATGACCTCCGCGTCGGAGGCGAGAACAACTGGCGGAGAATTGAGCCGACCATGCTGGGCGAGAGGGTGTGGTGCGGCCTCTAATCGGTGATGCACTTCGATATCCTCACTTTCGCAGCATCTCCAGTATGGCCCATCTGGAAATCTTGGAGGGATCACGTGATAGCTTGGACGTCTCGGCGTCAAGATTTCCCGAGCCGGACTTGGCTGCTGAATCACATGCATGTTGATTTCCGGCAGTGCTCTACCCCAGAACTTACTGATAAGGTAGCTCCCCGCAAATCTGTGGCTACCCTCGGCTGAACTAAAGCCGTTGCCTCCCTTGACTCTCTTACCCGTGCAAGCCGTGATATCCCAGCCGGTGCCGTGGCTGTTGCAGGAATCTAGTCCTATGAGCTCATGACTTATCTGTTTCTTTTTTTCACCTGATTCCTACGTTGCCATTTTCCTCGCAGTTAGATCTTTTTCCTAATTGAGATATCTTCCTAGTATATTGAAACCCTTAGAATTGGTATACCGCCCACAGCTCCGAGGTTCAATTTATTCAAATTACCATGTCTTCAACATTTACTCGGGCATTGCGGCCCGCATTGAGGGGGAGCCGTATTCTCTCACAGACTGCAGTCCGCCAGGGCCTGGCGAGACCTATGCGCCGAGCAAACTTGTATATACACTCACCCAGACGAGCAACAGCATGGGCGAGGTAGCTAACATGTCATGTCCAGAGCCCGTCCCATCTCTACCACCGCCGTTCTCCGCTCAGACTCCCCCATTGACATCTCCGAGATCCCGCCCACGCCAATCAGCCACCTCTCCGAGGTTGAGAATGCAATGGCCGAGAGCGTCTCCAAATTTGCCAACGATGTGATCCTCCCCAAGGTCCGGGACATGGACGAGGCGGAATCAATGGACCCCGCCATTGTAGAGCAGCTCTTCGAGCAGGGACTGATGGGCGTGGAAATCCCCGAGGAGTACGGAGGCGCCGGCATGAACTTCACCGCCGCCATCATCGGGATCGAGGAGCTCGCCCGCGTCGACCCCAGCGTCAGCGTCTTGGTGGACGTCCACAACACCCTGTGCAACACCGCCATCATCAAGTGGGGGTCCGAGGCCCTCAAGCGCAAGTGGCTCCCCAAGCTGGCCACCAACACGGTCGCCTCCTTCTGCCTGTCCGAGCCCGTCTCCGGCTCCGACGCCTTCGCGCTGGCCACCAAGGCCACCGAGACGGCCGACGGCTTCACCATCTCCGGGAACAAGATGTGGATCACCAACTCGATCGAGTCCGACTTCTTCATCGTCTTCGCCAACCTCGACCACTCCAAGGGCTACCGCGGCATCACCGCCTTCATCGTTGAGAAGGGCACCCCCGGATTCTCCATCGCCAAGAAGGAGAAGAAGCTCGGCATCCGGGCGTCCAGCACCTGCGTCCTCAACTTTGACGACGTGAAGATCCCCAAGGAGAACCTGCTGGGCGAGCGCGGCCACGGGTACAAGTACGCCATCGGCCTGCTCAACGAGGGCCGCATCGGCATCGCCGCCCAGATGACGGGTCTCGCCCTCGGCGCCTTCGAGAACGCCGCCCGCTACGTGTGGAACGACCGCAAGCAGTTCGGCTCGCTCGTCGGCGAGTTCCAGGGCATGCAGCACCAGATCGCCCAGTCGTACGTCGAGATCTCCGCCGCCCGCGCCCTCGTCTACAACGCCGCGCGCAAGAAGGAGGCCGGCGAGGACTTTGTCAAGGATGCCGCCATGGCCAAGCTGTACGCCTCGCAGGTTGCCGGCCGCGTGAGCGGGCTGGCCATTGAGTGGATGGGCGGCATGGGCTTCGTCCGTGAGGGGCTGGCTGAGAAGTTCTGGCGTGACAGCAAGATTGGTGCCATTTACGAGGGTACCAGCAACATCCAGTGAGTTTCCTCTAAGAATTTGCGTGAGATTTGAATCAAGGCTAACATACTTCTAGGCTGAATACTATTGCCAAGATCCTCCAGAAGGAATACACTCAATAGAGCACACTTATGAAGCAATGATGGGGAAGCAAATAGATACACTCAAAGGAAAATACTGGCCGCCACCACTATAGAATGGTGTAAGTGGCTGTCTAGAACTCAACAGAAAAAAGTAAAAAGATCTACAATACAATTAAAAACAGGCCTCATTCACATGTAGCGTGATTCATTGGTATGCCGTATCACCACTCAGATGCCAACTCGCTAATGAATTCCGATTCAGTCGTCACAGACCGCCAATATATGTCATGGTGAGACATCACTGTGTTGCTCTCCGCGGACACGCGCACCCATTCCCCTCGTCATATCACCTGCCCCGTGTCTAATTAGACTCTCTCCATTCTTGGAACTGCGGAGACAAATATCGGCATATCATTGATATAGAACAGTTGAATCTGCTTATTACACGCCCACTCATCTCCCCAAGCATACCATCATCCCCTCCCACCATAACTCAACACCCTTTTCCAGACCTTTATACCAACAACCCATAGTATCCCATCCCCCTTTACCCTGCTCAAGGAAGCCACTGAACGGGATAGCACTGATCCGGCCGGACGACGTGCCCGCCCCAAACCTGCTCATCCCTGTACGCCGGCCACGCAATCTCCCTCCTCCCCTTGTCCACGACGCTGAACGTCGTGAACCCGTTGCCCTCCCCAAACTGCCCGCTCCAGCCGCTCGTGATGACGTAGGGCCCGCACCACTGCTCCTTGCCGTTCGCCCGGCTCGCGGGCGTGTCGTGCGTCGAGTACGTGCGGAACTCGCAGTCGCACCACTGCGAGCGCCCGTCGTCGACCGCAAAGTACCACGTGCAGCACGAGTCGTTGTGGTCGCACTCGCGCCGGAGGTGGCGGATCGTCCAGGTCGCCGAGGAGGACATGGACTTGACCTCGGTGCTCTCCGCCTCCATGGGGGTCGGCGTGGCCAGGGCGGTGCCCGCGAGGAGGGTGGTGAGGATGGCGGCGACGGAGAACTGCATGGTGGCTGTAGAAGCTTTTGGTTTCTTTAGAGAAAGTAGTTGTAGGATTATGTGTAGAATTGTAAACGAGAGTTCGTCGCTGGGGTAAAGACTTGGTTTAGAGTGAAGGCGATGGCGATATATATAGTGAAAGACGAGGAACCCAAATCACCCTCTGTTACATAGCTAGGGAAACACCATGGAATTCATTGGAATTGGGATCAACGGAAGAATGCTCTTTGTTCCTCTAGTAATATCAGAGCCTCGCCGGAGAGGTGGCTGGGCACGCCTCTTTGGCGTTGTCTAGGGCGATGGGAAGGGAGGACAAGGCCACCAATTCAGCTGCATGCCTGCATTGCCCCTGAAATTGCATTTCCAGCAACCCACGGGAATTTGCCAAGCTTCAGGCTCGAATGAACCATTCTCTCAATTCTGAGTCGGGCAGTTGTTTTGCAGTTCATTGGTGAGTTGCAGAGCACATCAGAGAGGCTTGATCGAGAAATATCCTGCTGCTATTAAACATGGAACTAAACCATGATGTTATCTTTTCTTTTCTTTTACTCTTTGAAACTGCACCGCTTTCCTGAACACACTCCACACACACACCTTGCTCTCTTGATGTTGAAACCCGGTAGAGAGTGAGGTTTCCTAGAACTAGACAACTTGTTTTGACGCCCGCTGTATTTCTTCAAACATCACATGCCGTTCGTGTCCAAAACACTTTACAGCAAAAATAACCACTGCTTTCCTTTTCCCTCTTCCACGTCGATAACAGTAATCACACCGTCGCTGTAAATAATTTTTTCCAGATTTCCTTAATCGAAATCTCCCGTGTATGAGAAGCCGCGGAATTCTTCCTGCATGGCTTGAGAAAGTACTAGAAACATGTTAGTTTACGAATATTGTAACAGAAGCTCAGGGATGACAAAGCTTACCAGATTGAACGGGAGTGAGAACTGGAGTCACACTTGTGAACTCAGAGTCGAAATTGCTGGTGTCAGTTGCGCTCTTGATCTGAGGCATGAAAGGAGGAGCCACTCTCTTGTGGTAAATGTCCTCCCAGTTGATATTCCGGAAGAACGGCTGGCTCATGACCTCCTGGGCGTCGGTGGGACCGCTACCCAGTCTTTGGTCGGGCTCCCTTGTCAGGAGCTTTTGCAGAATTGATACTGAGTCTCTTGGCATGTGAATAGGGTAAAGCGGCTCGTCGGCGAGAATGGCGTCGTAGATTTCATCTTCGTCTTCACCTCGGAATGGCGACTGCTGCAAGAGCATCTGGTAGATCAAGACACCAAACGCCCACCAATCTACTGAGCGTCCATATTTCTTATCGAGCAAAATCTAGACCAACTGTTAGTACCAAAACAAAGTTCGCAAGCAGTCACGGCCGCGTCGTACCTCTGGAGCCATAAATTCGGGGGTTCCACAGAATGTGCTGGTTGTCGTTCCATACCACATGTCTTCCTTGCAAAGACCGTAGTCGGCAATCTTGATGTGGCCATCAAGAGTGAGAAGGATGTTGTCAAGTTTTAGATCACGGTAGATGACACCGTTCTCGTGGAAGTACTTGAGCGCTAAGCACACTTCAGCGGCATAGAATCTGTGGGCATCGTTAGCATTTGAGTGCTCTCCTAGTTTAACCATAGGCCACTTACTGAGCTCGCTTCGTTCCAAACTGTCCACGCTGAATGTGCAGCATCAGATCACCACCGCTGATATACTCCATGACAAAGTACACTCTGGTTTCCGTTTGGAAACAAGCGTGGAGGTTTGTCAGGAAGGGATGTCGTTCGCGGTTCGCAACAAGGAACACTCGCTTTTCGGACCTGATACTCTCCACTTCGTCGTTCTCAATAATAAACTCCTTCTTCAGCACCTTAATGGCATAAAGCCTTCTTGATCGCTTCGTCTCCGCCAACATGACCTTTCCGAAGTTACCCTTACCAAGCACAGCAAGGAAATTGAAGTGATCCAAGCCAATTCTCTTGCCTGAGCCAGGGTCTGAGTGAGCAGGGAGGGGCTTTCTCTGTGTTGATACCGCACCACCACCGGCGCCTTGAGGCTGCACAATCTCTGGGGCCTGGGCTTGGTGGCTGGGTGGCACAGGGGCCTGATAAGCCGCTTGAGGATGTTGCTGCTGCTGCTGCATCGGTGGCTGCTGTGGTTGCTGTGGCTGGACTGGCTGCTGCATTTGAGCCGGAGGAGGAGTACCGTATCCCTGGTTGACATTGGCATAGTCCTGAGGATTGTACTTGCGCTGTTGTGGCTGTGCGCCATAGCCTGCTTGCGCGTAAGGGTCCTGTGGTTGGCCGTATCCTTGACCTGGGGGAGGGTAGGTCTGTTGTCGTGGAGGCTGGCTTTGCGCGGGGCCAGACATCGCGGCGGAAGCGGCTGCGGCGGCAGTGGCACTTGAAGAAGTGGATGATCTGTCCGGACCTGGTGGTCTCTGGCCTTGGCTTGGGCCGCCGTATGTGGCTTTGGCAGCTTCTGCAGCCTCCGATGAGGCGTGAGACGGTGCTATCGTCGAGCCTGAGTAGGATGGAGTTGGCGAGTGAGCAGTGGCGGTAGGGCTTCCCTTGCTAGGCCGCAGAGTCTTATCTGACAATGAGCTCACCTTGCCCTGTCTCTGCTTCTGGGTCCTAATGCCCTCAAGAATTTGATTCGCCACGGCCATGGACATTCCACAAAAGTCGGGAACGAGGTGGACGCACTGAGCGTGGGCTGTCAAGCCGCACTCTGAGCACTTTCTGCAGTTCTTCTTACCGAAGGGCAAGATATAACCGCAGTGACAGCACCAGTTGGCCGTCATGTTTGAGTATGGCTGGAACCTGTGTGGGATACGGTGGTTGATCTTCTCCTCGTCTGGATCAGTTTCGGCATTACTCTTGCTGATACATTTCGTCACCACGCTGGTGTAACACTTGGTGTGGCAAGTGTATTTGCAGTCTTCGCACTGCATTCCAGCGGAGTACTTGAGGAAATCCCCACAGAGAGCGCAGCGCATAATGTTGTAGAACTGGTGCTGCACGAACTTGTGTCCGAACATCTCGTGAACCTCCTCCTTGCGTTGACGAACGGCACCCTTTCGACCAAGTCCGAGATCCACAGGTCGGCGATCCGAGTTGGACTTGATGAAGGTCATTTCAAGCTGGATCTGTCCAGCGGGTTCCAAGTTAAACCAGCCGTCAATAGGACCGGTGTTGACTTGAGGCTGAGGCCCAGGGCCTCCTCCAAAGCCGCCCTGCGCGCCTGCTCCTGCCGGAGATCCAGGACCAAAGGATCCATGAGACGGACTCATTGGGAACTGCGAGCCCCCACCCTGGGCATTACCCATTCTATCTGCGGAGACCCAGCCAGAGCTATTCATCTCAGCTTCGATCCTCTTACGACGCATCTCCTCAATAATGTCTGATATTCTGACCCAAAGAAGTCCGATGGGCAGGGGGTGCTCTCCTGGCTTGTCATAAACGGTAAGTTCAATCTCATTAGCCTTGTCGACCTCAATCGTGTGATACTCGGCCTCCCAGCGGTCTGTCCTAGAGGCTCGGGTGCGGGCCATGACAGTGTCCTCAACCTTGATGGTAACGAAAGTCTCTGGTCCGCGCGCAAACCTTCCCGTCGTCGCATGGTCAACGTCCTTGATTGCCGTAATGCGAACGGCAAGCTGGCCACTGAGAGGCTTCCTTAGATTGGGTGCGTTGATGGACTCATCTGGAATGTTCATTAGCTGAATGCCCCTCCACCACGGCGAAGAAGAGAGCAATAAGTGACTCACCATCCTGATTGTCAGTCATATCTGTATCGATGTGCAGTTCCTCATACCTCTTGAGTGCTTGCTTCAAGAGAAGAATCTTCTGCTTGCTCTCTACCCTACGAGCTGCGGCATCTGCCTTACTCTTGCGGTCGCCTTCCATGCCATAGAGCTGCACCATCTTCTCGACACCCTTGAGATACTGCTCCTCCACGTTCAGCTTGAACTGAATCTGAGAAAGCATGAGCTGGATCCTGGGGCCGAGGTAGGGGTTGTCGTATTTGATCAGGTCTGCATTGTGTGTTAGCACCAGTCCCCCCACTTGGCTACACAAACACAAGGTGCACTGTAGGGAAGGATGTGCGGCTCACCTAGCTTGGAGAAGTTGGGTCTGGCCTTGGGAATGCCCTGATTTGGCCCAGGGGGATGACGCGGGGGTATCGCATCTCCGTGCTGGCCGATCTGGCTGTATTGCTGCGTACCGTAGCCGCCGTCGTCTTGACCATCCTTGGGCGGGGGGAGCGGGCCGTCGCTGTCGAGAGAGGCGTTGGCCATGTTGGCATTGACCTGTCGCATCTGGATATCGCGCAGCTTCTCCTCGAAGAACTGGAGGTTCCTTCGGCCATCTCGCATCTGGGAGTCGAGTCGGGAGCGGACAGCTTCATTGTTAGTCTGCGCCCGCATAGCATTAGCGGCGTTGATCAGAGCCTTCTCCCGCTCGATCTTCTTGTGAATATTCTGGATAGCCTCCTCATCATTCATGGTGGCAGTGAGGTAGCGCGATACGTTCGCGCTGGACGAGGGCTATAACAATAGAGGGGCGATGCTTCGCGGCTGGAGTAACAACTGCCGGAGGAAGGAGGGGGGGCTAACAGATGCTGCGTCGTCGGGGCCCTGGACGAGCAACGGCGAAAGAAATGCGAGTATGTATGAGAGAGGAAAAGAGAATACTGCGCTGCCCGGTAGCGGAGGATATCTGCACGCTTTCGGTGGGAGCACGAAGGGCACCCCCAGGAGGTTTGATGTGGAGGTCCTAAGTTTTGGCAGCGGCGGAGGTAAGAGGTCGTGGTTCTAGGTGGTGCCAGTGTTTACCTGGTGGTGAGACATGTCGTCAGTGGGCAATGACCTACAGGCTACCTGGCCCAAGGTAGCACACACAGCACGAGCAGGAGGGAGGGAGGGGAACCGCGCTTACGAAGGTCTTTTTGGCGGGGTCAATTTTCACTCTTTCTCGCTCTCGGGCTGCTTTCGCCACAGCCCAGCCCGCTGCCCCCTGGCACTTTAGGTCCAGTGCTACGTGCAGCAGGTAGGACATCCCGACGTACCTGGAGCCGGGTGTCAGAGTTGCTGCTGTGACGGGCAGCTTGGGCGCTGTTTGGGCACGCATGTTGCAGCGCAGTGCCTGCGACTTGAAACCGTCTTCCCGTTTCACGCATTGTCTTCTCGTCAGCCTGGCCGCTCGTGCCCCAAGGACTTCCCGATCCCCAGGCACTGACGTCTTTTCCGCTCGCTGACGATCACCATGCACGTGTCCAGCACGGCTATGGCTGCGAGATTGCCCGACCTCCGCCGCTGGGCTGGTCCTAATTTCGAGGTACACCCCGAAAACGCACAAACCATCTCGTAGGACTTTTCGCCCTTCAACCCGCCCGTGGTAGCAGCCTGCTTAGTGGGGCGGAGCTCCCAAACCCAAACCCCCACCAATTGCATAGGAAGACTTGCAGCTCTCACACTCACAGCTCGCCCTCCCAGCCAATCGCTTTGTGCGCGCTGTACGGCTGTTGCGTTTTATGTCGGCCTATTCTTCATGATTGTGGCCAGGTCTAGGTATATACCGGAGGCAGCCGTTTACGTCACATTTGCCTTATTGCATGGTATTGTGTCCTGCAAATAAGTGGCCCCCCCGCTGAGTCCTGGTCCAAGCTTTAGCTTAACCTCCCAGGCACCCTAGGCGTTGCTGTTAGTGGACGAATCCTAGACAGCAGCACGTTTGTTGCATCACCAATTAGAGAAACGCTTTGTTACTTCTCTGTAGGCGACTGAGGAAGGCACCGAACCAACATTTTACTGGCATATGTATATCTTCCCAGGTCCTTCCTTGGAGGCTCTGGAAAAGGTAGGTACAACGGGCATCAACTTGCATCGTGTTACCTGATAGGTTATACAGGCCAAAAGGGCAATTTACTTGCAACTTGGGCAGGAGAGATTGATGGGACTGAGGCTCTCGAGTGCACATTTGTAGAGGGCAAAGTTCCCAATGGCATCATAGGTAGCTAATTCACGATGTAATTGGTACGTGCTACCTACCGAGATAATGGGGTTGCAACAATGGTAGGAAAAGTCAGAAACTTGAGGTAGGGCACCCTATACTGGTGGTGATAGGCCAAACATCTGGCCACGAGAGCACCGAAAGAATAACAACGAGACGAAAATGACATTACAAGAGACGGCTCGTCGAAATTGTTATCTTCCTTAGTATTCTCAAATGAACATTTGTCAAAAGGATGCTGCGACGCTTCAAATTCTATTGCTATGTTCCTTATCCCTGACGTTGTATTCCCCACCGCTTGGTAACAGATATACTTTCAAGTTGCAGCATCTAACATCACATTGGGTGCTACTACTGCTGCTACTATCCTACTTCATCTGCAGGAAATCTCCAGCAGCAGGCAGCATCCGCCGGCCCGCAGATCATGGATAGCCCTAATTTCGTAGTGACTTTCTAGGTTGTTCGAGCCCTAACAGCTGGCCGAAGATTTCCACAGTAATTCCATACTAACTCTTGGAGAAATTGGAAGTTTCTGTCAAAAATGAATGTCAAACGACGACACAGTCAAGCAAATATTGGCCACCAAAGTACTGCGAACATTGCGTTGTGTGAGGGTAGCTCAGCGTCGGCTTAGGACAGCGCCCATGGGGCTAGGTATATCATCCCCGCGGGGCAATTCAGATGCCAGCTCATCTTTGGTGGCTTTGCATTGGAAGACGGGTAATACGGAACTTGGTTTAACAGCTATAGTGGGGCTGAAATATTGAGGAAGTAAATACAATATGATCGATCTGTCAAAACAACACCATTCTTCCTCTTCGTAGAGATGCCCTCCGTAAGGAAATCATAGCATTGTAGCTCGATATATCATGCGCCAAACGTCCCACGGAAACTCTCCTTGTAGGTACGACCCGCGGAGGAATAATTTCAGCAGTGCAAGGGTGGGAGGGACAGTCCATAATCCCACAGTAATATGGGCTGATTACACGGTGAATTATCTGCCTACCCGCGCAACACGAACATCGATTCTTACCCCCCTTGTGCTAATCTGCCCATCCGCTGAAATATGTATTCTATATTACACTGTGCAGTAGATTCGTCACACATGATAATGTACAAAACAGACTGTTCTATATCGCTGTTCGCTCAGGTGCGAATTATAATCCAGACGAGGCTGCCAGCTAGCGTTGCCCCGGCCAATGCCCCCTCCAATGCCAGAACGGAGGCATCTTTCATTCGGAAGTCTAACCGCCTGTCGCTGAATAAATCTTCAAACGCAGCTCTCCATCTTGGTAGATCAAGCAGGAAGGCTTTCCATGCATCCAGATCTAGATCCAGATCCAGACCCAGAAGCGTTGTTTTTGCGCCTCTTGGTTGTTGGGCTTTGGTTTTAGGGGTAGCAACCACACGCTCCGTAACGGCTCCTGTCTCTGCTTCGACTGTCTCCGGAACTGCTTCCTTAGCCGCTGCGACGGTAGGTTGACCCTCCAGCTGTGTCGTTTCCAACCTCTGATCTTGCTGCTGCAAAGCCTCTTTGAGAGCATTCAGCTCGGAGCGAACCTCTTCCAAAAGTCCTTTTTCTTCGGCAACCACTCCCTTGACGAGACGTCTTCGTTTCCAAGGTTCCGCAAAGAATTGGATAACGACGAACAGGAGAAAGTTCATCCCCATGAGACCCCATGTTCCCCATGTACTGGCCCTCCGAATGCGGTCGCTCCAGATTTGCTCCTCGTGATATCGCTTCAGAATCCCATTATTCAACCTTTGACTTAAGCTCTGCTCTTCCGCCTCAGCCTCAGTCAGCGATTCCTGCGCATGCGCGACCTCGCCCTCGAGAGAATGATCCGTTCGGTACAGTTCCGTAAATCGCTCAAGGTCACTAGGAGTCCACGACTCCTTCCGCGCAAGAAGCGTTGTAACCTCTCGCTGGGTAGTCGCTCGTTTTGAATTGGATGTTTTGTAGGCCTGCCGGGCCGCGCGGACGCGGGCTTGGGCATCAGCGAGGGATATCTCGAGGGCGGCATTGTCTGCTTTAATGGCCTCGATGCTGGTGTATCCGGTCATCTCGTTGAGGGTTTTCGACGCGGTGAGGACCCGAGACTGTACATTGTCCATGATCTCACTGAACTTTTGATTCATCTCGCTGCGTCTCTTTTCCAATGCCGACGGGAGATCCCGGTGCTCCCTGGTGCTCGAGAGGCGGTCGGTAATTCTGCTCAGCTTGTCGACGGGTTGAGAATGTTCCTCAGGTATTGCCGGCCCATCTTCAGTAGCCTCCTTCGGGGGTTTCGGTGGCTGTGACGAGAAAGACCGCCATGGACTGCGAGGGCCGAGGCCGCAGGGGGGCCGTGGGTATGTAGGTTGGAGACATGGTCCCCAATTCAATGAGGAGCTGAACCTCGAGGATGCCTGGAGCCCCAATCTTGTCTGGCTCACGATAGCCCGGGCGATGGGGCGTCCGAAAGGCTGCATCTCCGAGTTAATTATGTCGTCGAGACATTCGAGGTTCCGGTAGCCGATACATGTTGAGTTCTAAGTCTGGCCCGGCCGGGGATTTCCGTGGGTTTCTGCCATGCCATTCATGCTGACCGCTTCCCTAATACGGAGGGCTGTGCCAAGACCGACGGCAGCGTCACCGTTCAGATCAACGGAGAAGCTGGAAGAAACGTTCCTTTTTTCTCTGCTGATCAAACACCAGGATCAGAGTAGCGGCAACCCAATAAAGTCAAGAGGTGCTCATCGGGTACTTTTACGGAAAATTGGCTCTCATATATTCATGTTCCGAAACTGGCTGAAGCTGTTTAACCCTCCCGAGACTCGAGAGCATGGCCTGTACGGCGATTCGGCCGGGTCCAACAGCGCTAATTGCAGCCCCTGCAGCCACATGCTACGGCCACATAAGCTCTAGCCCATGACGACAGCGGTCATCGTGCAGCCGCCGCTTGACCCAGAATGTATTCTCCGTGCTCCTCATCGCTCCCGTTGCGCAGACGGCCTTGGGACAGTGTAACGGCGCTGCGGTTTTTCGGCGGGGTTATTTTCCCTTAAAGTGCCCCTTCTCATTTTAGTATAGTTGGCGAAACATTGGCCCGTAGAACTAGAGCAAATTACCAGTTGAATCGCAAGTTTGTCCGCCTGTTGCTGGGCATTTACTGGTATCTTATCTCACCCCCACGCTGCAGCTGCCCCTCCATCGGTGCCCCTCCATAATTGCATCTTCAGAGCCTGATCTTCCTCCCTCCTATTTTTTTTCTCTCTCTCCAATTGTTCATACAACCTTGCGCAATTCCTCTACTATAGGGTCCTGAAAAGATCTGCGGAACTTTCTAGGTTATTTCTGACCGGATACAACACTCGTTCTTAAAATGGCGTCGACGAACAGCGAAACGCCTGCCTTGGCCACCAACCCCAAGTTCATATTTTTCACAGATTTCGACGGCACAGTCACCACCGCCGACTCCAATGACTTCATGACCGACAACCTGGGGTTCGGCAAGGCGAAGCGCGTCGAATCTAACAAGGGGGTCCTATTCGGCCATGTGCACTTCCGCGACTCCTTCCAGGAAATGCTCGACAGCATCAACACCCCCTTTGACGAGTGCCTCGAAATTCTCAAGAAGAACATCGTCCTCGACCCCGGCTTCGCCGAGTTCTACAACTGGTCTCGCGAGAACAATGTGCCCATTGTTATTCTGAGTGGTGGCATGGAGCCCGTCATCAGAGTTCTCCTGGACATTTTGCTGGGCCCTGGCTGGGATATCCAGATTGTCAGCAACGACGTTACAAGCAGGGAGGGCAAGGATCTCAATGAGAAGGGTGGCTGGACCATCAAGTTCCACGACGACAGGTTTGTTTTCCTTGTTGCGATTATGATAAAACTTTAGACACTGAACAATGCGCTACAGTATTCACGGACACGACAAGTCTATCGAGATCCGAAAATATTCTTCTCTGCCCAACAGGCCGACGCTGTTCTACGCAGGTGACGGAGTCTCCGATCTGTCAGCTGCCAAGGAGACCGACCTGCTCTTCGCCAAGGCCGACAAGGGTGAGCCACCTTGGACAACGACATACGATCAATTCATGATGCTGACTGACTTCGACCAGATCTTGTCACCTACTGCGAGAATGAGAAGGTCCCATTTGTTACTTTCCGCGACTGGACCACGATTACTCAGACCGTCAAAGATATTGTTGCCGGCAAGACTAACGTCCAAGAAGCCGCCAAGGGTCGGATTTGATTGCATATTTACGCATTAGAATCGTTTGATGGCAAGGATATCGAGATGGTTGAGCCATAATAGAGTTGTTTCATGCCATAGATTTGCGAAGACCTCCAATTTTCAATAGAAGTACACCAAGAGGATATTATATAAAACCTGACATAGACTTTGAATACGAAGTATTTTCATTCATAACATGAAAAAACTGATACAAACCCTCAGATTGGGAAGCAGAGAAATAGGAAGGTGTAGACTACTAGGCAAGACTTAAAGTTAAAGGACTGCAACTGTATCGCATAGACTAGAGTGCTGATGGATCAGGTTGGAGCACGAGGAGATAAGCTTTAGGGAGTAAACTTGTCCTTAAACGATCTTAGAGTAATATCTCAATCCCCGTTCTCTACCCACCAAAATAGCTCACTCCTCTCATTATCATTCGTTGACTTCTGGGAGCCACTGGCCTCTCGGCACCATCGTCATGAGAACTGACAAGTCGATTCTTCCGGCACTCAAGTAGCCCCCGATCCTGCGGACGAGTCACAAACCTTGGAACGCGTTCAATAATCAAAGGTAGACCAGCATCCCTGTAGACCTCACCCTGATGAAGAATGACTTTGATTGAGTCTCCGGGTGTCTCCGGCAGTTTAATCTCCGCGCGGCACTCTTGTCTCAGTTTGGTCGGAATTCTTGCAACCTGAAATATATGCTGCATCTCACCACTGTTTACTTGGAGTTGGACACCTTCCTCGTTGCGTAGAGTAGACATGATCGTCTCTACTCCGCTAAAGTCGGCCTGCGGAGTGCCTACTATTTTCCCAGGGGAGGAGTTAGAAAGGCGATGAAGTTCGCCTGCGGCGTCCTTAGTGGTGTTTGGTTGATATGTTAAGTCTGCACCCTCTAAAGGGAGGCCGTTTGAAGCTTCCGCAGGTGTTATTGAGACATCCAAGACTCGCGAGCTCTCTTCGTCTGTAAACAAGGCAGATGGTAAACGACACAACTTCATTGTCGAATTTCCTTCCCACACTAGATATTCACCACAGGCCGAGAAATCCACAATCTCCTTCTCGTCATAATCAACAGAAATAGTTTGCCTCTCTGTGAAGAGTCAGGTTAGCTGTTTTTTCAAAACTTAATTTCAAGATAGTCTATTACCCTTCAAGAAGCCCCATAAGTAGAGTTTGCCGGAATTTGTTTTGACCAGAGCAATTGGCAATTTTGGATGAAATATGGTCTTGCCAAATTTGCCCCCGAGGTCATCTCTGGAATCTGATAGTCGAATAGGGTTGAATTCTCGGTTCGGTGCAGGGTTTTCGATATCAGAGGCTTGATGGGTCCGGCAGCTCATAAGCAGTCTTGGTGAGGATTGGTTCCGAATCTATCCAAACTTCAGACAGGATAGCATACTTTGCCGTTGGGCTAAACGAGATACGGTACGTGCCTCCCTCGAGAGTTCGACGATCTCCCAATGAACACGATTCGTAATGCACAGGAGTAGCCCAGACATGAGTTGAAAGTCCTTGGGCTTTGCATGAATCATCTGGAAGGAGTCGCCATATAGTGTTCCGGACTGAGAATGCCATAGCATCAGGGCTAATACTAAGAACGACTCCCAGCCAAATACTGTAAGCATACGCCTCACACGTCTCCATGTTTGCCACCACATTTGCAATGCGTTGACCGTTGCCGCCCAATGGCCACAAATCATATGTTACCCACCAAGAATGAACACTATTTGGGTTCTGGCATTTAAGACCCCACATTGCCAAAACACCAAGAAGCGAGCTATCAGATGATGTTGCTGATATTGAAATGTACGGCCTTTCATTTAGACCGGCGATGCTAGGCCTTTGAGGAGCCCGGGACACTACCCTGACTCCTCCAGAGAAAAAGAACAAGCTTCCAGCTGAGAAGTTCAATGCAGTGGCTTCATCCCATACAATATGGGGTGTCAAGCGTAGCCTGTCATCCCATATTGCAATGATACGGTCTAGATCTGAACGAAATTCGAAAATAAGGCCCAATAGCTGGCTGTCAACGTTTAGAAGGCCTTTTTGCGAAAGATCCGAGAGCCAGCTCGCCCAAGAACGCAGTTTTGTTCCTGATGGAGATGTTCCTACTTGGGTAGTGTAGTAGGTTTCAAGCCACACGGACAATGCCTTGGGCGATTCCAGAAAAGTTCTTAGCTCCACAGAAAAGACTCTAAATGCATCCAAGAAGGAGGAGCTGAGTGTTGTAGGCGGCCCAGGCGATTCTGGATCTAGTTCAAAGCGTGATCCTGTCGCATGATCCATCCAGTACAAGGCAGCATAGTCGGTGAAGGGGAGCGCACGTCCTACCGTGGCCGCTGAGACACTTGTTCCGAATTTGCATGCGAGAGGTTGCATAGGAGTGTGGTAGAGCAATTGTTGAAGACATTGTGTTGCCAAGCGTAGATTCATCGCGAAAGAAGATGAAGCTGGAATCAGTCGTAACAGTGGTTGGCCAGCTTGATCTTCTGATTCGAATATGGGATTTGGCCAATCAAGCACTTCCTTGACTGAAAGGTGTGAAAATTTCAGAATGTTGATAACCTCCGAATTGGATGGCAAGGGACAAATTTCCACTAAACCCGCACACGCAATGAGTGCCGCCTTTTCGAAGTCCAATATATCGTCAGAGTGGTCTCCCATGGTCCAAACTGCTGCATTAGATAATGCCTGGCGAGTTTGTTTGGTGCTCATGGCTGTTGCGCGGTACTTCAACCAGATCAGAAGGTGGTTTGCCAGTCTATGTGCTGTCTCGCCTGAGTTCTTAATGTGACGGAAAATGCGCTGGTACATTTTTCTCAAGCCTTCAGGAAAGTCAATCTCTCGCAATATGCTCAGTCTCTTGTCTTTGGAATGTGCGGGAGATTGGATGAATGAAATCATAAGGCGAGCCCACAAGAACATCCCGTCAGCTCCAAGAGCCACACGATCAACTAGTTCGTTGAGACACCCGTCGGCACAGTCCGGGAGAATTCCATCTTCGATGAATTCCTTTAGTTCTCGGTGGCTGAATAGACGAATGTCTGACTCCATCTTCTTTTTCGGCAATGGTAAATGTTGTTCAGGAGAGACCGATCGTTGTAGCTGTTCGACTTTAACACGACTTAATGCCAGTACTTTAGTCGACGAAGCCTTCGTCGCTTCTAGAAGACCTTTGATAAATTCCTCGTGGTTTATACATTCATCAACGCCGTCGATCACAACGATTGTTTGATCATCAACACACGACTGGAGAAATGAAATCAGAGCCGAGGGACTTTCTGCTACCAGAGATGGAGCGTTTTCCTTTTGACAAGTCATCAGGAAGAGAAACTTATCCACTATTAATGGATCGTGTCGTCCTTGCCAAAGAACTTGTTGCAGAAGGGATCTGAAAGCTGAACTAGGTGTGATAGTCTCGGGGTGATTGAAATGAAAAAAAATGATACAAGACCTTGTATCTTTTTTCTCTCCACATTCATCTTCTTCTGTCTCTAAAGTATCCAGTAGAAATGTCGCGAGGACTGATTTTCCAGATCCAGGATTGCCTTGGATATTTGTAAGAAAGCTGTCTCAGTTTATAGGATATGCACAATTGTGAAATTTACCTTGAATCCATAGCATGTTTTTTCCAAACCGGCGACTTTGTTGGCTCTTCGTCTCATCCGGTTTTGGTTGAACCCATGATTTGTATTGAGCATCATCCAAAATCCACTCTCCGGTGTTAGGTTCTCTGAGCTGTGAATTTGATTCTCGAATTCCAGCAGAGCCTGATGAGTCGAGCCACTTTTGGATTCGCTCAGCTGTTTCTTCTTCACGAAGAATTAGTTTCCATGGGCTTAAACATGCCAACTGGATGTGTAAGGAATAGTTCGACAAGGGTTCTTACCAAGACGGCGCTCCTCTAATCTGCGTTTCTCAGCTTGAAGCTCCCTCAGAATAGCTAGAATTTCTTTTCTAGATTCCAAGTCCGCCTCCTTTTCCAGGGCAGTGAGTCGCTGTTCTTCGGACAACACACGACATTCTTCCTTTGTATCTTTCATCTCTTGGCTGATATACCTTCGCCAAATCATCGTTTCCGTGTAGTTTTGGTCGTCCCGCTTCAGTTTCCATATCCTGACCTCTGCCTCTATGTTCTCTCTGTGAACATTCATTTTCTGGATCAGACTGTTGAATCTGATATCGAAAGGCTTCCAAAGGAGCGCGCCTAGAACGACCGGTGTTCTCTTGATTTCTGGTGTTCATGGATACACAGTCAGCCTTCGTATATTAGGGTGTGCCCAATCTGTAGGGGTCCAAGAAACTCACTTCCACTTGACTTCGTGAATACTTTTACCGCAGCCTGAAATATCTCAAACATGTCCAGGTATACTTCCAACACGTTTTGTCGAATTCGTTCAGAACCGGCATCTTTGCACAGGCTGACCACGTCGGCGTACCGAGGAAACGCATCTCGAAGATGGACAAGGAGCTCGAGAAGCTTTTCGAAGAACGTCTCAACCCGACCAGACAACTAGGATGGCCATGGTTAGTGGATACCGATGCAACAAGAAGTAGGTTGACATGCCTCGAGAACTAGGCGGAGAGCTCCCCAGAATATGGCGGAGACTTCTGGATTACACTGAATAAAAATCCCCACAACATCAAAATAAGGCCGGAAGAATGTGTTGAGGGTGTAAAGACATTTCAACCCCTTGGCAGCCTTCGTGGAGGTTCTGCCCGCTGCGGTTTTCAATTTGTCAATAGCCTTGACGAAGTCATCGCTCGAAGCGCAGGGTGAGTATAGGTTTTTATCCTCAGGGGACAGGGAATCGAGAAACTTGTCTCTGGCAGCCCCAAAGAGACTCAAAAAATCATTTGTAGTCGAGTTACTATCGTCCACACTTCCAGGAGTCATTTTGTTAGACCGTCTGCGACAGAGCCCTCGTTAGGCAAAGAATCCTCGTTAGGAACAGAGACCTCGTTAGGAGAAACCTTACGCTTTGGGAACATATAAGGTCGTATGATTACGTTCCTCGAAATAAGTGTTAGAATTCAGAAAATCCCGGCCTCTTCGAAGAGCAGTATGCCTGCTGCTCAAGATTCAGCCCGAACATGCAGGTGCACGTTTCAGATGCAACCTTGCTACGTACCTATTCACTCTATTGGCTATGATATATCCCAACCTTCCATGCCGGTTGGTCGAAGTCCCCGTCCTGTGCTACAAGTTTCTGGTCCTGTGCGCCTGTATCAGCGGTGTTCAATGCCGCAATGGGCGAAAACGCCGTTCAGCAACACCATGAGAAGAGCAACCCCGCGCCCTTTGCCTCATTGGGGGATTGACTGGCAAGAAAAAAAAAGAAAAAACTATTCATATAGAGCAGCATTGGATAGCTACTCAAAAATAAGCAAATCCAGAGTAGTTCACTCCGACCTCTTGTCTTCAGAGGGTATTTCCCACCAACATATCAGCATGACAATGAACATAGAAATAGCAATCGGGTGCAGGACAGACGTCCCAACCGCCTGCGCCAACAACCCCGTAATGAAAGGGGCAACGGCACCCCCAAGGCTCCCGCAGGCGCTGATGGTGCTCATACCGGACACGGCCTCCCGCCTCGTCATGTTCCGCAAGAACACCGCAGCCGAGCAGGGGTAGATGGGTCCCAACATGAGGCCAACGATGGAAATGGCCACGGCGTTGGTTACGATATTCGGCACGGCCCACACGAGGACCTGGAAGGCTAGGGCACCGAGCGTCAGGCAGTAGATGAACAATTTCTCGCCTATGCGCTGGGCCGGGCCTGCGAGGGCGACCCGCCCGATGGTAATGCATGCCCAGAAGGCGGCCGTGACATACCCGACAGACGAAGGGTCGCCGTCACGAGCAGTGATGAGGAATGAGATGACCCAACCCGAAATAGACACCTCGGCACCTTGGTAGGCGAAGATGAAGATGGATCCGAGAAGAATGACTCTCGAGTTAAGAGTAGAGTACACGCCCAGGAGGGGTGAAGCTTCAAGGGGCTCGTTGGCCGGTGAGCCTTGTTCCTTCTCGTAGTTGTTGAAGGCCCAGAGCGAAAGGCCGACGCAGATGACGATCAGCCCAAGAGTGACGATGTAATACCGGCTCCATACCGTCTCAGCGACAGTCATTAGTGTGGTAGCTATCAGAGGACCCATCATACCTCCAAGGCCAAACGAGCCGTGCAGCAGCCCGAGCATAAAGGTGCCATTCTGTAGACCGCCGCAGAAGACGTTGCCCACAGCGTCGTTGGTGGCAATGCCAAAGCCCACGAATATGAAACTCAGAGCAACAACAGCAAAGGGGGCAGTGAACACCACTGGCAGGTATCCCAACAACATCAACGCCTGGCCTAACCCCAGAACCTTGCCCCGGCCGAGTTTGTCTCGCAAGGAATCCAAAAATGCGGCGGCAAAGATGAACCCAATGGCGTGTCCCACGAAAATCATCGAGACCATGGCGTAGTCGATGCCATAATACCTAATACATATACAACTATCAGAACCATGATGGGGTGAGTTGGCTCGGAGGCTTCGGATGACACTCACGACTGGATATACGGAATCAGGGCACCAAAGGCCCCGTCGTTCAGCCCGCCTATAACACTAGCAACACAGACGGCCAACAGGCGGAACCGGTTCATAAAGGGCTCCCAAACGCTGGGGAGCTTCTCCATAACGTCACGGCTTCGCACAGGGCTCGACGACCGGCTCCTCTCGAGATCATCGTGTTCGGCGGAGAAGGCGGTAGCTCCCGTCGGGAAGCTCTGACCCGCCGGGTGAGCCCGAAGCTCTACGACCTTCGTCCCCTTCTTGGGCTGGATCACGGCCAGCTCTTCGCTGCTGCCACCCGCGGCGGAGTCTGAGGTCCCATCGTTGGCGTGTAAGTCGGGAGGTCCAGCCTTCATTTCAAGACATGTTAGGACAGACGTCGCCATAACTTGCCGGGGAAACAAGTCTAGGAAAAGGCGGCAGATATCAGACAGCCGCGCCCTTCAGCCATGCAGGAGGCAACTTTTATCAAACCCGGGACTCGTATCTCTCGGCCTCAATGCGGCGAAACTGGACGACCCCCGCAGGCCAGAACATAGCTCCCGGCGTACACTTATACCACCCGCCGCGGGCATATATTGTGCAAAATAATGTAGTGGAATGACTGCTTTCGGTCTTACTACCGTCTCCCAGAGGAACAGTCGGCTCTTTCGTCCCACAGGGCCGGACTCGCACCCATGCCCAGCCCACTTTCTGAGCTCTGTTGAGGTTTCATCAGTGTTGACAGCTTGGCACCGGTCCGAGCCATAAACCTTAATGCACACACCCACTGGGATAGTCGATGTCACGGTCGGTGAGCGGCAGTTGTGAAGAATGCACAGCTGTTATCACGCCTTCTCCCCTTGACCTGCTCGTTTATGCCACACAGGCGCATCTCACAGCCCGCGATGATGGATTCTACTAGAGCGACTTGGCGTTGTCAATATTGACGGACATCCGATTCGGGAAAGTCCGCCCAACGGTCAATCTTACCAAAATTGGGCGGGTTGAAGAATATTACTATATTGGGATCATGCGTTAATCGGGTACGACATCCCACTTGCCAAGCCCACAATGCCCCTCCAACCCACCCAAAAGAGCTTTGGAGAAAAAAAGTTAGTGAAATACCATTCAGAGAGGTGCACGCACTGTTCAGATTGCGAAATAGAACATAGACATTCAAACAGCTCTTTTATCTGTCTACTACTATGGGTCGTCCAAAGCGCAATGTCCTCGCCGCTGCTGAGGCATCCCTCACTCCACCAGTCAGACTTGAGCCCAACCAGTACATTGTGAGGGTGGTGAAACCCGAGGGCAACAACCTGTACGCTTGCGAGCTCGCCAACAAGAAGCCGATTATCCTGGAGCTCGCGCAGCGTTTCCGAAACACCATTTGGATCAAGCGCGGTGGGTTCGTCGTCGCTGAGCGGTATCCTGCTGAGACAGAAGAGACCCGAGCAGACGGGGAGATCATCAACGTCGTGCGCGACGAAAAGCTATGGCGCAAGCAATCGTATTGGTATGTGGCGGTGGTATTGGGTATATTATTCACACGAATTCATGTTTGCTGACTCTTAGCTTCGCCCCAGGCCCGCGGAGTTTCCGAAGACGTCTTCTTACAACAACGAAGACTCGGAAGACGAGTCCAACGTCGGCAAAATGCCACCTAGCGACTCGGAAGAGGAGTAATTATAGCTTTGAGAAACTCTATCTAGACGCCTTATTTTGTCTTCTTTGGTTCAGAAGATGAGGCCTCTGCCCGGGCAGCTCTCTCGTCCTCTGACGAGCTAAAGTAAGCCGCGAGGACAGTGAGACCCAACACGTTGACGACAACTGCCGAGCTGATAGGGGTGCTTGGGAAGACGTTCCATGCCCACTCCTGGGCCAGCCAAACGCCATACACGACCAAGGGGTTTGACCAAAACCGCCAGATGAGATAAGGTGTGGACCAAGCCAGATAGGCATAGAACTGGTAGTGCAGGGATCGGGCGAATAGCAAGCCAATTACATTGGCGGACAGCATAGTGGTCATGACAAACTCCGGGGTGACCTTGAGCGATACACGCCGCTCCTCTGGCGGCGTGAATGGGGGCTTGAGCTGTATAATAGACTTAATCATGTCCAGAAGCGGGCGGTCGGCTGGCTGCAACCACTTGACGATGATGAAGATGAGCAGGAACACAACATGGCACCCCAAAAGGGCAAGCGCGAACGGCCGGCTGAGGAAGACTTCTTCACCCATCATGCGCCAGTTGACGGTCCACTCGAACTTGAACTGGCGGGACAGCTCGAACGCTCGTCCCAGGTAGCCTTTGGCGTTGGCGGGGAGGAAGGGAATCGCGATTGCCAGTTGGACCTGCGCCATCAGCCAAAGCACCCGCAAGCAGGGCCAGAACCCTCGTCCCAGGAACAGAAGGATGACCACAGCAGGGAGTGTGAGGAGAAGTGACATCTTTATACCCAGTCCCCACGTAAACACAATCGCTCCGAACGTCCACGACCGGCGCTGGAAGAGGAATATGGCGAGAAAGAGGAAGAAGACAGCGAAACAGTCGTTGAAGCAACGGAGGACGAAGAGGCTATGCAGTCGTTTGGATAGGATCAGTAGCGGGAAGACGTACGGCGGGACCTAGGGTTTCTCTCCGTTAGAATAGAGTGCACGAAGAGAGCTTCGATCTAGACGCAATATACCTTGGCTTGCCAGTAGCATAGCATGACCACCGCCAGGGTAGCCATGTACAGCACAGCAAACAGCTGCTGGGCAAGGAGAATATTCTTCCCCTCGCCCGTCAGGTAGTAAAGACCGGTGTATGTGTACAGGTGTGCTGCTGGGTAGACAAGGGGCCCTGTGCCTCCCTCCATCTTCGTGTAGTCTCGTTCGCCATTGACATACTGCGACACCTGCTCCATGTACGCGACCCAGTCGATCTCGGTATCTTGATATCGAAAACGTCAGTCGGTGCGGTTTCGCATAGAGCTAGCTAGCCGATCAGCGGTTGCTGGCTGCGTTGGCCATAGCTTACAAGGGACCTTCCAGATGACGACGCAGGTGAGCAGCGCATCACCAAGCCAGAGCAGCGGAGGGATGAATTTGGCATACTCGTTTCGGCGAGTGGCGACATCGAGAACGAATCGAACAGGCCCGGGAAGGCCTTGGGCTCGAGAGGAAGCCATTGGAGCTCTCCTCTGACGCTCCGAGCTTGACGTTGTGGTGGGGTCTTGCAGGTTTGGGGGGAAGAATTCCGAGTCGAGGCGCCACGCGACGGAACTTTAAATGCACACGTGTTTCACGCCTCGGCAGATGCATACATGACCTTCAACTTATAAAATTCACGACAGCTCCCATTGTTCTAAATAGATATGTCTCAAGAACAATTTATTTTTAAACGAATCTGGTGCGCTGGGTATATTGTTTGCCTATTCATAAACCAAACAATAGGATAAATAATTCAACAGACTTACTCTCACAGCTTGCTCTTCACCTGAGCACGGATCTTGTCCACCAACTCTACCACCCGCTCTGCACACCCATAGGACCCCTGATATCCCCATCCAGCATGCCCGTAGTTGTGAACAATCCACGTGCTCTCATCCAGCTTCTCGTCCTCGATCCTAACACCCCCGTGGCGATATGGCCGCAGCCCAACCCCGTGCCGGATCACGTCCAGACCCGCGACGCCTTTTCCATTAGCAATATCAGGCCGCGCCTCGACAACCCGCCTCATGATCCGGAGGGCAATGTTCGGATCCGGCGCAGACTCCCAGTTGTTCATGTCGTAGGTCCCGCCGAGGATCGTACCCCCGCCCGCGGCCCTCTGCATGGTGTAGATCAAATCAGCAGGCTCATCCTCCGTGCCAGAGACTGACAGCATAGTCGGCAGCTCGTTGCGCACAAGCACAATCTGCGCCCTGATCGGTGCCAGCGCCGCGTCCTCGACACCGCCGAGCTTGCGCGCGCCGAGGCCCGTCGTGTTGATGATGATGTCCGCCGGGCGTCCCGTGTGGCTCAGGGCCTTGGCCTCCCTGATGTTCCCGAGAACCCCGCGCTTGAAGACGACGCCGGCCTTGCGGCACTGCCCAAGGAGCCAGGGGAGGTAGATGGCCGTGTTGATGCAGACGCTGGTGAACCCGCAGCCCGAGTCGGTACCGGGGAGGAGCTCGTCCTTGTCGAGTTCCCGGTAGTCGTCGAACAGGTCTTTAAACCAGGGGTCGAGGGCGAAGAGGCCCAATTGCCCCTCAACCTCCATGTCTTTGTTTCTTCTGTAAACACGGCTTTCTTTGATACGAATTAGTATAACATCATCTTTCTTATTAGGGTAGAAGTGGCAAAGGTTGGGTTATTACTTTGAAAATGAATCCCAGCCTCGGGAACTTCCTCTGTGAGCCGCTTCAGCTCTGGCCATGTACGCCGCTCCCATCTACTCCCCTCCCTGCTTGACATCCTATATCAATTCGTTGTTAACAGTGAGTTCGACCAAGGAGGTTCAAGAGACATACGGCTCAAAATTGGCACCTGCCCATGGCGACGCATACTCAATATCGTAGTCACCCGGCATATGCTTGGCCACGATAGTCAGGTCACATCCCTCGATACTCTTCGAGAGCAACAAGGCTGAGGTGAGGCCCGAGACGCCAGCGCTGAGATCCGCAAGAGTCAGTGAGGAACGGCACTCATGCAAGACAGATGGATAAGCCGTATAGCTTAGCCCGGGGTCGAACCCACCCAACGATAACAATTGTAGGTGCCATTATAACTATTCGAAATTGCTGATGGCTGTTTCCCCCGTCACTACTGTCAATTGTTGAAACAACACAACTTATATGATTCGATCTATCAGGAGACAAGTTTAGTACTTATCCCCGGAACATGCCCGCACGGTTTCTCACGGTATTGGCGGGGCATGAAAGCGTCGTATCCATCCTTTGTGCATAACCGCAAGAACCCGCTCGACATAGGGCGCTCCGAAGTCGGGTCAAGTTCAACACAAGTGCTAACCATCTCTCTTATCTCCAACATTAACCATTTTGTCAAAAGTCATTGTACCGAATTGGCATTGATTCACACTGTATATTCTATTTCCAAAAAGATAAGACTTTCTGTAGTTAATGCATGATCGCCAGTGGGTTCAAACATCATTATGAGTGTCAACCACAACATACCCTTATACAACATGACCCAATCTTCTTATGAGTAGGATTATACAAGCATTTTTATTATCTTCTTAAAACCCACGTTTGGCCTACCTCTGAGACAGCAGCTTCAGCTTAGTCTGCAGCCCACCAGGATTGGCTCCAACCATCTCATCCACCTTCTTCCCATCCTTAAAGAAGAAGAAGGTCGGCATCGCTCGGACGCCCAGTTCTTGGCTCAGCGCCGGGAGCTCGTCAACGTCAAACTTGACAAAGTGGATCTGCTTGAACTCATCCGTCTCGGAAAGCCTGGCGACAAGGACATGTTAGCAATTAACCCATCCCGGCGGAGTTTCACCGCCGTTTGAAAAAGGGAGGAATATCGAAAGGCCTACTTTTCTAGGATCGGGGAGATGGCCTTGCAAGGGCCGCACCAATCGGCGAAACAGTCCACAATGACCTTGTCGTTCTGCGCGAGGTGGTTCCTGAAGGTCTTCTCACTACGCGGTCGGGCATTTTGTCAGCTCCGGTCCCACACACATCCTGCTATCAAGAAAAGTCTTCGAGGCCGTACTTTGGGGCATGGTGGACGACCAAGCGAGAAGGCGTCGAATGGAACTGACGGACCGCGGCCTGTGCAGATGCTCGCACGGCATGGCGAGAGGAGGCCATTGTTCGGGGGGCGAGAGCATTCATGGTGGCTGATTTGGCTTGCTAATGTCTCGGGAACCAGGGCGTTCGCTGAAGGCGTGAGTGTGCGACTGATGCTTCAATTGTCGGTTAAGCCATTTCGACTGTGAAATATCGGAGTGTCGCTGTAGGTTAGCTATGACGAAAATTAGCCGATAACGATAACCGATGACGCAGGATGCTTCCGAAGCGGAGCATCATCCCAGAGCTCCCAAGCTTTTGGGCTTGTTTGAGCTCCTACCTACAGAGGTTAGGAAGCTTGTCTCAAGCTGAGATCCCGGGGAAAAGTGACTTTCGTTCCTAGCTGTCCGATCCATACGATAGAATCCGTCCTTCCGCTCTGACAACAAGCCCCCGGGCTGCCATTGGCCTTCCTCTCCCTCGGTGGCTTGCTCTAGCAGGCACGGTCCTCCATTCGCTCACCCAATGTAAGCGACGAGCAAGCAAGCAACTCCCCGTGGCGTCAGCCCAGACCCATACAAACATAATATCGTATGTACTTTGCTTTTGATCAAGCCACTTCATTCAGCTTGGAACTACACGCTGCGCCATACGGCCTACGATCCGCGCACCCCCTCCCCCTGGACGCTTAATATCAAGCTGCTCACTCTGTCACAATCACCTTACCTAGCGTCCGCAAGATGACCCAGGTCACTACTACATTGCCAGTTTGTGCACAGTGAAACGCCACTCGGTAATCAAACAATCCACTCCCAGCGTCTAGTTCATGCGTGGAAAACAGAAGCAGAGCGGACCGCAATATGCAGTGGTACGTAAATCTGAATTTCCCCTTACCTGCTGAAAGAGGTACTGCCCTCATCCTGGAGAGTAGCCCAAACTAAGGCACCGTATGCGCCAAAGTTCCGACAGTAGACTCAGAGGGTTGCATCTGAGATGGAACCACTTAATTTAGCAACACGGCGTCGTCGGAACTCAGTGGGCGCAGAAGCCTCCCGCGCGTAAGTCTGCGGCTGGCGAGAATGAGAGTTTATGCGCTGCAGCAGTTGATGCCGGATATTGGCTCGCTGCTTTCATCCCAAATGCCTGTTCCTGCAGCTGGAGATAACGTTCCCCACACCATTTGTGGGTGGCCTCATCCTACCTCTCCCATGCTGCGTATGACGTAGGTCACATCCACCACTAATATCGAGAGCTGTCTGGTGACTTGCAAATATACCGTTGTATTCGACGGCTATGCCGTCCTAAGATCGAAGCAGGGCCTTCAGTCAAAGACTATTATCCGAGGCCAACCTAATAAACGCCTGTTCAGAGCCTCCTGTCCTTTATAGAAGCACCGCTTCAGCCGTGGAATAAGCAAAAAAGGAATCCCCAGAAAAATTGCATCCAATTACGCCTCTCCATGCAGTGTAGGAATATGAAAAAGAAATAAAAAAGCAATTAAAAAACACCGACTCTTTTCTTTTCCGTAAGTGTAGATGGTCGCACACTAGAGTCTGGATGACTTGGCCTCCCAGCCCAGTGTGCCGCCAATCTCCTCTCCAGTAAAGGAACAAATACACCAATTCCAAATAAATAGCACCTCTCCAAATCCGAATGCTCCGGGGTATCAAGGTAATATGTGCAGCAAAAACAATGAAGCAGACCCAAAGCGCGCGCGTATACCTTTGAAAAGTGTGTATAGTACAACAAAAACCAATTATATCCAGCTGGCCAACAACTATTGTTCCTGTAGTGAGCCTTGCCCCAAAGAAATATGTGTGATGATGATTCTTGCGAGATTGGTCACAAGCCGCCCTTTTTTGTTTGAGTTTTGACCTTTTTTTGTAACCGTTATGTTCGCACCGCTTGACCGTTGAATTTTCGAGTTTTTTCTTCTTCTCTTTATCTTTCTTTTGTCGTTTTTGTTGATCATTTGTTTATTTTCGAGTTTTTTTTTTCCAGATTCATCTGAATATTCCGAGTTTTTTTTTTTGTGTATATCTTTCGACGGTCAAGGGTTATTGAGCTGTTAGGTTCTTTATATGGTTGGTGACGGGGAAAAAAAGAGCGACTGTGGTCAGTTTTGACATAAAGAAATAGTGTTCCGACTTTGTCGTTGTCTAGATATATGTTGCTGGGCGGATTGTGCCAGAATCTTCGCGGTATTCATCAAAATCATATTTTTTTGGTAGGGGTTGAACTCTTTCTGTCTAGGTCTATTGACCTGTGAAAGAATGAACTTAGTTAGAGGCCTTGGCGTTTGGGGTGGATTTACTGTCCACATCCTCGAGGCTCAAGGGAGAGGGCGGGGCCGGGACTTCCTCGTCTTCAGACTCGATATTGAGGAGTCCTTCAACACTCCGTAGGGTGCTTCGATGCTTGTGCACGACTTGTGGGTGGGAACCAACATTTCCCCACTTGGCACCTGATTCGTCAATATAATCCTCATCATCGCTGCTTGGTCGGCCATCTCCTTGGAGGTTGTTAAACCCACTAGGTTCTCGGTTGGGCGTCAAGCGGACGAGATAATCGTCATCAGCGATGGCCAGATCCTCTTGGGTGGTGTTGGTGGGCGAGCTGGCAAATGGAGCTTCAGTAATACGATTGGCTCTGAGCAGACTCTCGCGCATTGCTGACGATCGCTTGGTGCTGACTTTTCCAGAGAGCCACGAGCCTTCCGAGTCAACAGAAGCCAAGGACATGGAGAGCACCGGATTGGCGTCAGGGGAGGGCACTGAAGACACCCTGTCGAAAGAAGTTGAGCGTGGGCGCTGACGATCGGATGCCCCTGGGATTGAGATAGGTTGTGTGCGGGTGTCATCGCCCGTGGATTCTGCCACGACTGGGAGGTCTGGCGATTGCACGGGCGATTGCACTGGAGACTCAGGAGGGGATGGATAATCTGGCAAATCCTCTCGGAATCTCGACTTTGTTCGGAGCGAGCCTTGTTTTCGGGAGATGTATACACCTGACCCTGGCTCTGTCCTTGGTAATTCTTGACCTTGTAGCCTAGCAAGTGCTTCGGCTTGTGCTTGGGCAATCGATTGAGCTCTTATTGCTGCTGCGGCGGCAGCGGCAGCCTGCATTTCATCCCTGGAGGTATTCGAGAATGAGGATGGTGTTGGGGTTTTACGCAGGCGTTTGCTTCCCCATCGAATGAAGTTGGTAAGAGACAGACGGTTCCGAGTCCCGCTACTTGCTGTACTTCTTCGTAAACTATCTTCCTCAACTTGGTCTCTCTCGGAAGTCACCGTGGATTTCGACTTGCTTCGCCTCAAGCGGAGAAGACTGCCTAACCTTGAGCTTGGTTGAACAAGGGATACTGTTGATTCTTGTGCTTTGGATTCCCGTGGCTGAAGATCCTGTCGAGGGGGCTCCTGAGGGACATCCTTCGCAGACTCCTTCAATTCATCCTCCAAGGGGGCTTGGTCCAAAACCATCGGTTCTGGCTCCAGAATAGGCTCATGTTCAATCTTGTCAACAAGCTCGTTCTCGAGTGGAGCAGGCTCCTCAACTGGCCCAGCACCTGAGTCAGCCGACTTCCGGGGCGGATGCTCGGATTTTTCGAGGTCTGAAGATTCAGACTTGCGATGAGATGAGGAGATGGATTCACGACGCTCGGATGATGTCCTGACGGCAGAGGGCGGGTCAATGCCGAGACCGACAAGCTCACGACCAGCAACACCTCTCTCGAGATTCTCTGGAGGAGGAGTTCCAGCTTTGCGAGCCTCGGCTAGTTCAGCTTTTTGCTTCTCAGCGCTGCGAGCCAGTTTACGTCCAGCCCGCTCGCGTTCCTTTTGTCGTCGTCGCTCTCGTCGCCTATCTTCCCGCTCCATCAGCTCGCGAAGACCACCAGCGTCAAGGTCGTCGGCTAACTCGTCGATACGCTTCGGGCCTTTCAATGTAGGTTGCCTCGTGGGGCCGATATCAAGGCCGAATCTGCTCTGCCCTGGATGGGGAGTCCGAGAGGGCGAGCTTCTGGGCCCGGGTTCATAGCGAAGAGTTGGCCTTGGAGCTAGCGAGTCGAGTGCCGAGACCTTGAAGGAAGCATAGTCCGAATCTGACGACATGCTAGAATCGATCGAGCCAGGAACAGGGATAGAGACATCAGACGTACGCGGTACTCCAAATCCAGGCATAGCCTTGAATTTTTTGCTCTCTTTCCTCATCGGCCGCCCTGATGTCCACTCCTCGGCAGCGGGTCTGACGGGCGCAAACTCGCTGATGGCCTTGATTTCAGCAGCCCTGGCTCTTTCTTCCTTCTTCCTGTTGTTCTTTCCCCGTGCGGACTTCTTTTTCTGCTTGTTATGGTGTAGTGTGGGTGTACGCGCCCATTCTGGCTGAGGCGGGAGGTCGTGTTCATCGATCTGCCGCGAATACCGGGCTCGTCGATCCGGAGATGCCCTGCGCTTCTCTGTGCCCAAGGAATCCTGTCGACCTGGAGAGAAGCTATATCTCCGTCCAGGCTGGCTAGACGGACCAGGCTCAATCCTTTGCTTCTTCTGTGAAGCGCCTCGAGTGATTGCGCCTTCAGCATGTGCCCTTGCAGACGACCCCTCAGCGTCAGATAAAGCTGCGCCGCTGAGGGGCCGCTTCCGACCGCTCTTGCGGCGGAAAGGCCACAGGGCCATCCTGCGATAGTCCCTGTGGACCGGCGCAGTTCCTAATGCTCAGGTATGGCTGACGATGGAAGTATTAAGTAGGTAGTTCCGAGGTCAGCGACGGGCTGTAGCATGGTGCAGGTCCTCAGAAGTCGACGCCGGTGGCAGTATTTGGTCGTTCGTTGACGAAATCAACTACCAATAGTAGCCTTAAGCAGTAGGCTAAGATGGTGAGCGCATCTATATGGTGTGGCGATGCGGAAAAGGTGGTGAATCCCAGATACCCGGAGATTCGGAAACTCGCTGTTGTGTTTTCAACATATAAAGGCGGTGGAATGCTAGTATTGGCGTGGTGGTCGTGTCGGTTCAGATATTCGAGACACTGTCGACGACGATGCGGCGAGTGGGCGGCGGCACTTATACAAGGGGCTGACGGTGTAAAAGGAGAGAAAAGGAAATCCAAGACGTATGCGCCGTTCCTCTTTGCTTTCTGGAATTTGAAGCCGCTCCCGAATCGCCAGTCGAAGTCACCACAAAAGAAAACGCCCGCGTGTTGAAGGTGAGGTGCTGAATGTGTAGGCAGGCAGGTGTCAGCAGGCAGGTAGCTCTTGGGTTCCTGCCTCTTAAGTTGGGCCTCTGCTGTTTTTGTGGTGGATTGGCGAGGGCCAGGTCAGTGGGAGGGGCGCGCTTGCTTAAGGGGGGTGGTCCCGAGCGATGGAGGCGCACTCACTAATTAGCGGGTACTTTGTGCTAAGAGGGATTGGATCACTGGACTCGCTGGAACTGGGCACAGAATGGATGCCATGAAAACTGGGGCCACCTCATTCGCTCACCTCCCCTGCCCGGGTCCTGGACGCCCCTCCTTTCCCACAATGGCCTGGGCCTGGGGGCTTGGAGAGACCGAGATGCTGTTATTAGTACCACGCCCATGTTGGGACCAGCTGACACTACCACGCTATGCCGTCACAACTGAATCTTTGGAGGCAAGAAGCATCCCGCCAGTTCTTAGCCCGCTGGAACCAACGTCTCTAGCGCACTAGCTGCGAGGATGCACTTCCAGGTTTTCACTGGGATAGGCCAGCCCTAGCCGATCAAGAGAGGCCAGCCCAATCTAGCAGCCGTCAGTAGCCTCATCATTTCCCCAAGCGGTCTGCCAGCGCCAAGAACTCGTACTGGAAATGGGACGCGGAGCACAGCAATTCTAATCCTGTAGGGATGGCGATGGTGCATTTCTGCCAGACACAGTCGACCAGCACGGCCCTACAAGGTTACCTCTGCCAGCGGCATCCCATCACCAAGCGCCTACAGTGGGAAATTCGTTGCACAGAAACGTGGATGCTTGTAGCATTGATGATGTATGCCACTTAAATGGGCTGCAGGGATCCTCACACACACACCCCGAAAAAGAAAAGATTCGACATTCTTTTCCGTCATGGGTACTTTAGCTGCCCATCCGGTTTTTTTCTTGCCGGTCCCTTGCCAGGACAGCACAGGGCCAAGGCCCGGGGTCTCTGCCGCTCAATTCCCTTCATGTTCGATGTACATGGCCAGCCAGTCTCTCCTTTCCTTGGCGACTGTCTACGCTGGCGATGAGGGATGAACCCACCAGCCCACCTCCTTAGCTGGGTTCGCGCCCTGTGATTAGACCGCAGAGGTCAGGATTATCTTATGGTGTGCCAGAGATGATTATGCACATGAGGTAAGGTACAGTGCATTGCAAAGTCGCGTAGCCTGAACTTTGCTGATCTTCGTCTGACGGACAACTTTCCGCTTCCATTGAGAGTGATAGTGCTGGCCTCGGTCGACCGCAAGTTGTCTACCAGTTGCTTGCGCTATCACTGACCTGCTGAGCCGGCCATTGGCCGTGCTACTCGTTCATTCCGCCATATACGAACACTGCGTCTAGACTTATTCAGCCGCGGTTGGTGAAGCTTGCTCCATCAATGGGTCTTAGTGGCATGTTGGTTTGCACAATAGTGGCAAGCCCGTCACCCGATTGACGTCGGGAATAACTCTAGCCAACCAGTCTGAAGGGTCCGTAGACCTCATTTGATCGCATCACATTCCGCCAGTCAAGACCTGCCGGGAGTGATACAATTCGCAACAATCTAGCCGCTCCTTGCTTCGTTCCAGACCTCTCGACGCTTGTACAATCAGTCCCGCATCAACCCATCCTCGTGCCGAGAACCCAACGGCTGCATATAGGTAGGGTAAGGTAAGGTACCTACCACCAACTGGGCTGAGGTACCACACCTCTGTCTGGTTTCCACATCGAGACATCTTTCGGTCCCGCCCGCCGCATAGGCATTTCAGCACAACGCTGAGCGTGTCACTGAGCGTTTTCTTCTTTCCTTTTGGGCTTGCTTGATTGCGGGAATCTTCGTATCACCCCCGGGTCCGAGGGTCTTGCTTGCGCGGGACCCGCAACAGGCCCTCGTATTCGTCCATTTACAGCCCAGCATGAGTCGCTGCTCAGCGGGCGGAGCGTGCCCAGGGAGACAATATGCCTTGTTCATGCTGTGCTCTGGCAATAATCAGCACCCCCATTTTCCAGGCAGGCAGGCAGCCAGGACAGGACGAGAAAGCTCCGGCGTGTACTGTCCCATGTACTCACTCCCACCTTCGACCCTCGTTTTGGGGTCACCGAGGCGCTCATGATCTACGTGGGCCGAGCAAGGGATTCCCGCTAGGCTCATGATCGATTTCGATGGCTGCCATATGTGCCTTGCAATATTGCAACTACATCTAATCTGTCCTACTCGGGTGCACCACCACACTTGATCATTTGCATCTCCCTAGGGCCATTAGGATGATTCACAATGGGCACCGCTGTCGCCATTCGCACAGCCGACTCGATGTGCTACATGCGGAATCTCGCACGTGTAGGAGCGTGCCCTATCCCTGCGTGTCCCTGTCTCCCTTGCATTAGTTCATAGGTTCGGGAGAGTACACCGGCCTTGGTCAGACTCGCTGGCTTTTTTGCGAAATATATGTCTGGATGCCGGGGACAGTCCAGACCCGGAGCACTTTGCTTGCATCGCTCTCTCTTCTCTGCGCATGACACGTAGTTTTTAGCTCCACACTCCTGCAGGCCTCTCTCCACAGTTTGCGGAACGCTGCTCTCTTGCTTGTCGTCGCGACATGGTTCCTCTTGACCGTTGGTTGGCAGCGAGGGCCTCAACGGACGGCGCTTGCCAGTCCGCTCATGAACTTGCAATTTAGCCGTCGTTTCGCTCTGGGACACCCGCCCTGACCAAAGAAGCTTATAGCTGGGTCATCTCAACTTTCTCCGCAAATGGCTCTGGACAAAGGACGAGAAGCCAGGTGATTGGTCACGGTGTCTCAATCGCCAATTTAGACTCTGGCCAGTGGATAGACTTCTCGGCAGTTCGCGCCTTATCATGCAAAACGAGTCCCCAGGGACATGAATCGCATAGCGCGCTGCCCACGTACATAGTACATACGTTTCGCTTGCCATTTGGGGGACACCAGGGGTGTGGTCAACATCACCTACTTACACGTACCAACATCGAGCATAGATATGAGAGGGCAAGGGGTCTGGGCCCAAGAGGGAAGGGTTACCATAGCAAGAAAGGGAGACATATGCAGGGCATTATCCGATGAACAAGCAAGTAAAAAAAAAGAACTCATCCCCAGGATGTGAGGCATAACGACCAGTTAGAAGCGGGGCGTCATCCTTCCTGCCCGTTGAGCGGCCGTCTGTTGCTAGCTTGCTCCTCTGAGTCGGTCTGGGCCGACGGGTGATGGCCAGACACGTGGATAGGGTGAAACTCTGTGCATGCATCCCAAAGGGGGAGACTTCCCAATGCGAGGATGGTGAGGAGCTGGTGAGACCAAGCGGTGGCTGTTGAGTTTGACGGCCTTGCGCACTAGGCCATGTCGCACCATGGAAGACAAGCACAAAGTCATTGTCATGAGTCGGTTAGCAACCTAATGTTGAGCGACCTCTTTAACTGATGGGCAGGCGGCGTCGCGTTAGAGATCTTAGTGCAAGTCACGACGTCAGTGGTAGCGAATCAATGATGCGCATCTTGCGATTGAGCCCGGTAGCACGGATAGATGCTAGCCAGTAGCCAAAGCGCAGTATCCATGTACATTTCACATAGAGGATGAAGGCAGAATACCCGCCATTGCCCAATGAACCTGTCATCCCCAAAACCAGAACTCGAAACTAGACAGGAAGGCCAGAACAGATCTTCATGGGTCCCTTTTCAGTACTATGGAAGTTCCTACATTAGCTCATCTCGCCCAGTCCGAAGTACCCACATTCCTCAAGAGTCAAGTCCCGGCAAATGTGGACGACTAGGGGCAGTGGTGAGCGCTTAACAGTTAGGGGGGAGCATGGTTTGATCCGCGCAGAAAGTGTAGGGTCTGTGCTGGCATTAGTCGTAGCCATAGGCGGTAAGGAAAGATCGAAGGATATGGTAGATGAGATAGTCAGATAAAATAGACCACAGCGCTTAGAAACTTGAAACGTTGATGGGCAGCCTACTTTCGCTAGTGTGCTGCTTGGCCTAACCTGGAGTGAGGCACATGCGGATTCTGGGGAAGATCAATGATGGCACGTGATTGATCACCTGACAAGTTCCCGGAGCAACGCGCAAGCATTGTTTACAACGGCGCCGCTCCCGTAAGGCTGCATCCACTGTTGGCATTTGCTTCGTTCGCGACTTTTGATTCACTATCGTCCTGCGCAAGGTCAATATCTCAACAAGACACAAGCGATCTCACCATCATCTTCTAAAGCGCAACTACAATCAAGATGACGTACAACCCACGAATGAGCATAATCCCGACCAACCAGCAGCAGTCAAGGTCGCGCAAGAAAGACGACGACACGCATTTTCGTCTACCTGATCACGAGATCGTGGGCTGCATCACCGAGCTCGGAATCCCCTTCTCCATCGCCGATCTCCAAAAACCGAGCGCAGCCCATGTCCAGCAGATTTTCGAGTGGTTCGCCGAGCTGCTCCTCAATGCGACGCGCGAGACCGTCGAGCCCCCGATGCGGGCTGCCGCTGAGGATATCTGCGGCGAGTTCGCGGATGTGATCTCGCCGGATACCCGGAACCTCATGGGGTTTTATGTGGCCTTGAGAAGGGTGATGCTGGAGTGCGGCATCAACGACTTCACTTTCAACGATCTCTATAAGCCGACGTACCAGCGGGTGGCCAAGATCTTCAGCTTTCTCATTAATTTCGTTCGCTTCCGCGAGTCGCAAACCGATGTTATTGATGAGTACTACAACAAAGCCGAGAGTGTCAAAAACCGCATCGAGACGCTCTACACCGAAAACCAAGAGAATGAAGTCCGGCTTGAGGATCTCCGACACAACCGAAAGGTGATGGAGGCGCAGGTCCGGGAGAAGACGGCGAGGAATGAGGAGCTGAAGAAGCAGCTCCTCGAGCTCCAGAGGTACCTAGGCAAGGTGACCGAGCGCCTGAACGACGCAAAGGACAAGAAGGGCGCGCTGACGGCATCGCTGGAACGGGGGACGCAGGAGAAGCTGACACTGAAGCAAGAAGCTAACAAACTGCGGCCGTATATGCTTCAGAGCCCCTCGGGTCTGCAGGACAGTTTGGCCGACCTCCGTGAGATGCTCAACAACGACAAGTCTCACCTCGACTCTCTTGACCGGAGAGCTCGAGCGCTGCAGACGTCTACGGACTCTTTTACTGTAGTGGCGGGAGATGTATCGGCCTGTATCAAAATTCTGGAGGAGATTGCATCCGAATTGGCAAAGGAGGAAGAAGAAATGGCAAGAAACGCGAGGCAGCGAGATGCTCTTTCTGAGAGGGGTAACAACGCAAGGGAAGTTGAGAGAGCCGAGGGATTGCTGAAGCGCCAGCTTGCTAAATGGAACGAGCGCACGGAGCGCCTGCGCGAGCAAAGCAACCAGAAGGCACAAGAGGCCAAGGAGAAGATGGATGAGCTGAGAGCTCAGTATAAGAAGCTCACGGAGGAGCATGCTGAAAAGGGCAAAGAAATCGATATCCGACGAGTTCGGATTGAGCAAACAGAAAAGAAGGTACGTCTCAACGCTCAGCATTCACTGTTTCGGAGCCGCTCGGCTAACGCACTGCCTAGATGCTTGATCTCAAAGAGAACATTGAAAATGAGGTTCACGCCGCCCAAGACGAGTATCAGAAGCTGGAGGCCCACGTCAAACTGTACATCACAGAGATGGAACAAAACATTTCATAATCTCATTTTGATTTGGGCGGCATGATTAATGGCTATTTTACTACGAAGGCATGATGCATGAAGATACCACCGGCTGGCGTTGGAGTAGATGTTCACACGGGCTTGTACATACGAGTTGTCTTAGAATCTGGATATCATTTCGATTTTGATCATTGCTGGCTGCTGTGCGACGTCTGAGGCTCAATCTCAAACCAGCGTGCAAGAACTCTGTACAACTCAACCGTCCTAGCGGTCCAGGATCCAGCCTTCTTTTCGCTAAGCAGCGGTATATGTTCCTTGAGTGAGTGCTCTTCCTGCTTGGCACTGCTACTTGGGTCCGGGGTCGGACCAGCATCAGCGGTCGGTTCGATCACAATAGCTCTGAGTGTATTCCGTGCTGCAGCTTCTACCAATGCAGCTGCAGAGTCGCCGAGTCCCTGTGCTGACCACTCACTAGTGTCGCGATGGAGCCAGAGAAAGCCGTAAACTATTAAAGCTGGGTGGGAATCCTGGCCTGGGCGCTGACGTGGAGGCTTAGGAACCCTGGAATCTTCCTTTGAAAAGACGGATAGATAGACGCGCAGGTGTGTAACTGTAGACACAAAGACGACTCTAATGTGCCGAGAGGCAGCGACTTGTAGAAGAGTCGTGCACAGTATTGGGGTTGGGGGAGAGTCATGGGCTCGTTGCTCTTCATGCATGCTGACCTCTTCGTGTAGCGATCCCAGGAAATGCTCCTTTGTTGATGTGATGATGACAGTTGTAGGATAGCTGTACCGAGAAGCGATGTCTAGAAGACACTGTGCCGGTGTCGCAGGAGGAAGAACAACGGGTCGAGGGGCCATTATATTGGCTGCAGGAGGAGAGTTCATGGGACTTTTCCGGAATCCATAGCTTTATTTTGTTCTCAATAGAGAGAATTCACTCTGTTAAATCCAGCTTCGGCATGTCTGGTGAATTGCTGTGATGAAGAGGCCGTAGATGGAAATGAAGCTCTGTAGGATAGGTAGTAGGTTGAGGTTCTAGCCTAACCTGGACCCCCACCATATACAGACCGCAGTAGCCCCTCAGCGTGGGCCCCCAAGCGGCACGAGACCGATCAACCGGCACGTCATCCACAATCAACCACCCAGCTGCTTCACACGCCCAGCATCTCTCCGTGGACAGCTGCAAGCCTAGCTTCACCTAGCTCACGAGACAATCGAACCTCGCTCCGGCAAGAGTCGAGCCGCCGCACAAGCAGGCATCCGAAGCTAGGGCAGCTCTCACCATGGAGTCCATCTCGAAGATCTCGAGTCTCATGGAGACTGGTACGCATCCCCCCATTCTAAGAGGAAGCTTGCCCGTTCACATGCTAATGGTGCCCGACCTGCCTAGCGAGAGAGCTGACCCTCGATGCGGCCCAGGCGACCCGCGGTATTCGCACGAACAGTCGACCACTAGATCGCAACCAGATGAAGAAGCTCCTGGACAGTAGGAATGACAGAGAGATTCTTGAAGGATTGCGGCGCGTTCTTGCTGTTGGTCTATCTACCTCGAATATGTCTGGCTTGTGTCAATGGGCGAGACTCAATACCACGCACATGGCTAACGAACGGCTGAGTAGATGATGTACAAGAGTCAAAAGACGATAGTGTTCTTCTCCAACGTAGTCAAGAATGTCGCATCCCCGAACCTCGAGATCAAGAAGCTCGTCTACATCTACCTAATACACCACGCCGAACAAGAGCCCGACCTTGCCCTCCTCTCCATCAACACCATCCAGAAGTCCCTTTCCGACCACAACCCTCAGGTTCGAGCCCTGGCGCTCAAGACCATGTCCGGCATCCGAGTACCTGTGATTAGCCAAATCGTCTCCCTGGCGATCAAGAAAGGCGTGGTGGACATGAGCCCTCATGTGCGCAAGGCTGCCGCACTATCGATACCGAAATGCTACCGCTTGGACCCCAGTACATTACCGCAATTGATTGAGTACTTGTCGACACTGCTCGGTGACAAGCAGTACTTTGTCGCTGGAGCTGCAGTCACGGCCTTTATGGATATCTGCCCCGAGAGAATCGATCTGATTCATAAACACTATCGCAGCCTAATCAAGAAGATCGTTGACATGGATGAATGGAGTCAGCTGGCCCTTCTGCGTTTGATGCCATTCTACGCTCGCAAATGCTTCCCACGCAAACGACAGCCATCAGAAGAGGCCCCTGCCGACGGTAAGGCTGATGACTTCTATAGCGAATCTACCGGTGCAGGACGGGCGGCTCCGTCCACGGATCCCGACTTGACCCTTCTACTGAACACAGTTCGGCCACTGTTACAATGCCGTAACGCTGGTGTGGTTGTTGCTGTATCCAGACTATTCGTTGAAGTTGGAACACCGGAATACGTGCAACAATCAGTCGGTCCTCTCATTGCTTTAATGAGAGGCGCACAGGACATCCGGCAGATTGCGTTGTACAACATCGTCTCAGTCTGCCTCATGAGGCCCAAGGACTTTGTAAAATATGCAAGCCATTTCCTGGTGAGGGCCACAGATCCTGCACCTGTGTGGGAGTTGAAACTCGAGATCCTCACAATCATCTTCCCGCACAGCCCCCTGCACACCAAGAGTCTCATCCTGAAGGAGCTGGAACACTTCTCGCAGGGTTCGAACAAAACCCTAGTTAGGGAATCTGTCCGCGCCATCGGACGTTGTGCTCAGGCGGATGCTTCTGCGGCACCTCGGTGTTTGAAGCTCCTTTTGGGGCAGATCACCAGTCTGGATGGGGTCCTGGCCGCCGAATCTCTCACGGTAATACGACATCTAATTCAGCAAGATCCCGAGAAACATGTCGGGACTGTGGTACGCTTAGCTAAGAATCTCGACTCCGCAACTGATCCCCAAGCACGGGCAACCATTATCTGGTTGGTTGGCGAGTTCTCTGGCTTGAAAGGCGAGGACAACATCGCCCCAGACGTTCTACGGATCCTCCTCAAGGACTTTACAAGTGAAGCCGAGGCATCTAAACGCCAGATTCTACTTCTCGCTGCCAAAGTGTATCTTCATCATCTCAACCGGAAGAGCGAGGCGGAAAAGGAGAAGAGTGCTGAGGATGACGCAATAGAGGATGTGGAAACGCATCCCATTGCCCGGCTCTGGGAATATGCGCTCCTTCTCGTAAGATACGACACGTCGTACGACTTGCGAGACCGGGCTAGAATGTACCGCTCGCTCCTCGCTGTACCTCAGCTTGCGACTCTCATGCTGTTAGCACCCAAGCCTGCCCCACAGGCCCCTAGCCCCTCGGAATCCCGAAAAGGGTTCCTCTTGGGATCCTCGACGCTTGTCTTGGCTGGCGGTGGCGGCCTGCACGGAATCCAAGGATACGAGCCGCTCCCCGACTGGGTCCAGCCTGGCAGGGAGCCTGATCCTCGACTGCGCGAGACTGAATCTACCGTGTCATCTCGGTACGACACCGAGAAGTCCGCCGTCCCGGCTGGTGAGAGACTAGACGATGCTGCCAAGTCCATGCCGTCCAAGATCAACGGCCTTGCTGCTGCCGGCGCGGGAGCGAAGACCCTTGATGACTGGTTAGCCGAAGGCGAGGACGAAGAAAGTGAGGAGGGAGAGACCGAGGAAGAATCCGAAGAGGAATCAGAGGAAGAGGAAGAGGAAGACGAGGAAGAAAGCGAGGAAGAGGAAGAAGAGAGTGACGATGACGGGGAAGCTGATCGATTGGTCAAGTCATGATAGAATGGCCTGTTTCGATATCCCGAGACTTGGTCTACGCATCCTCCCTAACCTAGACATAGAACATGAATTAAACCGAATTTCAGTTTGAACGAGAAATCTATTCAGTATCCGTCGACAGAACTGTCTACTATCAGATCTGTACATATTTATACGTGGCCCCATCCGGAGAGCACTGCTAACATTCTATAGACAAAACAAAGATCCTCCGTAGCTCTAAAGAAGAAAAGAGGTGGGATTTTTGGGAACTCCAACTCGGTGAAATGAGACTTCCCTCAAGTATACCTCCTTTTCAACCCCACCGTCGTCGAATTCCCTAGAAACGCCCCTTATTTCATTTCCCCCGAATAATTCGTATCTTCGAAGGTGAGTCTTTTACGCATGAGAAGAGGGCGATTCGCTAGCTTCAGCGGCGTTGTCCTTGCTCTCACCCACGGGGACCTCCTCCTGGTGCTTCTTATAGTACCCGCTGCACATCTGCGGGAAGAAGAGTCCTGGGTGGAAGATTGTCAGGAGGTACGTCGCGACCAATATAAGCGCAGAGTCCAGGACCAAGAAGCTGGGCTCGTCCTGCATGATGTGGTTTCCCCATCCACCCGCCATCTCAGCGATTCTAAATTGCCCAGTCAGTAACCTGGTCCTACCATATAGACATGACAAAAAAGGGGTGAAACGTACCGGTAAATACATCGGATGAAGATGGAAGCATAGGCCCCCGTCACCGCATACGCAAAGCTGCGGAACTTCTTGTCCCTCCATGTCGCGAGAGACCGCGCGTCGGCCTCGGGCGAGGTCATGTACTTCTTCACACGGATCCAGTAGTCGACGCCCATGACGCCGAAGGCGGCGAGGACGACGACCTGCAGGACGATGCCCGCGAGGATGGTGTTGTTCCCGCCGTCGATGAGCTTCTTGTTGTTCCCCGAGGCCGCGAGCCCGCCGCCGATGGCCTGCAGGACCAGGCAGGAGAGGTCGGCGGGGAGGAAGATGAGCGGGTAGAGGCGGGGCTTTATCCGCGACAGGGACGGGTTGAGGGCGAGGGCGATGTGCTTGAGGGTGACGTAGATGGCGACGCAGATGAGGGTCGGGGCGATGATGATGGCGCAGATCTGGAGCTGGAAGGCGTCCTTGTTCCAGGGGTTCTTGTGGAGGAGGGCTCGACCAATGTGGCCTTTTTCATGTTAGCGAGAGAGAGGGTATAGATGTTCAGAGTGGACTTACCGGCCGCCTCGAGCAAAAGACCGGCTGTCGTGGCAAAACCGTAGGTCCAGGTTTTCTTGGAGACTCCCAGGCCGCCGGCCGCGATCATGGCGAGGCCAAAGGCAACTGCGAAGAAGATGCTGACGCCAAAGTTTGGATAGTAGCCTAGGACCGTGGCCTCGACGGGGCACATTTTGGAGACTTCATGGCAGAGGCTGTATGATACCCTCCTTGGGGGCTCTGTCGTTGATGACATGGCGATGGTTGAAACTCAGTAAGAATGACCGCTCTCGTTCCACCAGGCAATAGCCTATACCTCCTCGACGGCACCCCACGATGTGAATTCCAGTACACTTCCGACAAGTATGCGTGGCCTCGGTCTCGTTCAAGCCAATAGAGATACTACGAACCGATGGTAGTCGTGGGACGTTTCGTTAGTCGAAGGATAGGAAGTAGGCATATCGAGGAGAGGACCAGGTGCGGAGAAGAGATAGAAAACACGAGCTCAAAGGTATTTATGTGGTGAGAGCATTGCCACGATTCCCCAACTCCATATTGTCATCTACTATTGAATGAAACCCCGGTACCATCGACGATTAAGGCAGGCGGCCGCCGCAGTTCAGATGTAACCGAACAAGCCTAATCTCTCAAGGGGAAAAGAGAGTTCCGGGGTCGTACCAACTCCGCCCGCTGCCCCGGTATTTCCAGTGGGATCACAGATCCCTCACCTAATTGTCAGACATCCCAGTTCAATGCTTATCAAGCCTACAGTCGTGGCAAACTGGGTAGATGAAACATCCACCAATTTCCTGTGAGCGCAACATACGGTTCATCTACTAGGAGAGGACGCCACGCGAGACCCCGTCCCTTGGTGCAGATACTCTATCTCTGAGTCTATTTCGCGATGCTCCCTAGCAGTGTAACTCCGAACCCCGTGAGAGGGACCGAGAGGGTGGGGGCTGAACCGCAGTCGATGGAAGTATAATACGCGTAACTTGCCAATACGTGTATAGCGTATCGGGCACTGGCCTCTCCCAAGTTCTGGAATACGGATACGCGTATATAGCTGACGCTAGCTCGTGCTAAAGATCAGATTGCTCCACAATAACCATCCATCATTCAGAAGACGAATCCTTCCTGCTTCTGCCCAGGCCGGTCGCGGGACTGATTCTCTTTCCTGGGCACCTTCGGCCCTGAACTGACAGGATTACGTGTTTGCACTTGCAGAAAGCCATGTTTCCTCCCGAGCGGATCCTCAAATCTCCAACCAATTGGTGCTTCGTCCGCGCCTCTGGTTTCTATCGACGTAATAGGCAAGCAGTATACTCCATCTTCAACACAAAAAGACATTACATAAGTGTACCATTGACTTCGAAAGTCCGGACTCTTTTATCCGTGTACTCGGGGATAGTAACCACATAACTTGCTCAGTAATTACGGAATTACAGTAGAATGTTTCATACCTCCGGCACAGCTTGCAGATGAGCATGGTTAAATACTAACAGACTGTATCTATCTATTCCTCTTTACCGCCGAGATGTCTATAAACAACCGAAAAGTCCCGCCCCGCGCACTGGTCCTCCTTTTCCGCCTCTTCGTACACCTTCATCGCTGATTCCGCAAGCTTCATCTGCGCGCCAGCCTCCTTGGCCGCCACCATGGCTAGGCGGAGATCCTTCTTCATGAGCGAGATGCCAAAGCCTCCCTTGTAATCACGCCCGGCAGGCGCATTCTCCACGACGCCGCGCACCGGGTTGTTGACCTCACTAGGCCAGCAACGACCGGTGCTCACGTTGATCACGCCTGCGAGCTTCTTGGGATCCAGCCCCCACTTCATGCCCAGGTTCATCGCCTCTGCGGTCGCAATGTTGTTCAGGGCCAGGAGGTAGTTGTTCGCCAGCTTAGCAGATAATCCGGCGCCCTGGTCTCCGCAGTGCAGGACCTTGCGGCCCATCAGCAGCAGGATCGGCTCGACACGGGGCATGAGGCTCGGTGCGGCGCCCAGCATGAAGGTCAGAGTACCGGCTGTCGCGCCGACGACGCCGCCCGACATGGGCGCATCCGTGAATTTTCCTTGACCAGCATCGGCAACAGTTTTAGCCACCTGCCGAGAAGTCGATGGGTCAATTGTAGAGCAATCAATGAACAGGCGGTCCTTTTTAGGAAGCGAGGGGCTCAGAATAGATTTGTAGACTCCTTGGACATGCTGTGGTTCAGGCAGCACTGTAATGACGGTATCCTGTGAACGTTTGACGTTAGCGACTCATGCTTGCAATACGAGAATTCAATTTTGAAGCAAGTCAAGGCAAACCAGGTAGGCATCGTAGATTCAGAGTTTAAAAAATGTAATCAGACAAGGGCCAGCAGGCTGTCCAATGTGATTCAGAGATAGAACAATAGATATGTAGAACATCATGTACGATGAGTAGGAGAAGGGGGGTAGCAACACATTGTGGTTTTTTAACTTACAGCATCCTTGGAAGCATCAAACGCACTGGAGGCGACCTCCACCGTGGCACCGCCACTGGCAGCTTTCATCTCCAACTCTAGAGCCTTCACCGCGTCTGCGTTGATATCGTAGATGGCCACCTTGTCGCTCGGCTTCAATTTGGATTGCAGATTCTTAGCCATTTGATAGCCCTATCATCACATTGTCAGCCAGGCGTCCATGAGCCGGAATATATCAGCTCTAACCTACCATCTGGCCCAAGCCAATGAACCCATAGTTATCCAATCGCCTGGTCGTGCAGGAGAAGTATCGTCTTTGTGCTATGCGCGACACAGGAGCAGCGGCTGTAGCCACGCGAGCTGCGACAATTGCTCTCATCTTGGAAGATAGGATACGACAATGGATAAGCTCACGACAAACAGCTTCATCGCAGACAGGCTCTGGGGAATGTGGCCCTCACCCCAGAGAGTATGTTATGATGTATGCGGGGGGCGCCCGGCGCCATACGCCTTTAACCGAAAATGCCGGCCATTACCGATGCAAACCTTCGGGGCGCGGGAGACAATTCCAGCAGATCTGTGTCGACGCTTTTGGCTTTTGGGGTGCATTGTCATGCGGAGAAATCTGCCGTGGGCACTCGGAGTTGGGGAAAACTACCTCCAGGTGGCTTAGCCCTTAGACTGAGCCACGGCGGTTAGTGTCGTGTGGCTGAGAAAATATGTACATACTGACAACACTCTACCCCTGACTTAATCAATAGACGCTACTCTTCAGTTATTAATGACTTGTCAATTGTGCTTGGCCTTGGAATTCTGCGATACGTACATCAATAAATCTATTGCCGGATGACTTGCAAAGGCGGGACAAAAGCCGGCGTTCGCTCCTTTCCATACGACTAAATATGACAATCTGGGATGGACATGGGCGTACTCCCCATGATACTATTGAGACCATTCAAGCCAGCATCGCAATGATCTTTTGCCTCCCATGCCTCTGCATTGTTGCCTGCAACAAGGTCAAACTCCCATCATCCAGAAAAGAGGCGCCCGCTGAAGCAGACTCATCAACATCTCGAAAAGATAAACCATAACCCCATACAAGGCAGAAAAGGTTCTCCCAGCCAGCCATACTAAGACAAAATCATAGGGCCTGGCTCCCGATTCCGTTGAACTAGGCCCTAGCGACCACATAGGGTTCGGTTGTGTCCTGGTATCCAAGAGGGGAAGTACGACGGCAGCAGACTCAAAGCACAAGCAATCCAGGATCTAGGAATGAGAAAGGCCGTTACTGCTAAGGACATCTGACGGAACTGCCGATCATATCTCATGGTTTAAAACCAATTTTGGAATGGGCCTCATTCAACAGCAGCCTGTCAGCGCCAACAGCTCGTCCTCAAAAAAACGACGACAGCAATCGTAACTGCGCAAGTATAGCAATAGGAACACTTATCCATAATGGCCTCTGAGGATGCAATCTCCAAAGTACTATCGCTTGTGGTTCCGCTCGCTTTTACAGCAGCGAGGGCTGCCAAAGTTTCTGATTAGCCAGTACAACAAGTACTATATTTGTGCCGTTGAGGGGGCACTATATACTTCAAATATTCCAACTATATAAGTCTCGCCTCAACTCTTTGCTTCTTTGCGAAGTATGGCTAGAATTCTCTTATAGCCCTTCCTCTCCGCAGCCTTGATCGCACCCCCATCAGCATGAACTATTGCACCTCCTTCGAGAAGCAATCGAACAATTCCTTCATAGCCTTGTTCCGCTGCTGCCTGGATGGCGTTTTCCTCTTCACTGCCAGCGTTCACATCGGCCCCGCTGTTGAGTAGCATTTGCACGATGTGCTTGTGCCCTCCAATAACAGCCGCTCGTAGAGCTGTGTGATACTCGCCTCCTCGCGCATTAACGTTGGCTCCTCTGGCCAGCAGCAATGATACAAGCTGGCCCTTGCCGGAAGAAGAAGCTGCTTGTAGCGCATTGCCATGTAAGCCACCAGCCGAATTGACGTCCGCCCCTGCGTCAATAAGCATGTTCAGGATGTCAGGGGCAGCTCCTGATCTTGATGTCCATCCATTGCAACACGCGGCTTGCAAGGCATTTCCGTACTCTCCGCCTTGGGCATTGACATTGGACCCTTTATCTAACAGGAATCTAACCATTTGCCTCGTATAGCTATTGGATAATACGACAGCCTGCAACACCGTGCCGTATTTTCCGCCTTTTGCGTTAACATCGGCCTCCATTCCAACCAGATACTCAATGTACTTTGATTTAATGCAACAAGCGGCTGCTTGTAGAGGGTTTCCATACATTCCGGCATGCGTGTTGATTTCGGCCCCATGTTGTATAAGTAGTTGCATGAGGGGTCTGTTTCCAGACAAAGCCGCTGCCTGGAGTGCGGTTCCTAACTCGCCTCCAGAAGCATTCACATTTGCCCCCTTTTCGATAAGCAACATGGCGATGTCCACAGCAATGTTCATACCAGAGCTACGAGCCGTCCCGACAGCTTGCAAGGCGTTTCCGTATCGCCCGCCTTGCGCATTAGGGTCTGCGCCCCTGTTAAGCAGCAACTCCACGAAACTCTTCTGCTGCTTGTAACAAGCCAATTGCAAAGGACTCCCGTACTCGCCGCCGTGGGCGTTCACATTGACTCCTTTGTCAATCAGGAGGCTAGCAAAATGTATCTTCAGGGCCTGCGGAGCATCACCAGCAGAAACCGAGTACAGCATGCCGATATCATCTGAGCCACTAGTGAACACATCCGCACCCAGATCAAGCAGCCGCTCCACAATTTCTTGATTCCTTCTGCCCAAGGCACGGCGTAGAGCGTTTCCAAGTTCTACCGGGCTCCATTTCGAGCTGTCCTTGAGCAATCGTTCCACAACGGAGAAAACATCTGCTGATAAAGCGGCATCCAGAGCTGTATGAAATATCCTTCCCCGTAAGTGAGGATTTGCACCTTGGTCTAGAAGTTCATGAGCAACCTGCCCATGGCCGCCGTTGAGAGCCGCATGAAGGCCGTTTCCAAAACGGCCTCTGCGCGCATTCACTCGCGCCCCCTTTTTGATCAGCAATTGTACCGTTGAAAGCATCCCGTTCTTTGCTGCCTTGTAGAGGGCAGAGGCTCGACGCTTCTCCCCCTTTTCTGTCTCGTATCGGTCCCAAAATTGGGCTTTTTGTGGTAAGAACTCATCTGCCTCATCATAGTCTGATTCATCACTATCTTGGTTCTCGTCGCTCTCATCCGCATCAATACGAGCGCCATGATCAAGCAACAGCTCCACAATCTGATCGTGGCCATAGGCTGCCGCCGCTTGGAGAGGTCTAGGGAGCTTTCCGTGTGCCATGTTTGGATCGGCGCCATAATCAAGCAAACTGCGCACAAGCTTCACTTTGCCCTCGCTAGATGCCCAACTGAGGGCGGAAGAATAGTGTCCTGAAGGGGCATCAATGTTGGCGCCGTGATCCCGGAGCAGGTCAGCAATACCTATGTGACCATTCTGAAGGGCAGCTAGGAGGGGATTTCCGGCGTTGACGTCTGCGCCCTTAGCAAGGAGATTTCGTACCACGACGTCATGACCATGACTTGATGCCTCGTAGAGTGCGCTGCCATCCAAGCGGCCGTATAGATTAATGTCAGCTCCAGCATCAAGGAGCAGTTGAATAACCTCTAGGTGCCCTTTTGAAGACGCGATGATTAGTGCCGTGCCATGATCCACGCTCCATGCATCAACATCAGCTCCATGAGCAAGGAGACGCTCGACCAGTTTCCCATCTCCCAGTTTGGCTGCCGCGTAAAGGGGGGTGGGAGATTCGTATCTTCCTGGACATGCTTTGTTCGCACTGGCATTCGCTTCTAGTAGGGCATCCACAACCCTCCAATGCCCTTTCATCACAGCAACGTGAAGCGCAGTTCCGTTGGTTCCACCATCAGAATCAACGTCAGCTCCTGCATCAAGAAGCTTTTGAACAATTTGGAGATGTCCTGTTGCAGATGCACATTGCAGAGCAGTCCCGATCTGAGAGCCTCCATCGATGTTTACATCGGCGCCAGCTGCTATCAGTGTTTGGACGATGTCATCATGGCATTTTGTAGACGCTGCTGCCAAGGCACTACCATACTTGCCTCCTTTTATGTCGATATTGGCACCGTGATCAATCAGTAACCTGACAATACTCTCATGGCCAGAATAGCTAGCTGCTTGCAATGCGGTGCCATACTCGCCTCCTTTTGAGTTCACATCAGCGCCGTGAGTAATGAGCAGAACTGCGATATTCTCATATCCGAATGAGCTGGCTGTCTGCAAAGCACTACCATACCTTCCTCCTTTTGAGTTGACATCGGCACCGTGATCGATCAGTAACCTAACAATATCTTCATACCCATAGAAGCTGGCGGCTTGTAATGTGCTGCCATCACCTCCCTGGATGTTCACATCGGCGCCGTGATCGATGAGTAGCGTGACAATATTCTCATGTCCAGCCCTGATGGCTACATGTAGTGCTGTTCCCGCCGTTCCGCTCGTAGAGTTGATGCAAGCACCGTTATCAATGAGCAGTTGGACAATCTCTTCATTGTCTTGCTGTGCAGCGGCTTGCAGAACACTTCCATGGTGATCCCAGTCCGAGAAGTTCACGTTCGCACCGTTTTGTATCAACGCTTCAGCGAGACTCTCGAAGCCTTGCAGGCAGGCGAGTTGCAGGATTTCCCCCTTGGCTTCATCTTGAAGGTCGTATTCAGAGCCGATCAACTTCTCGGCGATCTGCAATTGGTCTCCTAATATTGCCGCTTTTATGATAGAGTGGCTCCTAGTGGCTCCTCTGTCAAGGAGCAGGTCAACAATCTCCTCGTGTCCTTGTCTAGCCGCAATCCCAAGAGGGCTCGATCCACCTTTCCCTTGGAGGTTGATGTCTGCGCCGTGGTTCAGAAGTAATTCAACTAGCCCAAGGTGGCCGCTGGACGCTGCGGCCATGAGAGCATTCCATCCCAATTCTGACTCGAAGGCGTCGATCTCGGCATTTTTTGCAAGCAACATGCGCGCCATTTCAATATTCCCGTGCATAGAAGCAAAAACCAAAGGTGGGGAAGTGTGATGGTTGACCCCTTGCCCATGCTGCAGAAGCAGTTCAAGAATCTCTTTCATGCCATGGACACATGCCTCAGCAATTGCAGGTCTAATATAGTCCTTCCCACCTTGGACATTGACTGGTGCACCCGATTTGAGAAGGAGCCGTACGATATGCAGATGGCCGCCTATTGTTGCTGCTGTGAGCGCACTGCGTCCATCATTGACGTAGAATTTCGCACCCTTGTTTATCAGCACCTTTACTATTGCCTCATGGTTGTGTAGCGAGGCTACCATCAGGGGAGTTGCACCCGGTCCTGCACCGTCGTGCTCCAACCCAGCCCCACGGGCCAGCAGAAGTTGAACCATCTCGAGATTCCCGCGCTCTGCCGCAAGATAGAGGGCACGATCCAGGTTAAGGTCACCCGTGCCCATATCAAGCAATCTCGCCAGCAAGGCGGAACTACCATAATTTGTAGCCGTCGCGAGAGCTGAGTTAGCCGGCCAGTAGCCTGCATGAATGTTGGCGTTGCGGTTTAACAAAACGTCGACAACTTCTCTGTGATTACCTTGCAAGGCACACATCAGTGCATTGTCATTCGGTCCACCTTGAACATTCACATCTGCACCAGAATCGAGAAGGAGCTTCACTATGGCTAAGTGGCCATGACGGGCTGCTCGCATGAGGGGCGTCCTTCCACGGTCATCCTTGGCATTGAGTTGAGGAACCCTCGCCTCATCGCCGTCTTCATTGCTGCCCATTTGAGATGACAGGATCTCGTGGGATAGCAAATACAAACCAAAGCGTGATGTCAAGTGCAAGGCCGTTGTGTTCATAGCCACCCCACCGCCCGGATGTCCCGTCCTTTCTGCCACTTGAGCAACTGCATTAACGGAACCATCATATTGCAAGAAGCGGAATGCAAGATGAAGCACCTGATCTTCAACCATTAGGACGTGAATGGCCCAGTTTTGTGCCAAGTATGGCAACAGCGGATAATTCTGGATCCTGGCGTCAATATCACGCCCCACAGTATAACCTCCATCACGAAATGCATCATATGCCAAGTACGTCAAGCACATCGACGCAATTTCAGTCTCTGCTTCTGGAATCCACTTGCAGCGTGTTCTTTCCAAGTACTCCTGTGTGGTGTAATGCACGAGACGTACATTCTCGCTATGTTTATCAAGAACCACGAGCCCGAAACAGACCGAGATAACTTCCTCAATGGATGGGATATTATCCTCATCCAAGTCATCCGTCTCAAGCTCGATAGCAAGAGCACTGCATAGTTCTTCGATACTCAGTTGCCGTTGAGCATAAGAAACCCAGGAGATTGCCTGTTTTGCCAATTTTATCTGCTCCGGCGACTGTCCTTCGATTCTCTGAATAGTTAGTGCGTATGCTTGATCATACACTCGATCGAACTCGGAGCTTTCCCGAGACTCGGGGGATATGACTTCCAGAGACTTGATTACTTCTTTCCGTCGAGTCAAGCCTTGAACCCACTGGACATATAGGCAAGCCAGGAGAAACCTTGGACTGATTTAGCACTCCATCCCTCAGAGTTCTCTTCGATAAGACTTACATTCCATCGGCTGCATCTGCCACGCCATTTTTTATTTGGGTGGTGAGATTCTCGTCTCTTCTTATCCAAGCTCTCCAGGAGACGTGATCGAGATATTGCTGGAGATCCTCACGGCTAGCCCGGATTTCTAGCATGGACTCCGGCTCAAACCTCTCCGTGATCTCTGGAATAGATCGAGAGGTAATAAAAACCCGTAGATTCGCTTCTTCCTGTAATTCTTCGACTGCATTTAAGAGCTTTGCATATGTTTCGTTCTTGTCCATGGCTTCGTCCAGAGCATCTATCACCAGATAGAAAACTTCATGTTCCCGAACCATAGCCTTCATCATATGCATTATGTCTTGAAACAATGGTCTGCCTTTTTCCTTGTCCTCGTAGACCTCCAGAACGGCATCTGGCACAGTTTCTCGGGATTGCAGAAGCTGTCGAAGAACTGCAGAAATCAGAGTGCTGGGGTTCTGGCTTACACCATCTGTATAGCTACAGTAGATATAAGCCACAGGTGTTGTATTGCTTTTTCTAGTTCTCTCGAGGTGATCAATCACCGTTGTAGTCATGATTGTCTTCCCGGCGCCTGGACTCCCGTAACAAAACAGGGTGTTACTCCCTTGGCCTTCAACCCAATTTTTGAATTTGGGGTCTTCCAGAAACCATGTTCCAGTGTCTTTCTGTCGTTTTTCCAAATAGTCATAGTATTGTGCTGTGAAGTCCGTTGATGAGGACCACTGAATAATATCTTCTCGTAGCTGTTTGGCTTGCATCTCAATCTGAGCTGCCTCGGACGACAGCAGAATTTTCTGACCATCTTCTTTGATTTGCTGGGATGTTGCGAGCACAATGGCGTTGACCAGGCCATGTTCCTCCTCAAAAAGTCGTTCCAGTTCATCAAATGCTTTTGTGATATTCTCGTCGTGACCTAGAAATAATGCCTTTGTATATTTCTTCAGCTTTTTCGTCTTCATGATCATTTCCGAGCAAGCTAGAATCTTCAAGAAGCAGGCAAAGACCTTGACGATGTTCTTCTTGAGGGGCGGAGAAACCTCCCCTTTGATATACTCATCAAGACGGTCTGTATATCCTTCCAGTTTTCCGAACAGCTCTTCTATGTACTTGTATGACTGGGCGATATCCCCAGCCGCTTGGAACATGAATAATGTTGCCCCAATGATAGGAGAAGCAAGGTAGAACGGAGAGGCGGCATGAGAAGTGGATGTTCGCTCCGACAACCTCATGAAGGGCCGTATCGCGGCATTCACTCTGTTGAGGATCTTCTCATCGCTGCTTGTGAAGCTCTTGAATTGGCTTTGGTGCTTCTGGAGATGCTTTCGTAAGTCCTCTGGGTCGCAGATCCGCCTAAAGACCTCGCGCTCTGGAGTGGTGCGTTTAGTGGTGGCATGATAAGTTTCGATAGCCTCTTCCCATATCTCGTCAAAGTTGACATTTTCCGACATATTTCGGCATTAAGAAGCTCTTCGACGCGAAATGCCAGTCAGGGAATAGATGTTTGCTGGAGATGGCAGTGAGGCTCGACGTCAGCCTGACTGCTAATTGTGGCTCCTCACATTGTGGCAGGCACGACCAAGCCTGCGCCTGACCAGGGTGAGATAAGCAACAACGTACTCTAGGTGCCTGGGTACTTTTAAAATCTACCATAGAAAACAAACAGGGTAGAATTAGGAGATTATTATTCAAGCAAGCAATGAATTTTCTAATCATATCTCTTCATTTGTCGATAATCAAGTTGCCTAGGTACTTTATATAGCACCTGCTCATCCTACGTCTCCACCATGGCACCCATGTCGCATATGAGAGTCGCATCCAACCACCTCAAACCTGCCAAACGTCGACGTCCAACTCCAGGCCAATTCCCTAGGTCATCGCAATGGGCAGCCTCTTCCACTAGAGTATGCCTAACTCCTCGAAATGAGCGAAAGCATTCCCGGCCACAAACATTCAACTCATTCAAGATTAGGTGGTGCAGATTTGAAGAGGAAACGCCAAAACAGCACTGCCAGCCAAACATCGTCAGAGCCTAAGGTGTGTTTCCACGTCGGCAACGAATCGCGAGAAACCTCTCAGGGTTCGTTTCTCTCATATATCTGGAATACCGGCCTTGATTCCAGCTGCGTCTCTTGCGGGGAGCCTTTCCAACCTGGCAAGGATGTTCCAATACGGACGGTTGGGCTGGAAAGAAACAGCCCTTTGCGGCCGTCCGTGATAGATATCACCCAAGATCCCATCTCGCCCTGAAATCTCCGAATATTAACCGACATTTCGCCTGTATCAAGACTAACAAGGTAACCTATATACCAATCTCGCACGCATGGCACGAGAGTGTCGCAGCCGCACAGGATACTCGTACTGAAAGCATCAACGTTGCTCGGATCGTTTACCAGACACCGGTCAAAACTCTCCTTGCACTTGCAGGAGACTCCCCAGACTGCGAGATATGGCATGACTACGTAAGCGTGCCGCAATGGCGCGCCGATATTCAGAAGCAACTCCTACTTAGTATTCCAGAAATATACAACCACGCCACAAAGACTGCCATTCACTTGGATGACGTGAAATCGGTACATATAATTAATCAGGCCAAAAGCTCGCCATATAACAGATTCATCGTCGACTTCACAACCATAATCAAATCAAGATGGTTCGATCGCATGTGGGTTGCCCTGGAATACATCCGCAGCAAAGACGTCGTTATTCTTACGGAGGACTACACGGTATGCGAGCACAATGCGAGGGACTTGTGTCTCCGCTTAGAGGCACTACATTCGAAATGGGTGAAGCAGCGAGGTAATTCCGACGTGACAGAGGAGATATGGAAGCAGAACACAACCCTCAAAAGAATGAATTCATGGATAGACATGGAAGCATGGAAGAACGACAAAGGAATGTACAGGACCCTTGGATGGGCTATTGGGATACTGGGCCATCGGCAGTGTCGACGGTCCAGGGATTATCTTCTGGCCCTTGGGAAGATGTTGGATTTCGTTCCCTCGAAAGATCCTCTTATTCTCGTCGAAGATCGGTTCCAATACTTTCTATCTCTCGCTACGCATGCGCTACTACTCGGAGACTACACGCCTTTGCTGTTTATACCACCTCCAGCTGAGAAAAGGGATGGCCGTGCACCATGGCTGCGTGGATACTCTACAGCAGGTTGGAAAGTCTGGGACTTGGGTCGATGTCACCGGAAGACGACGTATGATTCAATCATCAGAGATGGCAGAGTCCAGCCCACTCTCGAAACGGTGGGTGTCATTGAGCGGTTTGAATACTTCGGCTTTGAAGGAGAAGCTCGATCGGTCGTCGATCACGTCCTATCCAAGACAGTCAGAGCCCAAGGTCGGGATCCCAAAGCTCTCTGTGAGGCCATGGACCGCATCTTTCCACTAGACAAGAGGGAAGGTGTAAACATGGACTGGAAAGACACTGAACAAGATCATGCCGAGATATACGACTTACACAAGATACAATGTATTCTAGAAGAATACGGGTCTTTCCTAGATGCCGAGGTGGGACAGGAAGCAAGCATTCAGAGATTAGAGATAGTGAAGAAGATTACAACAGTTTTAAAACTCAATAAGAGAGTGAATTATGCAAAGGAGTCCCGCCTAGATATGGCAGCAGGGGAGGCAGGCTGGTTTCTGAGGGAGTATGGAAAAGCGATGGAGGGGATCAGCCAAGTAAGCTACAAAATCTGTGGCCGGCGATCCATGTTTCGAATGACTGTATGGGAGGAACCGAAACCAGATGCTGCACAACTCTACAGAATCCCTGGGCTTTTGTGCGATGATACACTGCCGGAGGGTATTGGGGCCGTGGTCCAAGAGAACAGGGTGCTCGGCAAAACGATGTATGCAACACCTGCCTGTGCGTGTGGCCGGCTGGAGACGGTTGAGCTTGGCTCAGAAGGGCTGTAAATCTGTAAATCTGTCTTTGAAATATACTGTGTTCAAGAATAAGCCCTCCTAGCATGCGTCGACGCGACGCGACACCACAACAACAAACATTATTATTAGGATCTCCAATAATCCTTCTACTGGTTTTGAAAAAAGATGGAAAATTTTACGGCATTGATGAGAGTTAGATTTGCTCGAGTATTCCACCAGAACACAATAACTAAAACTGTAGGCGTAGGATAAGAGATGGTCGTAACCGACTATAGGGTAGCTGGATCATGGAACGATACTTCTCGTTTGAAATTTGTACGTCTCGATAATGGCTCCAGCCGCGACCTCCATTCCTCACAGCATCACAGAATGAGCAGGCAAGTTTCAAGCAGGGTTTCAACATAAGTATAAATAGTAGCAAAAAAATCTTTTCACTACATTCTCAGATAGAATTTCTGACTATCGTGGCTGTTTTTCATCACGCTTCTGCGCTTTGACCTCAGCCGGCAGGCCGTGGGCTTGCTGAGACTAATTCTCAGCTCTGGGAAGTCTCTGTGCTTCACCACAAATACAAAAGAAAGCGACAACGGCCGCGGCCTTTCTCAAAAGGCTTCCAGTTTCATCCAGGAATGGTGATCGTTAAAAATCAAAAGGAGGGAGTTGATTAGAGGGTTAGAAAAAGGTGTGAGTGCGATCAAAACATCTGTGCTGACGGTCGAAGGGTTGACGGTGATAGCGAAGGGGTATGTCCAACATAAAAAGTAGATACTAAAAAGGGTGTAGGGATGATATCCAGGGTGAGGGCAGTGAAATGAAGATCTCACCCCGGGTGGGAATATGGGAATATAAAAAAACAAAACCGAAACCAACAAAACAAAAAAACACAAAATCCTAATACATGAAGCGCCGTTCCAAGCCTTCCTTCTCTACTCCGCATCCTCCCTATCTCCTACAATACCACGGTCTCTCATGTTTCTTCCATTCTTAGATGCCGTAAAAGTAAAGTCGTAGTTTTGTTTTATGAACCCTGTTCTACAGGAAGCTGGTGAGCCATGGGACAAGAGCGCTGCACAGTAAGTTAGCAATCCATTCTAGTATTTAAGATGAACGTAAATGCGCTGGTTCCAGCACTCGACTTCGACTTACCCCACTGCCACCGTGGCTCCAATACCCAATAAAGCCCTGTTCTTGACGCGTGTTTTTCGGAGCTCAGTTTCGGTCTTGACCTTCTTCGCTCTGGGTTCTTCCTCTTCATCCTTTACCACCGTCTCTTCAGACGTGGTCTCGTTCTTGCCGGCAGCCTGCTCGCTCTTCTTCTTCTTCTCCTCCTCTTCTTTATCTCCGAGGGAGATGTCCGCGGCCTTGCGCTTGGACTTCTTGCCAGTTTCCTTGACCTCGACCGGCTTCTCTTCAACGGCCTCATCCTCTGGCTGCGTCTGTGCCTCCTTCTGCCCCTTAACCATCTCCTTGGCGGATTGGATCATAGCGGCAATCTCTGCTGCGCTGGGCGGTTCACCAGCTGAAGGCAGAGGTAGCTCAACCTCTGCAACTGTGTGCTTGGTTTCGACGCCCTTACGGTTCTTCTTGACCTCCTCATCAATGTGCATCTTGAGCTTGGGATCCTCCTCTCTGGGCTCCAGAGTCACTTGAGGGTCAAACTCAGTTGTGGTGAGCACGATGTCCTCGTGCTTGGTGCCCTCGGCATCTCCGTTCACCTGGGACTCCTTCTCATTCACAACCTCCAAGATCTCAGCCTTGGCCCGGACAGTTCGCTTTCGTGGCGACGCAGTGGATCGCCTCGTGCTCTTTGTTGGGCTAGCGCTCCTGCGAGAGCGGGTAGAGCGGCTGGGAGTGGGAGGAGCTAGAACGGTCTTGGGAGCATCGGCAGCAGGCTCGAACTTGGGAGGTGCCGAGATGCTGGGAGGCGCAGAATCAGGGTTGTTGCTGGTAGGGTGGATGACGGCGTTGTCAAGCAAAGCGCGGATCCAGATACCAATGTTGTACTCCTCGGCCAGAGCCAGAGCTTGGTCCGGAGGAATCCAGATGTTGCCGGCAGTCTCCTCGGGACTCGTAGTAGGGAGAGACTTGATGAATTTGCGCTCAATCTCCTCGTCCGAGGCCTCGGCATAGGGAAACGTGGCCTTAAACATGCCGGTCGCAGAGATGTAGCCGTCAAAGCTTCGCCTCATCAAGAAGTAGCTGTTGGGGCTCGACTTGAAGATGCCAGACACGATTCCCTTGGGGAGAGGAGCGCGCAGATGGGCGTAATCGAAGGCCGATCCGAGGCTGGCCTCGCCCTCTTCTCCGCTTGCGCTGACCATCTTCGGGGTCAGCATCGTCTGGCCCAATCGACGACGGGAAACGAGATCCTCATCTAGGTGCAAGTGTTAGCAGACGCATTCGGAGACAAACTAGGAGGGTGCTGTTGGCAATTACAGTCGTGAGTCGCGTCGACCATCAAGGGGTTCGACTTTTTCGGGAGCGAACGTGTGGGAGCCATCTCGACGATATTCGTGAAGTCGCAAGCCACGGGTGAGCAGGAAGTGAGTGCAGGAGCAACGATGACACTCTCCGCGAGTCTGGAGAGCGTGCGACGAGTAGTCTCGGATATCTGTACATAAACAAGGAAGCGCAATCAGCCTTTTGCTGCCTTCGTCGCAATCGATAGGAGTTCGGTGGGTCGCGTTTCGAGGCGCCTTACAGCAGGGAGATGGATTCGTCAATGACAGTAGCAAGAGGGAGCCTCAAGACTGTCAAGACGCGACAGCAAGTTGTGCGATCTTTCAGAGGGGAGGGCGTCGGCCAGCAAAATTGATGGACGGTAATAGCCTTCAGAATGAAGAGGGAGGATAATCAGAGCGTCGCGATGGAGGGCGTGAAGTTCGCGCAAATTAGGCCTTGGGCTTAGCGCCGTCTGCCCAGCGGGCTTTTCTGGGGATCCATCTGATTTAGGGAGGTCCAGGGTACGAGCCGTAGGTACCTAGGTACTTGCACTGGCCCCGCCTGATGGACAGTACAAATTTCTGCAGTGCTCCGCCGGCGAGATGCAAAGTCAATTTCATCTCTTGGCACGAGCGCTGGTTGGCTGAGCACGGGGTGCCATCTGATGCTATGTATCTGGCCATTCCGTCCACTCCAGACGGGACCCTTGCACGTAAAACTCCTTTGGGTGGCCACCATGAACCCTCCCTCCCACTAGGTTCCCTTCCCTCCCTCCCCCAACAATCCCGCCCGTGCCCTTAACCTGGACTGAGCTTTGGGACACTACCCGACTGACTAATGAGGGTTCATTAGCAGTGCTTTGATAATGGCAACCAAAATTAGGTGCGGTGCCATAGCTGCCGAGAAACGTGCTGGGCAGGGTTCAGGTTTCTGACTGCAAATCCTCTGGTGATGTGCCCCTCCCACCGTGCTCCCTTTTTCCTTTTCCGCTTCTCTAGGTAGATGCCACCTCCATCGTCTCGAACACACCTGAGTCGCTCTCGTCCTGACCGCCTGGCGAATAGCATCAGACCAAGTTGCAGACCCATATTTCCCTAAGAGCTATCAATTACCCCACTACGGAGTAGTGTAGTAATGAATCAATTAGTGAGCTACAGAGCACAGTGCCCCCGTGTTGTGCCTCGCGCTCATCCAGCAACGGGCTTTTTCTGGCTTAGCTCGGCAAATGCCAACTCTGGCGCTGCCATATTAGGCGTAGCACAGCATGTAGGGTAGCTGAGAAGGACAATAGGGGAGGGGCCTAAAGCAGGTCCTGACAGACCGCAACGGCAACCGACCGAAGATCCTTTGCAAGACGTCTTGCTTGCCTACATACCTTACCGAGAATGCAGGGCCAGTGCCAGTAATCCGGATCCCTTGATTACTGATCTTGCCTGGGAGAGTAGATAGGCAGGCACTGCAGGGTATCTATAAGTAGGTTGCGGCGTACCGACACTGCACGCTACCTACCAATGAGTATCGTCGTACTTTGGATGCGGAGTCAGCCTTGGTAGCGGTTCTAAAATCCTCCAAGCAGTGGCAGCAGTCAGCATCTTCCCTTTTTGGCACTACCGTTGAGAGGTCCACCGCAATTTATAGGTACGGGAGGCAGAAGGCAAACATCGTACTTAGCTAAGGCGGCGAAGGAAGCAGTGAAAGCAAGCAGATGCCAACGGCAAGCCACTCTGTAACGTCTTGCTGAGCCATCGAGATAGAAGGATATTTCCCATTCCTCTCGGAAATCAATATAAAATATACAGTTTCCAACGTCATCTTGGGCATGTTTATGGACACCGCCCGATTGCGTTGCTGTGCCTCCGCACCAAGGTCCCTTTTCCAACGGATTGCTCACCTCACCCAATCAATGCACGAAATCGATACCCCACCGTGGGTAAGATGGACTCGAGCTGGCCTGCCCCTCCATCATCACCGCCGCGCAGCTCTCCCTCTCCTCCAATCTCGAACGACTTCGCATCTTCAGCCTCATCCACGCTCTGCTTTTTCCTGCCATTGACTGCCTCTCCCACCCAGTGCACACAATCAGCTTTCCACAATGGCGTCCCACGAAGATGATACCATGCCCGAGGAGACTCAGGGCTACAAGCTCTCCCAGCCCAAGCAGAGCTTGGCCCAGTACCAGCAGATGGGTATGTTTATTTCCAGTCCATTCGCCATCAGCCTACCAAGACCGGATTCGCATCTGGTTTTATGTTACTCTATTCTGCCTGCACCTCTACAGAAGTCCAAAAAGGCTTGATTCTTTACAATGTTTACTCCCACGATGCCCCGGCCCCTCAATCATAGCTCCAGGCGCACTCGCCGCCATTCATGCCGCCTCTTGCCCAACAACCACCAACAACTGACCACTCCAAACAGACGCCGGCGATGAGTCCCTCCAACGGTACAAGGAATCCCTCGGCCTGAGCGGCGGCACCAGCATCTCCGACCCCAACGACCCCCGCGTCTGCATCATCCTCGCCCTGACCATGGACTCCCCCGGCCGGCCCCCCGTCACGATCGACCTCTCCCGGCCGGGCAGCGAGAAGAGCCTCAAGGACAAGCCCTTCAAGATCAAGGAGGGCGCCAAGTTCACCATGAGCGCCACCTTCAAGGTCCAGCACGAGATTCTCAGCGGCCTGCACTACGTCCAGGTCGTCAAGCGCAAGGGCATCAAGGTCTCCAAGGACTCCGAGATGATCGGCAGCTACGCCCCCAGCACCGACAAGCAGCCCACCTACATCAAGAAGTGTAAGAATGCTAACCGTGATTGCTGATTTTTTGAGTTCCCGAGTACTAACTCGTCTTCGACAGTCCAAGAAGAGGAGGCCCCCTCGGGCATGCTCGCCCGTGGCCACTACAACGCCATTTCCAGCTTTGTGGATGATGATAAGAAGAAGCACCTCGAGTTCGAGTGGAGCTTCGATATTGCCAAGGACTGGTAAGAGACCGCACGCTCATCTGCGTTTCTCTGGGTCCCGAGGTGTCACGAGATATGACTTTTCTACGGAGAGTGAATGGTGGTCAGTTGTCTTTCGAGAAAAAGAATTAGCACATTTTGTTTCATAAGTAGCTAGCATCACTCAAAAAGTGAATATTGAATCCCAAGTTATACACAAATTCCCCCAGCTGTCGGCTATCTGCAGGCGAGGTTACCCAGGTCATATATTTGGGTCTTGGTATCATACAATTGTAGTTTGTCTCTGATATTTATCAACATAGCGTCTGCCCCCGTCTATAAGCCATTATAAAAAGTAGTCCGGTAGTGCATTGCCATCCTCTGCTCTCTCGCCACCAAGCTGTAAATCTTTATGTTGGTCGTTCTCTGGTGCAGCCGCAAAAACATTGAAGAACCGTTCGCCGTTGAGGCCAACTTCTAATACGCTAGCCATGTTGCCACAACGGTAGCAGTAGTTGGGGGCGCTCCAAACCGTGCTGAGGCGATCGTCGTATAGGATCTGGAAGCCTTCCTGGCATAGCTGATGAGCGCGAAGGATATGGCCCATGCCGTTCACAGCTAGGAATTTCTTGACCACCTGGGCGCCGAATGTGTATCCCGCACCACGTGGCGACAGGGAAAATTCGTCTCGGTCCGGATCTGGGTCAGACCAGACTAGATCGGCCATGGGCCCTTCGTGAGGAATTTCGCGGAATCGGTCGATAATCTTTATTTGATCGATCGAGTGGATGGAGGGAGAAAGGCCTAATTCCGTAATCAGTTATCACAACGTGGCATGGGCAAGGCTCAAGATGGACAAACCTCCGTGAACACAGAATATTTGGTTGTCGATTACGACGCTGAGCGTCAGAAAATCGAACATATCGGTGAAGTAATGCCACACGTTGGCATTGCCATATTTCCGGGAGCATTCGGTATAGAATCCATATGACTGGGTGACGCCGCGTGACTCGTGGTTGCCGCGGATCAAGTGCACTCGGTTGGGATATCGCAGTTTCAAGCACACTAGGAGGGAAATGGTCTCGACGCTGAACATGCCCCGGTCGACGTAGTCGCCCAGGAAGAGATAGTTTGTATCCGGGCAATACCCGCCGATCTTGAATATCTCTATGAGATCAAAGAACTGCCCATGGATATCGCCGACGACGGTTATGGGAGCTGCGACATGGACTACGTTGCTCTCCCGCATCAGCAGTTCCTTGGTCTTGGCGCATATTGCTTCGATGACGGATTCGGCCAGCAGCTCCTTTTTATATAATCGCGCGATACACTCGTCGAGGTCGACAGATGCTTGGGGAGGGTTAGCGCTGATGCGGTCGAGGTTCCTGTTGGGGAGGCTCACATGGAAGGCTTGGCATGGTGATCAGGATAGGGAGAGGCCCAGCAGAGCTTCTCAAATGTGGTGGATTGTTAGACTCAGCAACAACGCTGCCTGCGCGTCTGCTATCAACCTTTCATTAAGGCTTGTCGGGGTTGACGTTGGTTCTGCTCCAGGCGAAAGCTATGACTGGAGGGGCGCCAGCTGGATGCACCAACATGATCGGTTCAGAACCCAAGAATTTTCACATGGACGCTGCAAAGCAGGCTGGCGGTGGCTTGTATCCCGTACAGTGGACTGCGAACTGCGGCTCGACGTTCAAGCTGTGCGTGTACAGACACAGGCGAGGTGATGGCGGATGGGCAATAAGCTCTCGTGTGTTCTACCAGGGAAGCGACACGGCAAAAGAGATTCTAGCCTTCCATGGCGGGCTGCAGGCGCGGTGTACCTGCTTGCCCTCCAAGGCTGGCAGCCCTCGGAAGTACCTCCTGCCAGCGCACTCGGCGTTAGATTGGCTCGCCACCTACAAGCTGGCCCCATGAAGATTTATCAGCAGACGGATATTACGACGGATGGCTGGCGTGCACTCTGCAATGAACGATGGCTCTTTTACGCAAAAGATGAATTTGGACAGATACTATAGCTATCAGATGCAGAACGTGAGGGTCGTAATCTGCTGTGCAGCATCAGCCACAGGGCCGTACAACGGTGCTGGCCAAGGGTGCCGTATTGGGCCGTTGCTCAGGAATTAAGCTTCCACCCCAACGCACCCGAGGCAGAGGCCCAACTGCCGCCTGTTCAAGCAGCCGGACTCGGCGTGCCACAACTGTAGCTTGGCGGCCTGCTGGCATGCGAACGAGATCGGCAAGCTGCCATTGCTGGACTTGTCAGTTCGTGGGGAGCAGAATGGTTCGTCGCCGTCTTGCGCTGCGGTACGCCAGAGGTACTTCCAGGTACTGGAACCGGTACAACCAGGCACCAACTGGCTCGGCAGATGCTCGGGTGTTCTCGCTATTCGCTGCCTGGTACGGCGGAGCGACGGCCATTTCAGCGCTGGCAGTGATGCTGTGGTCCGTGCGTCTGACGTCTGACTAAGTGGTTCGCGATGTACCACAAAGTGCTCCGAGGTGAAACTTTGGCCATCGAGTTTCCTGCCAGGTCCGGCGCCTAGGGTCAATCGCATTTTGCTCTCGAGGCCCATTCAATGAGGCGACAATAAGAGCCTCTTTCACAAGGCCATTTGGGGCTTTGGAAAGAGGCTATTGAACACACCAGGCTGGGCGGTTGCGCGTGCATTGAGAAGGTAATTCCGCTTGTACGCCCCATTGCAGCATGTGTGAGTTGTTCGACTGACCTCAATGCCAATGCTAATGCAGCTTCGACGACGGCCGGCCGACGACGACTGCGTACGGCTGTCAGTCCTGTGTGTTGCTGGGGGATCTCACCCAGTCCTCACCCAGTCCTCACCCAGTCCTCACCTTGATCAAAACAAACCGTCTCTCTCTCCTCTCTTCAAAACAAACCTCTCTCTTTCTTCAAAACAAACCCTCAACCTAAATCTCCTTGCATCCTCGTCGTGAAATCCCAGTCATCCTCGACTTTTCACACAACACCTTCAAACCTCTCCCTAACTCCCTACGACTAACCTCCATCCTCGCAACTTGCCTTCATTGTTGCAACTTACCTCCATTCTCGCAACTTTTCGCGTTGCAATTTCCTCCATCTTTGCAACTTTCTCCATCGTTACAACTTTCCTCAGTTCTCGCAACTGACTTCAAGATCATCACTTGACTCAAAGCTCGCATAACAATATGGCGGATCCTCTTGGAGGTCCCCAAAAGCCCGAAGGGGACGATGCCTTGTGCACCAACTGTGGCGAGGCTGGCCACTGGGGTTCCTTTTGCTATAACAAGATCCGTGAACGACCAGCGTAAGTGATTCATCCTCATCATGGGCATGGGAATACAAGCTTATCTGAACTTAGCGCGAGCTCGGCACAAGATGCCCAGAGAAGTGGCAGGGACCGCAACCGTGCCGGGAAGAGACGTCACGCTCCCCCAATCATCAATAGGTACACACGTCCAGGAACGCAGGATAATTCAAACTTTCCACCCCCTGGATTCAACCCGGCGCCTCCAGCGCCATATGCAGCGCAGCCGCCGCCGTGGGTGCCTGCCCCGTCTCCTGCTGACTTGGGTGTCCCTCAATACACCCCTCAGCCTCATTACCCCCAAGGTCAATACCCTCTAGAGTACCCTAATTCATTTCCCGCACCGCCTCTACATCAGTCGTATGGGCCTCCTCCTCCACCTTCAGGGCCGCCCTTGGGGCCGCCACCACCTTTGGGGCCACCACCGGCGTTGCAGGCTCACCAGGGCGGGTTCCAGCATCAGGCCCCGGCTCCGCTTTATCCACAGGTTCCTGATAGCTACCATCAAGTTCCTCAGCCTGTGCACTCGGGACCTCCTGGTTTTACACAAGCTCCTGGAACCTATCCTTCAGTTCCTCAGCCTGTGCACTCGGGACCTCCTGGTCTCACACAAGCTCCCGGTCGTTTTGGCCCTCAATCAAAGCCTAAAAATGTTCCTGGTAGCTCTGATAAGCACCAGTCCAGCGGGGGATCAAACCCGGAAAAGCAGCCAAATCAGGCTCCCCAAAGCAAGCCGCTCACGACGCCAACAGAGCAAAGTGAAGAGGTGGATTATACCCTTCCACAGAAGCCGGTAACAAAGCTTCCTCCTCCATATCAACATCCTGCCCATCTGGTAAACCAGAACAGGCTGGACAAGCGGCGTACTCAGCGAAGCCAGAAGCAGCAAGAGCGTGGCCAGGCCAACCGGGATAAGGGTAACCAGAATGGAGGTGCCAATAACCGGCGAAATTCCAGTCATAGAAAGCAGAATGTATCAAACAAGAGCAACAGTCCACGATTTCGCAAGAGATCCAGAGACGGCGCTCCAGCTGAAGATGCAAAATCGGCTACCAAGACTGAGAACTCGCCGGGTAGACTCGAGGCAGATGATAAGTCCAATGAGGCGTCGACGCCTCGGAAGACTTGTGAAAACGAGCTGCCTACTGAAGGAGGCTCTAGTAATCAAGAAGTTGCAGAGCCCCATGATCAGGAGAAGTCAAAAGTTACAGACCAGCCGAAGGAGAACTCAGACGATGTCAAAGACGCCAGTCTCAACTCCGATAGCGGGGATACAAATAAACTCACACACGATGATCCTGCTGTAGACCTTGCCAGCAAGGATACAGAGTGTGCAGAGACTGTTGAAAATGGCTCTTCTGCCAACACAGACCAAAAACTCTTAGTTGACAAATCTGATGTCAAGCAAGAATGCTCTGAGGAGGCGAATCCTAAGGCACCTCATACGGTGGAGGAGCCAATCGATCGTCAGGAAATGGGACGAAAGCGGAGGCACACAGATGAGGAGGATGAGTCTCCCCAAGATCATCTCATTAAAAGACGGAAGTCATCCGAAGCTGAGGGCCTTGAACCCAAGGAGTCACTCCAGGTGAACAAAATAAACAATGGTCCTCAGTCGTCTGAAGATATCACCTCCCCTGCTCCGCTTGAAGAGCAATTGCCCTCAAATAGGAGAGACTCTATTCTCAGCGGTGGATCCCGGCCTGCATCTAGACGGTCATCAGTCTCCAGTCGATCATCGGGGTTGGACTCGCTTGATCGCGAAATTCTAGGCCGTCCCGCTAAAGGGAAATCGAAGACCGGAAAAAAAGGGAAGAAGTCAGATGGCCGTGGAATTGGCAAGAAGCGCCAGCCCAATGTCAACTCTGCCTATAAGTATGTCCATCCTCGTCTGCCCGTGGAAACAAGCTGCTGATATTTCTCTAGTCGCCGATGGTGAACCCGGTTGATTTCTCCTTTGATCTTCTTTCTTTCTCTTCTTTTTTTTGCACAGCACACACCTTCCTCACACTTTTGAATGTTGCCTTCTTTCCTTGAGTTTAGAAGATCGTTTTGTTCTCCTACATGTTGTGCTATCAGGCAGGCGTTTTACAGAAACGACGGGGAGGCTATTGAACACACTGAACTAGCATTGTATCCTTTCTTCGTTTGATTCATTTTTCAGTTGGCATTGGGACAGCCTCCTTCTACACACTTATCCTCTTCCCCAATTAGCGGCCAATGGTGCCATCTTTCATGAAACTCTCTCTTTTTCCGCCCCCTAGACATATTCCATCCTATAGACACCACGAGTCACTTGTGACCAACGCTCGTTGGAAAAGTTGTTTCTTTGGATTCAACTCTAAACTTCCTAAGTCCATCATTCACCCGCACACGGAGCCATGTGCTCCCTGCGGTCCAGTCGTTACCACATGTAGTTCTGATTTTCCTTCTTTCCATATGTACCCTATTCCCACGGGTACGCCAGTTCTTTCCAAAAATCTTAAGTAGAGTCGTTCTCTCACCGAGGCGCTCGTATACAGAGTCACTCTTACCCAGAGTGACTCTGACCCTGGAAAGAACGGCTGCCTGAGTAGGGGCCAACAAAACCTTTGTCCCATTGCCACATGGTGACTCCACTCTCAACCGCGAAGCCCTCAAATTCCTATCGTCGACGGAAAACGATGATAAAAAAACTCCAAAAGAGCTGTCGAACCGACGCCAGTTCGCCAAGCAAGGTATACTCGGAACCACACGCACGTTTCCTCCCTGGATCGTGCTATGTGTTGCAGGGCCAGCATTCCTCAGCCAGTGACTCGACTATAGGCCTGGCCTCGAAGACTATCGCTCGAAAAAGCTCTCCATCGCCCCGCGGTTCACCCGAGTGGCCCAAAAGCAACCAAAAAAATCGAAAAAACAACGACAAAAAAACCACAAAAAAATGGGAAAAGGAAACAAGGAATGAGAACGGATCGAGAGTGAGAAGATTACTTCTCACGAAACGCAACAAAAGCCAAACTGGCCCTATACGACCAGATCAAGCTACCGATTTAATGCTGTAGTCAAAACGGACATCAGAACCCCTCTTGGACTTAAGTGATTGAGATGGAAAAAATGCAAACTGGAGGAGTCTTTCGGGACTTCCAAACTGGAGCATTGCAATCTGGTGTCTGATTGTATGGAAAGATTCGCTACGGAAAACGCAAACACGCAATGGATGCCAGAATATCCCTCTTGGACTTAATTGATTGAGAAGGGCAATTGTGAAGGGAGGAGTCTACGAGACTCCAACTCGAGCATGGAATCTGGTGTTTGAATTGTCAACGAAAATTTTGCTACGGAATCGCAAATACGCAATGGGTGCCAGAATCTCCCTCTTGGACTTAAGTGATTGAGAAGGGCAAATTGTGAAGGGAAGGAGTCTTTTCGGGACTCCATTACTGGAGCATGGAATCTGGTATTCGAATTGTCAAGGAACATTTTGCTACGGAATCGCAATACGCAATGGGTGCCAGAATCTCCCTCTTGGACTTAACTGATTGAGAAGGGCAATTGTGAAGGGAAGGGGTCTTCTCGGGACTCCATTACTGGAGCATGGATATCTGGTATCTGAATTGTCAAGGAAAATATTGCTACGGAAATCGCAACAACGCAACGGTGCCGGAATCACCCTCTTGGACTTAAGTGATTGAGAAGGGCAAATGTTACGGGAGGAGTCTTCGGACTCAGTACTGGAATCATGGAATCTGGTTTCTGATTGTGAAGGAAAAAGCTACAGAATCGCGATACTCAAATGGTGCCAGACTTTGAACTGCACCCAAGTCAGTCAATCGAAAGTTTCTCTCAATTTCCTCCTTTTCCTTGCTCTGAATGTTAATCGTGATGTGATGCTGTGCGAAGCAAATACTGTGTGATGAATAAAGGCCAGTGAGAATTTGCTTGACGCTCTGGGTTAAATACTACAGATCACTAGATAGGCAATTTTTTCTTTTCTTCTTTTCTTCTCTAGTAAAATAGCTGAGTCGAAGGACGAATGGGCTGGACTTCTGCTGGGCAAGGCTTTTCCTACGAGAGGCAAAGTGAGTAAGATATGCGATGGAATGATATGATGTCAATAGAGACTTCAAGTCTAGTTTGATCTAGCCCAAACCTAGCCTAGTGTGAAAATGTGAAGAAGATTGTCATTATAATCGTGGCACAAATGGTTGCAAGAGGCACCATCACGGACGACGTTGACGACGACGACGACGAGGCACATATTTGTGTATACAGACACTCCTGCCCCTCATCTATCTAAGACACTTTCAGACACCCCTCCAAGAGGAGGGGCGAGGGGAAATAGATCGGCGGCCGGCTTTCCTAAATGCAATATCCTTCCAATCAGCTGGCATGCCATGGCTTCTTGGTTGTACTCAGGTAGGGCCCCGCGCTCTAGTTTCTGGGGGCGTGGATCTCCCGCATCTGGGGTGCAGGTCAGGGTCAGGGGTTGGCCAGCTTGGGGCCGTATCCCCGTTTCGTGGTTAACTACAAGAGCCCTGCTTCCCCCCAATCACCAGCCCCTACATGGCGGCGAGGTAGATGGGCACACAGTGTCAGCTGGACGATGTGGACAGTATCTCAAAGGGAGTAGATATCATTTGGCACGCTGAAATTAAGAATTAAGTAGAACTACCGCCAGCAAAACATCCTTGTCAAACTTTTGTTTATCCAATCGTACGAAGCCCGAACAGTAATACAGGGCTTGGGTTCAATACTCGAACTCCAGAAACGGGTAGCAGACGAAATGTGTCAGTCGCTATTTAAACAATCAAATGTTCAAAGCCTAGCCCTTTCAAATCCTGTAGCCAGTGTGCTCGACTATCCATGTTACCGGCCTTGGCTGCAGCATCTTGTAGTTGCCAAGTTGCTTTGAGCATCTCGATTGCAGTAAAGATATATCCCCAGCGGCATGTTTCCCACATGTCCAGCAGTCTCTTCAGGGTCCAAGTGCGTTTTTCTGCATCGCACGTTTCGGCCCCGGCTATGAATGTTGGCCATGATGAAGCTTTGAAGTAGGGGTCATCGTGCCCCAAAGCAGCAACATGTTCTAGAATATCTTTGACCAGTAGGTCTGTATCGACCGGTCTTAAGGAACGGACAAGGGGTAACGCCTGCAGGATGTATAAACAGGCCGCAGATCGATGCGCAGAAGCTACATGTACTCGACTTTCGACATCTGTGATGTGTGGAATCTGGCGTAGCTGCTCTGCCCACGCTGGGATATCGAAGGTCAGCGCTTGGTCAATCAGAGAAAGAGCTTCTCTTGTTGGGGGAAGCGACCAACTACAGACCAAGTTAGAATAATGGGCCGACAGAGGAGTAAGATAGTGTTATCAACATACGTGTCGGTGCAAGGGGTATCATAGGATAACTGTGAAGCCATGAGGATGATTTGGAGTATTTCTGGAGGACATGATAGCGAACTCGTGACCTCCACTCGCTTCATAACTGGTAGTAAATCGAACGCGTATTTAGCAATCCGAGCTGCCAGACCTCCTGACGAGAGTGTGGAGCCAAATATGTGGTAGCTAAGGGAGTTATTAGCTCTAGCACAGCCTATGTGTTGATGCTTTTCTGTACGGAACTCACATGAAGCAGTCCGCAATGACACAATCTCGAAGCGTCCTACTCGAAGAACTCTTCATATTGTCTGGTGTTAGTAATGCCATGATGCTAGCTGCGCCCTCAAGATGTGCTTTCCAACTAGATGGATCTTTCTTCTCAACATCGATGAGATCGAACTTGATGAAGAAGTGCATGGCGGCCAAGGCGACTTCACTCCCTGCAGGATCCAAGGTATCAAGGACCTCGCGCATATGAACCATCGCCTTCTGCTTGGCAGTGAGGGCATCGATGAGGGCTTGGCGGGACACCAAGTCCCTCGACCTAAGCGAGGCAAGATATCCACCGGGGTCGGTGAGGCCGGTAGATATGTCTGTGATTGGCCGGATGATATTGGACCAGTGGATGGCTGAGGTGGCAATGAGAATCTGGAGTAGAAGGGGGTGCTTTCTTGTCATCGGTAACAATTCCCGGAACGGGTTACTGCCAGGGCTGTCCCTGCCGACAAGGTCTTGACAAACACGATCAGCGACTAGGATAGCGGAGCACTATGCATTAGCATTCAGTCTAGAACGTCCAGGAAGGGTGTGGCATGGTGTTGCATGCAAGATGTGGAAGGGTGGTCTGCCGAGGAGGCGGTAAGGGTTGACAGGCGTGAGTGTATGCGTATACTCCTCCCTTGGCATATACACCGAGATGCATACGCCTAGCCTGACAAGGATTGTCATGTAGGGACCAAAGAATTGCTGTCGGGATACATTGAGCCGACAAAAACGAGGCAAAGGGGTGGTTGAGGAAGGAGATGACGAGAGCTCAGAGTGAATACCAACTTACAGTAAGCGAGGTAAGATCTGGATGGGCGGTCCAGGTCTTGAAAAACGGGATCTGTGAGTACCATGGCTGATGCGGTTCCAGGCTCGGGCGAAAGTGCTGGGCACATGGACTCGTTCGTTTGCATTAGGGGTTGAGCGTGCCCCTGGTGAGGATTTGATGGGGGAAGCGTCGCATCACTGCTGCTCATCATGATGGGGCTCGTAGCAGTGCTCGACGCCGCGGAGACGTGGGGATCTGTAGCATGGCGGCTGGATTGCGTGGGTTTCAGATTGCCATGAGAATCAATCGCCTGTGTCGTCCACACGAACACCTTGCCGTACCCGAGGCACTCCTGCCCTGAGACCGCGCATTTGTGGCATGTTGGCCATGAGCGGTCGCAGCGCAGGCGTCGACGACGACAGTTGTGACACGGCTTGCTTGTGCTTGGCATGCGCCAATCTCTGCTGCCTCAGATAGCGTCTTCTTTATCGAAGGCCAGATCTGAGACAAAAGAGGATAAAATATCTCGTTGGCGGTCCAGAGAGAGTCGATTGATGGAGGATACCGGATGTAAGAGATAGTGTTGGAGGACCCTTGACTTGGAAGATAGCAGTCTATAGTCACAAAAGATGCTGATGAGGGTGTGAGGCAGATGGCACACACAGAATAAGGTGGTGCTTTGATTATCGTACTAGCGAATGGTGGTAGATCGGAGATAAACAAGTGGCTTTTGTTGGATGGTGCAAATCGGCTCGGCTCTGGGTGGCGGGGGAAGCCGAGTCGTCGTTATAATCCGGATCTAATCATCTCTGTTTCTGTCCAGGCTTTATATTCTACCTTTCTGCCTTGTAGCATCGACTCTCAGATGCTTTGTGTCAGCCTACTATTCCGTTGCAGCCTGCCTTGGCTGCGTTGTATGGTGATCCGTAGGTAAGGTAGGTTTAGATGGCCAAAATTTCCTTGCCACACCTCGAGGGTCAAGATGATATCACAGCTCGCATGGACAAATAAGACGGCACAGGCGAATGCTGCAAGAGTGAGGCGGGCGATGCAGCTCAAGTAGGATCAGGAAGTCGGCGGTGCCAGCGAGGGAGGCGAGGAGATGACGCAGAGAAAAGAGAACTGACGAGAGGGTTTGATGGGTCTTGCCTGCGCTGCACGTTTTGCCGTTCGGAGCGTGTGCTTGGAGTGAGTGATGCAGGATGGAGGTGATGCAAGCGCGAGGGGGGTGTGGCTGTCTAAATTTCCTAACCCCAAGCTCCCCTCACCGTGGGTGTGCTTTCCCCGTACAGTAACCAACGACAGCTGCAACGTGCCTGCCCGCCAGCGTACCTGCTGCTTGCCTTGGGTTAATTAATCCGCTCAGGGCAAGCACTGTATTACTGTTCGCGGTTAGTCCGCGGCCTACAGAACTGGCTCGTTCTGGCTTGGTAGGCAGTAGCTCGGAGAGCAGACCGTGAGCACGGTAATTAGAATGTGGCCTGTTGACAGTCTAATACGCCCCAGGGCCAGGGCCGGAGGGAGGGTCGGGTCAGGTGGACAGCAAAAATCGATAGGTGAGCGGAACCGCTGGGCTAGGGAGCAGGTAAAACATCAATCGGTGAGGCAGCAGGTGGCACATCGTGAGGTCCGGACTGTAGGAGCTTTGAGCCCGGGCTTCCATTAATCATTTTTGCTTCACTAGTGGACGAGACTCCGCAAGCCCTGCACATAGCAGAGCCGGGGGAGGGAACCCAAGCAACGTGTGAGATGAACCATGTCTCATCTGCCATCACCAGCTCCTCACGCATTCACTCAATCGCTTGCCACATACTGTGTTTGAGGCCCTTCATGCACGTTGGTCGATGGACAGCCAGATGGCCCATACAGGTGGGTAAGTGAGGCGGCCTGCTGCTTCACTGGTGGGTGGGATCGAAACCCGAAGACTGGCCGAGTCTGCGCGCTACCTAAAATGGAAACCTTGATACAAGACGTGCGTCCGATCCACGGCGGCAGACCGGGACCTGCAGCGCTGCAAGCTTGGGCCTTGGTCTTCTAGCCACTCTGACACTTGTCACTCTCTATCTAGCTCTTCCACAAAGCTGGGTCTATCCACAAGTCCGCTGGTGTAAGTGAGCCAATGTGCCTGTATTTATGGAGCTGCCCAGACAGCTGCCTCACTTCAACGATGATCCATCCGATCAACCTCGCGGCCTCTGTCAACGGCAACCACTGTATCAGCGAAGAGGCAGTGTGCGTGGGTGCCGCGACTTTACCGCTCTCCCCATACGATCCGCCGACCACCATTTGCCAGCATCCCAAACCCCGCTGTTCCGCCGCTCGGATCATCAAGCTTCGACGTAAAGACTAGCTCTGAGCTCCACTTACTGACAAGCTTGACATGGGTGCCAGGCAAAGAGCCGGTCCAACAAGAATGTCAGTACCGCGTGACACCTCCATTTACCAGGACCCTTAAGACCCTTGAGATCCAAGATGGGAGGTTTCAAGAACGAATCTGGCCTAAAGCTATGAGCAGTGAGCTGGGACCCAGGGAATTTTTTCTTTTCCCAGCGTCGATCGTAGTTGCAGAGTGGTGCCGGAAGCAGAGAGAATTGAACATAGTATTGACTTGCACGCAAGTATTGGTGCTCTCTGAAAAAGGTACAATGGTTCATCATTTACCCCTTTTTGATGACATCAAGTATCAAGTTGTTTTCTCTTTTCGTTTCCTCCTCCCTACACCCACCTACGGCGACTATCATTATGATAAAACATGCACAGGCAGAAAAACGACTGGAAGACGTGGCATTGTTAATAGGGACGGGCAGTTTGTGACTTGTCGCGTCCCGCCAAATGACCAGTCCAATGACGTCCCTGGCGAAAAGGCGACAACCACTGGCCAATAAGAAGTAGAATGCTGATAAGGTTTGTACAAGAGATGTTTCATATGCAACTGGTGACCAATTTGATTTGTAGCCCGTCATATTTCAGTGTCTGTCGAAAATGTCCTCGGCTGATGAGACAACATAAAGGGGCTTTCTCACAAACTGGGCGGTACGTTACATTTCCATACCAGGCACTTCAGAGAAGAGTGAAATCATACAAGAGGAAAAACTCACCCGGAGAAAGGCGAAATATTACAGAATAGTATAGATCCCCGCTCAAAATAATGACCAACTTCAACTTGAACCTCCTTGAAGAGAGTCAAATTCGGCTAGCTGAATTTGGTTATCGTAACCAGACCGAGCCATCTTATGTTTGGGTATTAATAACATACCAAATTAGCATGCAATCAAGCGAAGCCACTCGTAAGTCCCGTCAGACGTACATAATCGGAAACTTGATAACTACGAGGAGAGAACACCGCGGGGTGAGTGGATTGACGTGAGTTTATACAGACTAATCCTTGCGACCTTGACAGCAGGATTTAGTTGCCGTCGTATGAACAGATCCACTATGGAACTGGCCCAGAACAAACTATTTGGTCACCAGCCCAGCTCCTGAAGGCTTGTTAGATCTTGCCAAGAAGGGCATGGCGACAGCACGATCCTGCAATGCAACGGGCGAGAGGCCTCGAATGCCGCGAAGCTCACGATGCTTACGATGCTCACGATGCTGAACTTCTGGTATCTAGACGAGCCCATTTTGGAATGCCGAGTATGATACATATTAAAACTACCTACCACTGTAGAAGCAAATGTGCACACTCATTCTCCGTGGAGACGCGAAGATATTTCCGGCAGTACCGGCCCCCCTATATCCTGGCTCAATGCAAAGCGTTTTCGGTTCACTTGTCGCTCCTCGGTGTATCAATCGGCACGGTATTCATGCGGCATCTAGGGCCCATAGGGCATCATCAAGCCCCCAGACAAGTTGTCATGCGCAGCAGGTTCAAACCCTGCAGCTTGCCGGCACGGTTGCATGGCGGGGGCGTACACTACGAGCCCAGGGAGCAAGAAGAAAATTTCAACGCTCAGGTGCTTGCATGAACAGCGTGGTCGGATCCTCGTGAGGTTGCGGAGGCCACAACAGCGGGGTTTCAACAGTCAGAAGCATTATGGGTGCAGAGTATCGCATACGCCCCCAATCCCCAACGGGAAGCCGAAGTTTACCGCCATGTGTTGTTTCGCAAAGACTTGATGGAAGTTGACTGTTGCCGGCTTGTGACTTTCCAACAGCAACCAGATTACTTACCGGGGAAAAGTCTAAATCAGACGCTTGTATGCGACTAATATCTGGAGCTTGAATCTTAAGATTTGCCTGTAGCGGAACCAACCGGCACTACTTTGCATCTATGGTTATCACAAGTACCTAGGCAGAATCGCGAACATGGAAAGTATAAGACCGTTGATGCTGGCAAGCCATCACAGGGGTAGGCAAAGCTGATGAAGCCGGGGGCTGTAGCTGTTGATCGTATTCACCTGGATTGCGGTCAGCAAGATCAAGGAAGGGTCTGACTTACGCCTCGAGGCTGATTGAGGCTGCAGCTGTTGATTGTATTCACCTGGATCGCGGTCAGCTGGATCAAGGAGGGATAAGACTTACCTGCTCGAGGCTGCTCGAGGCAGTATTCATAAGGTTCATAACATATGCGCGTACAAAGCGTACTTTCTCGCCACAGTACGAAACACCTTCCTTACAACACCATGAAACACCACAAACTACCTTCCTCGTAAGCTCGCGATAGCATCATCGAAGACGGGATGACCCGGGGCTAATTTTCTGTCGACCAGTCGCCGATTGTTTGAGAATCCAGCAGCTAATGATCGTCGATATGTAGAGTGACCTACCGTCAATTAAATACCTACCTAGGTAAAGCTGGAAGCTGCGCTCAACCCCCGAAGGGACAACACCTTCTCTTTTCCAGCTTTGCACCAAAAAAAGAATCTTAGTGAATATACCTAATTAAGATTGCCCTCATAACAGAGACAACCTGAAGCCCCGTTGGCTCAGTGGTAAAGCGTATCACTAGTAGTACCCTAAATGATAAGATCACTGGTTCGATTCCAGTACGGGGCATCTGTTTCTTTTTGCATTTTTTCTTACCTTCCAACTTGGTTCGCCATTGCGTTCCGTGTTTTCATCCCTCAGTTGTTGCTTACGCAGTTCATTGTCTTTTTGTGTGATGTAATCGTTCGTCTAGCCATAGCTCCTCGCCGACAGCAAACAGGCACTCCAGCCGAGATGACCAGTAGCAAATGCAGGTCAGACAGAAGCAAATCATACGATTCCAATTCCCCTTGATCGAGACAAAATGCAGGAAGGTGCTGTCAGCTAACTTGTACGGGCAAAAATCTCTACCTATCTGTCACACTCTTCCAGTCAATGGCCTAGGCACAGCTGAGATGCAGGGCCTCCTGTATGAAGAGCGTGGTCTTAGATTGATCTTGCTCCTAATTCAACGATCTGCTTCTCTCAGCCAGCCGGTAACAGGAGTGAGTATTTTAGATAGCATCAAGATGGAACATGTAGATTTTCCACATTGAACCCCGTCGCAAACTCGTCAAGGCAAGCCTCCCCAGTAGACTGGTTTCAGGCGCCATGGAGTGACTTTATAGGAGCTAGGTCCCAACGCATCACCAAAATTTACCTTCATGAAGCCTACGCTCACCAGCAGAAATCGCCTTGCAATAACCTCTTGCCAGCCACCTCACATTTGCTTTCGCACCTGGCGGTCTAAACTCATAGTATACGCGGGATTGCATGCCTTGTTTTTCAACTTCAATCGTTTTAGCACACGCACCTTCCTCAGGTACGCACCTTCCTCACCTTTTGCTCACTCTCGCAGGTCACTTGCCCCACGTGGCTCACCTTTTCGCCCTTTGTCTTCAAGACACTACGAATTCCTGCTTACCGAGTAAATCTTTCTCTTTCATGAACCTCTCTTTTATGCTGATCAAGTCTATGTTCATCTCTCGGCAGTACAAACTCCACCTTCAATGCTCAACACGTCCCTTGGGCTTCTGATTCCACAAATTGGATGACCCAGGCGGTATGAAAAATGAATATTCAAGATCTCGACGCGGAGAGCCTCCAGCTCTTCATAAAACTTCAATCCGACGACTTGAACTTACTCGACAATGGAAAAAGCAAGGCCAATCAACCCATGTCAGACAATCAGTTGGCAATGTGTGTCTACAAGGCGGAGCTTGAGAGCCTGGCATCCTTCAGCGCGGACCAAGCCATGTGCAGAAGTATCTCTAACGCTGTATCAGCGGATGGTGCTGCGATAGTCGCGCATAGACGAGTTGAGCTCCAGGCCAGAAGCGATCGGCAGCATGCCTTGGCCTTGAGCACAAACGGACAAACCGCCACGGCAACATCAGGACACTCTACTAGCTTGCCCATGAAAAGACATGGGGAGGGGAGTGCTCCTACCCCTAACAAACGTGTCCCACCGCCAAAGGGAGCCCATTCGCCCTATGATTGTTTGGCTTGTTGTGAACGCATCTACTACGATGACCTCACGACTTCCGCCTGTGAGCACCACTACTGCAGAGCCTGCCTCGTAAACCTGTTTGAGAGCGCCCTTACGGACGAGTCGCTATTCCCCCCAAAATGTTGCCATAAACAGATTCCTTTCCTTCTGAACCAGAAATTCTTCTCTAGGAGTCTTTGTACTTCGTTCGACGAAAAGTCCATCGAGTTCACGACACCCAACCGAACGTATTGTCATATCAAGACCTGCTCGGCATTCATCCCTCCTTCCTCTATCCAAGGCGATAAGGCTGTGTGCAGAAAGTGTAAATTTTCGACTTGCACACACTGCAAGGGTTTATACCACGCTGGTTTTTGTCCTCAAGATTCGGCTACGCAGGAACTTCTTCGTATCGCAAAGGAAAATGGATGGCAGAGCTGTCAGTCGTGCCACAGAATCGTGGAGCTTTCCACCGGGTGCAATCATATTAGTAGGTTTCTCGTCACCTCCTCCCCTTTGCCCGTTATTGCAGCATTTTAACCTGTAACTCGCTAACCTATGGATTATAGCTTGTGTGTGCAAACACCAGTTCTGCTATGTGTGTGGAGTGAAGTGGAAGAGCTGTAAATGCCCACATTGGGATGAGCAGCGGCTATTAACCCGAGCAAACAACATTGTCAACCGGGACGCAGGCGCTGGGGCGATGGCTCCTGCGGTGAGGGCTGCGCAGATTGACCGAGAGAGAACAAATTTGATACAAAATCATGAGTGCTTACACGAGAGATGGGAATCTCGGAGGGGTGCACATCGGTGCGAGGAGTGTCACGACCGTCTGCCATTCTTCATATTTGAGTGCAGACAATGCAACATCATGGCGTGTGGGCGGTGCAGATACAACCGCCTTTGATAATGATGCAGAAGACCTAAAAGAATCCGGCAAGTTCTGAGGTTTAGTACTGCAGGGCCTGCCACAAAAGCCTGTTCAAGACAACTCGCTGTTTCCTCCACAATGTTGCCATAAATAGATTTCTCAGTAATAATCGGAAGTTCTTCTCTAAGAGTTTTTATACTTTGTTCAAGGAAAGTTCCACCGAGTTTTCAGCGAGAGGGCCTTGCCGCTCAAAGACACGATGGTTTTCCTGAATCAGGAAGTTAACTACACTGCTATTCTTGAACTAAAAGAGACTGTGAAGAAATGTACTGCCACCGGCCTGCTACTTAAAGCGAAACTAGAACTAATAATACCGAACTTGGGCTTCAGAACAGTATTGATGAAGGTGGTGACCCTCTTGTAGAAATGGTAGGCTGCAGCAAGCGGGTTGTCGTGCAGGTATCTTTGGGGGCTCTGTGTCTTATGGACCCGATAGAAAGAGAGGTAGAGATGACTGCCGGTGGGAAACCGCGCAAGCGTTGTCGTCACAACTAATAGGAAAGGCGGCTCCAGTCCCCAGTCCCTCGTACGTTGAGCCGGGTGTATACGTGCAATATCTGTTCAGCATTGCGCAATATCGACAAGCATGATATGGAAGATTATCCAAGTACGAGTACCACTGATTAGCCGATTCATCGAACCATTCGAACCGTATTCCAAGTCTTGACGGAGAGTCAAACTTCTTTAAAGTCCCCGCAATTGAACATCTAATCCAAGGTTTTTCATGGGTCTTCCATCATGCATGATTTCAAAGACGATGTAGCCAGGAGTATGATATTTGAGGTCAGCTTGGTGGGCCCTCGCTACATCAAGCGTGAAGCGTGCATTTATGACCTTGGGTCCTCGATGGAGTCCGTCTTGAATAGTATAGGTACCATTGGCGTATGTAAGCACTCCGAGTCTTCGATAAACCGTCATGCCACGGTCTCCTGGGATATGCGGAGGCCATGAGATGCCATAAAAAGGCGCTCCGCTCCCTTCAGTCAATTGGGATATCGCATTGCAGCTTGATCATTCTAGCTTTTGCCATGAGGATGCTTGGCGAGCCTCGTTGGCAATCGCACTTCTGATTCGATTCAACTTTTGGACGTCTGGAAGGGTATCTCTGTAGCCCATACCATGAACACAATTGAATGCCGCAATGGCCGTTTCTTCGAGCATATTGATAAGTGCACCAGATGTTGCTTCATCAAATATAATGATTGGGATCATATGCCGATTTGCCGGTAGCGAGATCTTGGCCTGGCTGTAGTGTGGATGATAATGTGAATCTCCGGTCTGTATCTTTTCCTTGTGCCGATAATCCCCTGCTTGGACCTGGATGCTCTGCCCAGCATACAGAGCAAAGTCTTCAACATTGGTATACGCGAGATCTTGATGTGTATATAATCGCAGGTAGATGGACTTGGTTCCAGCTGGGGCCCAAGAATTGGTGTTGATGTTGGCCACGCCCAGCCGGAGGGTCATTCGTGCTGACAGATGGGCGGCCGGTATGTCTCTGACCTGTTGCTTGACCGGCAGGTTGTTCATGAAGCAGTGGGTTTGCGAAAGTTAGGATGTGTTGTAATAGAGATCAGGTTGCGAAGAAAAAAAGGACGAGAGAAGTGGAGATGTGAAGGAGAAGAGAGAAGAGAGAAGAGAGAAAGTGAGTGGGGCGAGGAGAAGAGATCTATGTATATAGGTAGCACAAGGAAGGGAGCAGAGGAGAACCTTGGAGATGAAAATGGAACCAGAATCCACGAGAACAGAGAACCGTTTGCCTGCCTAGAACACAATGACGAATGCTCTGTGATTCAGGCTGTAAAATACACCCGCACCTAACCGATGTTTGACAGTGAATCACTGCCAGCTCATACGCTGGCAAGCAACTGACATACAATGTGGCACGTCTAGGTAGACACTCCAGCGTTAAATTTCAACATAATATCAAAGAACAACCTAATAATAAATAGAATATCAAGCTGAGTATCGTAGAATGATTTATCATTCTCTTAGTATTGTGTTTAGTTAAATGGATGTCCGTGCCTTACGCGAAAAGAGCTTTGGTGTGCCATGTTTATTTCACCAACTTGGCTGGCTAGCAACAAGCACGCCACCTATATCCCCGGAACCCACTGATAACAGCAATCACAGCAGAGAGAAGCGCTGCATTCCGTTGAATGCGCTGACGGGCTTCAATAGGTCAGCATGGCAAGCGTTCTCACGTTTCAGTCACACACGGTGAACCACATGGCTCTCTGGGCTAGCCTGCAACTCTGACATTGAGGAATTATTGCATTTAATCCCGTTAACAATAGGCCGCAGGGATTGCCATGGGACTCAGTTTGGTCGCATGCTTTGCTGGTTTCCGGTTTCATTTAGAGGGGTTCCAAATAATGGACTGTTATACATTTGTGAGTATGCTTCTGAAGGCAGAGGCAATAGTCGCCAGGTCCGGCCCGAGAGAATACCGAGTGCTTTTATCTCCTCGCAAACCAAAGTTTCCTCTGCCTAATACTCAAGCCTTGACTCCAAACGCTGTTGGCTACAATTTCATGTCTGAAGGTGAGAGACGATAACGCCGGATGATGTCGGTATCGCGTCTTACAAGTGCGGCGAGCAATGCTTTTGCAGGACAGGGGCACTATAAGAAACCTTTTGCATCAGTTATTATGGGCGGTCTTTCTAATACTTGAACGCGATGCTAGCACAGGGAGATGATTCGGATCAAAGGCGAATTTCCAACTGCCTGGAACAAGCGCATCTGCCTTTGTTCCATATTGCCTGGTACGATGCAACTGCCAGGCGTTGGGGATGTGCGATGTTTGGTCTCTAAGGGCTGGACGCTGCTTAATCACTGCACTCATACGGCCTGCGGATGCGCACTTTGTTTGGGTCTTAGCCGCAGAAACTTGTGATGCCATCCACGGAGTCAGTGGCTTTGCGGACGAATCCATGTTTGTCGTTTCCAAGTTTGGCCGGCAAGGTCAATTTGAAAATGTGCGCCGGCACATTTGTTCGCGCAACGCCTGGCGACCTGTAGGCACGCCCAAGGGTTCCTGAAGGGATATTTGAAGGAGGAAAAGGTATCGTGCTTCCACATCCGTCGTCATCGATGTATTCAGAATGTAGGTAGGTATTGGTAATATGCCGTGCGTGTGCAAGATAGGCTTGATCCGACAAAGTCTCACATATAGCATCTGCGAACGGTCTTTTTACGTAGTAGACTACAGCAATCGACTCCACGGTGCAGAATCTACGAGTACACCTCCTAAATCTACAGTATGCGGGTGGTGGTCTTGTGTTTGTGGGTGCCGCTTTGTGAGTGGGCACCGCCCGCGGCACCTCCAACGCTTGCATATTCTCCTACGCAACACCCGCAAACAACCTCTTGAACCAAAAAGGCGGACGAAGTTTGATGCGCTATGGTAAACACCCGCGTCTGTGGAGATATCTTGATGTGATTGATCGAGATTGTAACGTGATGAGGTTTTGCGTTTGTGAATGGCTGTGCCATGGGCGTCCATGGCACTACAGCCAACCTGGTCTATGACCATACGCCAATACCGGGGTAGGTGACAATTTAGGTGTAAAATTAGCTGTTCATATGTCTAGCATCGCTATAGCTCAAATATTGTAATATCGAAGGTCGTTGTTGACCGAGTTGCCTGTATCTTTTGCCGTAGCATTTTCCCATGTGGCGTCTGTAAGGGGCGATCTTGAACGATAGGCAGAAAGAGAAAAGGGAAACAGAGATAATAATAAAAAAGAGGAGTTAAAAAAAAAAGACTATGGTACTTAATTCATAGTAGTATAGTCAATATCTATTCCAAAATCTTGGAATTATTTGCAGAACTCGTAGCGTGGCGAACGGCTCCATGTTTGTCGTCGGATGGTGCCATGAACACCGCCCATGGCACTATTAACAGATATGAAGATGGTATAAGTAGATTGACTTGAGTGAAAGTTAAGTTATTCATAAAAGAAGAGTAAAGAGAAGTGTGTTCTTAAAGTGGAAAAGGTATATCCGATCCAGTTGTGGTATACGGTAACCTGTTCAACAGGCACGGCTGAGACTGCTCGTAGCTGGACACCTTTCCTCGTGCTCTGCTGTCCTTACTGTTGCTCAGCTCAACGAGCTTCTTAGGGTTATTGGCATGGCATCCGGATGAGGGTGTGCATTCAGTGGGCTCTGGAACTGCCCTGTCGGTCGATTGGGGCGTCTGGCGCAGTTCGCATCGCACTCAAAGGCACATCAGGGCTGCCATCTCGTTAAGAGCGACACGCTTCGTTTTCGTCTCCCCCTCCCGCTGCTCAGCTCGACGCACTTCGTAAGGTTATTGGAGCGGTACCATATACCGACCTCCCAACCCGGCTGAGCACCGTCGGGTTACAATGGGCTGGCTGCTAGACAGCCAGTGTGGCCTACCCACAGTAGGTGGGCGATGCTCTCAGGGCATGCGCTTCCACAACTAATGTAGCTACAATTGATGATTTTTTTTTCTAACTGGGCATCAATCTTATGATGAGATATCAGTCTAGCAAAAATATTACAGAACACGGCCTTATTATTAAGTGAAAGTGGCAGGTGTAGCGAGCTTGCGAGGCGTGCGTGACCCTTCCTCTCGCACTTTAGGTAAAGCTTGCCCTTTCCCAGGGCGTTTCTGAAACGTGATTTTGAATCGCATTCATCGTTTGGCTAACTTTCATCCCAGAAATGCTCACTTTCATTGCTACTGAACTGATCAGGAAATCGCATAGCGACCTCGGCCTCTTTTCAATCGCCTAGTGACCCTGGCGTCTATTGCAACCTTCTTTACTGTTGCTTTAGCCGGGAGGGCTCAGATAGGTGGGCTTCGCCTCAACATTCAATCGAATCACCAAGCAGCCGCCAGACCTTGCTAATCAGCCTCAAGCCAAGATGTCAAATCCGAACGCTGAGGGGGGGGGGGGTCCTCCTATCGATCCTCTCCTTGGAGACGACAAAGCCGACGATGACGGCCCACGGGTCAAGACTTGCACACACTGCCACGTCGAGAAACCTACCAAGCAATTTGTGATAAGAGGAATCCTTACAAGTTTACTAGGAATTGCCTGGAATGCCGTGACCGCCAGGAGCAGATGCGTCGCAGGGACCGCGTAAGTTTACCCCATTCTAATGGCTATTTTGCAGGTTTGCTATTGACACTGACGATGCAGCTGTCGAGCCTGTTTCAGACGATGCGACCGTCTGCTTCAGGTCAGAAGCGTGGTATCGGCTCAGTTCGGGCGCCCGAGTCACAAGAGCGGCGAGCATTCACGCCTGCTACCTTAACGCCTACCACCTTGATACCGAGACCGGAACGAAGCGTCTCGAGCGTGGCATGCACTCTGCCGAGACTAGTTCAGACACCCAGCACGTTTGCACGAGTTGCGGAGTCATCGAGGCAGTATTTCCGACGAAGAGATGATATTGAGCCTGCGCAGACGCCAGCAACGTCGGTGGCGAATGATGCTCAAGTCGTTGGTCCGGAGCAGGTATCGCCTCGGCGAGAAGGCTCGGTGTTGGCATCGTCTGCCTCGCCTACACGGGATGCATTTCTGCGACTCCAGCGGCTTCGAAACGACCATGTCGCTGTGTTATCATCTCCGATTGGCGCATCGGGATAGTCTCCTTCTGCCCAACCTGAGATGTTGAGTTACTTCATTTGTGAATCGTGTCATACTGCACGCCCTGTGTATTTGTTGACTCACCAGCTGTCGCACTTTTGTTTCTACTGCTGCCATCCGGATCCTGACAGAGATCCTAATGGTGAGGCCAGAGCTTGCACACGTTGTGGCCTCTGTTGGCCAAATACATGTACCTTCTTCCTCGGCCCGAGCGGCGAGCTACGCGAGCTACGCTCTCATTGCAACTCTTGCCACGATGCACTTGGTTCTGAGATCCCACCATCGCAGAGTCGGGGTCCTTAGATCCCACCATCGTAGAGGCAGGGGCAGGTCTCTGTTTCCTCCAGTACACGGAGTCTCGATCTTGGCACTCTCGCTCTTCAACCCCGTCAGTTCAAGGAAGCAGGGCAGTTACCCCAAGCCACCCCAGACATTCCCTTTGAAGGGGACCCCTCACCAAATACTCTCAGAACGAGATATCCAACTGCACTCTCAGTAGTCCCGACAGCTGGATAGTCCACAGATAGAGCTATGTACTTGCTGCCGTACTTTAGTTTGATCAGAATCTGGTCAATAGCATTCACTCCTTCCTAACGCCGGGACTGAGATAAGTCCAACGAGGGGCTGTGCTTCTTGAGTCTAGAAAATAGTCTTGATTTTATGGAGGTGCCAAATCATCTCCTACAGCTCTTGTAGATTGAGGAGATACTGATCGCTCGTATTCATATATAAATTCAGGTCTTTCAGTATTGAGGCCAGTAATATAAGTATTATAGCCATATTATTCATTTCCTTCGTGATACTAGTAGTATTTACCCCTAAATTCCTCTCTTACCAGCTGATTTGGATATTATTGTTCTACAACCTGCTAATGGGCAGACTTAGCTTATGTAGTGCGTCAATTCCAACACCAGTTTCGCGTCCATCGGCATTATGCCCGTATCTGGCTGTGTTACCTCAAGGCCAACCATCCTGGCTTATTACCATTAGCGAGGAGCGCTTGGGCTAGCTTCCCATCGACGGCGATGCTTCCACCGAGGTCCCCAACGAGATTGATGATCCGGTTGATATCGAGGCTGAGATCCCGGATGCTGACCTGCCTGACGAGGATGATTTTGATGACTTTGCTGTGCCCAACTTGCTAGCCGACCAGACTAAACTGGAGGAACTACATAATATCATTCGCCAGCAGGAATCGTCTGCCTCTCGACCTCTCGACGAGGCACGGGCTCCCACTCGACGGCCTGAGGCTGAGATGCTGAACATTCGGTTAACTCGAATCCAAAAGTCCAATCTCTCACACCACTCTTGTCTCTTGCTTTCCCCGCCCTTTATCCGCATAGAGAGGCTGAATTTGTTGAGCTGCGTGTCCGATCCATCAAGTACGACCATTACCTGCAATTTGCGATGAAGTGGTACGACGGTCGCTTTGCCCGGCACCACGCTTTCGATATGTAGCATTCAATAAGCTTATGCGCCACCAGATTAATTCACGGGGCGCTTTTTACATTCGGCGATCAGGGTAGGCCAGCAGGCCCATTGAGTTTGGTGAGTTGCGCGAGGCTTTTGCACAGGATAGGCCGAGGCTGAGTTGCTTCTTCGATCGATTGTTCGCTATTCTGGAAGTGTACGTGGCACACGGCAGGGCCTCGAGGCAATGGTGTGTGGTTTGGGACACCCAAGTTTCTTTTCTTATCTTTTCTGCGGCTGATCTGCATTGGGATTCCCTTCAGAAGCATATGCCCCGTTACGAAGAGTGGCGAGATACTCCTCATGAGGCCAGGCTTACCATTACAACAACCGACATGCCCCGTTTGAAGGTCAGACCGATCTTGAGACTACAGTAGTATCAATGGAGAAAAAGGTAGTATCATAGATAGGAGAGTTGGTATGGTACATACAGTTGAAGGTTCAGGTTCGTCTTAGCTTCCTATGGAATACCATAGGAATTGATCATCGACACTGCGTAGAAGTGCGAACCTGTCGTCGATGGTGGTTTGGGGAGTTTTCCTTCTCCATTATCGTGGGTGATTTAGGGAGTTTACTCTCCATTATCTAATGCCAGGAATGCATCACCAAACTTTCGTTTGGTACTCGTTGGCGTTGGCAGGTCGGGCGGGGTTGGCTAATCTACAGCCATTTTTGCTTCATCCTCGGCCTTCTTCCGCATCTTCTCTTCCCAATCCTATTTCTCGCAATATTAGTATATGATAGTTAGGAATAGGGTAAGTATCAGTACCAGGTGCTTCTTGCTATGGAAATGTTTGCGGAGAATGCCGAGAATCCTGGCTGAGTTGGGGACGGGTTGGCAGTCTATGCCTTTGACAATGCATTTTCCTGCATCGAATTCTTTGATTGGTATTGTCCAATCAATCTCAGAGTATTTAAGATGGGAGATGTGTTCTCCGTAAAAAGACTTTCGAGCCTCTTCTTCCTGCGCCTTGAGACACTCGGCCTCATCCTTCACAATAAATTCTAGATACCGATTGTTAGTCTGAGCACAAACCATTAAGCATGACTGAACCATGTCGCAGTTGTCGTCGCAAAGAGTCAAACTTGGACCAACACTGGTACATATAATACCATTAACTGTCGTAAGGGAGCAATTCCACATTACATACCGTAGACGGGCTCGGATTCCTCTTCCTTGGGAGGCGGTGGGGTTGGTGGAAGTGGTGGTGGTGGAGGCAGGTTGTTCATCCAGGACTTCTGTCCCAGCTTGACCCCCTCCAGGTTATAGTTGAGACGGCGGTGCGACATGACTTAATAATTCAGTTGAGAATAGACAGAAAAGAAATCTGGTAAACACTGGTTCTAAACAAGACAAGATCAAAAAACAAATCCAAATTCCTCCCATCTACCAATTTGTGGGTGTGGGCATGCCTCAGGTATCAACTTATATAAATGAAGGAGCAGCAGCGTGCCTTCCCACGACACACAGGTACCTAGGTAGCAGGCCTCTTCTACTACCTAACTTACCTAGGTAGGTGCTTACAGCCATGTATCCAACCCTGCACCATAGCCTTTCCATCTAACGAGATACTGGTGTTGTAGTGCTTCCGCTTCGCAATAATCGCTTCCAATTCGAAGGATTGCTAGATGTCGTGGTCACCTTCAACGAATACACGCGGCTGTTCGTTCCTTCGCGGCCGCCCAAACGGATCGTCTTCCTGCGGAGCTTCCTCAAGTGGAAGATCGAGACCACCGGATGTATTTTCCAGTGTGATGGTAAAGGTGGGTAGCCAAGAGATTCATAACCACTATGTCTGATAATATACAAGCGGTAACAATTTGAATAGAAAGAGATAAACCATCTGGTATCAAAAATGCTTGGGATCATATGCCGCCTTGTTACTCTGAATCCCCGACTCTCGCTCTTCATCAACATACTCGCTGGAGCCATACGCAACTCGGACGTCGTCCAGTTCCTCCCCAACTTCCATCCAGCGGTCGCTCGTCGCCGGGACTGGGAACAGCTTGCATAAAACGAAGTACACGGACGACGACACGATGAAACCACCAAAGAAGTTGAGATTGTAGATGTACTGCGCGCCAATCGGCACTTCTCGTCCCACGGCGCCGGCGAAACCCACGACATTTATAAGAATGCCGGAGATGTAAGCTGCGTATGCCCGCCAGTGGACACCAAATGTGTAGTAGTAAGGGCTGGATTTCCGTCCATCGTAGAGCTCCTTGATCTCTAGATAGCCCTTGCGAATGAAATAGTAGTCGCAGATCATGACGCCTGCAATCGAGCTGAGGAAGACACTGTAGGCCGAGAGATAGGTGGTAAACTGGTTGTTGTCGCTGAGGAGGTTCCATGGACACATGGCCAGGCCAATCGCGGCACAGATGTAACCACCGCGACGGATATTGAGGAAGCGCGGGAGGAGAGCCGTCATGTCTGTTCCAGCCGAGACGGAGTTGGCGGCGATATTGGTACCCAGCTGGGCGAGGGCGAAAGCGGTGGCGATGACGAAGATGCCGAACCGCTGGCCAGAGTTGCTGTCGTCGATGAATTTGTCAAGCAACTCGAGGGGGTCCCAGACAGTATCTCCGTAGATCACCTCGGATGAGGAGGAGACGATGATGCCGATGAATGATGTTATAGCAAAACCTGCGGGGATGGTGATGAGCTGGGACCACAGAGCATCTCTAGGCTTGCGAGCAAATCGAGTGAAGTCGGGATCGTTGATTATCAGCGTGGCGAAATTTGAGATGGAGGACATGATGCCCAGGACAATCTGCCAGCCCAGCTCACTACCGTGGACCTTGTGGCCCTGCTTGACGATCGGCCCTATACCACCAGCTTTTCCTACTGCCCAGCCCAGAAACGCAATACCGGCGACAGGGACAAAATAAGCCTTGACTGTAAAAAGATGCCGGATCTTATGTACCGGAAACCAGATAGCGGGGAGGGAGCAGAACCAGAAGAGGAAGAACGAGACAAAGTCGGCGGTGGTGGTGGCGGAATCGTGGGAGAAAGAATTGGGGATCTTGGTTCGATCCCACGAGAGCCAGATTGCGCGGATCATGATGTAGACGCATCGTCCTCCGATGTAGGCTTGCACACCATACCAGACACACGCTGAGGAAACAGTTAGCAACTATTTTCGTATCATTCTGGATGGAAAAGCAGGTCAGTTTGGGATTTGGACTACTTACCCATGGCTGCTCTGTTAAAGACCGGCCACAAGCTTCCCCAGATGCCAAACGATGACCGTGCGACAACAGGGAAGCCTATGTGATACGTAGCCCCGATCCGGCCAGTCAAGCAGATGAAACAGGCGGCAATTGTGTATCCGACCCAGACGCAGATCCAGGCCTGCCACCACGAAAGGCCATTGACAATCACTTGGTAAGACCTGATTAGTAAACCTGATGATAGGTACAAGTATCTATACTCACTAGAACTCGCGATCATCCATGTATTGATGTTGAAAGAGTCGGCGATCCAGAAGCCAACAAAGTTCCATGGACCCCATTGCCGCCGCTCCTTTTCCACAGGTTTCAGATCATAGTTGGTGAGCTATGAATGGATTAGGTTAATTAGCAGTCCGTTGAGACATGATGGGAGACAATTGGTTCATCTTGGCTGCATGAACATGCGCAACTGCGTGTTCACTGCAGCCTCGATAGCTCGTTCGTTTGACTTTTGGTGGCAGGAGTAGCCGACGAATCTTTGATCCAGACATACCATCAATTGAGTGCTGGTTAAGCCTGACTCTGCTTCGTCAACGGCCAGCTTGTCGGCCCATCGGGCTGCACGAGACTTGCTCGCCACGTGGATGGCCATTCTGATTGGTCTTAAAAAGCCGTTTGCTGAAGTCGATATGCTTTTGAGTTACAATCTCGTCCGAGCCCTCGAAACTGGTGTATGAGAGGAGAATTGGAGGCTACCCAGTGGCTGATAAGGGCTCGGTATAAGAGAGAGAATGCGCCCCCAGGATCAGCCGATGCAGGAGGGTCCGACTTTACTCGTCTGGAAATTTTTTCTCAGTCTCCTGCATGCAGGTTGCCGCATGTTCAATTTTTGAGGATCAATGCAGTCGATGATACAGTTGCTGCGGGACTTTTCCGGGGTGCTTATCTTGGTTTGGGGTTGTGAACCGTGTGTGTAATGGAGTGTAGTCAAAGGAACAGGAAAACGTAATGACAGGCACCGTGCGGGGAGAGAACGGCCGATCAACTAATCAAGTGGCCAGAATGACGTTGGCCATGGCAAGACCGTGGATAAGGTTGCACGAAGAGGGCAGGGATAGCTCATCATCATGATGCTGAGAACCCCATCATGTACACTCGATCCCTGTATATGCTCGCGCGCGTAGCAGTTGGCCAGGACGAAAGCAGATGGCAGACGGGAGTGAGTTCTCTGGTCGTGCCTGGATGGAAACAGAGTTCAGCCAAGCGAGTGGATAATATGAAATAATGGCTCAGCAAAATGATGTCATTCTTTCTGGACACTAGTCCAACCAGCAAAGTATGTAAATCAACCTTTATTTGGTCTTCAAGATGCCTTCAGTTACGATTATATGTTGGGGGAAACGGCATGTCCTTATCGTAGGATCCGGGGGTGACGAAGGTGTAGCGCCTATCAGCACATCCCTGTGGGTTCCTGGGCCGATGTGGTGGCCTCTCATTGGCTGCAGGGGGCTGTTATCTCAGGCTCAAGATTCTGTCTGCGGGGAACACCTACCCTACTGCATCACCAACCACAAGACAAAGCAGCACGCGATCCCACCAGAAAATGAACGTGGGGAGCGAATTGATGGCTAGGTAGAGGTATTTGATTGCATCTGGCGCTCAAAACATCTTGGGTGAGCGTTGGCATCCTGGTAGGGTTGACACTTAAGTAATTGGATTTGGCGAAGTGAGCAGGTTCTGGCGGAGGGTGCAATCTGGCGGGCTTGTGGATGACTGTGAGGTGTGAACACAGGGTTGAATTGACATTTTGCTAGATTGACAGTTAAGATGTCTTAAAATGAGAGAAACAGAGGCTGTGGATATCTTTTATGAAAGTTTGAAGCTTTATTAACATAGCCAAGTAGGTGGCATTGAAAATTGAGACACTCAAACATTAAGCTGCTAATTCTCAAATCTGCGACCGGTATCATATCCCAATAATACATACTTCAGAGATAATACCGTACATATTGTTACTTGATTTCATTTCATGCGACAGAATTTCTTTATTTATTACAGTGAGTAGTCGATTAACAACCACCCTTTCATTAAGTGTCTCATTTCTTCAATCACCTACTTGCAAGCTTACTTAGGAGTACGCTTTGGCTTCTCTGCTGCAGCACCATATCCGCCACCACCATGATTGAAGTTGTATGTACCTTATATATCTTGCGCGGGGGAATGATAGCGCTCATCCGAGGATACTTATTTATGAACAAATGTGATGGTTATCTGGCGATATAGATTGACATCTCATGCTAAGACTGCTTCGTGACAATGAGTTCTCAGCGACCGAGGCGGCAAAAGAGATCATTGATCAAACAAATGCTGCCGCAGTATCCATAGGAGATGGCGCAGTAAGGGCACATGCATACCGTACCGCCTACTGTATCTATTCTCTCGTTGGGACAGCGTGCTTCATGAGCAGTCCCCATTACGTGAGATACTTATTTTTTTGAGGCAACAAGCGGTACCTAATCTAAATCAATGAGGTATATTCATTTGGAGTCTGGCTCGGAGTAAGACTGGTTAGATAGCCCTCAAGTGATGGCCATAATGAGAAGCTTCAATAGTCAGTATGGTGAGTACAATACATCCGGTTTAGGCAAATCAATCTCATTGCTCATCTAGTGCTGTCTGGGCCATCCAAGACGGCAGAAGAAGATCGCATTTATGAGAACATTATAGCATTTCTCACTCAGATGTCATAGCATGACTTTCTCAAGACTGGAGATGGAATGTCATGGGTTTGGCAAAGTCTAACGTGCATTTTCCTGATGCACCACCAGTTTTGAGAAAGGTACAGATACGGAGTGCATATATGTGGAGGATATATGCTCCGAATAAAGTCCGGAAGAATGCCTTGCTTCCTTATGAACACTTTGAGCTTGGCTATTGGGAGAGTTGGAAGATCCTCTTACAAGATTCTCAAAAAGTATTCTTGACTGAGGACACCCAATAGCTAATACACGCAGTTCTCTCCGCGTGGAATTGACTGAGAAAGCACAGTCGCAGCTAATGTAGCACTTGGTAACAGTCATCATACTTGATGAAGATATCACCGAGATTGAGAAGAATGGAAACAGACCGTGGTAATTCATTTGGATTGCTCTCCATCTCTATCTATACGGATTATCTGGGGTGAAGGCAGGTTCCCAAAGACCTCTCTTCTCCATCGTCTTTCTTTGGAAACCCTTGAGAATGTAATAAACCGTCTGCAAGGTGGGCATAGGCACACCGCGAGAGGTTCCCTCCAAGAGCGGTTGATGAACAATGTTCTCAATCTCAATAAAGTTACCCTTGCTGACGTCTTGCATCATGCTTGGTCGGACTTCAACGTCAATTGGGTCGTTGAGAATCTTCTTCTGCACTATATCATGGGGGAGCTCGTACCCTGCGGCCTTTGCAGCAGCCACAATTTCAAGCATAATCGGTCGCACTAGTTCGTCGATCACATGCATACTCTTGCGCATTCGTATCGTATCCATCTGGAGAGCTGCGGAAACTGTGTTGTAGCTTGAGTTGTAGACAAGCTTTTGCCAACGAGTGAACTGGACGTCGTGCTCATATTCAATCCTCAGAATCCCGCATGCATTATAGAGCGATATGTATTCCTTTGCAGCCCTTTCGACGATTTCAGGTTTGACTGGGCTGATGAATGGCCCGATGAATTGGACGTCATTATCGTCGTGAAGAATCGTCCCATGGGATGTCTCTGCCACATTGATAAGAGAGATACTGCTGATGATGGGGCTTGTAGAAAAGCGACTAATAATAGGTCTCTCAATGTTCAATCCGTTTTGAGAGAGCACAATGGCTGTTTTCCCTGGTGTTACTGCTGGAGCAATCAGATCCTCCACGGAAGGGGGGACTTCCGGGATATTCTTGGTGGTCACCACGATGTAGTCGAATGCAGGAAGCTCTTCCTCAGCCACGTTTGGGATGGTTCGCCTGACTGGGGTTGTATCAATATCAACATCCAACGTCGCGGCAAAATGAGTGGAACTACTTACTATGTGTTGGTCGCCAACCCTTGATGTCATGGCCATGTTCGAGGGAATCGATGTCGAATCCTTTCTGCACCACAGCCTCAAAGTTGGATCGAAGCACAGCCGTCACCTCTGCCCTGCCACCAATTTCCAGGGCATAGGCTGCCATAGTTCCGACACCTCCTGAGCCGATTATGAGCACGTTGGCCTTGGATTGTGCCATGATGTATGTTTTTTTCACAAGTTTGAAGTTCTATGTAGTTTTGGGGGATAATTGGTAAAATGGAGGAATGGGCGAGGTCCATAAGGATATAAAGATTCAGCGCCTGACAAGAACACGCCGGCCCGGTCCTGAATCGGAGACCAAGGTGCTCCGGGTTGCTATCTAAGCTAGAGGAATCGTACGGGCCTGATTACGTAGCTAATTGGGGCAAGACAACTTAGCCCCAGGTGGCCATGATGACAAGCCTCAGCGGACCCAGCGGTTTGAAAATGAGCTCTCAAAATAGCAAACATCAATGCACAATGGTGTAACTGCCGTTGGCGGTTGACAGGCGGGGAAGCAGCTCCCCTGCCGTGTTGATCTGACACCCGCCGCAAGCATGTACGGGGATGGTCTCAGGGGTGAGAGGTGCTACTGTGGCTTTGCTCTAGTATCGTAGTACGCACTACGTATTTAAGCGGGCGCTGCAGACCATGGGTAGTGTGCTTTAAGAAATGAGAGGTGATATTTGGCACTGCAGATGTACGAGCGCCAGCCACCCGAGACTAGCCATTCAATGGAACCCATGTTCACGCAGGGTCAATTTGAGGCAGTGTTGCTCATCTTTGATGATGCCTGTATGTACTTAACGCGGTCTCAGAAGCAATTGCCCCCTCACCGCTTTCCTAGGTGGTCTTTTTCAGACGCGCTGGGGCGGAAAGCCCACTTTTTGTGGCTCATCCCCTCAGCGAGCTGCCACCTTGATCCCCCCCGCCAGTTTGACGAGACCACCAGCAATCAAAACAAGACCAAAAAAAAGGTCCAGACTACTCCGACCTTTCCCTCTTCCTCCTCCAATCCGCTGTCAGCCACCGAACCGCCGTCGCGTCTTTTTCTCGAGGATATAGCTTGATTGTGGTCGACAAGATGGAGGACCAGCTCATCCAGCTGCTGTCCAACACACACAGCTCTGAACAGGTGCCCCGCCAGCAGGCCGAAATCGAGCTCAAGCGCGCCGCCTCCAATCCTGCCTTCCCCCAGTCTCTGGCTAATATTGCTGCACACACCTCTGTCGATACGTCTGTGAGGCAGTCTGCTCTGAGCACCTTGCGTCTGTTTATTGAGAGGAATTGGGCTGTTGAGGAACTGGGTGACGGGCCTCAGATCCCCATTGCCGACAATGCCAGAGCTGCGCTCAAGCAGAGTCTGCTGGACCTTGTTTTGAGCGGGGAGGAGGACCGCAAGGTGAAGATAGCCACTAGGTACGTGGAGCTGATAAATTCTCGCTAATTTCTCGCGAGGAATGCTGACCCTTGGTTAATATAGTTATGTTGTTGGAAAAATCGCTGTCCACGACTTCCCCGAACAATGGCCCAATCTCCTCCCCACCGTGCTGGGCGTAATCTCCACCGGCACCGACGGACAGCTACACGGAGCTCTCAAGGTTCTGGGTGATCTTGTTGAGGAAAGTTTGAGTCAGGAGCAGTTCTTTACGATGGCTAGGGACATTGCCAAGACACTCACTGAAGTCGCACTGAACGAAAACCGAAAACCGCTTCTCCGTTCGCTCGCTATTTCCGTCTTCCGGGGCTGCTTCAACATTCTGGAAATGATAAAGGGGGATCACGGGGACCAGGTCAAGCCGTTCGCGGAGGAGTTGCTCCAGCAGTGGAACCCCTTCTTCTTGACTGTGCTCAAGAGCCGATTGCCCGAGGCTGATCTGAGCACTGGCCAGCCTTCCAGCTGGAACAGTGTAATTTCACTCAAGGTCCAGGTGGTCAAGACTCTTTCCGACATTCGAAAAGGATTCCCCGCCCTTCTTCTTCCACACAGTACAGCTCTGTTCACTGCAGTTTGGGAGGAACTCAGTCTTTTCCAAGCGCCTTATACTACACTTTACATAGAGAGTGACGCGCAGGGACGCTTGGAAGACTCTGATGGCTTGCCCTATACTTTGGACTTTCTCATTCTTGAGGAGATTGACTTCCTCAGCCGCTGTTTCCGTGCAGCCCCTGTCCGTGCCGAGCTGGACGGACAACTCAACGCTCACGCATCGGCTGAGCAGGTTCCTTGGATGATGGAGATTATGAGAATGCTCGTCAGCTACTCCTCTGTGACCAGGGAAGAGGAGGAGCTTTGGGATATCGATTGCTCCTTGTTCCTGGCCGAGGAAACCTCTGTTACTGCCAACTACACCGCCCGTGTCGCAGCTAGTGACTTGCTGATCAAGATGGGCGAATGGTTTGGTCAAAAGACAATCGACGGCCTCTTTGGCTACACAAAGACACTTTTCCCTGGAGATGGCTCAAACTGGCGCAGCCAAGAAGCTGCCCTCTACCTGTTTGTGATGCTTGCTAGCGACTGCCACGACACTGGAGTCCCTATCCCCGACCCCGTCTCGGCCGCATACCTTGAGTTGATCGACTTTGCAATCAGCCGCCCCAAGGAGGCTCTGTTACGTGCTCGGGGGTTCCTTGTTGCAGGAATGCTTTGCCGTGCATATGAGGCACCATCCACTCTTCTCAACCGCATCATCGAGTCTATCACTGGCGAAGAGGCCGAGGTTGTCCAGGTTTCTTGCATCAAGGCTATTGAGGGGCTTATGAATGCCAACAAGATTACTGTTGATCGACAGGTCTCCATCATCTCCGCCATCCACAATTACATGAATGGAAAGGACCCTTCTGAGATGGAGGACGCTGACGAGCTGTTGGTCACCCTCAGCGAGGCACTGCGCGCTGCTATCCGCCTGAACTGTCAAATTGCCCTGTCAAACGACATCCCCTCTATTGATCTTTTATTTGTTCTTGCCAAGATTGGAGCTTCCAACCTCCAGGTCACAATAATGTTGTCTGAAGCCATTGAGGAAATTGTCCGCAGCCTTTCTGACAAGGATTCGTTTGGGGCACTTTGCCAGAAAATCATACCCACTCTGACGGGTGCCTTTGATGTGGCCAATTTGACAGAGGATGATCCTCTCGTTACGGTTCGTCTTCCATTACCTTGTTGTGAATATTTTCGAGGCGGGCTAATTCGTCTTAGGTTGCCGTTGAGCTCCTCTCAGTGCTCGTGAGGTACGGATCGTCGCCTTTGCCTGCTGGCTTTGTGGCGGCGACGTTCCCCAAGCTCACCCGACTCTTAATGGAGTCTACCGAGGGTGATGTCTTGCGACCTGGCGCGGAGGCTGTCAAATGGATTCTTGTTCACGACCACCACCAGCTGTTCGAGTGGCAAGATGCCAACGGACGATCTGGCCTGGAAGTGTGTCTCCATATCATTGACCGACTCCTTGGCCCGTCAATGAGCGATAATGATGCAGCCGAAGTTGGTGGACTCGCAGCAGAGTTAGTGGAAAAGGCTGGACAGGAACGACTCGGGCCATTCCTACCTCAGCTGTTGCAAGCCGTGGTCAACAGACTCGCGTCGGCACAACAGGTTACTCTCATTCAGTCGCTCTGTCTAGTCTTTGTTGGGCTATCTATCCACGGGGCTTCTGATGTCCTCGAATTTCTTAGCCAAACCCAAACCAACGGCAAGAGTGGCTTGCAAGTCGTTATGGAGTTGTGGCTTGAGAATACCACTGCCTTTGCTGGCTATGACGAGATACGACAGAAGTAAGATCATCACGCTCGGATAACAATCAGCTTGCTAACCGTATTTAGTGTCATCGCTCTCTCCAAGATCTACAGCCTGAATGATCCTCGCTTAGCTCAGATATCTGTCAAGGGCGAGCTCATTATGAATGACGATGGGCGAATCAAGACGCGTTCACGTGCAAGACAGAGTATGTATCAAGCCCGAGATCCTCTTTTTGATCCAGCTGGCCGAAGTATGCTTCATTAATGCGAATGTATCTGTCATGACCAGCACGGCTGACCTTGCGCGTTCCCTACAGATCCAGACCAGTACACAATCATCCCAGCACCACTTAAAATCATCAAGCTGCTTATCGACGAGCTCTTCTCTGCATCTGGTGCTCGAGCTGCAGCAGATGCCGCCTCTGCTGCTATTGCAAATGCTGACTACCCCGAGGACGACGATGACGAAGGATGGGAGAACGAGGACGAAACCCTCGACCTTGGTCTTATGTCGGTCAAGGGCGATCTCATGTCCTTTATCGAAGGCTCAGGACAGCGCGAACCCGACGACGAGACCCAAGGTTTCCTGATTGACTTTTTCGTCCGCTGTGGCCGCGAAAACATCAGCAACTTCCAGAACTGGTACGGCATGCTGACGCAGGATGAGCAAGCAAAGCTTAACCAACTTGCGAGCTCGGCTGGACAATAGAGAGATCCAACTGTTCCGCGAACAATGCCCTGGGATTGACCTCTTCATTCGACTTAGAGAGGACTACACGGTAATATCTATTCAAAACTACGAATGGGAATATGGCAGAAATGAGGCCCAACAACTTGTTTGCAAGGAACCCTAAGTAGCCCCGCTGCGATACAATATGTATTGCTCTCACTTCAACCCCCTCCCCTCGCTCTTCCACAACGAGGGACCACTTCGACTTTTGCCAGATTGGCGTTATAATAGCATCCAGCTTATCCTTCTAGATAGATATATGTGAGAACCGAGCCTCCTATGGACGAGGTTCGGCGCAAGTGCGACATGAATAAAGATAAAACAAGTTTCAATAAAAGACTGCTCCTTAATCACACGATAATTCTTTGATGCATGTATTTCTGTGATACTCTCGTATGGGCCCATGTAGCAAATCAATTATGAAGCCCCTTCTCTGTCAACCGTAGCTAATCGGCTTCTCTTGTATGTAAAATGGATTTGGTTAGTTGCTTTCAAGGTAGGTATTTATTTCTACAGAAAGTCTACGGTGAGATGTATTTCACTGACGGGTGCTCGAGAGCAATGTGGTAATATTGCAGCCTCCCAGGATCCCAGCCCCCACGTTTCATCATGATGGATTAAAGTACACTTTGGAAAAGAAGAAAATGCAGCCTGGTGATACATGAAAGTAAACCATATCTCATTGAGTCGTAACGTAGGTATTAAGTGATTAAAATAATTAGATGATTCCACCGCCCCCGGGCCCGCCGAACCCGCCAAACGGATTGTGCCCGCCTCCGCCGGAGCCAGGAAACCTGGGGTGGTTGGGGCTGACAGGGTCCCATCTTGCGCCAGGCGGTACCTGCGGATCGTAGGAGCCTTGGTCTGGATCTCCGCGAAGGCCTCCTCTGGATCCGCCAAAGAGGGGGTCGTCGAATGTGGGATGCATGCCGGAGCTGCCGCCGGGTCGTGGAAGGCCACCGCCCCCGACGAAGGAGCCTCTGAGGGGATCGTGGGGGCCGAGGCCTGGCGGGTTAAGGTCGTCGCGGCCGATGTTGAAGGGGGAGACGCCGCCGGGCATGACTAGGCCGCGGCCCGGGCGGTTGATCTCATGCTCGTCTTCGAAGCCCGGAGGGGGGAAGTCGCCGACGGGGGCTGGAGGTCTGGGGCGAGCGGCTTCGGGGAGGAGACCCGGGCGCGGGTACGGGACGCTGGGCTGGGAGGGATCGGAGAATGGGTCCACGTTCGGCGGTCGCCGTTCTTCTCGTAGTCGCTCGTTTGCCTCGGCGCGGTCGGTGCTGCGGTCGTTCTCGTCAAGGCTGGGGTACAGCTTCTGGATGATTTCGGTCATGACGGCGTCAAGTACGGCTGTGGCGGAGTTAGTCAAGCTCTGGTAAGGTAAGGCCGGTAGAGCGCGCGACGTACATTTGATTGCGTCTTCCGACGCGAAGACCTTCTTCAGCTGCTCAGGGAGGTCGCTTCGATCTTCGCCATTGTCTGTCATTGTGATTTTCACAGGGAGGCCTTTTGAGTTGACGATGTCTCTGATGGGGCGCTCGAAGCCATGGATCTTATCGTGCCCGATGGCGAACCCGCGGACGCTCACTTTTGTGCCCATGCGGTCGATGCGTAGAAGTAGGTCCATGGACGACATTTTGTGCTTGTAGGCGAAGCTGAGCGATCCGAATCCGTTGTTCCATTGCGGCGGGAGGCGCGGGGCAAGAGACTCTGCTTCGGCTGGAGGGGGATGTCAGAAATGAGCGCTCATCTGGGGGTATACGCAGAAGGGTTGGGAATGGCATACGTAGAGGCTTTTCTTCGTCGAATCCGAAGAGCCGGAAGCCTAGGGAGGCGAGATGGGCGTGGACTAGGAGAGCGACGGCCTCGTAGGAGCTGGCTAGGTCGGAGCTATCGTCGTCTTTCTGATGGGTGGGCAGGGCGTCTGCCATGCCCTGCACGATGGCGGCATTGCTCGTCATCTTGGGGACTGATGGGTTCCGTAGCTGCGCAGCAGATTTGTGAGGTTGTGGAGATGAAATGATGGGAAGGAAGAGATCGTGGCAAGAAATTGGCTGGGAGCTCTCGGTATTCGTATCATAGATTACCTAGTGGGGGTGGCGTCATTGCATTTGCCTGGGAGCTCAACTCCGCAGCCTAAATTGGGGCTGTGGTCAACTCCCAATTGCGACCTTGGTGGCCGTTTAGCTCCCTTGGGCCTTGCAGTATGTTGGATTTACTGTTACTGCACAATTACACAGTACTCCCCTTTAAATCAACAGCGGATAGAAAACGAGATTACCTTACCTAGGTATTCTTCTGTGTTCGAGTCGTTCTGCATATATGTGTCGGCAGTACGTGGGGTGGTGGAACGCGGGGTATTAATTAGTGCTAGGCTTAGGCGGGTGAGGGCCCTGTCCACTGTCAACCAGCGACATTGAAATTGAGACGCTCACATATTACGTTGTTTATTGCGGAGTCTGCGACCAGTATTGTTAGATCATTGAGGGATGATAAATACCAAAGAGGCGATAAACCACCCTATTAATTCACTCATCACCCTACTTAAGGCTGTCTGCTCATAACCCTCTAATCTGATGTTTCATTTCTTCCGTCCCCAGCTACTTTCTGGGCGGATAATGTACGTTCGGGCTCCCTCATGGCTCTGGGAAGCCCCTTAGTCTCAGTGGTTGCCCTGCTCAGCCTCAGGCCACACGGCGGACCACCCGTGGAAGGCAGAATTTATGCAGCTCAATCTTGCAAAGACGATTTGGCAGCTCCAGGCTGACACTGAGCTCCCCTCTCTAGCCGTCCCGTCTGGATCAGGCTCACGCACACCGCCGTATATTACATGTTTGAATTCCCGTTTTCAATACTATGCGACCATGGATTTCTAATTCCAATCCTGGGCCTCTCGGCTTTCCTGCCATGACCGCTACTTCCGTCACGCATCAAAGTCTGGCGACCTCTCTGTCATACATCCAGAAACACCATGAGACTACTCAATGCTCATTCGCTCAAGCTGGAGCTCTTCCACGATTCAGATGTCCAGAATATTCAGTACGCCACGCTGTCACATACGTGGGGGGAAGACGAGGTTAGCTTTGACAACATGGAAGATCCTGCGGCTGCGGAAAAGAAGTTGGGATTCGCCAAGATACGTTCAGCCTGCGAAACGACTGTCTCCTATGGCCTGGACTACGTCTGGGTGGACACATGCTGTATAGACAAATCATCGAGTGCAGAGCTCTCCGAGGCTATCAACTCCATGTTTCGCTGGTATAAGGACTCTGCTTTCTGCTTCGCATATCTTTCTGATTTACCACCAAGCCAGACTGTTGACCAGTCTGCTCTTGAGGAGTGCAGATGGTTCACTAGAGGGTGGACTTTGCAGGAGCTCATCGCTCCCAAGGACTTGGTCTTTTTTGACCAAACCTGGAATCGCATCGGAACTAAAACTGGCCTCAAATTCGAAGTTGAGAATATCACCGACATTAACCACCAGATACTGGATGGATCCCGCCCTCTTTCATCCGTCGCGATTGCGAAACGGATGTCTTGGGCCTCCCATCGGAAGACCACCCGTGTTGAAGACGAGGCCTATTCTCTCCTGGGAATTTTCGATATTAACATGCCGATGATATATGGCGAGGGGCCCAGAGCCTTCACTCGGCTGCAAGAAGAAATTCTGCGCACGACGACTGATTTGTCCATATTCGCGTGGCGTGCCTTCGACAATTTAAATAGTTACCGAGGTATATTTGCAGAATCTCCCATCGAGTTTATGCTCTGCGACACCATCGAGCTCAGCCAAGATCAATTTCAATTCCGTGACGAAATTAGTCTTACAAATAGAGGCATCAAGATCCACACAGCAGTAACTCGTATAGGCCCTAACATATTCATGCTGGATCTACATTGTTACGATTTGATGTCAGAAACATCCTCGGAAAATTTGAGTATTTATTTGGCGAGAGACTTGGGTACATTTTATAGACTGTTCCCTTGGCTTCTTTTCACAGGGCTACCGGTTGCGGCTGACGCCCCTGAGACGATATATCTTGCCCGGACCATGACTGACAAGATCTTGAAATCTCTCTCAGAATCTAGGGAGTTACGGATCAATTTTAGTCTGGATGATGCCTTGGCGGGGCATTGCACCGTCGAGAACATACTGGCTGTTCCGGAATTATATTGGGACCAGCGTCGACAATGTTTTTCTCTTCCAGGATTGTCTAATCTCCTAGGCTTTGTACGTTTCTGTATCGCTCCCGACGACACAGCACCAACGTCTGTGCTCCTGGTTTTCAATCTGGCTTCTCATCTTGAGTTACGTCTGGCTTTGTGCGAAGAAAATCAGTTCCAAAGTGGTTGTGGGGATAGGCATTGGCAAAAAGCTATCAACCCCTTTACTAACATTGAGGACTACGGCATTCTCGGGGATCGCTTTAGTCTTAACGCTATATGTCCCGGAGAGAGGGAAGTTGGGAGCAGATCGGCAACGATTTCGTTACGCGACTTCCGTCTTCGGGCTGATCTAGACGAGTCGAATGCCCCGCACTTGAAAATCAATGTTCATATTGAGGTGCTTGGGACTCCTTGTGTTGACGCAACTGGTTGACTCACCCCTCATGACGTGTTCTTCTGAGGACTGGTCTAAAAGGAAGCTAAGCTAACTGGGCTTAAATAGCTGGCGTTATGGTGAAACTCGACCGGCTGAAGCCTGGCTTCCTACTTTGCCTTTGAACTTACAAGTTCTCCATGGCTCGTTTTATATTTGACTTCGTCTGTACCTAGGAAAGGACTTTGCATTCATAATATGTCTGTTATTTTCAAGAGGATAGTTTGTGAGATAAAGATCAATTTATTTCATGTTGTAAAAGGTGGCATGAGTCTATGGTTTAGACTGGCTTGCTAGTTGGTATAACCTCTCCCCTGTTGTTGTTTAGTATGGCTGGGGAGCTTGCTATTGTTGAATGAGTGCTATGCCATTATCAAGGATACGGCTATGCGATACAAGGCTTTAAAGGTCAATCCTGGAAAGACTGAACGTATTTTATGGCTAGTCTAGTCGGCTTGCCACTGAAAGCACGGCTTGGAGGCTTAGAGCCTCATGCAAATACATCTGAAGGGTCATCCTCGTGAAACTTCATAAAAAAAAATGTACTGTGAATATCTAACTTCGTATTCTGGAGCACTCCAGGGGTCGATACGAAAAAAACAATAGATAACCCTGACCTCATCTGTCGAAATCACTCCATCCTCCTATCTTAGCACTGCTCTCGATGTGTTGCTCTGCTCTTCTAGTAAGCTTCATCCTGACATAACGATACTCAACTTTGCGTGACTTCCTCTCCAGATCTCGTACACTCTCGCCAAAAGGGCATTAGTATAAGTTGAAAACCGTCTCGTCCACCTTGTCGCGGCGCAGCAGCTCCCCGCCCATGACGCCGTGGACGTACGCCGTCCCGATGACGACGTAGCCGCCCCCCTCGGCGCCCCTCGGCCTTAGCACGACACACCGCTTAGACCCGTACAGCACGACGACGATGTCACCCTTCTGCGCGCCGTAGGGACCCAGGCCCATGAACTTCCTCGACGTGGTGGTGAAGAAGGTCCGGTTGTGGATGCAGTTGCTCATGTGGCGCATGAACCGCACCCTGGCGTCGATGGACGGGCCCCGCGAGCCCGAGGAGTTGCTGTAGTCGAGCATGTTGAGCTCCTTCTTGTTGAACCACGACTTGATCTTGTGGAACCAGACGTCCTTCTTGCTCGGGGACTGGCCTCGCTTACTGAAGGCGAGCAGGCTTCCCACGCGGAACGAGTCGGGCGCGAGGCCCGGGGGCCAGCGGTCGTCGACATTGAGGGTTAGGGTCCGCCAGAAGGTCTCGTACTCTGGCGTGCCGTCGTTGATGCGGGCCGCGAACTCCTGGAGCGGCGTGAAGATTGTGTCGATGAACCTCTGGCCGGCGTCGTTGCCAGCGCTTATCTTTGTAGTAGACTGCGACGCCGACTCGTCAGATTTGGACGGGCCGATGATGGACTCGAGCTCGCCGATGACTATGCCCCGGGCGCGCATCATGGGCGGGGTCTCGCCGTTGTTCTGGTACGGCTGGAAGATCTCGACGTCGGCGCCCTTGCCGTACCCGGCCCGGAAGCGGGTGTCGACCCCCATCCTCTCCCACTCGCTGTAGGCCTGGTGCTCGGCGCGGATCTCCGGCGTCCAGCCCGGCAGCCCGGAGGCGCACGGGTCCAGGCGATTTGAGAATATCACATCCAGCGTGCCTTCTCTCTCTACCCAGTTCTGGACGTGGTTTATCAGCGTGGCACTGGTGGACCTCCTATAGTCCGGCCTCAGAGCCTGTGCTGAGGGTATGAGACCGAGGAGGGCATATAACTTGTCACGGGGGTCAGTGGCCTTGAGCCTACTTGTGAGATAGAGCAGTTTCAAGATATCCAGCTCCTCACGATGCAGCCGCGTCAACAGCTCGGTCATGACGAGCCCGGGCGGCTCGGTGCTGCCCTGCTCTGTGAAGGACTTGAAGGGCTCGAGGTAGGCACCCGAATCCGCCTCCTGCTTGAGCCCTCTTACTAGGATAGCACGGACCTGCTCGAGGACGATCTGCAGGTTGTGGAAGGACGTCATGTGGGTGCCGCACTGGACGATGCAGGGCTTGTTCCGGCCCTTCCAGTGGCCGGCCGTGGCGAGCTCCTGCAGCACCCACATGCGCGACCAGTAGGGCCGGTGCAGGTGGCGCCAGAGAGATGACCAGTTCTGCCTCTCGAGCGGGTAGCCGAGGCGGGCAAAGACCTCGGACTGGCGCTCGCGGGTGCCGGTGGCGCGCGACTGCCAGTTGTCGTCCTTGGACCACATGTTCTTGAGGAAGCCGGCGAAGGAGTCGATGAGGCTCATGGCGGCGGCGCTCTCGGCGTCGGCCTCGCCCAGCCAGGCGACGACGACCTTGGACTGCTGGTAGATGTCGTACATGATGCGGACCTGGGCCTCCTTCTCGTCCGGGTCGGCCTGGTTGATGCACAGGGCGTCCACCCACAGGTAGCGCACCGACTTCTCCTTGCGCAGCTGGCGCAGGGCGGCCTCGAGGTTCGCAGTCACATGGACGCGGGCGCCGTCGACGCTGATCGGGCGCCTGGCCGGGCCGTCCCCCCACACATAGGAAAGGGCCTCGTAGGGACGGTAGTAGTCAAAGCGCGCGGTGGACAGGCGGCACTGGATCTCGGACTGGACGGCACCGGGCTGGAGCTCCAGGATGCGGATCTCATTGGGGAGGAGGGGTTTGTAGATGGCGGCGCTCACTGCTGAGGGGGTGAGCTCATTGATGAGCTCATTTTGCGGCGGGGTAGTAAAGCCCTTGGTGGTGATGTGGTGGTCGGGCTGGCGAGGCTGCGCGGCCATGGTGGGAGAGAGCAGGCGAAGGCGGCTGGGGACAAGACCATTACCCTAGATGCTGGCTTGGAATGGCCTGGATTCCGACATCTCATTTTCGACGGCTTGGAGAAGCGACGTATGTGGTTTTCTGCGATCTGCACCCGTCAGCTAGCGCTGGACCCCTGCTGCCTTCTATATTGGGAGCATCCCCATCTGCTGACGCCAAGTGGTGGCTATGGGCAGGTAATGGGAGCAGTGTCGTCATTATGCGCCGCCCACTCGCAGACGATGGGGATGGATACGTACATACAGTACCTAGTCAAGAGAGCATCTTAGTGTTGGAGACTCTGCCCCGCACTCTCCGTGATGGCTGCATCTGATGTGCATCGATGGCTGCAGGTTCTTGGGCGAATGGTGATGCTCCAGCTTCCCCCAACGGGATTCTAGAACGCCACCAGGTTGCACAACGGTCCCTGATCGGCCCGCCTCGATCCAGCCGTTTGCTTGGACCCTCCCGCCGTAGCTAAAATGCACCTGCGTGTGCTGCTCTCATGCAGGTGGAACGTGCACGACCTAGACCCTAAGATCGTCCTCGATCATCTGCATCCAGCAATAAATGGATCGTTTTTAGCTTCTATCTCAACTGAGGGTTCATCGCCGATACGACAGGACCGGGGAAGAAGAAAGAACTAGGTGAGCAATGGAATGTGAGATATCTCAGCCTCGAGGAGATTGTGTCTACATGGTATGGGTTGTACAGATTTAGAATACTTAGTATCCGAGGCTCTCCGTATGGCTGATACTGTACAGATGAAAAATTCTATCACGGTGAATGGGTTAATTGGCGTTCAGGGAATAAGGTTTGCAAGACGCACTCATGAGGATAAAAAAGGAATGTCGCGGCTTGCACCGGCCGATTCTCAAATCGAGGATGATTTGTGTCAAAATTAGGATGGTAATAAAAACTTTTGGAATTCTCATCCTCGTCTTAACAATTGGAATAGGAACAAGACGGGTTCTTGATTCTAAAAAGAGAAACTGATGAATTTCTGAAGGAATTTAGGTCAGAGAGGGCTGGACTTGACATGGACGCAAGTAGTAAGCCCATTCGCCGACCCTGGAGTATGTGAATGATTTGAAGCAGGTCAGATCATGGAGAAATCTCCTAAAATCGACGAGTAAGTTATGAATTTTGATTATACTGACATAATTGAATGATGGCAGCTCTCACAATATCTGGGATGACGACTGACAACTGAAGATGAGCTTGCCATGTCCATAACCTTATGGTGATGGGGGAACGAGCCAAATAGGGCTTACTTGATCCGGTATGTACGACTTTTTGGAAAGCTTTTATTATACTGGATGCCTCTAGATCTCGTCATAAGCAACGGGTGGTCCGTAGATCTCTAGGATCCTGACCCCTGAGCTGTCCCTAGCACCTGCCAATCTTGCATTGCATGAATCATGGATCTAGATGACTAGTGTCGGCATTATTTAAACGAGCGATGGGTATCCCGTGATGGAACTTCTAGCACGGCTGTCGTCGAGTTTCAGGTGCCGTTGGACCGTTGGATGATCAACGCAAACTGATCCATCGGCAGCCTCTGAATGGGTGTTGATTTTTTTCACTGCAAACTCCTCTTCACTGCAAACTCCTCTTCAATCTAATTCCGATATCAAGAGAAGTGGCTACTGGTATATCCTAATAATTTCGATATTATCGTTGTTGTGCGTCGTCGTTATTTGGTCATGCCTTCCAGCTATTAGGACGGCGAATTTGAAAATTCGAAACCTCAATTTCCATGTTGCCCATTTGCCACTAAGATTTGCCACCAAGGACGCTATCGGGAAGTTTTGATCTTACCGTATCTAAACTGGTGCAGTAAAGCTAAGAACAATATAAATACATCGACTTCCTTCGCATGGCCTTGCTGCAACACGGACCCACCCGACGATGAACACTCCCTCTTTTCCAGCTAGATAGGCAGCTTTAGAAACTTAAACTGGCCGTTTGTGTTTATTTGGCCTGAATATTAGTGTGTTCTTGCCGTCGTGTACAAAGATAAGATGCAAGTGGCACAATACTAACAGATATATACCTAAATATACCTGGCTGAATCAAGTTAGATATGGCAAGAATACGCAGAAAATGTCGTAGGAGCAAACCTGCACGACGCTAGCTAGGACACGAAACTTGACTAAAAGAATCCTAGTTTATCTATGTTTATCTGATTCATTACCTTCTTCGTAGTCTGGTGGGAGGATCGTAATCTGCCACTCGTGCATTGACGCCCCACCACCGTTCTGTTGTGACAGCTCTGGGCTAAGGGTATTTCATTGGCCATGATTGCTTGGAATGCGAATTTCCCTTTACTGCTGAGCTGCCACGTCTCGCTAAGTGCGGATTGCGATCTTTACCTCCCTCTTCTTGCGTGGATGTTACTTCCCACCCATGTAAAACCAGGAACCACTTTGTGATCCTCCCACCACTCTTAATGTTGTAGGCGCTTGTGTATGCCAGCATAGGAGCCAATGAAACGACGTAGCGAAATCTCAACCAGAATTGTTGTTCATTTGGCTTCTGACAGCCTCGTTGGGTATCGTTGATTCTTGTGCAAGGGCAAAATATATGTATAAAAAGAGGATGTTCTCACACACACTAACGCCCGGGAAAGAGAATGAATTCTAGGAAGTCTATAGTAGTTCAAAAACTGGCTTTATCGAATGGATCGCAAGACTCTATTAGCTACAAGAGCCGGAGGAGTGGTTCCCCTGTTCTGCTAAGTTGCGTTATAGCTAGGATTGTAACTAGAGCGTCTAGACTAGCCCCGTTCAAACCGAGGCCCGGGAGCTTTGTACGTCCCGGCGGTCCCTACTATATCGTTATTGGCGGAATAGCGAGTGATGGAATATGTAACCCAGAGGGATTCAAACAAGCGGTGATCAAACCGAGGGCCGGAGATGCCTACTCTTATTACAATTGGAGGAATCGCGACGATGAAAAAGAGGAAACTCAAAAGCACTAATGCCATACATTACTATGTATATCACAAGTTACCAAACCAGAATATGTGGTATTGAATGAAATAAATAGCTGTAGTATGTCCCACCCGCGATTTGATCACTGTAGTTCTTTAGTCTCTATTGTCCCTATCTATTCTTGACCAAATAGCCATGTCAGTAGAGACATCATTGGCTCGACATGAGCCAAAATCTCAGGCCTCATCGCTTATCTCAGGCCAAGTAAGTGACTTGAACTAACTACCTTGCTGAATACATGCAGCATCACCAAAACTAAACTGTATTAACTTGAAGAAGACGAAGTCTAGAGGTCTTGGCTTCCATCTGTGGACACTCTTCCTCTTCACCAAGAGCGACTTCAAAACCATGACGATACCCCAAAGCATCTTCGCCATTGCTGCCGTATACGCACCTCCAGCGGTCAAATGCGTCAGGTCCTTCGACTCTAGCACTCCCCCCGACCTGGGATACTTGCTCACCCATATCCCGCGTATGCTATTCTGGCTCTGGCTCAACTGCGCCCTCCATGATATCGCCAACCAGAGCCTGCCAGACTCGGTCGTGGAGGACGCAGTCAACAAGCCGTGGCGACCCATTCCCTCGGGACGAATCTCCAGATCACAGGCACGATCGTGGCTCCTCGCCATCATCCCGCTCTCGCTCGCGGTGTCACTCATGTTCGGAGCCCTGGTGCCGGTGACGATGCTCGTGGTGTTTGTCTGGATGTACAACGACCTCGAGGGGAGCAGCGCCAGCATCTGGATGCGCAACGCCCTCAACGGCACCGGACTCATGAGCTTCGGATGCGGTGCGCTCACGGTGCTGGCTGGAGGCGAGGGTAGTCTGCTCCCCAAGGCCTACAACTGGCTCTTCCTGACTGGGCTCATCGTGTCAACTACAGTTCAGAGCCAGGATCTCCCAGACCTGGAAGGAGATAGAGCGAGAGGGCGCCAGACGATCCCAATTGTATATGGGGAGAGTGTTGCCAGGTGGAGCGTGGCGAGCATGGTCCTCCTTTGGTCGATTCTGGGGCCCTGGTTCTGGGCTACTGAAACCACATCCATATATTTTTGGGCTCCTTCGATTGTGCTCGGTGTAGCGCTTGCAAGTTTGGCGTTGGTGAGATGGGGTCAGAAGTGGGATGAGGTGGTGTTGCAGCTGTGGTGTTTGTGGCTGCTTATCATCTACCTTTCACCTGCTCTCGCGTCCTGGGTGTGATTTTATTGAAATAGTCGGCATATATTTCGGATAGAGAGAGATAGAAAGATACGATAGAAGCAAATCCTGAATGTCGAGGCTCTTAATTATGCTAAATAGAGAATGTGCTCCGTTACGCCTTCAACTAAACACAATTCCATTCCCCGCCTTCTGAAGCTGCGTGTAATCGAGTATCATCTAAAATTGGGCCTATGATCTCTAGTCTACCCAGATACCTTAGTTAAGGACGGGGAAGATCGCATCGCCTTTTTGGTGGGAGAATGCAACATTAATGGGCCAAGGGAGCTCTATAAATCAACCACAGATTAAGCAAGAGGCTCAATCATTCACGCCCCAAAAGCCCTTGGAGATCTGAATGTTATAGTAAATACATCATGAACGTTGCGCGCGAAAGCCAATGTCGAGTTCATCACACGTAAGCGACGAGACCGATATGCCGGCGGCAACCACAGAACATTGCGAGAGTTGCAAGTCACCCACTTGCCGTCTAGGCTTACTCCAATATCGCAGCGCTCACCTTGCAGATCAGCAGCTGCTCCTGGCACCGACGGTGATACATAGCCTGCAAGGGTAAATGCAGCTGCACCCGTGTAAATCTTTAAACCATCTCCACTGAATTCGAGATGTAGTTCCTCTGTCCTGTAGTGGTCAATTTTCGCTACACAAGCACCAGTCGCCGTGTCCCAGAGCCTCAAAGCTTCGCCAAATGAGATTGATGCGAGCCAGGTTGAGTCCGGCGAGAATGCAAGACAGGAAATAGCATTGATTGGGCACTCGAGTGTCGCTGTGCATGCGCCTGCCATATCCCATAACTTGATAGTTTGATCTTCTGCGGCTGATGCAAGGCATTTTGAGTCCGAAGAGATTGCAATCGCCTGTATCTGTTCATGATGACCTATGAGTGTAACCATGCGGGCGCCTGTATTCTCCCACAACCTTACTCTACCACGACTTAACCCTAATGCAAGCCACCTTGAATTCGGCGAGATGCTTATAGGGGCAGCACGATCGATGTAATCTCTAACAGTTGCCAGGCAGATAGCTGTCGCTGCATCCCAGAGCTTGATAGTCATATCTCTTGAGCCTGATACAAGCCAGCTTGAATCGTGAGAGATTGCAATATGAGAAATCCTGTTGTCATGGCCCTGAAGTGTTGCTCTACAGGTCCCAGCAATATCCCATAACTTAATAGTGTTGTCATCTGAGCCTGATGCAAGCCATTTTGAGTCCTGAGAGAATTTAATACAGGAAACAGTATCTTTGTGACCCTCAAGTATGTTTATCAAGGCACCTGTCATATCCCATAACCTTATTATATTATCAGATGACAGCGTTGTAAGATATCTTGAGTCTGGAGAGATCTCCATAATAGACACGTTAACAGTGTGTTTTTCAAGCGTCTCAATATACGTGCCTCTCATATCCCAAAACTGTATAGTATTGCTAGTTGATCCTGATGCAAGCCGGTTCGAGTCAGGAGAGAAAGCGATCGCACAGGGTACACCGCCTGGGGTTTCGTATGTTGCTTTACAGGCCTCCATTTCCACATTCCACAGCTTTATAGTATTGCTAGCTGATCCTGATGCAAGCCAGTTTGAGCTAGGAGAGAATGCAACGGTGCTGATATAGTTGGAATGGCTTTGGAATGTTGCGACACAGGCCCCTGTTTCTATGTCCCATAGCTTCACAGTTCCGTCAGCAGAACCGGATGCAAGCCAATGTGAGTTCGGCGAGAATGCAACACAGGAAATTCGGTCACTATGTCCTTCAAATGTTGCCAGATTAGTGCCAGCTTCTATATCCCAAAGTTTTATCGTTCGATCCTCCGAACCTGATGCAAGATGGCTTGAATCATATGAAAAGGAAATCACTTGGACTCGTTTATGGCCCTTGAGTGACACGGTATCGTGGCTTGGGCCGATTTCCCACAACTTCAAGGTCTCGTCGCTTAGCTCCGACCATGACAGCCAACGTAAATCGGATGAGAAAGTGGCTGAATCCATGGGTGAATTGGTCTCAAATGTTGCGATGCAAGCGCCTGTTGTCGTATCCCAGAGCTTTACCGTTCCATCGTCTGACACTGATGAAATCTGACTTGAGTCTGGTGAGGATGCGACAGCGAGGATCGTTGTACTATGTCCCTTGAGTGTCGTCCTCAAGGCACCTGTTTTTGCATCCCACAACTTGACTGTGAGATCTTCTGAACTCGATGCAAGCCAGCTCGAATCTGGCGAGAATATAACAGTGTAAACACCACCGCTGTGACCCTCGAGCGTTGCTAGACATGCACCCCAGGTGGACTCTACCCGTGGTCGCGACGATATCCAGTTTGGAAATGAATGGCTGAAAGTCTCTCGGGCAATGCTTTGATGAGGTGCAAATACAGTTACTGTACAGTAGATTTGAAGTGGCCAAGAATCGACCGTCGATGCATAGCTGAATATAACGCGTTGCGTATCGCGGAGAAAGCGTTCTATTTCACTGCTATTTGAAACCTGGAAAGTTGGTCAGTTTATTTGTCAATAGAGTATCCTGCATTCGCTTACATGAAGTAGTTCCACCAAATCATTGATCATGAGCAGGCTCTCTGACATATTTCCCAATAGACTCAAAGCTTCAAGCCAATGAAGGAGATGACAAGTTAGAAATCGGTGAACCTGGTCGTCGTCCTGTATCGTCTGCTTGCTCTCCTTCCAGTGGAACACCCAGTAGCGGCAAGCATACTGCACTTCAGACGGCAGGCAGGCATCAATGGTTTTCTGGTCCACCTCAGTTCGAGACGTTCCAGGGTGTTTTAGGTTGCAGATATCTTGCTTGAGGGCGGTTCCCGTAGAAAGTAGCCTTAGACAGTCGAGTGCCAATTGAGAATGAGTCTGATGCTCGTCAACCCAGAACGGAAACTCTTCTGGCCTCCCACCTTTCTCAGGATCGACGAGGAAGTCGCGGAAGGATAGATGAAGCAGCTGTACTGGTTTATCTGGATCCGGGGGTATTCGTAGGACAGAGTGAAGGTAGTCTAGCTGGTCTTCGATGGTGTCTAGCGGGATATCCAGGAGCTGAGCGAGCGAACATGACGATAGAGGACTAGCAAGGATAACAATAGAGCCAGCAATTCTTTTAAATCTCCCTACTACCTCTTTCTTCTGTGACTCATTCAGCCCCGCAAGAAGCCGATCAGTGACGGGAAGATAGGTTGCGTCGAGTTTAGAATCCCGATCTCCCTGGCGCTCTAGGATTCTTTCTAGCTGGTCTCTTGGGCCACCGAGCCTTCGATCTCGAATGAAGCGGCAGACCGTGGCGGCAAAAATGAACAGAGGAATAGCCATTCCGACAAGCCTCTGGACTTGCTCTGGTGCAGGCCAGCTAGGTGGCAACGGCCGGTTCGGCCGCGCTTTGTTGTAATCCAGCCGGATACGAGCAAGTTCGTGCCCCAGGAAAACCGTGATATCATTCTTGATAATCGGTTTAGGAATCTCTTGCAAAACCAGATCCGTGTACTCGCCCGCAATGTCAATAAAACCAAGCTGGATAGGTAGCTCAGGCCGACTGGTAACAAAAGCCTTTAGGCAAATGTGTGACAAACCCTTCACTTGGGACAGTAGGTGAATAATTCTCTTCACGTCGTCAAGGTACTCGCATTCGTCAAGTGTGTCAACAACTATGACCAGAGTTTGCCGCTGGGAGGGTTTCGGGAGCTGCTGTATCGGCTTGACGATGAGGCGGTCAAACTGATCGCTGAGGGCCTTGTTATTAAGATAAGGATCAGCCTCGACCTCATTACGCACGAGGGGGGCCAATGATGGTAGCTGGTGGGCAATCTGAGTAGCTATCGTGGCGAAGAAGAATGCCGCACGGCCGCGGTCGCCCTCGCCACGCTTGAAGAAGAAGCTGGCACCGAGCTTGTTCTTGTCTGCAAGCTCCTGGGATACTGTTCTCGCGATTGTAGACTTTCCGGTGCCAGCCATGCCGTTCAGCCAGAAAATGGTCTTGCTGTTATCGAAATCAAGCCATGTGAGTACTTGGCTTATGAGATCTGTCCGAGTGCCGGGATAGCATCTCGCGTTGTCAGCGTCGGAGTGAGCATCGAAACCTGCACGTTCTACGGTGCGAAGCTTGGTCAGGATGATTTCATGATGAACGCTAGCTAACTGTGTTCTTGGTGATCGTTTAGTAGGATGGGCTGAATGTCATGGTGACAAGACATACGCTTGATGGATCTGAAGATCCAGAGAGATGGATGCCCTACATCGCTCTATCTTAGTGATGATATCGGCCACTTCTCCCTTCTTGAATGGCCATTTTAGGCCCCTGACCTCCATTCCCTGTTGGAGCTTGGCAACGATGAGGGTTAACTGCAGTCGACAATCCTCAATACATTTGTGTATGTTCTGTGACGCTTCGACCTGGGGGCCATTCGGGCCATCGAGAAGGCGTTTGACCTCTCCTAGAGTAACTGCTAGCCTGTCGGCTTCTTTGAGAATGGATCGAACCTCGCGTGGCGCAGCCTTGACGCCAGCACAATATTCGGAACACTGCACGCCAACTTTGATGAACAGATCAACAACAGTTGCCACATTCACAGCAAGACCAAAGAGCTCAGCCATAATGGCGAAGACGCCTTTCCAGAGTTGCCAGGATGGTAAGAGCGATGAGAGGGACCTTGGTGGTTACATGTACCAAACCCCTACCCCGCTCGACGCATGTTGGCGTTGCGCCCAGGCGCCCTTGCTCCTTGCATTCTGTTGGTTGGTTACGACTGGGTGCCACTCTATGCAGTATGTTTGAATTTCAGTGGCTGACACTGAGATGTGAGTACTTTGGACAAGTGCTCCCGGGTTTGGTTGCACGAACACTAGGTATGAAGGAAGTTTTCAGGACAGGTTGTTTTAGAGGGTTTTTTTCCCTGTAAGGCGGGGGCAGTAGTATGATTATAGAAAGAGGAGTTACAGTATGGATATGTCAGCACAAGAAGTGCCGGACTTTCTTCATTACGTCAAATACAAATAAGGTACAAGAAAACTCAGCATGGGAGAAAAGGCCGTCAACGGGAGAGCGCTGTGGTATGCTACATGTAGGTATCGACTTCACATCCAGCACTCTCCCTCGTAGAGAAACACCAAGGAAAAGAGACACTACCCCACACTACTGCTTTTCCTTTGGGTATTCGGAACTCGACACCGAAAAGCCCTTCTTCTCATCCTGCCTCTGTACATCGGCAAAGCTCGGTGGAGGCACGTCATCGTCAGGTGGCGCCATCCATGACGGTGGTGAGTCGATACTTGCGGGGAGGATCGTCACCTCGTTTGACCCGCTGGCAGAGAAAGATTCGTTGGCGATCTTGCAGGTGGCCTTCCAGGACAGCTTCTGGGTGGTCGTCTTGATGTTGAAGGTGGACACGTTGGGGAGCGCCTTGTCACCAAGCCGCAGACGGATGGCAGTACCGATATCCGCAGGCGGCGGCTTGTCGCCCGTTGTGCATGGAATCTCGACGACGTCGTTTCCAACCTCGTCGTTGAGCAGTTCCACCTTCTCCGACGCGTAGTCTGTGTATGGGTCGCCCGAGTCTGAGCCGACGACGTCGAACTCGTACTTCAAGCTTGCTCTGAAGCTGGCAAGCTTGGCCTTCTGGGGAACGTTCCGGATGGACTCGCTGGTATCCGACCAATTGGGGATAACGCGCATGTATACTGGGATCGGCGAGTCGCTCAGCTGAACTACCTTTGGCACTTGAACCTGAAGGTTGAAAGCCAACACCGGCACAGACGAGGTGCCGAAGAACTTCTTCATCTTATCAGACGTGGACAGCTCGGCGTTCTCTTTGCCCGGGACGAGACGTTGCGAGCAGACGGTGTCCGTATGTGAGGTGACTTCAAAGTCGAAGTCGCTGATGGGCGGATTCGGGTCGACATTGATGAGTCGGATTGGTAGGATTGCATTTTCGGTTGATGACGAGCCCTGGCCTTCGGATGTGAGTGTAGCCTCCAACAAGTACTCAATGGTGCCCTTGGCTCCGCCATTGGAAACACTGAAGGATGCTGGGAGCTCTCGCTTGCCGACCGAGTCCGAATCTAAGGGGATGTATGACAGCTTTGGGCTGTACTCTCCGGGGTAGAGTCGCGCATCGATGTTGGTGGGGATCGTAAAGCTGAAAGGCCATTGCTGACGGTCCTTGCTCGGGATATGTAGAGGGCCCTGGAATACCTGCTTTTCCTGGCGGAAGAGCGCGAACTCGCCCTTGTAGGTGTAGGTCACGTCGCCAGACCTGTAGTCAATATAGGACTTGGAGCGGCCATGGAAGACGACGTCGATGGTAGCTTCGGTGCTCACAATGGTGTTTGCCCGGTAGATTACCCCGCTGACGGTATCGCCAGGGCGGTACGTCGTCCGGTCGGTCTCGATGCCGAGGTCTTTGCTGATACTTGCTTTCTTTGCTGCCATCTTGGAGGACAGTCGTCAGCCTTAGATATGTATTGGAGATGGAGGAGAGCTCGCGCAACCCCGCATGGTCAGCTCATTGTGTTCATATAAGCCCATCGTACTGTTCACAATGGCCAAGCCAAGCCTTACTGTTTCTTAGGCCTTGTCTAAAAATAACCCGGAGAGGCACAGGAGCGAATCACAGTCTCACCGCGGTTCATGCGAAACACCTTAGTGGATCATGGTTTGCATTTCAGCCCCTGAATTACAGGGTTTATTAGCATTCTGATGACGTACGTTAGTGGGGTGAAGCCCTCAAGCACACCTGAAGCTCAAGATATAGCTCTTTTCCAGCCTTCAATCACGTAAGTTGAATGTCTTGGAAGTCAAACCATGTCTCAGCCGGAACACCTCTTGCGTGTCATCGTCGTAGCAGCCTAACATGAAATCCTACCCAGCCAAGTTTGCCCTGTTAAGGAAGCTAGTGTTGGCTTTCGAGGATTGCCAAGGTTAGAGCTAGAGTGGCACACTTACAAAAGCACAATGAGCCCCTCACAGAATTTCGGCCCGTGAGCATACTATGTGTAAGGCTGCCTAAAATGCCGAGCCGCCACCAAACCTACCGGACTGATGGCTCAAGGGCAAAGTTGCTAAACCAGAGATTCTAGTGGCATTGATAAAACGTGCCGAGGTTAGAGGCTAACACAAAGGGAACACCATGTCATAGTAATGCCACACTAGATATTAGCATATCTTACTCATTAGGAGTTTAGTCGTGTTGTTCAAATCAAACGGGGGCCAGAATATTCATATCTATGCATAGGAGCAGCGTAACAGAGCAAGAGCGAAGGCATATAGATGGCTATGAAATCAAGAATGTAAGTAAAAAAGGCACCCCTGGTTCTTCAATATGAAAAGTTTTATCATCAGCTCTCAACTCTGAAAAGGGTCCGCGTTTATCATTGCGATTGTCTCCCGATCAACCCCTCCCTAAACCGGCGGGGGCCCATGTCAACTCCCCTGTAAGTCTTCCTCGCCCCTGGGTTGGTGCAATGAGCCATCTGAAAATCGATCGGCGTTGTTCGTGCCTCAATGGCCACCACGGCTGGGGGTTCGGCCGAGGCCGGATCTCAGACGGACCCGAGGCGGAGGGCGGAGAAGCGCCGCAAAAGATTGTGGCGTCGCAAGTAAACCGACGGCCAACTTAAATGGCCCTTATTTATGTTTAGAGCAGTCACACCGTTCAAGTTCGCGCGTTATCTGTGTCAAGCGGTAGTGGGAGGTGGCGGGCGTTTGCAGCCTGGTGGTGAAGGGTTCAGTCCAGCTTAGTGTCAACACAAGGCTCTATCGGACAACGCCAAGATCTATCTAACTTAGGAATTTACTTCGAATATGTATGGGAAAAGCGTTTTCACTTTAAACTAGTGGACAAAAACGATCTAAGCTGGACGGGGTCGGTAAGCGCCGGCCCTTATGCAGGCCGCAAACCAATTCGCCTGCCCATTTGGATGCTTATGGCCGGCGGCTATATCTTCATTGGGTGGCATTTGTAGATACCTCACCCAATGAATGACCAAAGTCCTTCCAAGAAGTCAGCTCGTTTCAGCCTGGGATGAAATTTATCGATCCGATCTTTTCGATGAGAGAATAGAAATATCCTGAGGCTCCTTGTCTTGACTAAAGACATGAACTCCTCACAACTCACTTCTTGGCGTTTGGGATCATCTCTCCCTCGCCCCGAAATTTATCCCTTTAACGGTGAATATTCTTGACATCCGAGAAATATAAATGAGTTGGTCAAGGAACAATCGTCAATTGTCTTGGGCGGACTGGTCTTTCTCCGATGTAGATGCCACTCTAACTCACAATACGCTTGGATCTACCAGCAAACCTGCATCGCACCTTCAGAATGAGCTACATCAGAAATCAGATACCGACCATGAGCCTAGCATATCTACAACCATCACAGAATCTCAGTCAGCGGTAAAGGAACGGAGCTTGCGCCACAGCTTCATATCGTGGGCCCCCGAAATAGTATGGTGTTTCTCGGCCATAGTAGTGTTCATCGCCCTGGTTATTCTACTACAGTTCTTTGACCATCAGCTGAGACCAGACTTACCGCTGGGTTTGACGCTCAACACACTGGTCGCACTTCTGGCCACAGCTTGCCGCTTCATGACCGCAGTGCCTATAGAGGAAGGCATCTCCCAGCTTAAGTGGAATTGGATGGCCGCTCGCCAAAGGCCTCTCCATGATCTATATAAGTTTGATCAAGCCAGCAGAGGACCCATAGGATCCATGCGACTGATCCCAATTATGCGCGGAAAGTATGCAGTTTCTTTCGGGCTTTGGTCGAAGATAAACATCACTTGTTGTGACAAATACTAACATCCCCCGTAGATTTATCCCAGTCGTTTCGACAGCCTTGATTGTTATTCTATCTAGCTTATTGACCTCCTTTGCAACACAATCTGCCATTTCATATCAGGATTTCCGCAGGCAGACAACATCCGGAAATTCAGACCCCCAAGCTCCAGTAGCCCTTCACTACGATGTAGCAGACTCTGAGAGAAATCAAAACCGTTTAGGTATGAGTTAATCACTGCTTCCACAGTGGTCAGGCTTGTTAAGAACATCATGTATAGATCACAACAGAAGAGCGAGCGAGATGGCACGGGCTGGGTATCAGGGCCTGCTTCAATCGGTGCAAACAGAATGGCCCCAGGTACAACTTCAGTGCCCATCTCAGTTTTGCGAATGGCCATCATTCAACTCCTTGGCCGTATGTAGAACCATTAACAACGTTACCGACAAACTCCAGTTGAAGAGCGGGTCCGAAACTACGCGCCAAGGTAGCAGAGCACAGTACTATGCTTCGCTGCCGGGAAAAGATAGTGCCTTGAACGTCTTTGAGCTGGATTCCTTCGGCTTGAACATGACCTCACCGGAAGATAGGGCGTACGAGAAAGGCCAGACAGAGAAGTGGACTTCATTTGCCCTCTCCGATGAAGATGCCGTTCTCCGGACTGCGTTCACCCGGTTCTACATACATTACACCAACTTTGCTTCTTCCACAATCCCTGCTAGCTTCCGTGCCACCGAAGTTTTTTGGCACTTTTGCGTCAACACCTACAACGTTGATGTTACAAACGCGACTTCAGACACACGGATCAGTACCACGGCGACAAGAGTCCACGAGGTGTATGGTGATCCTCAGCCAAGTCACTATAGCTCGTTTTCCATGGAGAGCGAGGACGGGAAACAACTATTCAACGTCTCCGACCGCTTGAGGTATCGCCTAAAGCAACAGATCAAATACGACTTACAGGGCACAAGTAATTCTGTACATGGTGACGAATCTGTGCTTCCTGCGGTTGTATTGGCGAATCTGTACTATGGCTACCAAGTATCCTCTTCAGAGAGAAAGTCCGCTGGTGAAAATCTATCTGAAGAAGAGCTTGACAGGGAACTATGGAGCAACACCGAGAAGCTCACCCAATCACTCGCAGATGCAATGACGACTCAGTAAGTCAAAATGAATCTATCCATTTCCGGTGGAAATAATCCTACTAACATGGCGGAAACAAAGTCTTCGGGCCACGGATAAGAGCGGAACAGTTCGTGGATCGGCTTTTGAGATGCAAACCTACATCGTCGTCCGGTGGGAATGGCTCTCCTTCCTGGCAGCTCAGATACTTTTGACGATCGTGTTTCAGATCACGGTTATTTTCCAGACAGCTAGAATGAGTGTTGGAATTGTCAAGAGTTCCAATATGGCAGAGCTCTTCGCTTTCTATGGTGACGACGACGATAGCTCGTCCCAAAAATGGGCCTTAGCCGCGGCTGGTCTCAGGGCGAGAGGCACTGGCACGAAGATTAACAACAGTGTAGAGGCGAGATTAGTTCCGGGAAGCCACGGTTGGAACCTTCAAATAAAATGAATCAAATATTATGAATGCCTGGATAATGACATTGTGGATTTTGATATCAAGCCCAGGACTACATTCACCCATTCGCAAGGTCTATAGTCTCCTTCTTCAAGTACCGAGGTTCCTCTTTTGCAGCTACATAAGATGGGTTCTGTCTTGGATCATGAAGTTTCCTCTGCCCTCCGAGTCTTCTTTTGCCGATATAGCCATGTATTATCCGTGGGCTATCACAATCGTCATCCTGCCACTGTGGCCGGGTTCTTTCTTCCCAAAGCACCAGCTTCTGTATCATGAAGAAGCGCAATTTCTTCCCATTGTTTGTGCGGATAGTCTCTAAAGTTTCGGTGAAACCAAACGTTTTGCATTGTGAGAGGTAGGTATTTGATGCCGAAGGTAGAGAGCCCGACCATGAGAAGCAGTACCGACCAAAAGACATTCAAATTAGTGTTTCTCACTCAGAACTCTGATCGAGCCACATAGAGACCGCAGTTCGCCTTCTGGTTCGGCTATGAAATCATGCGAAGTCTTGTTTCCTTCCACTTCAGCTATCGGGAACACAGGAACAGAAGGGAAATCGGCCAAGGACCGTTGCATTGACGCCAATCCAATACTGTGGAGGCTCATAATCTCCCTATGCCACTGTGTCGGCCGTAGTGCTTCTGAAAATTGATACACCTGTCGATCGTTTGCTGACGGTATTGCGGCGCCAAGCGTACGGACGATGGCCGAGAAATCCAGCACCAGGGCTTTCGAGAGGAGCTCCAGAACCGCGGCCTGCTTTGGATTCAGGCGTTCCTGCCAGCCCTCTCCGTTATGGAGTATCCATAGGTGACGTGCAGCTTCCGTCCATTGTGCGAAACTCCCACTGGCGAGTGCATCCCAGTGTAGATGCCACCCGATCAGCGTAGTAGAAGACGCCCACGGGGAAATCTGGCCGGAAACCATTTGGGTCATCCTTGTTGGTAGCCTGGAACCAAGGGTCCTCGGTGACGTTAGAGTATACTGCGATATTCAGCAGATATAGAACTGTGATGCCCGCATGGGGCACAATGAGGTCATCTATTGGTGAGAAGTCTGAAATTGATGTTTTATCGTGGAAGCCGGCGTAGGATGCCAGTGCTCTATTGCTCAGTTAGTGTTGCGTATTTCAACTTAAAGAATTCACTCTATGGCTTACCTCAACTCGTACGGGGGGCAGTTCACAGATAAATCAGGGTCCAAAATCAAAGATTTGCGTACCACCCAGGTGAAATTAGTAGATTCCGTTGGCCCCAAGTAATATTCTTTGTGTGTGTCCCACGTGGGAGCTTTAAACCATGGAGTCGAATGCTTTTCCTCAGCTAATATCGGAACACATTTCGTAACTGAGCGGAAACGGAGTTGGCCATCCTTGGCAGTGTTTATACCGAGATGTTCGTTAGAGTTTATGTACTCCCGGGTGCCAATCTCAAATGCCGTAGTCTGCGCACAAATATCTTCTGAGAAGGGACACGCCACCGCGAGATCTGCGAGGCTGCGCAGAGTGTGGGCGTATCGACGTTTGCAAGGTTTCGTACAACAAGGAGTAAAGCGATACTTCTCAAACTAAGCAGAGACTCTCTTACACATTGGCTCTCTTGGCGCTTCCATCTCTCTTCTGGTCAGGCACTGGCCTCATACCCAAGCAGCAATACACGTCCTGCGATGGTGTCTCAACACTTTCTGCAGGACGAGGAAACAACCGTGGAAGTTCTCTCCGAGCTCTTTCACGGTAGCCATATTTTATGCTCTCTCTTGTGAATGCACAGAAGTCAAACGTTGCCTGTATAAAAAATCAATTGGGGGCTGGGGCGACAACCACGACCACCAGCATATGAGTCCCCCAACTCTTGTCAATATACAAACTGCGGTAAGATTTTTCCGTGGATTATCGAATTTAACAACATCCTTCACTACTGGTGTCAGAAACGGTCTAGTGATTTCACAGGTTATCTACGCCCACCTTCGCCCATATAACGTTAAAGATGCTTTGCAGCAGGAACTCCTACTTAGTGGACTTGGCAACTGTTAATCAGACTCCAGTCTCCCTGCAATCTGCAGAATCGGATTCAAGACCAAAAATCAAATTGTTTGTTTGTCCATTAAGGCATGGTCATGATCAACTTTGGCTGCCAACCTCTGTAGATGCTTTGGTTAGCGAACAATGACGCAATGTCTTAGCTCCTAAAGGGTTCACGTGACCTCGTGTTCAACTCGCGTTATCCCCGACCTCCGCATTCACGATCTCTCCCTCCAGGCGCCGCAACTCCAAAAGCGCAATCATACATGTGATCCCCCCAAAAAGCCATGGCCGCCGCTCCGGAGGAGGCCACGGAAGCCACCTCCCTCCCCGCCTCCGAAGCCTCAGAGCTCCTCTCCTCCTTCACATCCTTCCTCACGCTCTCCATCCACTCCCTCCTCTACTACCGCTCCCTCTACCCACAGACAACCTTCCTCACCGCGCGAGCATACAACCTCCCGGTGCACCAGTCCCGCCACCCCAAGGTCTGCAAATGGGTCCTCGACGCCGTGGCGGCCGTCAGGGTCCAGCTCATGCGCGCGACCGTGGAGAAGATCGTCTTCGTCATCCACGCGCCGGACTCGTTCTCCGTCCTCGAGAGGTGGGTCTTCGACGTGGGTTCTTTCCCGGCTTGGCAGGACCCTTTCGCCGAACCCGCCGTGGATGAGGACGACGGGCTTGGTGATGACGACGGGGTTGAGGTCGACGAGGAAGAAGAGGAAGAGGAAGAGGAGGAGCAACCAATTTATGGTTATGATGTGATCGAGGAAGAAGGGGAGGAGGGTGACGAGGAGGGAGAGATTGAATTACCCGACGACGACGTGGAGGAAGAGGAACTAATCAATTGGACTGATGTCAATGAGGCGTTGAGGGGCGCCCTGAGGAATCTCTCTTATGTGGCTGAAAGGCTACCCGCCCTACCCAAGGGGTGTACTTTCACACTGGCGGTGGACATCCGTAAAGGGACGCCTGCTCCAGCCACGGTGAGTATCCTCTTACTCTTCAGCTGAGAGGATTCTCTGTAAGACAGTTCAAGAACAAGAACTAACTCTATCCCAAGCATCCCCGCCCATGGATAGCAGCACCGCCAAATCGGCAGAGGCTAAATCCCGTCCTGCAGGATAAGCAGAAACAAAACCAGCAACAGAAACAGAAGCGCCGGGTAAAAGGTAAGATCCCAGCCCGCCGCACTGAAACCATGGCTCCCGTCCGCGCCGTTCAGGCGGGGCCTATGTTCTTCGAATGCTGGGCAGAGCTATCAAAGCCCAGACCTCCGTTCTTCAAGAAGCCGGAGAAGCCCGCGGAGAAGAAGCCCGAGGCGGAGAAGCCCGAAGCGAAGCCAAATCCCGCGGGCCCTGCGTCGGAACCCAAGGAGCTGCCCTCCATTCTGAAGAAAACGCCCGGGTCTGGGAAGCGCGTCCAGTTCAAAGACGTGCCCGTTCAGGAGAGCGAGAAAAAGCCAACCCGGATCTCAAAACCCAGGACAAAGTCAATGTCACAGTCAACGTCAAAGTCAAGATCAAAGTCACAGTTAAGGTCAAAGTCGAAACCAAAGTCGACGCCTGCGCCAAAGGCCTCGTCTTCTTCGAAGACTACTCCTGTTGCATTATCACATAGGGTCAAGACAGGACCACCGCCTCAAGAAAAATAATAATCATAATCATCGTAACACATCGCATTCATCAAGTCTACCAACATCAACCGTTTTCTTTCGTAGACATATTTTCGTGCTTGTGTTCCCACACCCCGTCATCTCGTCTTCCAGATCATGCCCGCAAAGCTTCTTCTCCCTATGCCTAGAATACAGCAAACATGCCAACGAAGTCGTAAAAATCCATTTGCTGCCCTCATGAAACCCAACCCGTATTAAAAAAAAAAAAGCCTTCCAAAACAGAGCTCCCATAAATGATGCCAGAAATGAAAACCCCTTCCTCCCGCCCCCCCTCCGTTTGACCGTGTTAAAACCGCCATCAATAATCATCATCACGTAGCCAACAACGCCCAATGGCCACCATCGCGAGCCTTGCCAGGGAGAGAATCACTTATTCGGCCGTCCCCTTCAGCGCCGCCCGCAGGCTCGCATTCTCCCTGTCGAGTCTGTCGTTCTTCTTCTTCATCCGGGCCGTCTCCCCTCTCTGCTCCTTGAGCTTTGCTATCAGGTACTCCTTGCTCTCCTTGCCCTTGCCCTTGACGGCGTCGATAATCTTGACTAGCTCCTCGTCGAACCGTTCGTCGAGGAGCTCAGCCTCGGCCTTCCTCTCCTCGTAGAGCTGGTCGATGGCGTCGACCTTGGCCTCCAAGGCCTTGACTGTGTTGTCCATGTCCCGCTGGAGCGAGGACTGCTTGTCCCCGAGCTCCAGCATGACTTCGGGTATCCTGGCCTCCAGGGCCTTGAACCTGTTCACCAGGCGTCCGAGGTCCGCGCCGCCGCCGCCCTGGGAGCTAGAGAGGCTGGCATTGTTAACACGTGCCATTTCTTCTCCAATCTTTGAGAGCTCGGACTTGAGCGCTGTGTCGACCTCCTCCAGCGCCTTCTTCTCCGTCGCCAGTCGTTCGCGCAGTTTCTGTGGCGATTGCAGGCGCAGCCTCTGAGGGGAGCGTGTAGGGCTCGACGACGAGCCAAGGCGCGTGGGCGGGTCGGCTCCCGAGTTCCCTGACCTGGCCGGTCTCAGCGTAGGTATGTGGGAAGTGGAGAGTGTCTTGGAGTGCCGGTGCTTGGAGGGGGACTCCCGTTTGACAGGGGACCCCGCCGAAGGAGCCACACCCTGGAAATAATCCGCCACATTCTCTTTCTGCCTTGGCGACCGGAGACTTTGGGATGCGCTGGGACTACTAATCGGAATCCTTGAAGGTGACGGTGCTTTGGGGCTTCTTGGGCTGGAGTTGAACTTTTCTGATGTTTGCTTCGTGTCTTGCAACGGTTGCGGCTGCGGCTCGGGCTCAGCTGCCTCTTGCTCTTGATCGTCAGTCAGCGTAGCCGCGGCCATCAAACTCTTGAGATCTGACAGAGAGCTCCGGCGCTTCTTCTTGGGTCGCACTGTCCCCATCTCATTATCAGGCTCGCCGATTGTGCTCAGCGAAAAGTCCAGTCGGTAGGAGCTGGGAGGGCGATTAGAGTCGTCGAAAGCCCCGGCAATGGGGGGTCGGTCGCGAGATCCCGGACGACGAAGCATCCTCTTGGATAGCGCACCATCATCCAACGTCTCAGCGCGGCCTATGGGTGTCCGGGTAAGAGTCGACGTCTCGCCAGTAGCAGGATTCCGATGCTTGCTCAATGTTCGCCAGACGGATGAACGCTCGTCCTTGCTATTCTGGCGGAGCAAGGTATCAAAACCAAACTTCCGTCGCAATGACGATGTGTTTGATGTGACGGATCCCGTGTACGACTTATTTCCTCGGATTGCTGAGTTGATAGACTCATACGCCTGGCTCCCGAGGTTAAAGCTGTGGTTTAGACCTGGCTCCTCGAAAATACGGTCACAGTCTTCAACCAGCCGGTCGAGCAAGTTGATGTAGTTGGGTGCAGTTCCATCATATACTAGAAGCTCGGAGAATGCAAGAGTCAATGCTCCTCGATCGCTGTCATTCCCGCATCCATCCAACAGATCAGCGAGGAGCTTGATCATCGAAGTAAAGGCTCTCCGATTCTGTGGCGCCATATCTCCAAACAAGAAGTTGACAAAATCAGCAAACTCTCCAGGAACCTTCTTGTTGGCACGCTCCTGGAGTGTATTCATCGAATGCATGGACATGACAGGCCCCATTTGCTCAGACCAGGCAATTCTGAGGAACTTCTCGAAGGCTACGAAGATGACCTCAGTTGAGACAAGCTCCGAAGTGGCCTCAATCTCATAAGGCATCTCGATCAACTTATTGTAAAAGTCATTGACAACGAGTTCGTCCGTCATAGCACGGTTTAGTAGTGTACGTCCAATGATGAGACCCTTGCGAGACTGCAGAGCAGCGACGTAGCCGACAAAGGTCCGCTCAAGACGGACAAGAGGATTCTCTGGACGAATCTCCTCGGTTGCAATCTTTTCGCCGTCTTTACCTCGGAGTGAACCGAGAGAGCTAAGGAATGAGTGCTGGCTGTTGTTGCGATGGATAGACAGAGGACGTCCGCTTCTGGAACCGGATGTCGACAGCTCCCCGCCGTTTTGATTTTGGTTTGATCCCCCAGCCCAGAAGCTTGAGAAGATCTTGACTGGGGATGTTGCAAGGAAAGAACGAGTCTTTTCAGCGCGAGTAGCCAGAGGGAGCTGCCGAAGAGTTTTCGAGTAGTACGAGACCATCGCGGCCGTAAGCTGCATGTTCGAAACACTGAACTGGATGCTAAGGAGTTGAATAACTAGTATAAAAGTTAGTGTAGCTCAACACGATGGAGATAATACTAAAGGTAGGGCTTACTTCGCCGTGAGAGTGTTGGCAAGAAGTCCTCGATCGCAATGTCGTCCTGAAACTCCTTTCCATTCAGGCCGACAGTCGTCATCGACACCCGCTTCAGATCGTTACTCCGGACCTCGACAACAATCTCAACGCCATAATGACCCACGGGTGCCCCCTTAGTGCCCTTCTCGTTGTCAACCACCACGCGGATTGGTGCAGGTTCCCGGCGGCCTTCAACGAGCTGGTGGGCACCCTCTTGGAATACTGCAGCGTGCAGACCAAGATTGCTATCGGGCATGCGTGTCGACCGCAGCGTCCAGCATGGGTCCTCTCGCTCTGCTTCAGAGAATCGTGCCTCGACGCGGGCCTTTACAACGTCTTCTCCCCATTTAGCAGCCTTTCCCTCCATAGTCTCAGTGAGGAGGAAGCACCGAGAGGTAACAGCTTTGCTAATGCGGTGCTCACCAGCATGAGCGCCCTTCATGTCCTGGGTGGATGTCATCCAGACTAGTGATCCATCGGCGGATTCGCTAAATCGGGCATCGGCAAGATTATGCCAACCAGTGAAGACGAACTCATAGTTGGCTGGGCCGCCCGCGGCGTTGGTCATTGATATTAACAAGCCAGCAGCAGATGGTTTCTCAATTTCTCTGACCAAATCACGTCCAGACATTGTACCACTCACCCGCTTTAGGATAACAATACAGTCAGAGAACAAGAGGAAAATGCCTGGTTTATCAGATGCATTCGATGCGACTTGGAATGGTGGTAGGACTTCGATGAAATCAGCGGCTAAAACCAGCCGCCCTTGGGGTTCAAGATCCATGGGCCACGATTCAACCATATTGCGTAATCGGCTGGCGATATGGGGCTTGTCCGGCAAGGGCTCGTCCATGGAGCAGATGTTCGTAATAATATCCCTGGCCTTGAGCATAGGCTGCAGCGCAGGATGTGTGATTGGGAGACACCCAACAATTTGGTCAATGAGCAGGCTGTATCTCGGGAGCCTCTGGACTGGCTCGATGAGAATCGAGCGCATGGCCTGCTCTCCTCTTTGAGCCACCCTCTGCTTGAAACTTGACTGCTGATCGAGGAACGAGTTGAGGAGAGTCGGGAAATGTTGGCTTGCCTTGATGTAGTCCTGGTAACATCCAGTAAACTTAGGGAACCACTCCAAGAACAGCCGGGCAATGGCAAGGGCGCCACTGGGGTCCCTGTGTCGCCCGCTTGCGCCCAGCTTCGAACCCAGCAAGTTGACTGTAGAGACCTCCATGTCTTTGCATGCCTCGTCTTCCGTCTCATCCATGATTCTCTTCAGCTCGTCTCTGAAACCCGAGTTCATCTGAAGAATACTATCCGCAGACCTGGGGAATAGTCTCTCAAGCTCCTCCTCTGACGGACTCAAACTCTCCGGGGCCCGTTTCTTTGCCGACTCACGAAAGTCATTGGCAATGTGCTGAACCAACTCTCCCAGTTTATGTACATAGCGGTCTTCCGTATCAACCAATTCACTCAGCTTCATTCGCAACTCGGACTTCTGATCCTTGGTGAAAGATTTGTTTCGGTTCAACGCTGTCGGTTTCGAGGGCGCTCGTCTAAGCTTGCTTGTCGGCAGAAAGACAGGGTCTCCGAATACCTTAACAAGTGGAGTGTACCCCCCATATTGACGCAGCGTGGGGTCGAAGAGCCCGTCTTCATCATCCGGCACCTCCTCCAGATCCTCGGGCTGTAGGGGAACAATTGCGCCGGGGGGTAGAACAAAGTCGATATCCACATTGTTGAGGTGCTGCGTCTGGAGTGCTTCCTGGAGGACAGAGATAACCTCGGTACCGTTCTCGCTCGTTACCATGGAGGCCACCAGATCTGCCGCATGCTGATCGCCGAATAACGCCGGTGCGCTGCCAGGCCGTCGTCCTCTGGTTGGGTATAAATTTTTCAGGTAATTTTTGACGCCATCGGGGAGCTCAGTGAAATATTTGAATAGACCAAAGGCGAGTCCTCGGTAGACCTCGTCGCCCTGGAACTCGCGGGGGAGGTAGTTGACGACGGAGTAGAATGGGGAGTTTGGTGAGATAGTAAGCCGGGGGAAAGAATGGCACCCGGCGGGAGTAAAGACATGAACCTGGACTCGAGAGCTGTTCAGGGTATAATTGGCAGTTGTTGACGGTCCGTGGAAGATGAGAATTGGCTGGTGCCCGAGAAGAGGATCCGAGGCATGGTAGAGAGTAAGGTGCTCTGCCGAGAGAAGCACCTCGTCCGTGACACGCACCATAGTCTGGTCAATGGGCCCAAGTCATGGCTCTCCGTCAACTATACACTGTCGTCGCGGGCCGCTTCGTGGGCCGCGCTCGTTCGAAGTCGGTCGGATCGATCGTTGGTTGCCAATTGAAGCCTTTGTTTGGGTGTGGTGGGCCGCTATCAGCAAAAGGTAAACATTGGAATCGCGCGCGCGTCAGAAGGTTTGTGTGACCAACAACCACATGCAGGCAGGCGATCAAAAAGATGTGTCACACTGAACCCGACTCGACACACACACACACAGGACACACGCAAGGAGGGGGAGTGCGCAACGGCAAGCGAATGTAGGGATGCAGGAGCCCGAAGTTGTCCCTGGAGGATGGATTCGATGGCGCAAGTCCACTTCTGCCCTGGCCGTTAGGGCCGCAGTGCTAGGCGGTCAAGCGGCGCCTGATGCAATGCGCCAGGGCCTCGAGATTTCCAGTGGGGTTTCCCTTTAGGGCGCGTTGAGACGCGTCCCCATTAAGCTTTTTGATCTGGCCTATGAAACACCCCGCCGCCGACGGCCGCCATTTATTTCTTAGCAGCCTTACTGCCTATTAATATTTCCCATTGGCCGTCTCTGGACTGCCCCTCCCCCGCCCAAGTAAACAACATCTCACTAAGATAATAAAAGCACTGCCAGTCCACATAGCAACAACGTCCACCCATCTACAACCATGTCATCCAGCCAGACTAGGGGCGTCCCCCTCTTCAACCTACCCGACGACGTCGGCTACCGACTCATCGAGCTCCCTCCCGAGCTTCAAACCCTCCTTGAAAGCGACCAGGCCCCCGTGTAAATGGCTTCCCGCTCCTACATAGCCCCCACACCCTTCCCCTAGATGTCAACCATGCTAATCGCAGCTCACCTTTATGACCGGTAGTCTGACCCTCGAATCCTCCCCATCCTCAGCCCTGTTGAGAACCGCCGACAAGACCTACGCATTGCGCCAAAAGAACACATCCAATGCCCTCATCATCCTGAAGCCGCACACCCCCGATCCATCCAACCCCGAAGAGGGCATGGCGCTCATCTCCACCATAAAAGAGACGGTTGATCTTGAGGCTGTGAAAGACCCCGCGGCGGTATCGGAACCCCCAGGGCCTGCGAAGAACACTGGCAGCAAAGGCAAATGGCACGAGCGCTTTGGGAGAAATAGGTAGGAATAATAACGAACAAAACAGCTGTAAAATGCTCTTGGACCCGGGCCATCCTACGGAAGTGATGCAAATTCTGAAGATTATGATAAATTAACAATCTGAATTCCAAACCGGCTCCTCATGCGATCCCTTAGGCCAATTTTTGTTCCAATATTTACATAAATCGTGGATTTCAATCTCGATATAACTCGTGAAAATGGAAAACGCCGATAACAACCATATCCCCCCATTTATCATACCGCCACCGATTTGAGCCCATTCGCGGCGTTGAGGCTAATCCGAAACTCTGCCCTAACGCAATACCTCCGCTTGAGCCCTGACAGCCCTCCCCTGGGCCTGTGGTTCAAGAACATTTTTTACTCGCGGATTATGCTGCGGTACTTCTCGAAGAATACGTTCTGCTCTAACTGGAGAAGCGGGAGCATTAACTTTCTGACCGATTAAAGGGTCATGATTCTCCGCACCTCCACCTCCAGGCAGAAGATCAATGTCAGCAGGAATGTCAAACATTTTTTTTGCCGCTTGGCCATTTAGTCCAACTCTCGGGGGGGCGGGAAATGGGATATCCCCTAGCCAGTTTTCCACACGTCCTGCCGGCGCAGGGTCGTCGGGTATCAGAATTGGATTGAATGGTGCAATACCCGGGGCAGCTGGGGGAACTACCGGAGGTTGTAGCCTCTGCCAATGCCGGAAGCGTTCTCTCTGATGAAGTTGCTCATGGTATTGTGCCAGATTATGAGGCATGGCCGGCAGTGCGATTTCTCCGAGAGGCTCTTCTTCTAGTCTACGCGCCCCCCGATTATTCCCTCGACCGGAATGACTCGCTTGTTTTCGACGTTCGTCGTCTTGGAAAACGCGGCTTGACATGTCGAATTTGAGAAGACTCGGATCAACATCCGGTCGTTTCAACGATACTGCTTCCCTTGCAGCGTCCTCGGCATTCTTAACTTCCAACTCATGCCGACTTTCTATATTTTTGTCGTATAGTGGGCAGTTTCCCTCTTGTCCTCCTCGGTGTTGGTCGTTGAAGTGTGTATAATCGCAGTTTTTGGAGCAGATATAGCATTGGACATTTCGGCATACCTGTTGCGGGCAGGTCATCTTGTTGCACCCGGCCTCTTTTACAAACGGTGTCCTGCCTGAGCTTTAATATCAGCATAATGCACGTCATTCTGAAGCTCGTTTGACTTACACTTGTTGCACTTCCGTATCAGTGCGGCAGACATGGCCTCTTCGATTTCCCTCCTAGCAGAGTACCCTTTCTCTCTAGCGGATTCATCGCAAGTCTGGGGGATATGAGTCTCTTTTTGGCAGAGCCGACAGCTCACAATCCCGCATTCAGGGTTCGCGCATCGGAATTCTCTATCCTCCTCGACGGGTGGATACTGTGCTGCGTAGTTGCAAAAGGGGCAGTGCACTAGACCCTCCAAGTTCGCCAAAAGAAGTACGGCAGCAGCTTCAATCTGGTCCAATGCTTTGGTCAATTTATCGTCCAGAAACTTACTTCGTTCCGCTTGTGAGAAGCCAGCATCGCACTGGTCCATGGAAATGCAGACAAGCTCGTACTTCGAAAGACCAATCAAGGTCTCTGCGTATTGGCGTGTGCATTGAACGCAGAAGAACTAAATAAGTGTCAGAGACGCAAACACCCGGAATGATTTAGGGAAGGGTAGACGAACGTGGGCGACTTCCCCTTCACATTGCACCATCTGGTGCAAGGGGCACTCAGTAAAACAGCATTGACACTCTGTCACATCTTCACCGAGAACGACCTCTGTACTCTCTCTCGCCCTATTCTTCAATGGCTTGCCCTGTCGTTGTAAATGGAGTGTATACCCCATCTTCCAACACACGGAAAGCTCCTGGAGAACTTTTTTCTTGAAGCCCTTCGCGGTTCGAATAGCGGATATCATCGTAAGGTGGTTTCGCCGGTCCAAGAACGGTTTTTGTATAGTTGACGGGTCCGACACCATCGCAAAAGGCTGCTCTGGAAGAGTGTCCCATGTATACACAAGCGTGTCCAGGGCAAGATACGCCGATCGCAGACAGTATTGGTGGTCAAGGAGGAGTTTGTCAATTTGTTCGTGCGGTACACAAGGGTATTCTTGGTGTAGAAGTTTGGAACTAGGTTAGAAGCGAAATATTAGCTTTCCAAGGGATACGAAGCCAAGAGGATCCAAGGCGGCGGCTCCCGGAATGGTGTGATAGAGTTCATCTAAATGAAGCGAAGAAAGGGATATTGTTCGCGATACTTACAGAGCCTTACTCTCCTTAGAAGAGTTTGGGACAAATCGAGGTCCATCAAGGCCTTGTGCGGCAACATCGACCGCAAGGGGTTCTAACTCAAGAGGACAAATGTTTTCGTCGCGCTTTCGCTTCATACTGTTAGCTTGCTTTATCTGTGACCTCCGGTATGGCCTTCCATGCTCCTCTTCATCTATCAAATGGTTGATCGCAGCCTCTGTATCGTGACGAAAGCTCCCGCCAAGAGATTGAAGGAATTCGGAGGAAATGCCGGGAAAGACTGAAGATACCCTCTGAAGAAAGTCTCGGATGCTTGATCGACCTGGAATTTCCATCTCATTAATAGATAAAGCTAACTGAGAGAATAAGAACCGTGCCGCTTCCTTAACAGATGGCATGAGGGGGGGAATCAGGCGCCGTTTTACGGGGTTCGTGGTTTTGCGGGAGCTGCAACTTCTTGATGACAAGTTCCTATGCTGATGTCAGGTTAGAGACGCGAGAAAAAGTGTCAACATGTGCCTTCATTTTTCCAACAATGCCCTCCACTTTCAGGGCCTTACTCTTTGTTCTGGCAAGAAGGTAGTGAATCACAGACGCGAAAAGGCAGCAGTGTTTGCTAGGTAGAGACAGTAAGAAAAATAAACAAGGAATGAAATAAAAACGCAGAAACCCGAGCGGCAGGCGTACGTGTGGTGAAGCGGACCTGGACATTTGAGGGAGAAAGAAGCACGTTGATGGGCAACGTGAGGTGGAGCGTTCTGCCCGGAACAGCCGTGGCGAGCAGTAACACAAAGGCTACCTGCATACAGGTAAGGTACCTCTACGCAGCATGCGGCCTACTCGAACCAGCAGAATTTGTTCTTGATCTGGCTCAGCCTTCCCACCCCAGTGCAAACGCATCAAGGAGTGAGCGGTACGAGTGAAGAGGTAGGCACGGCCGGGTTTGTGGCAATAAGTGGCTATTTGCTGGGCAATGTGCTAGGGCGTGCAGGCAGCTGGGGGCGTCTGGTGCTCTGCAAACAAATCAAGAGCAAGATGACCAGTTTATGAATATCTGGAAGTGAACTTACTGGGCACGATGCCGGTTGCTCTCTTCGTCACGCACAACAACCTTTGGTGAATACTTTCTTCCTCCGAGCCACGACACCTTACGACAGATCACCGCCTGACGATGACCAAAAGTCCGTCAACCGGCTGTGATACGAGCAAGAATCGAGATGAACCATGCAGGTTTCAACTGGGGCTGCTGCGAATTCACACAATAGCTGCGTGCGCATCCGTGGAGCTAAATACGTGTAGAGATTATTGCAGCCGGTTTCTCTTTTATGCGGGATCGACCCCTCTTGCCCCTCCCCAGCATCTAAGCGAAGACGCAGCACACAGAGATCGATCGCTCTTCGGATGGTAAGCAGACCTCAGCTCTTCTGATCAGTTTTCTACGTTTAGGCTGAACGAGAGACAATCGGAACCGAGATGGATAGGAAGAAGGAGGAAGGAGGAGTTGGACCAAGTGGTCTCACTATGACAATCCCCCCAAATGCAGCTGACCATTACACTGACCTCAGTGAAAATAAGGAGAAACATGTCAATACGGCAGACCTGGGCATTTCATTTGCCAGCCATCCACCGATAGCTGACACTGCTAAGGCATGCAATGCAGCCCAGACCAAGCACAGTGATTGTTGCACACCACCGTGAGGTATGCAGACAGGGAAACCTGCATCAGGTGCCCCACTGAATCGATCTACAAGTGTGAAGACGCCCTCACGCTTGTGTCATGGATGCTCCATATCCCGGTAGTCAAAGTGGTCCTCAAGACATTTGACGGCTATAGTTGCTTTTGTCCCAGTCATTATCCCCGGTTAGGCAGATTATTGGTCCGCCTGCAGCAGACATAGCTGCAGCTGAAGGGCTCACATCACACTAAACCAACTTCTGCATATATCACGCCAATCCTTCCCAATGGGGCTTTAGTCATTGATTTCTTACAAGCTGTACTTTGATATCATATATCTCTGCGTCACCATTCTGACTCCCTCCTATTGTTTAGTTTTCTCTCCGCTACTACTCCCCAAGTTAATCTGACCGTGGCTTCACCTTGGCGTTACCGCCCAATACGCTGCATTGACTTTCGGATCTCTACCGGAAATTCCAATCCTGGAATACGGGCTTCTTTGCCCATGCGAAATTCACTCCACCGGGCTTCACAAAGTATCAGCCAAGGTAAGAGCTAGTTCCAAGTGCCCGTGATGCACTCTCGCCAGTGAAAGTTTACAGAGTCACAGATGATCAAAAAGGATTCTCCCTCTCTCAAATCCCTTTTCTAAAGTTATTGCCCAGGATGGTCCAAGTCAGGTCATTCTAGACTTATATGGCTTGGGAATATGTGGTTGAAATAAGAATATTGCCTGTTCTCGAGGAAAGTCAAATTGAAACTACTCATGGCACAGTAGAATTAAGCACTTAGGTAATCAAAAACATGCAGTGATTGCCACCGATACGATATAAAAGCGAGCTTATGTTCCCCTTTCTCCAATAAACCTACTTATACGGCTCACTCTGATATTCCACACAGCATGTGACATTCAGATGTCTGAAACACTCCAGAAAATTTTTAAACGAAGACCATAATAATGTTCTCCGAGCAAACTTTCCTTGACGAATACGGAGAGTCCTACTTACATAGGTAGGTAGGCACCAGCCCAATACTACAGGGCATCGATCATCTCAGAAGTGAGCAACGAGGCGGAAACGGGGAGATCCATGCGCATTTTTCAGCATCTGGCGTCCAGAGCTTACATAAAATCATCCTCGTAAGTTAGTAAGATTAAAAAGTTACCGTTCTGATTTTAGACTTTCGAGTTACATTTGGTGTCCATGGATCATTCCAGCAATGCACGTCCTACCCTAAATCATGCGTCATGATCAATCAGTCATTTCTAAACCAACTTTCGAAATACGAATGATTTGATTTCTCCGAAAACTTTCTTTAGTTTGCTCAGCTTTATGATGAAAAATCTATCTGCAAAATGACATAATTCCAGGTTCTTATTTGCAAGGGGAAATACGACAGCACGACCATCCGATTCGGTACGCTAATTACACTGCCTCTTCGACGTGGCTCTCCATTACCAAACCATCATGCTCGCCGCCATCTTCTTCCTCAGCAGCAGTGGGGAAGAAACTGGACGCTTGGTGCGAAGATGCTTCGTCCTCGATGTCCTCCTCGTACCCTTCAGGCAGAAACCCACCAGCCATATCCTCATCCTGCCCTGACTGTGCTTCCTTCGCAGGCTGCCCCCCTTTATTGTGGCCAAATACCGAAACGCTCTCGTCGATTTCTCCGTAATCTTGCCGTATCCGCTCGACGATTCGAAGACCCATGAGGAACTTCCTCCACTTTCCAAGGGCTGCCTTCCGACGTTTTTCGTTCTCCTTTCGCTGACGCTCGATCTCGTGCTTTTCCAACTCTTCTATGAGCATCTCATGGTTCTCCTCCGCGATAACCACGCCCTGTATTACTGGTACTGCCATGCGGTGGCCGAATTCAAAATCCACAACAGCTTCGGCATAGTCAATACCGATCTTTTTGCAGACCTTGATCGCTTCTCTAAATGGTACATGTACTGCCCCTTGCGGGCACATATGTTCAACGAAAAGATCAATGTTTCTACATCTGGTTAGCGACGAATCATGTAAACCACACGAGTATTCATCAACACGTACCCATATTCGTTCTTGGGGATGATGCCATCCTTTATCGGTGGAGGTATAATGTAGTCTGTTTGTTCTTTGCTGAATAGGCCCTGTAGAACTTTCCTCCCCGTCATTGCTTCGGCTTCTTCAAGCTCTCGACGACGATTGATTGTGGCCGCTCGGTAGGGAACTCGTTTTAAAGGCAGCTCGCCCGGGAGAGGCGCTCGACCTTGCTTGTGCCAAGTCTCGGCACTCTTGACGTTGATCACATCAGAACGAAGAAATACATCTTCTTCCTCCATCTTGCCTCCTTTGGCCTTGTTCTTGAATACTTTCACAGGCTTGGAGTCTGGCTTCAGAGCCTCCTCTCGCTTCAGATGGCGCTGTAGCACGAATTCCTTGGATTGTTTGTAATACTGCAAGGTCTCGGCACCTTCCTTGACTTGTTTCTTCTCAGGTTCTGCAGGCCGCAAAGCAGTCGAATCCTCCAACTCGTCCGTTTCAGTCACGGGCGCTTGGCGGCTTCCTCGACGGTACCCCGCCATTGCCGTCTTGAACCAGTCATAATGATCATACCGCTTGACCTTTCCATGACGGTTGTAGATGGGTATCTTCTCTAGAGGCATCCTCGCCCCCTTAGTCCGACCTGGCAACACTTGGCGCTTCAAATATCGTACTGTCACATCTTTTGCGGTTCCATCCTGTGAAAAACCGACAATGTAGGCCATGACCTGCCGAGCCTTCTCAGCCTTCGCTCCGCGAGGCTCAAGCGTTTCTATTAGATCTCTGTTTGTTGCAATAATGTTCTTCACGATCGGGTCAACTGGTAAATAAGTATTCGTGACTGGAGAAAGTACCTCTGTCCAATAATGCGGATACTCAAGGTCTGAATCATATTTTTTGGAAGGTACCTTAGACGCCTTAGGCCTGATATCCAGCTCCATAACTGATTCGTCATCCGAGTCCTTGTATTCTAGATCGAGTTCATCAGAGTCGTCTATGACGATGGGGTTCGCCTGATTCTTCTTGCTTGATCGTGCTCGAGTGGTACCCCTGCCGCTCCTGGAGGCCGTAGCCTTTGATTTAGTTGGCTTGACTTTGGGAACTTTTTTAGGCGAAGAATTTTCAGTGCTGGGCCCTTCCTCGTCTTCTAATTCTGCATCTTCCAGCTTGCTCCAACCAAATCCGAGTGTCTGGAGATTGGCAACCATGCGTGCTTCAAGTCCAAGTCCTCGAAGAAGGGCAGTGAATAATTGAGACCCAACATCTCTACTCCCGCGACAGTTTCGGGCACATTCTCGGAATTCTTCGATTGACGACAGCTTTTCACCGAAGCGCTCAGGGTCAGATGAATTCTCTTTATGGGCTTTCGTCAAACGGTCTAAACGTTCAAGAGACATGTAACCCCATTTGCGAAGACCAGGAGCCGATGCGCGGAACCTTTGCCTCCACCAACTGACCAAGGTCTGCATCAACCGGAAGAGCGGATCGCCGTGGCTCATATCAACCTTTCCATCCTCCAGTCGCTCGGAAGCCGAACCCCAGTCTCGGGAGCTGCCTTCTTTAGAAGCTCTTCCCTTTGACTTTTTCTTGCCCTTCGACTTTGCGGAAATAGGTTTGACTGGTGGTGGTTTCTCAAGGCCGCTATGCCTCCTCCAACGATCAACTTCCGCCCACAGTCCAGGTGGAAGATGCGAGATCATAGTAGCCTGGACTTCTTCATCGCAGACCCATGAGTTGCGAATCGCATTGTGCCAGAGCAGAAGCAAGACGTGAAGGCCGTGGGTAGCTATGCGAACCTTCTTCTCACGCTTTGTCGGCCCCTTCTTGTCCCCGTACGCATTCACGAGTGAGATGCGGGTATCTCTGTTCAGAGTTAGCTCCAAGTCACCCGAAACGACTGGGACGTCGGAGGCGGTATCTTTTGGAGCAGCCACATCTTCGAATTCGATGTCCTCTTCCTCATCTGACTCTGGTGGTGGCTTTTCGACCTTTGCAGATGGAACATCCTCGAAATCGGCATCTGAAAGCGAAGACAAAGAGCTCTCACTTTCGTCTTTCCCCTCTTCTATACCGTCTAAAAAGTTGTTTTTAGATGATTGGGGTGTGGAGGTCGCATCAAGCGCATCATACAAGGATGCTTTGCGACGGCCAGCAGAGCGTGAGGTGCGTGGATTGGGCTTCCCCTTTTTGCTGCTCTTTGTAGTTTCATCAGGCGACGATTCGCGCATGCGCTTCCGGGGCACATGAGGTGGCATTTTCCTCTAGAGAACTTTTTGTTGACATCCTACATTTTCACGACTTGTACGAATGGGAGTCGGGAATGGGGATGCGACGGGATGCTAAGTTAGTGCGTGAATGGCTCCGTCATAGATGAACGCCAGAGATCACGAAAGCACGTGACTCCCATTAAACTATGCTTAAACCTGGCGCTTCTTGCAACGCCACCAAGTTAAAACTTAAAGAATCTATGGCATTAGATATTGCCATGATGCCTTTACTGCGGTGGAAGGTTTTGGGATTTGTGTCTGTTGACAATTCACTCAGCATATGTAGGTAGGCATAGGGTAAACCCAGCCAGGGTGCACTTAGATACATGTAGCTTTCGAATGCCAGGTAAGTTATTTCTCCTCTAAAGTGCTGAATAATAGCTCTATACCTAGCTATCAATGAGATCCCATAGATAAAAGTCCGTCTCCAGATCGGTATCATCAATACATCTTCTACCAACGCCTAACAATGCTTCACGCTCTTATATCATACTACATATCCCAAGATCATACGTCAATCAGATCAGCTGGCGGTCCCACGCCTCGAAGAAGAACAATGGTATTACCACTCTGCAAGGATGCGCCGACTTTCTCATTGAATTCCAGCAGTCTCCCACCTTCCACATGGAAGACCCGTAGCTTGTCGAGCTCGTTGGAGCTTTGGTTGTTGATGTTCTGGACCTGGAGGCTCCTTGCCGCAGCGTCAAGCACACGCCCGACCACCCATTCTTGACTGTAGAAGAACTCTCCCTTGGGAAACTTGGCCTTCGCTGTCTCGGCCTCTGCTTCGACAAACAGGTAAATGCGCTTCTCCGGTGCAACCTTGGCATCGCCCTTGGCCGTTTTCTTCAGGTTGTTGACAGCTACGAGTCTCGCAGCCGCAGAACTGGGCTTTGGCTTGGGTAGTGCTCGACCCGCTTGCTCTTTCTTGCTCGACCCCCAGGCTTTCAGTCTTTCAAAGGCCGACTTCGTCCTCTGGGCCACAATGTCTATTTGCACCGGCCGGGCGCCTATTGGAATCAGGTTCTTGCAGTCATGGTCCTCCTGCAGTCGGTGTTTCAGGCAGTAGTCGCGATTACATATCGAGCAGTGTACACCGGGGGTGAGTGATGTCCCTACGGTGGTGTTGCAGGATGGCGAGGCGCAGGGCTTCTGCGACACCTTGTCCCGTAGGGTCTTGCCAGCGCCAACGGAGGGTTGTGCCAGCTGCGCAAGTCGCTTGCGCTCGGCCCACTCGCCAGCCTTGGCGCATTTGTGTGCAGTCTCGGTTCGGTGGTCGAGGCAGTATGTCTTGCGGCAGGACTGGCAGAGGAAGGGGAGGAAGTCGAGCTGGTTGCAGTAGTCGTACTCGCAGTGCTTGCCAATCAAGGTGGCGTCGTTTTTGTCGTTCATTTCGACGTAGCTCGTGTCCTGAGCGCCGGAGCTGGATGAAGATGCCATTCTGACCGTAGAAGGGCCCGAAAACGGTTCAAATACAAATACGCTGGAGGCGACAGGCAGAGAGCGCTGCGTATGCTCTTGAGGTGGTGGCTAAGGCTGACTGAGCTGATAGGGAAGCGTCTGGAAACAACTAGCTCGTAACGTGTGTCGTAAGATCGGTCAAGGGCGAGAGCGGCGTCGCACGAGAGATAGGCTCTAAACCAAACGTGTATATTCTAAAATGATGGTGGATAAATTTGGCAAAATATGAGAAGCCTCGTGGCCGCTTGGCAATATGTTTTGTTGGTCCTGATTACGTGGTTCGCAGGTGAATCAGATTGGCGTAAAGGATGCCTGTTTTAAACGTAATGCCGCCAAGGGGCCGCCAAGCCACCACTCGGGTGCAGGCCATTTACCCCACGTCAGATTAAGGCTCCTACTAGCTTAATACGGCCGCATAATAGCCAGTCATTTTGGAGGCAAGTCGCTGTGCATCAGCGGTTTTTTCATCGTTGTACCGACCCCGGAATTCGTTTGACGTGGAATCGCAATAGTGACAAGATATCTCTGTAATGATCCCTATCTGACTATATACGGCAGAGTTGTCTTCTATTTGGTTCATGTGTTTTCTTGAAGTGTGGAGTTTAGCATGATTCTGTAATCTTTCTCTCGTCTCACAGATCCCGATCAGTTGGCTTTTTGCCTAACAGATCCTCTCTTCCCATCGTTGGCGCATCTCCAACAGCCGCCTTTCCTCCGTAGGCCTCAAACCCTTTGTGAAATATCCATTCAACCGCGTTCTCCACAGGCTCGTCGAACATCCTAGGCAAGAATGGTACAACTGCAAGGCCAAGTCCGATTGGCCCCCAGGTTCTCAACGTCTTGTTCTTCAAATCCTTCATGGCTCGCCCCGAGTAGCGGACAACGCTGTGGATTGTGAAAGCCGGCAGACCCATACTAGCAACACTTTGGAAGATGCCTCGTTGGACCATGACCGTGCGCCAATCCTCCAGAGGCGAAACGGTGCCTGCCGGTCCAGGGCTAGCGACAGCAGCTTCTAATCCGGACCACTTCTGCTGGTCGGCAGTGAGTTGTAATGCGGGGTTGAGTGTGCGCTGGTTGCTCCAGTACGCCCTATACCCCTCATGGGACACATCACCCAAGATATAGATCCATGAAATACCATAGGCACCCCGTACAAGATTTTTATGGGCAACTGGGCGGAAGGATTCCCCAATGTCGGATGTGTATGCAACGTATCGATGCGCCGAGAGCATTATAGTCCGGATCCTCGTTGCGTAGGCGGCATATCGTACGTTAGACTCTGTTGAGTCTCGGCCACTGAGCGCATTAGTATCTTGGAGTTGAATCTTGGTTGGGTTTCTGAGAGGAACGTACTATCCCTCGGCTACATCGTCGAAGTAGCTGCTGTCCTTGTCTGACTCATCCACGATCTTTTGGAGCGACCTGGGAAGCTTTCGAGCGTCGGGGAGCTTATCGGGGTTGAATGAGGCGCCATCAGTTGAATTGGCTGTCTTTTGAGCGTCTGTCGCAGTCTTCGACTCGGACGGATCTGGTGTTCGTCCCCACCAAGGCATTTTGTCTTGATATAAACGAATGCGCTTTCAATTGGGACTGGCCAAAAAACAAGGTCCGTGATACAAAGCAAAAGGCAATGTGCTACACAAATGAGAAGAGGACAGAAGGGTGTTAAGTGCGGGAGTAGGAGATACTGTTGGATTATGCCGAAAACGCCCGTCGGCTGGTGACGTACAAGCTCCCTCTAATCTTAGGCAGCCTGGCCGGCAAGTTGGGGCATTAGTGAGATCTGTGGCAGATCCACGGGCGCTGCAAATGCCCGACAAGCCCGGCTTGCATTCAAGCTGTCTAGGTAGGTACCTAGGTATCTACATAATTCCGAGGAATAGCCGTCGGTCCAGCGCGCAGCACCATTGGCCTGCATTTCCCGACACCTCGAAATTGAGATCTCTTCAGGAATTCAATCTTCAGTCGCATCAACAGCCACTAGACCCTCCGCCCCTACTCAACCACCTCAATTCCACACACCAATTCAAAATGGCTGGCGTCGCATACTACACTATTGCAGGCCGACAGGTCGGCGGCCACTACGTTCGTCAAACCTCCCGGTTGACTACGAAAGAGCTAGACTCATCATGCTAACCATTGCCGATAGCTCGCCATGGGTGTTCTGGCTTCCATCTTCGGCGGTGTCTACGCTGCTACTTCTGGTCCCAAGAAGCCTGCTGCTGCCAACAACACTCCTCCCATCAATGCCTCTAGCTCCGACGAGGCCGACTTCATCAAGTGCGCGAATTCGACCCCAACGATATCATGACAATAAGGAGAAGCTAACACACAAACACAGGAAGTTCCTTGAGGATGACAAGAAGAACTAAGCGACAGCCAGGATTTTTGTCGCCGGCGGCATGCTTGAGGGATTGTATGAATAGATGGCTTCAGAACAGCTTGCATTGAGCTACGCTTGACCGCAAATAACACATTGTTCCTACGGCATATCCGTCTTCGGCCGTATTGAAATATAAATGAAACCGAACTCAATTGTCAAACTCATAAGACTGGAGAATTCCCTGCTCCCGGGCGACCCGTTTCAATGGGGTTAGAACTTCATAAGCTTCTTGCAACCTGCACCATGATCGCGTTACAATTGTACAACTTGAAGCTAGTTGCACGATGTACAGAATTTCTGCATTATGACAACCTATTTTATCAGAGCACCCCGCATCTAGATAATCCATGTCTGGCCGTAGGAAATGCTGTTTCAATTGGGGGAATGCATCTCTCGCTGTCATCACCTCGCAACTCGGTGCAGGCGCTCTGCTTTCAATAGTGGCTACACGAAACGCCCCACCTGAGGTAAGGTAGTTACCGATGCCGATGCTGGGAACCAGAGGTAATATGGATTAAAAAGTGGTTTCACAGACCTCTGTAATGGTAATATGCATCTATGGGCGTCATAGGAGGGGGTCCGAGAACAGCCTGTATGGAGAGTGACCACGGTTATCTGTCCGCTGTTTTCGCTGCAGACACAAAAAGACAGATCTGATGTGAAATTATGTCTAGATGTATTGGGCTGGTTTCCATTCCTAGGACGTTTACTTGTGGTCTAGAAAGGTGTTCATGCGCTTAGAGTTAGGCTCTCGTGTTTTTGAAACGGGCCATATTTCATGCATTTACGCGAAATATAAATGAGCATATGAGTTAATGAGAACATATTGCTAGTGCTGAATTGCAATTTCTAGCCCACATGCCATTATCCCTCACACGGTTAATTGAACCTTCAACTCGAAGTCTTCGTAACAAATCCCTTTTCTTTTTTAACCTGCTGCGCATGCGAAAGGCATCGGTCCTTGGTGTATTCACTCACGATTGAACCAAAATGAAGACTAACATATGCCTTGCATCACGTGGTCTGCAAGGCCAAAAGCGAGGGTAAGGCTAGTGGTGGCCCCGCCACCCGCATTTCCCTAGTTCCCCTCTCTATTCTCCCTTTAATCGAAAGCGATTGCACACGACTTCGGATACAACGATTCAACGCATCAACCTGCACTACCATCCCGGCAGCAAGGTTGTGATCATCTCTAGGCATATGGCGGAGACCGGAACGGACCCGGCCGCTGCAGGCCCAGACACCACCGACATCACCCCCGTCCCAGACTCATCACATCCCAAGGAACGCCATTCTCTCACGCTGGACCAGCGTCGCTCCTTGCGGAAATGGGCAAATGAGCAGCCTGTGCGCCCGTCGCACAAGGCATGCATCGACTGGTTTTTTGCTCAGTATGGCCACCAGATCAGCCAATCTACCGTGTCGCATTCTCTTTCTCCCAAGTATTCGCGGCTTGATAGTGAGAACCCCCAGCTCTCGGGTTCGCGTCTCCGCTTCGGCAATTGGCCCGACGTAGAAAAACTGGTGTTGCGATGGTACCAGCAGGTGCAGGCTTCAGGCCGCCAGCCTACAAATGAAGAGCTCGGCGAAAAGGCAAAGTCTATTTTCAATAAACTTCCGCGCTACAAGGAAGAGGTATCGCCTGAGTTTTCTCCTGGTTGGATCCATCGTTTCAAGAAGCGATATGGGTTATTGATAAGGCGCCAGCGGCGACATGGAGAAGGGGGGATCAACCCGGCCGAGGACATTGGCTATTTGGCCGACTATGTGCCACGCTTCATGACTGTCGTGCCGGACACCAGTCTCCCAGCCCTGAAGGACCAAATACTTCGGGCCGTAGGTGTCGAGGCAAGTCTCAGCACCTGTGCATTAGTCCGCGATGAAGTCCTAAGACGGATGCCTGTGCCTTCTGAGGCACCCCCTCCCCAGCTCACACCCACCGAATCACCTACTATCCCTCCTCCTCCACCAGACGCGTCAATCTATGCAGATGACGACCCTGAGGTTGTCCTTCAAAATGCATTGCGGCAGCTTCAGCAAGAAGAACAGGCCGCGGAGGAGCAGGCAGCAGCGGTGCGCGAGGAACGTGAACGACAAGAACGGGCCGGACTGGCACACACTGCAATTATGGCCACGCCTAATAGACAGACATCGTCTGACCCCAGATACGCCACTCCGGCGCAGGACATGGGCACGGATCTGACTCTCACCCCCATACATTCAGATGTGCCGATTTCTACGAACGATAAGCCAATTAGATGCCCATTCTGTGTAAACCTCCGTATGCTCCGAACCATTAAGGAGGCGGTTGAGCATATGTCCACCCATGTTGTGGTTTAGGGGTGCTCTCATGATGCCATTCTTGACTGGGATCATTTTTTATGAGGAAACGAATTTCATTTTGTTCCTTTTAGGCTATATATAGCCTACGTAGGAGTAGGGGTGGCGGATTACTTGTTTAATAAAATGCAATGGCGTTGTGAGGCGGCGGCTACTAATCTATACCTAGTCCACTATATATCATAATGAAAGATAACGTATGTCATGTGTCAACGTTCATATCATTCCAGACTTCTTCAAGGCCTTGACAATAGCCTCTTGATCTCGTTGGGCTTGCGATTTGGGAGGTTTCACATCGCCCATATCAATATAGTTCACCCAGAACTTGAGTCCCTCGAGGCCCTCTTCTCGGCATACGGCCCCGTGCTCCTCTGCCATGAGCAGCTCCTCTTCAGCCACGCCCAGACTCCAGCCAAATCTATCCGCCGTCTCTTGCGCGGTAACTCCCATGCCGAACTGTTGCCAGTCCCAGGGTACTTCTTTCTCGGGTGGAAACTCGTGTAGGTCTTTGAGCCAGGCCAGCAGAGCCTTGATGGTTGCTTGGTCAGTGCGGTCGAGGCCTTGAACGACCATCACACCGCTTCGAAAGGTCCTCAAACGCACTGGGAGTTTCAGTTCTTCCCACATCCGAGCGGCTTTCTCGAAATCCATAGGACTGACCAGCTCCACTCCGCCTCTGGCTCGGTTGAATTTGGCCCACAAGTCAACGAGAGTTATGATGCCTCCCGCCTGCTTCAAGACCCCCCTGGAGTCATCGGTAAGGAATTCGGCTACATTGCGGGACAATTCCGAGAGGTACAGCGACTGAGAGCTTCCGCCACCCCCGACGATATCTTTTGTTGTTATAAGGCCCAGCTGGCTGGCTGATTCGGCCAGTAGTTTGTTCTCCTCAGCAGACATGGCATCAGCTCCTGAGCTGTTCTGCCGCGACAGCCTCTCCGCCAACGCCACAACGTCCTTGGCGGAAGCCATCAGTGCCTCGAGATCCTCAAAGGCACTACCGATGATGAGTTCGTTGTTCTTTCGCATATTCAGGCCCAGCTGCTCGAGTCCAGCAATACCGGCGGCCTTCTTCCTAGATTGTCCGGGGCTGGAATTGGAAGGATCCTCGTCGGCTAGCCGGCTTCTTGTTGGTGCTGGGGGTGCGTCTTGCAGGAGCCATTTGCGTTGTGTCATTGATCCCTTTAAGCGCTCATAGAAGATCTTCTCTCCCCCCTTCCGAAACGATATCTTCACACTCTCTGAAACATTTATGTTTCCTTGTTCGGTTTTCTTTGGGTTCTCGATGACTGGGCCTGGGGACTCGCTGCGGATGTCATTCAGACTCGACCTGGCATCTGGCGGGGATTGTTTGCGCGAAATTAGGGGGGCGCCACAGATCTCACAGGACAAGAGTGAGGGATGATTTGAAAATGTGCATCTGGGGCATTGGAATGTGCTCTCTTCATCGTTCTGAGAAGTCTGTGGACTGGATGCCAGATCGAGACTCAGATTTTCCGAGAGAGGTCGCGGTACCACCCCAGATTGATCCAAGGAGGGGTGGGAGCCGGCGAACGAAGGCGTATTCATTGCCCGGTTGTTCGCTCCAGATATCGCAGCCTTTAGAACATGTGCCAAGGTGGGCTTGATACCGCAGGCCAGACATGGTGGCAGCGGGGTATGGGCATTTGCAGTGACAGGGTCAAAGTTGGACGGCACTGGGTTGGAGAAGCTGCATATCGTGCAAACCCAAGTAGCAGAGGTCGCTAGCGACTGCTCAGGATTTGACCTGGGGCTGTCTGAGCGTGTGAGAGACGATCCGTTCCGCTGGTGGCTGGCCCCGGAGACCGCAGAGGGTAGAACGGATGAGCGCTTGGGGGGTTTTGGGATCAATGTGATCTTGGCTGAAGACTTGAAGAACCCTGCGTAGAACTCATATCGATCTACTTCTTTCAACTCGAGAGCCACTGAGTAGGAGCGCGGATCTTCCTTATCAACGTAGCAGATGCGGTGTGTTGTCAAGTATACCTGTCCATTTTGGTAATTGGGTAACTTGAACTTTCTGTCTTGTGTTAGAATGTCCCGCAAGCTTTGGCGTTTCAACCTAATTCATCGCGACTTACCCTTCGTAGAGGCCCACATTGTCCTGTACAAAGAGCAACACCTCATCTGGTAAGTAAAATGGCCTTAGTGCAGTCGTGAGGTCGATGTGTTTTAGAAACATTCGTCATGCCGTCGAGGGGGGGGCGAGTCTAAGCGTTTGCCGTGCCTCAGGCTCGGGGGGGAATCTTGCTATATGCGAACAATGGGACAATCGATAATGAGGGATGGGTAGGATATAGATATCCGAGCTGCGGCGCTTAATGTTGTGATATTTCCTAACTTTATAACAATGCTTCACCTTGTCCAGTGCCCCGCGCCTATTGCTCAAGTGAGGACCCGTTAATCGTCGCTGCCAAAGTTCAGTGGCGGAGGATGACACATCCATCGGGCACAGTAGACTTTAGCCGATTTTTACCCACCAAGTCACGAGATAAGCCCGCCACGAATCCTCGGTCTTGGAATGATTGTTTCTCACGCACCGACCGCTGTTCCAATTTGCTTTATTCATCTCACATCACAACCACAAGCCCGTTCTCTCCTCCCTTGCTGCTGTCAGACCGTGATCTTGCCTTCAACCTCCCGAATTAATACCCTCTTCACAAACCATATTCGCATCAGGATGCAAGGGTGGACGACGACTCAGCAAGCGCCGGGCGTCGCCGCCCAACATACCTCAGCCGCTCCTCACTCCTACCCTTCTAGTAATTCTTCCCATCCTATATACACGATGATTTGATCGAACTAACATTTGCCAGACCCTGCTTACACTTCTGTTTCCGTTCGCCAAGGCTTTGGTCCATACACCTCAACTCCAGCATATCCCGGTTACCCGCAGCCCGCAGCTATGCACGCCCAACCGGCCACACATGAAAGCCAAGCAGCAAAACCCGACCACTCTCAAGCCAAAGTAAAATGGCCCGATTCCGTTCGCGATTATGTCCAGCGTGCCTTCCATCCTGACAATGATGACCCTTCCGTAAGCCGATCCGAGGTGGAAACTAAACTGAAATCCATCATTCGTGCTGCGACTGAGGATGGAACTCTGTACACCCTTGATTGGGCGTCTATGCCGTCCCCTCAGGTGTTGGTCAAAGCCGACCGCAGCGCAACAGGGTCACCGGCAAGCTCTCTATTTAATTCTAAGAAGCGAAAGTCTTCTGAATTTACGCCGAGCTCCGACGGACACACTCCGCCCCCTTGGGCTAATACTAACTTCCGCCTGTCTCTCGAGGATCGTATCACTTCGCCGGATAAGCGCTTAGCAACAGATGAGTCCAGGACTAAATCAAGTAAGTTCCAAAAGGACGCAAACAAGCGTAGGCGACGGTTCGAGAACGAATACAAGGCACACCGTGGAACTTCTCCCAGCCCGCCACCACCTTCATCTGGACCGATTGTGGGTACGTGCGAAACTTTGGAGAAAAAGTATTTGCGTCTCACAGCGGCTCCTATTCCATCAAAGGTGCGACCTGAGGCCATTCTCAGGCAGACTCTCGATCTTCTCAAGAAGAAATGGAGAAAGGAAGGCAACTACTCGTACATTTGCGACCAACTCAAGTCTATGCGCCAGGACCTTACTGTGCAACACATTAAGAATGAATTCACCGTCTCAGTATATGAGATCCATGCCCGGATTGCCTTGGAGAAGGGGGATATTGGTGAGTATAATCAGTGCCAGACCCAACTGCGTTCACTCTACGCGTTGGGTTTGAAGGGCAACCCCATAGAATTCAAGGCATATCGTATTCTTTATTTTATTCACACTGCCAACCGGACCGGGTTGAACGACGCTATAGCAGACCTAACCTCAGCAGAAAAACAAGAGCATGCGATCAAGCATGCATTAGATGTACGCTCTGCCCTCGCCTTGGGCAACTACCATAAATTCTTCCGACTTTACATGGACACTCCCAATATGGGGGCTTATCTCATGGATATGTTCATTGTTCGGGAGCGTCTGGCTGCTCTCTGCAACATCTGCAAAGCGTAAGAAATTTCCCTCCCTCAAGGTTTTCTTTGAGACCTTCCACTAACCAGTCTCTAGTTACAAACCTGACTTGAATTTGCGCTTCATCACAGAGGAGCTCGGCTTCGAGTCTGATGCTGATGCTGCGGAGTTCATAATCGACTATAACGGTCAGCATCTTCTTGAAGACCGGAAGGATTACATAGCATTTTTGACAGGCAAGGCCGGCGCTCTGTTTGAGGGCGCTCGAGCTGCAGCCTTCCAAAAGGTGGATATTAAGGGACAGATATAGTCTGGCCACCACCCCTTCCCCGAGTCACTTCATCTCCTTTACGCTTCACATCCTTCTTTTCTGTCTTCACCCGACCTTCAATCCCTTCACGATGAGTCGACACAGCGCACGCGGCCATGATTATTGATGTTTTGCTACAACACGATCCTTGATGTCAGCCGTTTTGAACAACGGTAGATTCTAATCTGACTCGCTTGTTCGGATGGTGTAAATTCGACAAAGCCTCATGTCCACCGATCTATCATCCCGAGGGAATTTTGATTAATCGTCACTTCGCAACATACTTACTACTTTACAAGTTATCACGTTCGGCTCAAGCGATAGATGGACTCATGGGGTTTGGTTTCAAAAGTTTTCACGTTCGGCTCAAAAGCGGCAATAGCGGCCCGGCGTCTCCTCGCCCTCTGGTTTCTTCTCCTTGCCGACCAGCGTTTCATTTCACGTGGACAGACGCCGCGTTTCCTTGCAATTATTATTACCGTTGGCAAAGGTTTATGGAGTCAAGGCGATTTGGTACCGAGGCATGGAGTCTTTTTCGGGTAGTCTTTGCATTTAACGATGGATACCTACGTAGTGCATATAGGTATATAAAAACGTAAAGATTTTGCTTTAAATTACTTAAGTTCGGACTCACCGTAGATCATAAAACCTGGACATGGGTATTTTGGCAAGTAAAGTATTTAAAAGACTCATCATGGTTGAAGAAAGTGGTGTTGCATCCTCTATGGGTACAAAGTGCGACCATTCCTATCCTTCGCAGCTTGTGACAGGTCAGAGGACTTTGGTGTGTGATATGATGTGCATCTGCATCCGGGGCTGCAGATGTAATTTGAAATGATGAAATTTTGCATGGTATTCTCTTGATGCCGGGGATTTCACCATCGTCAGGGGCTGCTTCTTTCTTTTTAATTACTTGCTTCTGGAATGGCCGCGTAACGATCCCGGAACCGAGTGTTTCATCCATGCACATGGGAACAAGGGCCTGGGCTGGAGAGCATGGCAAAGCAACAGCCGAGAGGGTTGCTCAGTCAAAGCACCAATGAGTGCAGAGCTGTCGGAGGCCGCATTGACTTGTGGCTGCTTACTTGCCCAATCTCGGCGCACACCGGTCCCCGTGCATGCCATGATTTCGTGTGAGCGGGAATCATTTACGCACTGATCAGCTTCTGCAACCACCGCAACGATGACAGAAAACGAGACCGAAGCTTTTTTTTTTTTTTTTTTTTGCTTGGAAGCTTCATGCTCATGCAACTCTCGAGTCACGGGATCATGTAGGCAAGGTATCGACAAAGACCCGGCATTGATCATGAGAAGCACCAGCATATCGCTTTGCACCTGTGATACCTCTGGCGGTGGAGCAGGGTTTGGGATCAGGGTTAATTGGGTAAGATTTGCCGAGACAACGCGCGGATGGTCATTCTCGAGAGGACCAATGGAGAGACTGTACCTGAGCTCTGGTGGTCCATGTAATATTATGAGATGGTTGTCCATTGATGCAGCCGGGCTGCGGGTATGTATGCCACCATGTGGCCTGGAGCCCTTGTTCCTTACCTGCCTTATACTTCATCGAGGGATGATGTCCCCAGTCCCCTGCGGGTCGGGTTGGTACTTGTAAAAGCAGGTAAGTTGAGCATGAAATACGAGTCACCAATGCGACTTCCGGGCAGATCGATCCCTGGCTCTGATTCTCATTGTCGGGAGTGGTCATGGCCCTAAGTCTCCTGATTCTAGACTGCCCACCCACTCTTCTGCCCCTCCCCGTTTTCTCGGGCCCTGTATTTTTTAGAGCCCGAATTGGAAATGGCGGCTTCTCCAGTTCCAGTACGGCGGGAAAGCGAGAGGGAAAAAAGCGATAATTATTGCCAGATCAAGGCAAGTCGGCAAGTGCTCCTCGTGCTTCGATAAACTTTCCGTCTGCTTGGCGCTCGTCGGAAGACCCCGTTAGCCTACGGGAGAGTCGGGCCCCATCCTTAGGCCGCTTATTGGGAGGGAGAACCCTTATTTAGAGCCTTTGGTTGGTAGACTCAGCCCAAGTAGCTGAATGTGAGGGTTGGTTGGCTGGTAGTGGAGGCAAAGACTTCGCCTTGCAGCACTTTGCATTACGCTGTTCCTGTTTTTCTCGGCTTCTGATTTCTGATTCGCCAAACAGGCTGATCCAAGGCTCGTCCAGCTCCCGTCTGATTCGGATGTGGACGACGGAGGATTAGGTAACTGTGTGTGCCTGACTTGTACTAGCGCTACCAAGAGATCGCCATGAGAGGCTGTGCGTGGTCATTGTGTAGGTGTGTGCTCAGCATCAACGGCTGCAGTGTACTTGGGTATCATTCTCGCAAGGCGTGCAGCTTGGGTTTGGTGGTTTGATCATTGCGCCAGGACTCAGCCGTGCGGTCACGACCTCAGAATTTGCCAATTCGGAGGCCAGGTCCGTTGGGCATCCATTGTTGAGACGGCCGAAATTGCTTCTGTCTCGTTTCTCCGCCCCTGTCTCTTACTTTTTGGTTCTTCGACGACTAGTCGCTTTGAGGAAAGCTCGTGCCAGCCAACAACAGGGACGGGAGAAGAGAGAGAACAACGGAGCAAGAGACAACCGAGAGGCCGCAGTGTAGCAATCGCTTTGTTGATGACACTCTGGCGCGGCGAGTGGTGGGGAGGATGCTGAGCCCAAGTACACGCCTGCGTTCCCAAAAGAGAGGGCTCCGTCGTCGTCTTGAGACATTGACGCCAAAGCCGATGCTGCTGGGCGCTGAGCCAGACAACCTGACCTCACCTCGCCTCACAGCGCAGCCATTTAAAAGTGCCAGCCGGGCTCCAACGCCCGTCATCTGTCTAACTCTAAACCCTGTGTATTTGGGCTAGGCGCCATATGCTCAACCTTACCGCACTCCTTTCCCCCTCCACTCCGACTCCTGGAGGGCGACGACCCCTGCAGCGGCCACAAACACCCCCGCCCCCTCCTTTCTGCGTGAGTGGACAGCTTTTGTCATAGGGAGGTGGTAATTTATTAGGCACTGCCTGCCTACAGGCCACCACCCGACTGAGCCAGCCGCTATTCGGGACTAGGCACAGCTGACAGCCAGCCCGACCTCCAGTAGGAATTATTTAACGTGAGGTGCCAGAGGTGCAGCACTGCTACTCTCTACGAGGTAGGCGCCGACCGACCAGCCAAAGTGCCGCTGGACCTTGCCTTTCCCACCAGCAGCCCGCCCCCCGTCCCAGTTCCCAAGCAAGTCCTAAGCGCTCCTCCAACTTTTGCTCCAGCCCACAACACCATCTTCCTCCCGCCTCTTCGAATTCGTCCCGTTACACCAGACTACAGACTCAACCGACTCGTGTGCCATTCTCGATCGACTCTCCCGGCTTCGACTTCATTCCGAACGCCCTGCGACCGAGTCATCGCAGCTGGACGCTCTCGTTACACCAAAATGAAGGTTCGTCGAAATTCGTTCGCTCGCTCCCTCGTTTGTCTGCCTGCTCGTCACTGCAACCAAGCAATTCTCATCACGCACCCGGCCACCCATCCACACTGTTCTGCCGCCCCCCCCTCCTCTTGCCCGCTCCTTTGGCTCGCCTCCCTCTCGTCATGTCTTGTGATTATCCCCGGATCTTGCCTCTGCGACGCGGAGCTGGTGATGACGCCCATCGTCGTGATGCGACTCAGTCCCTTCGCCCCGCACATCCTGACTTTATTCTGCCCATGAGCCAGTCTCGCCGTGCCCCTCTACTTCGCATGGTTGCAGACACCAGTTTCACAACCCGTCATTTTCTTTCTTCCTACTCGTCTTATTTCATTGTTTCTGCCCTACCCGCATGGTCAAAGACCGCTGCTAACCGAAATGCGCGCTATCCAGGCTCTACGGCGCTCCATCAAGGGCGATAAGGACAAAGGCAACAATCCAAACATAGCGCACAAGTCCCCCATCGCTATTGTTCCCCCCAAAAAGGTACGTCTCAGACTGCTTTTACCTGTAACATTCCTGGCCCTGGCGCTGACCGCTTCTCGCAGGTTATCAGAGCACTTTACGACTATGAGGCCCGATCAGATAAAGAGCTGAGTTTCTCACGTGGAGACTTCTTCCATGTCATCAGCAACGAAGACGACAGCGAATGGTACGAGGCATGCAACCCCGCGCTTCCTGATGCGCGGGGCTTGGTACCCGTTGCCTTCTTCCAGGCGCTCGGCAGAACCGAGAGAGACAGCGGGCATTCGGATGGCGTGCGTGGAATCACATCGCCGATCAAGCTACCTGATAATGATTCCGGGTTTAGCGAGTCTCACATCGGCGCCCCCCAGCCCATTTCCTCGCCGGCTCTGAAACGGATATCGCAGCCAGGAAAGGCAGCAGGGCCTCCGGGCCCTGTGGTGTATGGAAGGGTCATGTACGACTTCAAGGCGGAACGGGCCGACGAGTTTAATGCACAAGCTGGCGAGGCTATCATCATCATTGCTCAGAGCAATCCTGAATGGCTCGTCGCAAAGCCTATTGGCAGGCTGGGTCACCCAGGATTGATTCCCGTATCGTTTGTCGAGATCCGAGATATGGCGACTGATAAGCCTATCGAAAACCCGGAGGAGGCGATAAGGAAGGCCGGTGTTCCCAAGGTGGAGGAATGGAAACGCAGGGTCGCTGAATATAACAGCAGTGGTATTGCTCTGGGCAAGTTTGAGGGTCCTGGATCGCCCGGGTCGCCCAGCGCCGGTGGCAGCTCTCAGCAACCGCAGAGCCTTGCCAACGCCATGGACCGCATGAGTCTTCAACAGAATGGCAAAAACCCTGCTCCTCCCAATGGTGTAAGTTGCCGAGAATACTGCGGATATCTCCGTCGACTGGGGTCTTGTCTAATCCTTCTACTTGTTACAGCAGCAGAACAACCCAAATGGCCATCGAACCAACCAGGAACAGTACATTCAACAAGTCCAGCAAAACCACGGCCCCGACGGCTCCTCACAACTTCTTTGCCCCATCTCGGCTCGCATTCCCCGGTACTGTTTCGCTGAAGACAAATATTGGTTCGTGATAGAAGCAGTCCTGGAGGACGGTCGACACTGGGAACTTTCGCGGTACTACGAAGACTTTTATGACTTCCAAATCGCACTTCTCACCGAGTTCCCTGCCGAAGCCGGCAACACTGGTCAGCAGAAGCGTTCTTTGCCGTACATGCCCGGCCCAGTCAACTATGTAAATGACGCGATCACGGAGGGGCGGCTGCATAATCTGGACGCTTATGTGAAGAATCTATTGAACCAGCCTCACTACATCTCGAGATGCATGTTGGTTAAGCAGTTCTTCCATCCACGAGAGGGCGACTATGAGAGTGATCCTAACGAGATGGGCGATTACCGATTATCACAAGGGTCACAGGGATCTGCCGACAATGCTGGACATATATCCTATGGACAATCCCGCAATGTAGAGAATAATGGCGGTGGATATGGCGGTTTATCCGCTACACCACGTCACCCTGGCGGTCAGCAAGGTACGGCTATACCACTGGGCCTTCCCTTGCCTTTATTTCCCTTTGCTAACGTTTCGCAGCCGGCCAACCCCAAGCAGCCAATCAGGCCCAGTCTGGTGCTTCTATGAAAATCAAGATGTACTTCAACGACGATTTAATCGCCATCCGTGTACCGGCCGATATTCAATTCCAACAACTCTATGACAAAATCCGCGACAGACTTAAAGTACCGGCTGGAGAGCGATTGGAACTGTTCTACAAGGACGAGGCGACCGGCGACAACCCAAACCTAATGAGCGACAACGACCTAGACTTTGCTTTGCAACGAAACGAAAAGCTGCTCCTCTACGTGGAGGTAGCATAACGCGGCCGAGCACCAGACTCAACGACCCCAGGACCTCGATTTTCCTCGTCTTCTCTTTTCATCTCCGACTATGTTCTCACCCCCTCACATGGTGCACTCGAGAAGCGTTACCCCAAAATCCGCTTACGTTGGTTTCTTTGTACCTATTGAACCTTTTCTCAGACGGTTGTCATTCAGGGGCCATGAGAGCGCAACGGTGTTTGCGCATCTCTACTATCTCGTTGTGTGATCGACTTGTTCTTTCTACTTCTTCCCATTCTTATTCTTATTTCTGTCTCTGTATCTTGAGTGATTATCAGAGGACAAGCAGCTGATAAATCGTTTTGGACACATTGACTTCTTACCCCAGGGTTGTCGAAATCTTGTCGATCTGATACCCTCAAGGAAAAGGCCGTCGTTGGGCGAATCGTTTGATGGCAGCTTTGTTTTTGGAGAAAGATAATCCTCTAATCCCTGGCTTTTCATGCATCTACTTTATCCTTGTTCGGTTTTTCTTTTTACATATGGCACGGGTAAGCCATGGGAGAAAGGGGGTGAAAGGGCGTTCTGGAAAGGACTGGCACATACCTTTTTGATTTTTTTTGTCCTGCTCACTTATTTGATGGAACATGAGTTTTATTTTTGGGCTTCCCGACAGGGCTGTTTTGATTTATTTTGTTTCCTGCAGAGGCAACTCGGGGTTCGTGTGGATTTTTTCGACAGTGTTGCAGATAATTCCTGCTCAGAGATGAGCTGTTTTGGTTCAGGCAGCTTGGCATCGAGACGAAGTTTGTAACACGGAGGACTTGAAGTGTTATACGTATGCGATGAGTGAAATGATAAAAAGCTAGAAAATCAAAGGCTGTTTATACTGCAAAGTGATTTGATTTCGATCATGAGAGATTCGTGTGTCCCGTAGTACAGTGTGTATCGATGGGAAGGAAACCTTCTAATTATGCCCCCTCTCGATGGTTCTATGTCTATGTCATATCCATGGAATCATGTCTTGATGTAATAGTCAGCCCTCCCCCCTTCTATCCCTGTGAAGCAAAACTGTCGAAGCCAGGCCGATTAGACCGAGTAATCGTATCCAGAAACAAAATAATCAAACGAACGCCGTGATACCAATGCAGTAAAGGAACTAGCAACTGAAAGCCTCGCCTTTTTTCTTTCCTCTCCCCGCAAAGTTGTAGTCAAGCAGACCACAAGCGTCTTTGTTACCCAACCCAAAACTTAATGAACCCCGAGAAAACTCCCCAATCTTGCCCCCCCCCCC